TCAAAAAACAGATGGCGATGAGTCGATCTACCGCTGTGCCGCACGCAGTGGAAGAGAAAAAGCCTGTTTTGCCCCGAAATACTGCAATTCCAAAAGAAGCCTCGAAGGAATCTGTTAAGGAATCTGTTAAGGAATCTGTTAAGGAATCTGTTAAGGAATCTGTTAAGGAATCTGTCAAAGAAACACCGAAGAAAGCTCCAAAAGAAGCTCCAAAAGAAGCTCCAAAGGAGACATCGAAGGAGAAGAAAGTGGACGTGAGCTCGACGGTTCCTCGTAGCAGTAAGAAGCGAAATGCCGCGATGGAATCGGAAGGGACGAATAAACGGGTGGACGTAGATAAAACAAAAGAGCAGGGAACGACATACGATGAAGAAAATAGCTGTCAAACGCAATAGTTGTATTGTATATAATGTTTTGCGTTGTGTTTGATAGAAACATGGATTATTCGAGCCTATTTAGAAAGTCCATACCAATAGCAACTAAATCAATTTCATATATCAACGTCTAGAGAATTACAAAAAAACAAAACGATCCTACAGAGAAGGGAGGAATTGTTGGCGTGCCCTTTTCTCCAAATCTAAAATAAACATATCGATTCAATCATACGCTTTGTCTGGAGTGCAAACGATCTTACGCTTTCCTCCCACCTTCATTCCCAAGATGCCTTCATCCCATGCTGGTATTACCATTCTAAGCATCGATGGATTCATTCCAATAAGCTACCCGACACCGATTCGAAGAGAAAGGGGAACTCCGATTTCATAGGAGTTATCGGGAATCGGCTTTCCGTTATTTAAAATTCTTCCTTTATGGTTGATATGGATAACATCTCCCTTCTTACAAGGATCTCCCTTCCCCACAACAAGATCGATATAGCGCACGCCTAGCACTTAGTTGTCTATTTCACTCTTACCTGTATCCGTAAATTTGTAAACTTCTCCCTTTTTGAGCACACATTCGTCAGCCTTAAGTTCTGCTGTGCTAAATACTCTTGCCAACGGGGAGTATTGCTTTGAAAGAACCCCTCTGAGTACTGTGTTGGTAGCCAAACGACAAAACATTCCTACAGTAACCAAATTGGCAGAATTCACAAATTCGTGGGTATTTTGTGTAACTCATTTTATTGAGATCTACATAAACAGACTTTTCTTGTAATTATTTGTAGCTACTTTTTCATTCATTAATGTACGCATATATTTTGAATTGTTTCCTAATGTAGTATCGTTTTTTATGAACCCGCGAGATTCATTGTCGGGGTTATATCCCGAACACAGACACAGTGACATACGTGATGAAGATACAACGTTAACGGGAACTTCCGAAAGAGATAGCTCATCAGTTCAGCTCTTCGTGCTCATTTTAAATACTAGATATTTTCCGATCGATGTTCTATCGAAAATCCTCGTTCCAGCATTCCTCCAAGATTTTCAATCTCTCAAGGCTCATTCTCTCGAACCAGAGATCCCAATAAAGAACTCTACCCATCTCACTGTTACGCAAATCCTGATATTCCCGCGCTTCATCTCTCCCCTTATACTTGTCGATCTAACCCTATCCAGTTCATCGGCGTAAACATAGCATCGTTCGACGAAAACGACCCATCCACAGCGCTTCACCGTCTATCTCCTGAGGTCGTATCTCTCCCCCTATTCCACATAGTTATGTTCCATCGAATCCGCTTCGCGCCGTCGCTCCTCCATCGTGGTAATGGAGAGCGCGGAGACCCTCCGAAACGACGAAATTCTAAGCAGACTGGACGACGATGATGACGACGACGACGACGTCGATTTTCTTCCAGGGAGAGAGTCGTTGTCTGCCTATCGCCGCGCGGTGGAACGAATCCCCACTTGGTAGGAGCGTCGCTTTCCCTCGACTCCAGTAAACTACGCAACTATATGCGGCGGCAGAAAGAGTTGCAAGAGGTGAATCAGCGATATGCGGAGATCTGCGCGCAGTGGAAAGCCGAGCAGGAGCTTCGCACGCAGCCGAGCGATCCCGAGCTCTGCATGGAGCTCGAGGAGGTGTTCCAGCCCGACGAAGAGAGCTCGCTCGTGAGCCAATCGATTCTCTCCGGGACGATCGGTGATTGCTGGGCTCGCTGGTGAGTTGTAGACGACATGGTGCAGCGAAACAATCTGCACAATCGCCGACTCTCCGGGATTTTAGACTCCAACTCCGCGTCGGACTCGGAATCTTCGTTCAGTGCGGGAGCATTGTGCTCGCCACGCCTCTCAAAGGTGGACATGGACGAGGAGCAAGTCGTAACGGCCGCGCCGAGACACGTGTTCACGTTCGATTCGGAAGAAGTCTGTCGATCGAAACTGGAGTCGTTTCGTTGCAGTCTGAGCGAGTTGCCGAGCCAAGAGGCGATGAACGGCGTGGTTCATCGTCTGCAGAGCGTGATGGGAGATCGCGAGCGCGTGCTGCAGCTGTTTGTGAGGGCGTGGCCGGCTTCTAAAGCCTAGAATTATGTGGAGTCAAACTATTCGCAGCTGCAAGAAATCGACGATCTGCAAGGCGAGCTGAACGCTGCGGAGAACTGCTTTAATCGCTATCAAATCCAGGAGTATCTTGTAAGAACCGCGGGGAGCGTCGAGTGTAGTTGGCGGATGCTTCGAGTTTAATCGATCTTGGGGATAAACTGTTTGAATACATTTCGATATATGCACATTTCGCAGGGTGGAAAGCTTCGTATTCGGATCGACGCGATTTGCTGCTGAAATTTTTCTTTCGGAACGAGTTCTTCTTCCTGAAAGTCTCTATTTCCAATGGAGAGGTGTTTCAGGTCAAAAAGAGCATCGAGTCCATCAAGAATGAGTTTGTTCTCTCGATGCTGCGAAGTCTTCGTGTAATTCAGGGAATTCGCTCAGAGTATCGTTGTTTTGAGTTTTATGCCATGTTTCCATCAGTTTGTGCTTGAGCGGGTTCTAACATTTAGTTGTCTTTAGATTTGTTGAAGATAAGGAAAACCATGGAGAATACAGAAGTATAGGCTATTTATGGAATTCCCAAAATTGGGTGTTTGTTGTATGAACCTTTGATATTTTCTAGTTCTTCTGTATATTCTTTTCAGTAATTGAACTCATCGTAGAACATGTCAGGAACTGGGAACTCTGGAGCAGGCTTTGGCGGAGGAAGTGGCGGATTTAGCTTTGGTGGAGGGAATGCTTCAAACACGGGCAACAACAGTAATTCTGGATTTAGTTTTGGAGGAAATACGTCCGGAACAGCCAATACTGGAGGAAGTGGTGGCTTTAGCTTTGGTAATTCGAATAATTCAAACACGGGCAATACCAATAACACTGGAAGTGGTGGATTTAGCTTTGGTGGAGGAAATACGTCCAATACAAACAATACTGGTAATACGGGATTTGGTTTTGGAGGAAATACTTCTGGTACAACAAACACAGGGGGAAGTGGTGGATTTAGCTTTGGTGGAGGAAATACGTCCAATACAAACAATACCGGTAGTACTGGATTCAGTTTTGGAGGGAATACAAATACCAGTAACACTAACAATACTGGCAGTACTGGATTCAGTTTCGGCAGTAATCAAAACACTGGCAATACTGGCAATACTGGTAGTACTGGATTCAGTTTCGGCAGTAATACAAACACGGGAAATACTGGTAGTACTGGATTTAGTTTTGGAGGAAATAAACCTGGTACGACAAACACAGGAGGAACTGGAGGTTTTAGCTTTGGCAGCAATACGAATACCGGCACCTCTGGTAACAGTACCTTTTCTTTTGGAAACAAATCGAGTACAGCGGGCACAGGCTTTACATTTGGCTCAGGTTTTGGAACATCAACTGGAACAGGGGCAGGCGGCTTTGGTAGTACTTTTAATACCGGCAATTCCTCCAATCGTGGAGTGTTGCAGAACCCGAGTAATGACAAGATGCTTTTAAAGTTAATGGATCAGAATGTGGGCTCTCTGGATCCAGCAATTTGCAAGGAGCTTACCGAAATAGCGTTTGTTTTGGAGAAGCATTTGATTGTAGGAACCTGATCAAAGAGCAACAAAGACTCATCGATTCGATCGAAGTCGCAGATACATCGCGGCTGAGTGGCCGGATTGTTGCATTGAAATCCCTCGAATTTGTTCTGCTTTTCAGCGCGAATGACTTGTAGGAATGTGAGAAGATGAGAATTTCCCAAGAAGCTCAAGATTTACATCTCAAATCCCTTCGAAACGGTCTGACCCGCTTTGAAAACTCGCTTCGCCATGCAAAGCAGTCGAGCAGTCAAGAGGAAACTCATTCAGGATTTATAGGAAACGATCCAATGCAGCAGCGAATGCCATCTGCGTTCTTCGAAGATGTGTTAAGCCAGCTGGAAGAATCGATCATTCAACTGAATGAAAAGATCGAGAATAGTACTCAGCGATCGTTTTTTGTTAAGAATAGTGGAAGTTGCGCTCTCTCTCCATGTGGGTAATTCGCAGAACGATGTGGCTGCAGTTTCAAAGTAGCAATGCATGGCCGTTTGAAGTGTAGGGAGATGAACGAAGCGGAACTTTTACTGGACATCATTCAGAGGAACTACAATATGTTCCTTACGCAATCGGCCGCGGTAAGCGAGCTGGTGAAAAAAATGAACGAAGTGAAAGAGAAGTTCCTGACTCTGCGCCGAAAGGAAATCAAAACGCGAAGAAAGAATATGAATTGTACGAGTTGCTGGGGATGGACTGATGGATAGTGATGAGCGGAATGAAAGATGTGATGGCGAACGTGTTGGACGATCCCTTTACCGAGACAAGAGATACATTGTGGATTGTTTATTGAACAAAAAAATGTATGGATGAATCAATGCGTTCACTTGCATTCAATGCTTTTCACCTGTTCTGTGAGTGAACGATTCACGGGTGTTTCGACTCCTTGCTTCCTCCCCATCGCCACAATGTAGCCGTTTATAAAATCAATTTCAGTGCGTCGCTTCTGCGCGATATCCGAAGCCATCGAGCTTCGATTCGCTACCAATCACTCTTTGCTCTCAACGCTCACCAGCAGTTTGTTCAGCTACCAACTGAACACGAGCTTTGCAGTCTGCGACATCCAGCCTCACTCCGCATCGCTCCGCCACGCGGACTGCTTCGTTTACGACCTACCCTCCAACGAAAGGCAAGCAAAAACATCGTCGCAGATACGATTGTATTCTGGCAGAGACAGGATTTCGCCGTTTCTGCAGTTGTGGATAGCGGTGAGAGGATTGATCACAGCGTTCACGATCAGTTTCTTCCACAGAACTTCTTCGAACTAGAGTTGATTGAAGGTCCAAGGCTAACATTGTTTCCGCCTAATTCCGCGGGGAGATGAACAGATTGGAGTGTTTTCACCCACCATTCAGCCGATTTTTGGCCTTGTGGAGTCGGCGATACGATTGTGATGTACCCCGTTCCAGAATGAATAACTTCTCCAGGATTTCGAAGCATCGCTCCTTGGGAAGTATTTCCCTGGAGGACTCTTTCTTTTCCTAAAATTCTCTGAGTGAAATACGCAATGAACTCCGACTTGGAGAATTTCGACATTTCCCATACCGTTCTGTAGAGTAAGACAGGTTCCTGTTTCGGAAAGAACACCTTTTATCATGGATGCTAACATTTCGGTATTGTACGACTTATCAAACAGCAATACCTGTATATCACACGCTTACATGAGGTACCTCATCTACTTTTCTGTGAGACTGACTCGCTGGATCAAAAATAGAATCATCCACAGCATGAACGGGAATAACAAAAGAACCGTTTTGATATCCAATGTTGCAATCTTTTCTTATTTCATTCCATATGGATTTAGACGCATCAGACAAAGGAGTCACGACTAAACCATTCTTTTGGATTTCCTGACGGTGAGATTCCCAATTGGCTCTAAGCATAACCTAGAAATGAGAAAAATCAAGAAAGCAGGCATTAAGAGCGTTTTGACTCTTCATGGAGGCAGCTTCCAAAAAGCCACTAAAAAGCGACCCCATTGCTCCTCCAGAAACAATCAAGAGCGATTTATGCATAACAAACAGGCAAGAACAATAAAGTGATTACTTTCGCAACTGTTTCACAATAATGAAACCCGCAGCAGCCAAAGCGGTGAGAAGTGTTACTTTCCCTATAAGTGACCAATCCAAATAAACGCTACAAAACACTCCATGTCCGCCATTCTTCTCCGTCGTTTCTTTTGTCTCTCCTTCCTCCTTCGTCTTCACTGCAGATTCATCTGGATTTTCTGCACTCGACTCTTCAACAGTTTCCGGTTCCTTTTCCTGATCAACGGGCTCATTCGACTCCGTAACCAACCCATCCTCTTTTTCTTCCATTCCAGAAATACCCGCTTCTTTCTCTTCCTGCACCGGCTCTTCTTCCACTTGAGCAGGAGCAGCAGGAGCAGCAGAAGGATTTGCATGCTCGCGGGAAGAGCGAGGCAGGTATTTCTCTTCGAACGAATCGACGGAATCATCCGAGTCCTCCGAGGATTCCTGGCTGCTGACCATTCCGTACGTCCTGCGACGCTCCTTCAGAATGTCTTTCAGCATGTCGTTGACATCCAGCTGCATGATCTTCTCCAGCTGCGCCTGTTCCTCTTCGGAAATGGCAGGGAACGCTGCTGGATGATTCTCAGCGGATGGTTCAATGGATGGTTCAATGGATGGTTCATTCGATGGTTCAATGGATGATTCAATGGATAGTTCAATGGATGGCTCATTCAATGATTCATTCAATGATTCATTCGATGATTCATTCAATGGTTCATTTGATGGTTCATTCGATGGTTCATTCGATGATTCATTCAATGGCTCATTCAATGGCTCATTCGATTCCACCACATTCGTTTCTGTCGTCGATTCATTTCTCTGTTCCTGGGTTGATTCCGCAGTGGATTCGTTTCCTGCTGCTACTTCCGGCTCTTCCATTCTCTGTTCCTCCTCAGTCGCTTGCTGCAAAGGCTCCGTTTGGACCTTGGAAGGCTCGTTCGGAGAACCGATTTTCGGCTGCTTGCTGGATTTGTGGAGAATCCGAGTCTCTAAATAAGCGCTGCAAACTACAATCGATTAAACCTATCAGGATTACTTGTTTTAATAAATGACTCAGGGAGGTGTATCGCTTCAGCGCCCTGCTTTTCAATTAATACTTTTACAAACACTAGAAGACTAGTTATTAGCATTGCTTCCTGATTTCTTAGATGCATATCCATAATTGTTACATTTTTTGATTCAAAATAAGTATAGCTCATCAAGGCGGACTTGGGAACGCCATAATGATTGGTAGCATCTGCAAAGAGCTTCATATTATCGCGTTTCCAGATATCCATCACTAGATATAGACAAAAGAAAGTAATGAGATACTTGCATTTCGATGATATTTACCAAAGCGTTCATTCGGGCAAAGCTTTATGAATAGTTCGCAGAGCAGCTGAATCGTTAAAAACAGCAATCGAATTCTACATCTCCTTTCTCTAGCTCTGTCAGCAAGTCAGAGGATATATCCCTCTCCAAAACAATAGACATCCACTTAGCAATCTCAGGAGCAAATAGCTAGATGGTGATTTACACAAAAGGCGCATACATCACATTCAGCATCTCGAGGAGGCAATACGGACCAAAGGGATGTACGGCGAGTACTCATTTTAAATTATTCGGAAGAGTATAATAAGAACAGCGTAAATCAAATGAAGTATAAAAAACGGCGAGTTTTAGAACAATAAGCCCTTTTTCTGGAAACAGATTTTGTTTACGGTTTTCTCTTTGTTGATAGAACCACAAGGGCTTACTAGAAAAGGCACTGGAGTATAAGCATTCGCCATTTCGATGAAAGTAGTACAGGATATTAAATATATTGTCACCTTGACTGTGGCTGCTATTCTGTGGCTATTGCTATTTCTTTGGGTCGTTCTTCAGTGTACATCTCTTTTTGTACGATTGTATGAATTGTTCTATACTTTTTATTGCTAGAAATATCAATGTGAACAGAGATCTACCTATTTCCAACGCAACAAACGTAGTTCGTCGCGAGGTGGAGAAAACAGAGATTTCAGTGGAGACTCCGGAGGAAGAAGAGACATTCTATACATTTTATTTTGGAGAAGACATCCCATTTGAAGAGGAGAGAACGTTCCATCTAAATTCCAGTTCTTGGAAAGAGGAATATAAAGGAGTCAAAGAGGTCATTCGAACGATGATGGAAAAGTATGGATAAGGTGTTTTGATTCCATTTAGCGACCGAGATACAGAATTTGAGCAGCAGGCCATCAGGTACGCGTTAATCTTGTCTTATTAGCTTGTTAGTTCTCAAGGTTTCAGTGATTTGTTTATTCGGCCATTCGGGTCGGTTGTGACAAACGTTTGCTTCGACACAAAACACTCTCTCTTTACGTTTTATTCCCAAGACAGCACCTCCTTCCGCAGCAAACTCCACGACATAAACATGAGCACATTTTACAGTGACTCTTCAACTCTTTTTCCATCTAGACAACGACTTTCGAATCCTTACAACGCCCATTCACCCAGCCCATCTTTCCAAAACCCCCCTCCACACACTCGTTCTCCACCCCCAATCCCCTTCCGATCTCTATTCTTTCATCAAAGGCGTGACTCTCCTTGAGTCTGTTGCGCTCCACAGCGAATTGTTCCCATCCATTGATCGGGTTTTGCTCGTGGGGATCGATTCTTTCGACAGCATTCGAAACTTCATCGTCCAAAACGTTTTAGCTCTCTTCCCAGCAACCCGCAGACCGGTCGTTTTATTCGCTTCGGATCTTCGTGGAGCTCTCTGCGACCGCGTAATGGTGAGAACAAACCTGTTGAGTGATGTTCAGACAGTGCTTCACCCCAATTGGCATTCCACACTTTTCTTTCCTTCCATGTTGGAAAGCACGTTGTTTAAAGCAGGATCCTACGTGTATAGCCATTTCTACCCGGACTATCGCCTTAAGGATGCAATCAATATGTTGGTAGTGAACCAACGAAACAAGGGAGCGATTGAAAACGTGGAAATCGTGGAGATGAAATTGAAGGAACGGTTTCGAAAGCAGATACGGCTGGAAACATGCTTTCTCCAAGATTTCTCGATCGATCAGCTAATCCCGATGCTTGGTCGAACGGATGTATTGATGGGCGTTTCGGGGAATGATCTGATGCAAAGCATCTTCATGCTGCCTGGAAGTGCTGTGATTGAGGTAGGCAGGAATGTTCCGAGTGCATCTCTATACGGAGAGTTTGTAACGAGCACCGGATTGTCCTATTTGTCTATCAAGGCAAACGATGTGTGTCACTCAAAGAAGAAATGTCCGAAGAAAACGATGAATTTGAGGAATTGTACTATAGAATATGAGGATTGTGAAAAGAGTGTAACAGAAGCGATTCAACTTGTGAGAGAAAAGAAATACCGGGAAATTTTTGTGATTCCATAATTTGGATTAATTATTATCTTATTTGTTTGAATTAACCTTGTGTATTCTTTGATTTTGTAAGATGGACGCATCGCTAAGAAGCAGTAACCATCTGAGTTTTGTAGCAAGCTTTGTTGATCATTTTCCCTTTTTTTACTGTGTAGAGGTACAACCAGAGGCACAATCGACGTCTGTAAGTACTACCGCGTACTTTAGGACTAGATCTCCCAGACGAAAGCAAGAAATGTCAAAATTCTTATTCACGTATCTCCTCTATCCCTTTATGACGTGTAGACAGGATAATTCGAACCAACTATCGAATTCAGAGGAAAGTTGTAATGCTCTTGCATTTCACTGTTATCCTAGGTTTGCTTCAGTACGGGATCGCCGACTATATCGGTTTTGTCGGATATAACACGGAGGACCTGAAAGAGCCATCTTTTCCTTTTCCATTTTCTTATTCCTTGCAGCTCTCTCCTACTCTGCTACAGGTTATTTGTTGCGACGAGTTGGAGGACGAAATTCCTAGTACCCTCGAATGGTTTTGTTTTCCAAGCTTGTTTCCTGTGTTTCTGTAATTCATAGATGGGATTCATTTGTGCCGAAGGATTCCCTGCCTCATCTGGGACAACGTTCCGAAGAGTGTGATCGCAGGCATCGAGTATCTAGTGCAATGCCTTCCCTGCAATCCCCTCTTCAGCTCCCCTCCCGTCGAAGTCAGCCGTGCGATTCAAGTGGCATCGCATCTCTCTCGCTATGATCACGCTCCGGACAACAACGGGCGTCTTCTCAACCTGGATTCGTTCGATTATCACCCCGAAGAGGTGGTCGCAGGCCTCAAACTGATCCTCAATCGCATGGTATGCGCAGAGAAATCGATGGACTGTAGCCTGCCCTGATTCCTTCGCATCTGCACCGAACGTTCACGCGAATCTCGTTTGATGAGATAAACGCGGAGCACATTCCGAACATCACGATCAACGTGATCAAGAAGATTTTGCGAAGCATCCCCAAGCCGCTTCTCATTACACTGTTCTATGTGATTTCCTTTATAAGTCTTTTCTTGCGAAGCAATCGCGAAGGCTGCCAAGTCTTCGGAGAGGAAAACGAGTCCGAAGCAAACGCTGCACTGGATCAATCGGTCGATTCACTCCGGCAGTTAGCGATTTATTACAATCAAATGAATTTCTCGTATCGATGCCTGTTCACACTTCCGATTCCTTTGATTCGCAACGGAATCGAGGAAATCTGCCAGTTCTTTTTTCAGTGTTGCTGGCAGCCGCAGACTGAGAAGTTTTCGGAAGAGCAAATCAATGGAATGTATTCGGTGTTTGTGATCTTGGTTCTCCAATATGAAACGATTTTCGAATCGCTGCTGAAGAGAGATGGGCAGTTGGTTTCCAGCCCGATTCTCTCTCTGGAGGAATCCGATTTCTCTTCGTTTTCGATTTCGGATGAGAAGAAAGAAGAAGCGAGCAAAAGCGATGAGTTCTTTCGAAGCGAGCTTCCTACAACCACATCCTATTCGATTTTGAGTAATTCGTCTTCCACTTATTACTGCTGCATGCTGCTTCATTATCAGGAAAAGGACGAGTTCTTCGTCCCAACGATCTTCTTTCTTCTCACAACCATCCCCATGCCGCAGCAGATCTGCAGCATTTTAGATCCCCTGCTCCGCCAGCTCTCTGATTCCTCGCATCGCGATCCTTTGCTGAAGTTTTTGCTGCGTGATGCTCTCTGCCCGATTCCGAACGCGTTGAATGTTCAGTTTCGGATTGCTGGAAAGGATCTCTGTCTTCACACCACGGAAACCCACGATCGATTTCGAAACGGTGCTTCTGTCTCGCTTGTTTGATTGTAGTCTCGAGTGTGAAAGCGCTGTTTCAAGTCTTGGAAACGGAAACAATCGCCAACCTTCTGCTTCTCCTCCTTTTGGAAGAGAAGCTTCTGTTTGTTTCAAACCAAATCGATGTGCTTCCGAAGATTCTAGAAGGCCTTTCGCTGCTGCTTCCCTATCCTTGGCCGCATGGGTTTATTCCTGTCATCCCTTTCTATTTGCTGCCAGTCCTCATTGATTCACCGTCTCCCTTCTTGTTTGGGACTTCCAACACTTCCTTTGCGTATATTCAATCCAGCATTTCCCATGACATTCACGTGGTCTTTCTTTCAGAGCGATACCATGGAACAGTTCCTTCGATTCCCATCAAGCCTCGCCAGTGGCTGTGGCTTTTCATTGCTCGTAACATTATAGAATAAACCAGTTCAATGCGTTGAACTTCTCGCTTCCTGAAGATGCGTTCTATCGCTATGTGAAGCAGATTGTTTACAGTTTCTACTGGAAGTTATTCCCTTCGTTCTCCTACTATTTATTCACTCTCTTAGGCAATGTCTGCTTATTTAACACTTCCCAATATATTCAAAACGAAGTGGACGAAGAGTTCCGTCCCTTCTATAACCAAATTCTCTCAACACAAGTAGTCTCATCGATTCTCAATTTCGTTTAGAGCTTTGCAATGTTGACTGATCACTTTTGGAATGTACAGTATCGAGAATTTGTGTCCTGCATGGACTCGCAGACCGAAACTCCCATCGGGTCTGTTCCTTCATATTATACAATCACTTATCCGCTCTTCCCGTTTTCCTATCTGTCACAGAAAAAGGAATACGCAGTGTCTCTCCCGCAAGAAACTCTCTCGCGAAAGGATCGGCAGTTAATTCTGGACGATCTGAGCTTTCTGGACAGCTTGCCGCGGCCATCGAACGATCAATTGCAGGACAAGGAGCTCATCGAAGCCTTCTCCCACCCGATTATGAGTTCGATTAATCGTTTATTGAGTCTTTATTTAATCGACAACACTTCCGAGCAGTCGTATTGCCTTTTCCGTTTACTGTTAGAGCTCCGCATTTGTTGGAATATGTGACGGACGGCTTCATCGAACCGAATGTCCGAGTGGATTTCATTCGAATCTTGTGTCAGCCAAGCGCCGGCGTTTCTCCCTATCGCATTATCTCTCATCAGGCGGCATCGTCCCTAACGCCTCTGCTTTCAGCGTTCTATTCGTAGGAATGAATCGTTTCCGACGAATCGTAGCAACTGTGTTCAGCAGCGCGATTATGTGAATGCTTTGAAGCTACACAAGATTTCCTCTCTGTTTATAGTACGCACAGATCATCGGTACTGCCCTCTGTACGGCTTTCTCAACACGCACGAGATCTACTCCAAAGTGGGCTTCTGGAGAGAATTGTTGCTGGATTACTGCATGCTGGACGAAGAAGATCCGTCCTATCAATTGAAGTATTTCTGTAGCGAGCGATCGAACTTTTATCCAATGGATTTTGGGACTGCAAAAGAAGGGCATATTTCGTTGTTGCTGGAGGAAGATCCGAATCTGGTGGTTTCGAGTGATGTGGTCACGAAGGGTCTTTCGATCATTGGGAACCTAATGATGGATCTTCAGTTGTCAGAAGAGATCGCAACGAGAATTATGCTGACAGTATTGCAATTAATTACGGAATAAAGTGTATGTAATTGTAATATAGAACGAGGAGTGTGTTTGTTTTAAAAGCAAGCAGAGACAGAATGGAGTGTTAACGAAAAGGTCTGCAAAGTCCCAGAAATGAACAATCCAGGAGCAATGGATCGACAACAAAATTGAAAACAAATGTACTGAATAGAATGAATATGCCAAACAAATAAACAATAAGGGATAATTGGTTAGTAAAATGTCGATTCCTTGTACCAATCAAGTGATTCGCGAATTGAGTTGGGCATTCTTCGATGCTTCTCAATATTTTGAAAGAGTTTGTTCCACTCTCTTCTATTGTGCTCCAAAATTTGTTTCCGATAGTTCAGGTTACACTGGTAAACTTCAGAATAGTTTGTTTTCTGCATCAAATAAACGAGGTGCGACATGTTTTGGAATACAATGGAGCACGGAGTATAGTAGGAAGCATATTGAAGCCAATACTCCGTAGCTTTCTCTGAATGATCTTCAGGGGAAAAAGGATGCTTGGACTTTGGATGTTTGGGGGGTTCTTGAAACCGAGCTCCGCAATAATGTGAATCGCTTGCCTTGATATCATGAGCGATTCCATTTTCCACAATGAATGAAGGAGATGGAACAAACATAGGGATCGCCGTAGTCACCAAATCTGCCAAATAGTATGATAACACTGCATAGGGAAAGACAACTGCAGCTTTGAATTTGTTAATATCTTTGTACTGAAATCTTCCCTTCACTCGCTCTCGCATGTTCACAAGGAAACAAGGTTTTCTCTCTCTAGCGCAGGCATCCGTGACCATTTGCTGGTATTTCTTAAAGTAGGTGTTATTCTTAAATGGAGCATAGAGAAATTCGTCCCAAATGGGCGCGTATCTCGAGGGAGGCGTATAAAGAAGAATAGTGGAAGAAATGATATAGGGGACATCCCTTCCCGAGTAATAGTTAATGTATTCGGCATCATATCTTCCTGCAGCCATAACAATAACTGGAGCCTTGGGCTGGTGAAACATCCATTTAAGAAGGCTGCTGGAATCATTATAAAAGCACCTTCGAATGAGAAAACGATGAGCAGGAATAAAAACCACGGTCTTATTGAAAACAATGTAATTCTGACACTCTGACGGATAAAACATGCAAAGAATTGCATCCACTTGTTGAAAAACACGATTATCACGAAATAACTCCCATATTCGATGAACTGAATCCATATTGTAGGAGAACAGCTTATTCGTTTTGCAGATCTCCTTCGTTGGAAAGAGAATATGAGGCTGTTCTTGCTTCAAATCCTGCAAAATATACTGTTGATCAGAGATAACTCTCTTCCTCAATTCAGTATAGGCTGGAAGAGAGCATTTATAATTGTAGAAGAACACAGAATGATTCATTGTAGTTAGGGAAGCAGCAAGATCCGTCATTGTTCCATCATGTACATCAGGAGAAAAGAAAAAAAGAGATGGAGAGGAAGGAGAGTACCGAATATTCATACTAGTTGCGGTTTTGCCATCCGAAAAAGGAAAGTACGTTTGAATGAGTGAAGAGAGAATAAAAAGGGCAATAACAACGAAATAGAAGAACATGTATTACTGATAGTTGCGGAATTGGAATGCATCGAATTTGATAAGATGATATGATTAGTTTGATTGTTGATCCTGGTTTCAAAATAAAGAAAGGGTTCCAAGAAGAAACAGTAACAGAAATGGGATTGTGTTTTAATACGATGGCTGTATAACACACAGATTACTTGCTACCAAAAACACATACTTCATGGACTTTTCAATGAATGAACATTTTGACAAGTGAAACAGCTATCAATAGAGTTTCACTTGTTCAGATATCTACATTGTGGTGATTCTAAATGAGTTCCACATATTTGATTCCATACTTATTTATACTTGCGATATATCTGTTCACCGCTTCAAAGATTGGAAAGAATGAGAGCCTAGAGGGAGTTCGCGCATATCCAATTTGCAATTTAAATAAAACAACAAAAGTGAGAAAAGAAATGCCAGTAGAATTAAAAGACTTTGGATGTTGTTCCAAGAACCGTAGGTTAGATTCGCAGTTTTTTATTTAGAATATGACTATGATGACATTCACTATCCAGTACCATTCAATCAATTGGTGTCCCAAATTTCAACCCATTATGAGAATTATGGCATTGCAAACTCTTCACTTCCCTACCTTCTTACCGGAGATATTCCAGAATACCATTTTCAGACCTCCGCAGTCCTAATGATCACAGGAGCCTCGGACAATCATGGATATGGCTCATTTAATTGCCTATATTCTATGGTATTAGCGGATCCTTATGCCTCTTACCTCTACATTGATTTAGGCTTGGCGCCTGAATTACGAGAAAAACTATTCGCACACTTCGAAACAATTCATCAAATCCAGGTCAAAATGAAATCTACAGGTTTCCTGGCTTATCGTAGATTTAATTGGAGTTCGTTTCCTGAGTGGATGAATTTATTCAAAAACAAGGATCAACGTGGAGGATACTCTTGGAAAGTGATTTCCTATATGGACGCAGCCTTTTCCTGGAAGGCAATCACATTCTGGATAGACGGAGGAAGTCTGATTCGAGATGGAATAAGTAGAGAGTTAACAAATGTCCGTCTCGAGGGTATTTACAGTCCTGCATCTGGAGGTGGGGCAGCAGAACGATGGACACATAACGGAACCGTTGAATTTCTATTGTCAAACCGCTTTATTGATTCATTCGACCCCAATGGAAGAATGGGATGTGGAGGACATTTAATAACAGATTGGCTGAATAAAACAGTGGTTAACAGAGTGATGATTCCCTATCAGCAATGTGCTTACACCCAGAAGTGTATTTCCCCAAGAGGCTCCAACATGAGGAATCATAGGCAAGATCAGGCTGTTCTTTCAGCACTAATACACAACATTGGTGTGATAAAGTCGCTTAATCCAGAATATCAAGCCCTACCTGCTTTACGTCAAGAAAGAGGAAACCAGGAAAAAGCATGCAGATTAATACTCAACAACTACCTGAAAAGTCTACAAAACACTTATCAGATCAAAATTACGAATCGATACTATGACACAACTCATATCAAATACACTCCCATGTACTATAAATACGTCTCAAGACCAGTCGATGAGGATTGGAAACCATTGAACTAAATTGTTTTTGGCTAGCTGTTTGTTGAACAATGAGGAAACTACATGAAAAAGGGCGTATTGATATGGGTAATAAGATGACTGTAAAGAATCATTATTTTTCAAGGAAAAATGTATGTGTACATCAAACGAAATGTCTGTATAATAATTAGCAGTCCACAGTTAATGATAAAGTCTACCAACAGAATGCGACCAATTTGTTGAAAACAGCAAGAACTATGCGAACGTAATAGTAAAAGTGTAAGAATAGATTGAAAATATATGAATCAGCGTTTTCAGATGGCTTTCAATAAGACCTATGGGGGTAGATAGAAATTATCAGAGTCATTTTAGTCGCAATCCCAAGGGGCATTTTCAGTTTAACAAATATGTCAACCGAGGATCCCACTCTCGTACATATTGGAATTGATTTTGGTACTTCCAATAGTGTTGCTTATGTTTGTAAAAAGAATCGATATGAATATGTGCCATTCCAACAGGGGGCTCAAATGCCATCTCTTGTGATACTAGACAATACTAAATTTGTTGTAGGTGTGCCTCCGCCAAAATTTGATAGTGTTGTATTCAAATCTGTGAAGAAACTATTGGGTCAGAGTTATTATGATGTGGATCTAAATGATGATATGAGTACATATGGATGCAAGATTGTAGAAGGCCCAGATCATATGTGTTGGTATAAAACGGAAGAAAGACTTTATTCTTGTGACGAAATTGCTGTGGCCATATTTAAAAAAATAAAAGAGGAAGTTGATAAGTTTACTGATGGCAAAGTGGGGCGTACTGTAGTTTCTGTTCCTGCACGTTATTCTGCCAAACAAAGATACCACATTCAGAAAGCTGCGGAAGCTGCTGGTTTTGATGTGACCAACTTGATAAACGGACCCACTGCTGCTTCTGTGTGTGTATCTATAGAGAGATTTATCAATGGGAATATTCTTGTATTTGATCTTGGTGCAGGTACTACAGATGTAACAATATTGAATTTGCAGGATACGATCTATAAGGTAGAATCGAGTTGTGGAGACGATCATTTGGGTGGGGATGATTTTGATAATATATTACTACATCACATTGAAGATCGATATAAAGAAAAGTATAATAGAGAGATATGGGATGGAATGAAAGAAGTCAAAAAGAATCGAACGATGAACAGACTAATGAAAGAGATCATTCATCTAAAACATCAACTTTCTTCACATAGTTCAGAAGATATTGATATGTATGACATTGTTGGTGGTGATGATGAAGATGAAGATTATAGGATAAATGTTTCTCGGGAGACATTTGAGAGATTGATTAGACCATTAACAGAAAGATTTTCGACACTCATTCAAACGGCTCTAAAGAATAGTGAAAGTCAACTTGAAAAGGCAGATATCAACTATGTTATTCTTGTTGGAGGAGGATGCTTTATGCCTTGTGTAGCACGGCAGATACGTGATGAATTCCCCAGAGCTGAGATTATTGATATGGGAAAGAAGATGGAACTTGTAGCTGAAGGTTGTTGTACCTGTGCGAAAAAGAAATCGAAACCGGATTTCAATGTTATTGATATTTTATCACACACCATCGGTTTGTTAATGGGAGATGGTTCTGTATTTCCACTGTTCAAAGTGGGTACTCGTCTGCCCACTGATACTTTAGAAGTGATTTTGTATGCAGATCAACCTGGAATCAAATTCTTCCAAACGGAAATAGTGGAATTATTGGATGAAAAGCAAGATAATGAAGCGCCTGTTTATAAAGTTCTAGCGGATGTAATTTCCTCTGAATTTATACCGGATCATTTGAAACTGAAGGAATTTAGCATGCGATTCCGACTGGATATCAGTGGTATATTCTATATGGAAGCTTATGCTTTACCAGAGAATGTGAGGTGTGTAACAAAATCAGTAGAGGGAATTCCTGTTTAACAGTAATCTGTTGACTTGTAATTGAGTTATTGCTGGTTGTGGATTGTTTTGAATACAGTCTTGACTTTAATCAGTACTATTAGAATAGATTTACAATAGAATAAAACAGGTCATAACATAAAGTGTAATTTGGAGACTTGATGAATTTGTAAATCACTTTTTAGTAACTATTATAAGGAATAACCATTGAAATAAGAAAGGTGAGAGAAGACAAAGAAAACTCTAAAAGCAAATCAAATAAGTCAGGTACAGTCAAGATTAAAAATGGAATAGAATAGAGTAAAATAAAACGTATATTGCATAACAAGTTCAGATGATTACCCGATAATTTGCTCTCATAATATAATCAAAAGTCGTAGATAGATATATGTATTATAAAATACAAATTCAAATGATAATAGACGTTAAGATATGAAGGATTCTAATAAAACACTCGCTATCCTTGCTTTATTTCTATTTAATATAGCGAATCAATGAAAGTGAAAAGTCCCGATTAATTGGTAATTAAAATTAACTCATTTATCTTTTTCAACTGGTTTCTAGAAAAACAAAGTACAATTATGAATAGTATACTATGTGGCATTAGTAAAGTCAATAATAGATAGAGGTAATATTACTCACTATATGTTATGTTAATACTTTAGGATACTTCATAATTCAAAATCATTATTATAAACGCTTGTTGTGTCATAATAACCTTACCATCTCGAAATACAATAATAGATTGAACAACATCTTCTTCTACTCCATTTACATTTTTCCTATAATACAAATAACAAAGGCCATATCGCAAAGACATCACTCATTTTAGAACAAGATATTAAGTGATTATCCGTATCTCTTTCTGCAAGAAAAGCAAACAGGCTTGTGTGCAAAACGAGTTGTTTTAGTGCCATTTACTACATTACCAAATGCGATTTCTCTACCTTTCCTAAAATCAATATAATCGCCATTTGTTCCTTCATGATAGTAATATTCAGTATAGAATCCTTTGTTAGAGCCTCTGTACTTGTTCAAAATAGTTCCTTTAATATCTCCTTCAGTGATCACGCGTCCTGACTCATCAAATAGTTTACCTTTTCCTGTTCGAGGATATCTTTGTTTGATATCATCTATATAACTTCCTTCATATCTCAAATACTTGTCTTCATCATATTCTTTCATTACATCTCCATTAAACTCCTTCCAAATTCGTTTCTCTTCTCCATTCTCATATATAGATGCCTGATAAACAACATTATCGTGTAAAGCATAGCAAATTCCATTCTTCTTATATACTTCGTTTATTTGGGTAATAAATAGCAATTCTCCTGTATGTATGTCGGTTTCATTATAAAATCCCTTCATTTTCCCCTTCAGTGGGCTTAATCGATGATAGCGCTTTCCATCCTTATAAAGCCCAAAGAAATCTCCTTCTTTACCAGCAACACGGAATCCATTTTCAATGAAACCCTCAAAAAAACATTCTCCACAGGAGGTGTACAACTTACATGGACCATTTAGGTTTCCATTGGTAAAGTGTAATTCTGCTAATACAATACTTTGTGGGTCGATTAATAATCCATCTCCGTCTATTTTTTCTTCATCTGAAAGACCTGCTCTAAGCGTATGACCAGTGAACGGTGGTTGTAGTGTAAACAGAGTACCTCCTCCTTCGATACAAGCTTCATGTGATTCCTCCCTGATATACTGTCCAATATCCCTCGTCCAGATATCTTCATAATCAGGAAGAGCATATCTAGGTGAGAAAAAATCTAAATTGATCTTAATTGTATTGTACATGAAATATAAAAATAACAATAATAAACAAGCATGTTAAAAAACAATACTGATAAAACTGCTTAATACTATCCAAACAAATATGCGATATGTAGTTTCGGTTCAATACAAGGTCATTCGGGATAACAGAGATACGGCTGTTTCGTAATGGCAAACTACATCATATTCCTCCAAAACCACAACTCCTGGATCTCCTTCGGCATAATATTACTCGCCGGAGCATTCAACGCCTCTGCTACGAAGTAGGGGAACTTTCCCGGATGCGCAGTATTCAAGCAGATCAACTTACACTCCTGCTCTCCGTTCCCGATTGTATCAAGCATGGTCTCCGACTCACTGGAATCCTCTCCCTTGCGCTGCTTATAGAGCGATTTGAGTCCCACGACGAAGGCACTCGCGGCGTTGGGACAAACGAGTGGAGAAGGCATACGGCATCGTTCGTCTCATCTTTCTTAACGAGATACTTCAGAAAATGACCAATGAACTGCATGGAAAAATCCTTGATATGATAAGTGGGTCCATAGAAGGATTCTGCCAAGGAAATGGGACCGACTTGCTTGATCTACGCTCAATCCACATATCATCCAATACAGTGACAAGTTCGCGTTGATGAAACTTTTCGAATACAGATTTCAAAAGGACTTCCAAGTCGTCGGATGATATATCACTTTCGTCAATAAATATCGAAAGAATCGCCAAATAAAGATCACAGAAATTCAGATGCTATTTTTAACAATGCAACAGATACCTACACTCCACTTCTCCAGCGTATCCGTAGAAATGCGCTATATCTCTTTCGGACATAAAAGTCCTCCATCCTCTGCGAAGGACTCCAGAAATGCCTCCGTGAACGTATATTCGCGCTTTGTTGTTCTTGTACTAATGTATTTCATCTCTTTTCATCTTTTTAAGAAAGCGGTTTCAATTTTCTGGAAAAGAACAAGAGTCTTTGGTTGGGTACAATATGAAGAACACAATCGAAAATGTACAAAGGAGTGTTGACAACACCATTGGGAATATAAGAACTGATGTAACAGAATTGTGATTTTAACCCATTCTCTACCAGTGGTACACGATTCAAGTTTAGGTATACACATAATTCCCTTATTCCTATCACTAGCTTCCAAACTCCCCTAGTTCGCTCCTACATAAACCACCTCTTTCAATACAAAGTGAATCGCTCATTTCAATTGAATCTGGTAAATATTCCCATCCAGCTCATCGACATGCATAATGTTTTGGTCCCTTAAAGCTGTATGTCGTCCCTTCACTCATCTTCCCTGTTTCTCCATTATTCTCCCATTCTAGGTTTTCCCAAAGAATGCTCGCATCTGTTCCTTCTATGATTTCGAAGCGTGCTGTGACTCTTGCTGTACGATTTTGAATCTGTGAGTGTGATGGTGTAGCGCAGTTTCGCCGGAGCTGTTGATTTAACGAAGCCTTTCACTGAAAGACTTGCTGAAGCTCGCCACAGCGCCCTTATTGGTGGAGGCGAGAAGCGCATTGATTCTCAGCACAAGCGTGGCAAGCTGACCGCTCGTGAGCGTATCGAGCTGCTGGTGGATAAGGGTTCGTTCCGCGAGTACGACCAGCTGAAGGCGCACCGCTGCGTGCATTTCGGTATGGAGAAGCAGAACTACCCTGGCGATGGTGTTGTGACGGGTCACGGAACGATCAACGGTCGTCTGGTGTTCCTGTTCGCTCAGGACTTCACTGTGCTGGGAGGTTCTCTGTCTGGCACGAACGCTGAGAAGATCTGCAAGGTGATGGACAAGGCCATGGACGTGGGTGCTCCGGTGATCGGTCTGAACGACTCCGGCGGTGCTCGTATCCAGGAGGGCTGCGACTCTCTTGCTGGCTACTCGGAGATCTTCAAGCGGAACACTCTGTCGTCGGGTGTGATTCCGCAGATCTCTCTGATCATGGGTCCGTGCGCTGGAGGCGCTGTGTACTCTCCTGCGATCACGGATTTCATCTTCATGGTGCGCGACACGTCGTACATGTTCATCACGGGTCCGGACGTGGTGAAGACGGTGACGCAGGAGGAAGTGACGCAGGAGGAGCTGGGCGGCGCTGCGATCCATACGAAGAAGTCTGGCGTGGCGCAGGGCGCGTTCGACAACGACGTGGAGATGCTTCGCGCGATGCGCACGTTCTACGACTACCTGCCTCTGAACAACCGCGACGGCGTTCCGAGCCGCGTGTGCACGGACCCGCGGAGCCGCGCGGAGCCGGCGCTGGCGAACATCGTGCCGCAGGACGCGAACATGCCGTACGACATGAAGAAGCTGGTGAAGCTGGTGGTGGACGAGCAGGAGTTCTTCGAGACGTCGCCCGACTTCGCGAAGAACATCGTGGTGGGCTTCGCCCGCATGGAGGGCCGCACGGTGGGCGTGGTGGCGAACCAGCCGCTGGAGCTGGCGGGCTGCCTGGACATCAACGCCTCGGTGAAGGGCGCGCGGTTCGTGCGCTTCTGCGACGCGTTCAACATCCCGCTGGTGACGTTCGTGGACGTGCCCGGCTTCCTGCCCGGCGTGAACCAGGAGCACCGAGGAATCATCCGCGAGGGAGCCAAGCTGATCTACGCCTACGCGGAGGCGACCGTGCCCAAGGTCACCGTCATCACCCGCAAGAGCTACGGAGGCGCGTACTGCGTGATGTCCTCGAAGCATCTGCGCGGAGACAGCAACTACTCGTGGCCCAACGGAGAGATCGCCGTCATGGGAGCCGAGGGAGCCGTCAAGATCATCTTCCGAGGAAAGGATCTCCAGAAGAACAAGGCCGAGTACGCCTACAACTTCGCCAACCCGCTCATGGCCGCCCAGAGAGGATTCATCGACGACATCATCGAGCCCACCGAGACCCGAAGAAGACTCTGCGAGGACCTCGAGATCCTCCAGACCAAGAAGATGACCAATCCTTGGAGAAAGCACGGAAACATCCCGCTGTAAAGAGCGAGAGGTCCTGAGCAGGAAAAGAAAAAGAGAAAATGAATGGTTGGTGTATTGGAAAAGAAAGAAAGAATGAAAGTTCGATGAACTGGATTAGGATATACGAAAACGTAATTTTTGAAATGGATTGTTTGTTGCATGGCGTTGATTCTCTGAGGAGGAATATAATGATAGGGAATGTCTCTCACAAACACGGTAGAAGGAAACTACAAACTCTTTCGTTGTGCCATTGAACGTGTGGCGAATGCTCTGTCCCTTACCTCCTTTCCTCCTTGCCTACCTTTCCCAAATAGGGTCTGCGCGAGCAGGTGTGAACGATATCTTCTTTTCCTCCCCACTTCCACAGCGTTTCGCTCCCAGCTCCAACGCTTCGACTCAGAACCAGCACTCGCGAGTCGTTCTGCATCACCTTCTCCACCTTCCAATCATTCCCCTCATCGATTTCTACAAGCAACCAAAGCAAGCGAGCCAGGAATCGGTGATTTCCAGTGGAAACGATGTAAGCTCGAAGCTTGTTCACCGGAATGGAGCTGTTCTCGTTGACTTTCTGCTCGATCAGGACGTTGGCGACTTCGATCTTCATGTCGTTGAACTGCAAATGAGATGGAAAAAGAGAGAAAGACTTCGCTGTAGCAAGTGAAGCAGAGCTGGATGAAGAGCACAATCGCTACACTCTGGAAGAAGTAAACTCCGTAGTAAGCGATGGTGTCGTGATGCTCTCGGAGGAACTTCTCCACTTTGCAGTTTGTAGATAAAATAGGATCGTCTGTGGTCACATAGTAGTTTTTCTCAATGCTCGTGAAATCATTAGCACATCTTCCTTCCAGCAGCTGGATCGCATCTACATCCACCACGGAGTCGTTTTCATTAATGAATGTAAAACAACGAAAAGACTTGAGGGTTTCTAAGAAAATGAGCTTATCACTGGCAGAACCCGAGGAAATCGATTTACTAAATCAAGAAAACACAGAAAAGCATACAGAAAACGCTCTTTGAGCTCTTTTCCAGAAACAAAGGGATATGGAACTTGCTTGGTTGAGTTTTGGGAACACAAGAATGCACCCATTTGTTTTCTATATAAGCAAATCCAAAAGCAATGGTACCGTAGAATTCTGCTCAACTCGGCGAAAATCTCTTCTTTTCTCTCTTCCTGTGACTAGAGTATAAGAGAACACGAATATAATAAACGAAAGATTTGATGCACTTTACACCGTTCGAAACATATCCATCGGGACATACACACATTAGTCCGCTGCAGTTTGCTCCCTGTGGACACGCTCTACAGTCTACTTTCCTAGTCGAATGCAGAGTTTACTTGTTTGAATATGCTCATCACAATATGGAAGAGGTGCCGATGCAATTTTATATATCACCACCAGAACAATCAGTCCCAGTATGACATTCCTAAAATGAAACCTTCAGATATACTCGTACGCAATTATGATCGTTTTCTTCGTCATTTCAGAAGAAAATAACCGATATTTGAACTTTTTCTGCAATTCGTATGAGCACTTTTCTGATGTGTTTACCTTATTTTTGCTATTCTGAAATGATGTACAAAGCAATTCAAACCTTTCCCTCCCAAACGGAATGAGTCGTTTTCACCAATTTGTGTATTTCTAACAAACAGCCAATTCGCATACCGAGTATAGTAAAAACTAAATATGAACATCCCGTTCGATGTTCTCATCCTTCTGCTTTTTGGCTGATTCTGTAGCTGCATTCATTAATGACTCCCATTTCCTACATCTCACGCCGTTTTCTCATCTTCACCCTCCATTCTCGGCAACTCCGCCATTCCCCGCAGGCCCTGGCGACATTCCTCTCTTCAGCGACAGCAGCGCCTGCAAGCTTTCCTCGGGGATCGGCGTCGACGGCGTCGCCGCTCCGCTCGCCGCGGATTGCCCAGTCAGCTCGGCATTTTCCACGTTCCCCGCGCCCTGCAGATTCTGCACGGCCTGCACGGCCGGAACCGCGGGGACCGCTTGAACCGCTTGAACCGCGGGGATGGCTGCGTCCTGGGGACTGATGCAGACGCGCTTGGCGTCGGCGTCGGCGATGGAGGGGTCAAAGCCGACGTTGAGGACGGGGAAGCCGGAGACGTCGTAGAACTTCTGTCCCTGCGGGACGGGGACGTAGCCGGAGATGGGCCCCATGGAGAGAACGTTGACGGGGTATTGGTAGAGGCCTTGGAGAGGAAGGCCTTGGACGTTGACCGGGTATTGAAGGTAGCGCTTGACGGAGTCGGAGGCGGGACGCGGCGCGGGGGAAGGAGGGCGGAAGGGAGGGGAGTAGGGGTATTTGGGGGCGGAGGGAGTGGAGAGGAGAGGAGATTTGGGGAGCGGGGAGGCGAGCTTGGGCTCGGCGACGCGAGGGACGGGGAAGTCGACGGAGGCGGAGACGGAGGGCGATTTGAAGTTGAAGAACTCCTTCTCGAAGTCGATGAGATATTTGTTGTATCTGGATCTCACAAGCGAAGCAGCAGAACGCACATCTTTTTGAGACGGTACGACGCGGACGTCTCGGTCGGCGAGTAGTTGTCCATGCCTCGGTAGATCCGCGACCACGTTCCCTCCTTCTTGATCACGTTATCGCAGCCTCCGTGCGCCGTCACCTCGCGGAACAGCCGGTACAAATCGACTTCGCGCTTGCCCAGCATCGGCTGCTTGAAGGTCCCCATGTTCCGCTGCTTGATGTACAGCTTCAATCGGCACATGAAGTCGCTCTGCTCGCGCGCGTACTGCGGCGTGCGGCCCGCCAGCGAGATCGTGTAGTTCGGCTCGTGGTTCTCGGGGATGGAGCAGCGATTGTACTGCGGGTCCCAGATGTTCATCGAGCATTCGAACGTCGGCAGCATCGATTCGTCCAGCGTTCTACGTCCCAGAAGACGGCTAAACCCACATCGGAACCGCGCGGCGCTTCTTGCATTTCACGCACTGGATGTAGTGCGTGGAGATCGGAGCTTCGCGGCGACGCGCCACGGTGGACAGTCCTTGGGATCCCATCACACTGAGCGGGATCGACGAGGTGCTGGCGAGCTCGGTGGGCTCCGGTTCCTCCTTCACGTCTGCGGTTCAGTCCATTCCGAGTCGCGCACGGTTGGCGAGCGGACGCTGCGGAGGCGTGTGCGTGTAGGAGAGCGGAGACAACGCAGACTTGAGAGTCGGACCGGGTTCCATGGCGAGATAGTCGCTCTCGGGCAGCTCTGAGCGAGGCGATCGCGAGTAGGGGCGAAAGCCGTCGGGTACGGGAGAGAGCGAAGCCGGCTTGGGGGAGTAAAGCTGCGTGGGCTGTGAGTGAGGAGGAGGAAGAGAAGGAGGAACGGGAGGCGAGGTGGTGGAGAGATGGGAGGCAGGATGGTAAGGAGCGGAGGGCTTGATTAGATTGGTGGGAGGAAGGGCATGAGATGAAGCAGCAGCAGCGGCGGTAGCAGCAGTAGCAGCAGTAGCAGTAGAAGAAGAAGCAGCGGTAGCGGTAGAAGTAGAAGCAGCAGCAGCAGAAGAAGAAGTTGAATTAAAGGTGGGGGAGGCGAAACAAAAGAGACTGAGGAGGTCGGGAGCGGGACAACCGTTCATGTTCATGAGAAACACGCCCCAGGCGTTGCGATAGCGCTACATGGGATGGAGAGAAAGGAGAGTACCTCGCAAAATGGGATGGAACAATGAAGCTTGGTGCACTGCAGACTGTGGATAAGGATTAAAGGACGGACCATTATGCAGAGTTTGCACTTGACATTTGTACAAATGGAGACATGGTAGATATCCTTCTTCAACTCCTTACACCAGGAAAAGTGACACACGTTGTTGGCCATTACACATTCCGAAATATGGCATAGTTCAAATAGGAATTCTTTCAAAAACGGCCGAGTTTTATACACTAAAGAGAACAAAAGAGGCACTTCCACTTCAGACGTTCCTTCATCACTCATGGTGGATATTTTACTGGTAGTTGATAACATGTCATGCACTAAAAATCAAGAGACAAAACCAAACAAACAGTTTACACCAATCTCTCCTCGAGACAGCTCCTCATTTGAAATTCCCTTAGAATCCTCAGAATCCTTTTCGTCTGGGAGGTGAATTTCGGGTATACTACAACGAGGATCATGGCGATCACCGTTTTCAGAAGAAGCTCCATTCAGCTCTTCCTTCTCTGTGCTGCCATTGCTGTCACTCTCATCAGGTGCTGAAGAAAGTTGGACGTTCATTGATTTCGCTTTTTCACGTAAAATTTGTTTATTTCCTTGTATGCCTTGTGTTTCCCCCGTTGAGAGATTTGCAGACATTACTGTCTCCTTGTGTCTTTCCCTAAAGTGTGTAAGTGACAGGTTACGGTGATGCGCAACAATTTCAAAAAAGATAATTCACAAAAACACTCAGTAACAAAACTTACACACAAAATCGAGGAAGAAAACAATACCACTCATTATCAATCTCATAATGAAACTCCCATCCAAATGTCAATTTTACAAACCTTTGTTCATTTCCACCATTATTTTTTATTGATTCGATATTTTCATCTAAAACTGAAACTGGTTGTTTTTGCATTATAGAATCTATTACATACTTAAGATCGATCAACAAATCGAGAAAAAAAGATGGATAATAGGGGCATCGATCCCCTTACCTATCGCATGCGAAGCGATCGCTCTACCATTTGAGCTAATTACCCACATTGAACCATCTGAGTATAAGGTATTTAAGTAAAATATTGAATGAAATACGTTTAGTTTTGTGAAAAAGTGAATGAAATGGGTATGTATAGTATTTGTTGTGAAAAATAGTTTGTCATGTATTCATCAGAGATTGTAATTTAATTGATGAAAAATGTCAAAATAAGATAAACCATAAATAACTACAGTTCAATAAACTAGGTCAAATTGAAATAGAGAAAAAAGAGTGGATAATAGGGGCATCGATCCCCTTACCTATCGCATGCGAAGCGATCGCTCTACCATTTGAGCTAATTACCCTTGATGATTATTCTTACAAATCGATATAATAAGAAACTACTTATAACTGTTTGATTTAAGAATGCCTTATTATAAACTACTAAGCTTGTATTAGTATTCATTCTTGTTAACTCTACTATAATGCATTATCCCTAAATAGAATACCAAGGATTTCCCAATAAATAAAACTAGGTCAAATCGAAAAAGAAAAAAGAGTGGATAATAGGGGCATCGATCCCCTTACCTATCGCATGCGAAGCGATCGCTCTACCATTTGAGCTAATTACCCTTATTGATTCTTTCTAAAATTATCCTTACAAACCTACTCTGATTTGGAATCAATCACTTCTCTATTCCAATCTTGTTAATTATTGTCTAATTGTCTATTATTTTTGCATCAATTTTTATTTCATCCTCATTTTTATATAATACAATCTATCAAACAATGCGAATAATATTAATGGAAAACAGTAATAAGTAGTAATAATAATAATAAAATGGATAATGGGGGCATCGATCCCCCTACCTATCGCATGCAAAGCGATCGCTCTACCATTTGAGCTAATTACCCTTAATCTGTTCTTTCCATTTGTACACTACAACATTACTCATATCATGAATCAACTCATTCTCTATCTGTATTCTATCAAATCCACACCTCGAATACTTTCTTCAGGTACAAGCAATTTATTATACTCACACATTATCAATTTGGATACATAGAGTTATCCACTTCTTATCAAACAATATCTTATTATCAACGTCAATAGGGTATAAGCTGTGGAAATATTGATTTTCTTGCCTATCATCTAAGAAATAATAACCCCACCAAATCAAATAAATCTACACATAATCGCGAAGTCTTTAATTTTACCACCCTAGCAGTAATATTGCTTTTCCTCCTTCTGAACTCTCTATTTCGTCATGATTTGTACAAAATGTTTTTTAGAAGGAAAATTGCAATGTAAAGAGGCAGTTTCACCTCAATCTACAAAGCCTGTCGTTCTTGGGTGTCAAAACATTGAGTTTCTACTTGAACTGTAGTTCCTAACTTTTTAGAATTGGGTCCTCGATTTTGTTTTGTCACATGGTGAACTTTCTGAAAAGAAACGGCTCCGCCCACATTTGCTATATATTACCAACGTAAACATCTATTTGTCACTCCAGAACAGCTCTGCCCATTCACTTCACAAAATCATGTTTTTGAACTCTCAAAATGATTGCGATGCTGAATTGAAGCGAATTCATGTCAAGTAGAGATTCAAGAACCTTTTCACTTCAAGATATCTTGACACATTAAAGGACTTAAAACAGTTTCTGCTCTGCATTTCGATGATTTATGAAATCGACTGTATCGTAATCGACAGTGTATCATTCTTTACAAAGTTTGCAACACTCATCTATTTTTGAGTTTCAGAAACGACGAGATAATGTCGCTGAGTCACATTGTGGCGCTACTAGAGCAGGGAAACACTCCCTCGATCATTTTAGACAACTCCTTGACTAGTAGCCGATTTCACGAGAAAAGCAGCTTTTACAAAACGCGATTTTCTGCTGTGTTTTCGATTCGGGGTCTCTCTTGAAACGCACTCTTATGAATAGAAACGCTTCCTTCAAGCTATACACTCTCTTCTCTTTTCTCGAGAACCCAGCACTGTGATTCAGTATCGTTCTCCATTCATAGTAACCGTATCAACCTTTCTTTTCTTGTTTTTTTGAATTCATTTTCTTTTATCTCATACCGGCGATCGCGGTTATTGCCATTTTGTGACCGGAGAATTCTACCTTCCAATTGATTGCCTATTCTATTTAGAAATATTGTCCTAAAAGACCTCTGGTGGTGTAAGTTGCGTGTTTGCATGCGTACTAGTGCAAGGGTCTAACATAACGTAGGGAATGAAGCACAACAACGTTTTACCTAATGCTCACTTTAAGAAGGACTGGGATCGCCGTGTGAAGACCTGGTTCGATCAGGCTGGACAGAAGAGACGCCGCAGACTGCTCCGTAAGGAAAAGGCTGCCGCGATCGCTCCTCGCCCTGCTGCCGGACTGCTCCGCCCTGTTGTCCGCTGCTCTACGCAGAAGTACAACATGAAAACCAGACTGGGCCGTGGTTTCACTCTGCAAGAGTTGAAGGTGTGTTTTGGTTTGGTTTGGTGTGTAATGGAATAGGAGGCCGGAATCAACCCCCGTGAGGCTCTGACCATCGGTATTGCTGTGGATCATCGTCGTGTGAACCGCTGCGTGGAGTCTCTGCAGGCGAACGTGGAGCGTCTGAACGCGTACAAGAGCAAGCTGATCCTGTTCCCTCGCGGAGTGAAGGGAGAGAAGGGAGTGGCCACTGCTGAGGAGATGGCTGCTGCCACCCAGCTGAACGGCACCATCCTGCCGATTGAGAAGGTCGCCCCGAAGGTGGAGTTCATGGAAGTGACTCCCGAGCTGAAGAAGCGGTCTGCGTTCATGGGACTGAGACAGGCTCTGTGCGATGCCCACAACTTCGGTAAGCGTGCCAAGCGCGCTGCCAAGGCTGCTGAGAAGGAGAATTAAGTTGTGTTTCGGTCTTGGACATTTATGCAGTGTTTGTTATGTCAATCGCGTTGGAAGCAATTCCTAGAACGGACCACATTCGTAGAGTGTCCTTCAACGAAGGGAGAAGTAGGCACGTTGTTGTGGCTCCATGTTGAGATGTACTTATTGGACTTACGGAAAATGGCTACCGAATCGTAAATTGCTGTCCCGTATTGACCGTTGTGAATAAGAGTACATATTTCTTTTCTTTGTGTTCTTTTTATAGATGCGTGCATAAACGGCTTCCACAGTGCAGATGTATATAAAAGATCGAATATTTTCTGTGTTTCTGGGTCAGAGCGATGTACCAGGTTTCAACCAACGAGTGTATGACTCGGTGTTGCCTTTCAGAGGAATAGGTGTATATTTACGACGATGAAAAGGATAAAGAAATTGCGCACATCGATTTTTACGCTCCAGTCGTTCGCTGCTTTTTCAAAGGAGACCTGCACGTTTTTACCTCCTATTTTCACCTGCAGTCTGATTGTTGCTCTCGAAAAGCACACTTACATCTACACACTCCCCTCCATGACTCTCTTTTCCGTCTATCCAACGTACTCCAACCCAAACGGCGTTTGCGACGTTCGCTTTGTCGAGAGCACTCCGGTCATCGCCACCCTCGGCGAGAAGCGCGGATCGATTCGCCTTGTTGTAATTTTTTTCTTCATTGAATTGAAGCAAAGGTCGGAAAGCAGCCCGAAGTGATTCTTTCTGCCCACGACAGTGCGATTTCGTGCCTTGCACTCTCGGAGGAAGGCGAATTGCTGGCTACAGCGTCGACACGCGGCTCGCTGATTCGCGTTTTCGATGTAAAAACGGCGCATTGCATTAGCTCCATTCGTCGAGGTCATCTCCACACATCGATTGTGAATTTGGAGTGAGAGTGAAGTGTAAGTGCGATGTAGATTCGATAAATACTCGCAGTACTTGATGTGCAATTCCGATACGACGATTCACATCGCAAAGCGAGTTATTGATTCAGGAAAGGTTCGGCGATATTCTACAGGCTCTGGTTTGGGATGGGAGAGGAGGTGATGGATAGTGGGGTCGAAACAGGGTGTTATTATCAACGAAGGGAAGCCTCTCTTCGAGTAGACCACATAATTATATTTGGATGATGTGTAGAGGATTCATCTCGGACTCTTTTGTGTTCCGCTATGCAAACCCGGATAAAAGTAAATCGATGATCTCTGTGTTTGGCGCCGAGCCGGAAACGGTGTATGTTGTGACATCGAAGGGACTGTTACAAAAATTGTCTCTGGATCAAGAGAAGGGGCTTTCCCTGTTTAAGGAATACAAGATTTTGGATAGTTAGTTGAATAGCAGTGTTTGTTAAATAACTTGAACTTAACGGAATTTTAACTTTGTGAAGCGATGAGTTCATTTCTTATTTCTTTGTAGTATGGCTACCGTGAACAGTGAAAACACATTCAATATTGGTATTGATTTTGGAGCGTCCAGTTGCCAAGTCGCAGTTTATACGAATGATAAAGTGAGTGCGATTCCTCTTGATGATGACAATAATTCTATCCCTGCCTGTGTATATTTTGGAGACAATTCGATTCTGGTAGGAAGGGAAGCCGTACTGAAAGAACAAACTGAACCCAATCGCGTCGTTCGAGGTATTAAGAGAATCCTTGGACTGCTCTATGACGACCCTGAATTTCAAAAGGATCTGCCTTCCTATCAGTTTGAAACGAGAAAATCAGATCGTGGAAATGTTGAGATCGTGGTCAATGGCAATGTGTACACTCCTACCACTGTGGCAGCCTATATCATTGCACATCTTGTACTCCGTGCATCGGAATATCTGGAAGGCCGTATTACAGAAGCCTATATTAGTGTACCTGCGTTTTACAACAATGTGCAGCGAAATGATACCATTTACGCCGGCTACATCGCAGGTCTCGAAAAGGTTCATCTGGTCAGCGAGCCGTTGGCCACTTCCATCGCATACGGAACGATTCGTCAGATGCGCAAGGACATGCTGATGGTGTTCGATTTCGGCGGTGGCAAGCTGGACATCCAGGTGATTCAGATCATGAACAACGAATACACAGTGATGAGCAGCATCGGAGACCATCACATGGGAGGTGACGATTTGACGGAGAACCTCTTCCAGGAAGTGGTAAAGGAATTCAACGCCATGTTCCTCGAAGACATTTCGACGAGCTATCAGGACTATTCGCGTCTCTACCAAGCCGTGGAGGACGCCAAGATCGCTCTGAGCACGGCCGATGAATACGAGATCGGCGAGGAGAACCTGCTCGGCCACGATTTCATCTACGTCGTCACTCGCCGCGACTTCGAGCATGTGAACCGCGCCGTGTTCGATCGCTGCCGCCAGCTGGTGATGGACTGCTTGGATGCGGGCCGTCTCGTGAAGGACGACATCTCGCACGTGTATCTCACTGGCGGGAGCTCGAACGTGCCGTACATCCAGTCGATGCTGCACGATCTGTTCGGCGACCGCACGGTCGTGTCCACGGACGCCAACTACATGGTGGCGTTCGGCGCGGCGATCATGGCCGGCGTGGGCATGGACGTCTCCGAGAAGGGCTTCGACATGCAGATCTCCATGTACACCACCACGCGGAACCGCGGGAACGACACGCTGGCGCGCAGCCCGCTGCGCGTGAACGACATGACGGTGATGGACCTGGGCGTGCGCGTGTCCTCGGGGAAGCTCTCGGTGATCATCCCGCGCTTAGTGGACATCCACTCGACCATCACGAAGCGGTACCGCGCGCACAAGGACTTCCAGAAGTACTTCTCGATCCGCGTGTACCAGGGCAACGAGGAGATGGTGGCGAACTGCAAAGAGATCAGCGAGGTGCGGCTGGACATCGCGAATCCGGGCCGCGCGGTGGACACGATGCTGGACCTCACGTTCCGGCTCGACTCGAATCTCACGCTGAGCGTGTCGGCGATCGAGGTGAGCACGGGGAAGAGAGTGGAGAAGGTGTTCGATATGGGGTCGCAGGCGATGACGGAGGACGAGATGACGTTCATGCGATCGACATTGCAGCAGACCATGATCCAGTCGGAGCAGAATCAGCAGGTGGCGTTGAAGAAGGACGCGTTTATTAAGCTGGTGAACTATTACCAGCGATGTCTGGATTCGTTCCCCGCGGATGAGGTGACCACGCGGAAGAAGGAAATGCTGCAGGAGTACCGAGACTGGGTGGAGAATTCGTACCTGGCGACGTCGCTGGAGGAGCTGGAGGAGAAGGAGGATTGGCTGAAGAAGCAGATGAGTGATGCCAATTAGTTGGTTGGTTGGTTAGTTAGTAGTAGTAGTAGTAGTAGTGGTAGTAATAAGTTAGTCAGTGGAACAATGCTGAGTGGTTCGTATTGGTTGAACTATTGTATTGATCATTCTGCATGAATTGTTTGTTGAAGATTCGATGCAAAATAGGTCCGATTTCTGGAGTGCAGACAGAATCGTCAAAGAGTATGGGAACAGTTTCTGATATTAAGGAACTTGAAATGTCACAGGTGAAAAAAGAAGCTACTTCGAAACAGGTGACATCCTGCTGTTGATTTGACGCTTAGGCAGAGCCAAGCTTCTGTAGAGAAGACGGGGCTGGTTGCTTGCGTTGGGCAATGTATCATTGCGTTCTGAGGTCTATCTTAGGCTTTCCTTTGCAACACCTCTCTTCATGATGGCAAGAAAGCGGTCACTCGAAACAAAAGACTTGGGAGAGACGCCTGAAGATGTAAAGGCATCATTTCTTCACACCTCGTTCAAAACGGCTTGGAAGAAGGAGTGTGAAAAGTTGCCGGAGGAGAGATCGTTGTTTCGCACCTTGATGCGAATTGTTGGATGGGGAAAGGCAAACTGCGTTGTAACCATCTACACGCTGTCCTCTCTCATCAAACTCGTCCCTAGTCTTCTCTTATCTGCGTTAATCGACGATTTCGAAACCGACTCCTTGGGTAGGATTCTGCACATCGTTTTGAACTTAGGGACGGCCATGCGTTGGTGCTATGCCCTTGGTCTATTCCTGATCCCTGTAATCTGTTGGTTGATGTGGATGTATGCCGAATCCCAGTCGATTCGAATGGGAGGAAAGATCCGAGCGATGGTTTCAGACGCAATCTACCGCAAAGCGTTCACTCTTTCATCTGTGTCTCGCTGCTCGACGAGCTCCGGGGAATTAATGAATCTAATGAGCAGCGACGCTTATCTTGTAAAATCTTGCTGGGATCTCGATTTTAGCTGCTTTGGACGGTCTTTTTCTACATGGCCCTGATCGCTCTTCCGATTTTGGTGATGGTGATCTTCGTTTTTGTGTATGTCAGCATGGGCATTACCTCGCTCGTCATCATCGTCATGTTTTTGATGATGCTCGGATTGATGACCTTTGGCGTCTACCGCTACGCCAAAGAGCGACTCCGCTGTCTTCAAACCACCGACGAGCGTGTCAAGCTCGTCTCCGACGTCGCCACCGGCATCCGCATCGTGAAGTTCTACTGCTGGGAAGAGCCGTTCCGCCAGCTGGTTTCCCCGTTTCCCCTCCCTGACCGCTAGATCGACAAAAGCCGCCAATCCGAGCTCGTGTTTATCCGCAAAATCGCCGTGATTTTGGCGGGGTATTTCGACTCGGTGACGTTCGTTTTCCCCAAACTCATGCCGCTCGTCGGCTTCGCGCTCTACCCGATCATCACAAACACGCCGCTGAGCGCGTCGATCGCCTTCTCGATCATCTCTCTCTACAAGATCGTCGAGTCTTCCATCTTTTATATGCCCTGGATTCTCGCGTCCTGCGCGCAGCTCGAAGCCTCCTACAAGCGAATTTCGCACTTTTTATCTCTCGAAGAAATGGAAGCAGACCTCGTCGTTCAGGACCCGCCAGCCGCCGAACCGCTGCGATTTTGCGCGGCAAACGGCGAGGCGAAGACGACGCGGATGGGCGAGAACGACGCGGTGATGGTCGAGGAAGGAACCTTCGCGTGGGGCGACGCCGCGCCGTGTCTTCGCGATGTTTCCATGCGAATCCCGCGGGGAGCGCTCGTCGCCGTCACCGGAAAAACGGGTTGCGGGAAAACGTCGTTTTTGGCGGCTTTGATGGGGGAGATGAACCGAATCAGCGGCGTGGTGGCGACCCGCGGTTCTGTGGCGTATTCTGCGCAGCAGGCGTGGATTCTGAACGATACGGTTCGGAACAATATTCTGTTCGGGAAGGAATTCGACGACGCGAAATACGAGGAAGTGCTGTCGGTGTGCTGCATGAAGAACGATTTGAAAACGCTGCAAGGCGGAGATCAATGCGAGATCGGAGATCGCGGAATCAACGTGTCGGGCGGGCAGAAAGCGCGCATTTCGCTGGCTCGATGCTGCTATTCGGACTCGGACATCATGATTCTGGACGATCCGATCGCTGCAGTGGACGCGCACGTGGGGCGTTCGCTGTTTCATAACTGCATCAAGCGGTATTTGCACGGGAAAACGAGGATTATGACGACGAACGCGTCGCACGTGCTGAGCGATTGCGATCTGATTATCGTTCTGGATGACCGCAAAATCGCGTTTTTGGGGACCTATCAGGAGTATTTGGAGTCGGGCTATCAGGCCATGGAGGAAGCGAAGCCGGCACCGAGCGAAGAACCGCCTCGCAAGGATTCTGCGGAGCAGCTGAGCAAGGAAATGGAGAAGAACGGGACCTTGACGCTGGAGGAAACCAAGCGAACGGGCCGCATCCAGCCGTCCGTGTTCCTGGGCTATTTCAAGGCGTTCGGGTATTGCATCGCCGCGTTCGTGCTGCTCTTCTTCCTCTGCAACGTCGCGCTCTCCGCCGTCTCGCAGTTCTGGGTCTCCGCGTGGACCGACGACGCCTGCTTCGCGAACTCCACGGACCCGGAAGTCGGTTCGGAGGCGCCGATCGCTTGTGACGGTCGTTTGCAGTACTACATCATCGGCTATACGGTCATCACCGCGCTGCTGATCTTCTTCGCGGTCGCGCGGTTCTTCACCATCGTGAAAGGCCGCATCAACGCGTCCTGGCTGATGCACCAGCAGCTCAACAGCGCCGTTCTCAGCTCTCCCGTGTCGTTCTTCGACACCACGCCGACCGGTCGCATCGTGAACCGATTTAACCGCGATATGTACATCACCGACTTCGACTTCCCGCTCTATTTCTTCCAGCTGGCCAATCAAATCAGCAGCATTCTCTCCGAGTGCATCGTGATCGTGGTCGTTACGCCCATCACCATCGTTCTCTTGATCGTCGTCGCCATTCTCTGGTATATCGTCTACGGTCTTTTCACGCGCGCCAACGCCGACTTCCAGCGCATCGAAGGCCTGGAGCGCTCGCGCGTGTTCTCGCACTTCCAGACGGTTCTTTTCGGCGTGTCGTCCATCCGCACGTTCCACCAAAGCGACGCGTTCGTCCGCAAAATGGACGACGCGCTCGACCGCAGCAACCTCGCCGCGATGTACTCCGTCTGGGCCAATTACTGGCTCTGCATCCGCGTCTGCATCGTCACTTCGTTCATCACGCTGGCCGTCTGCATCATCGGAATTCTCGGACGCGACTCGCCGAACACCTCGCTTCTCGGCGCCGCGCTCTCCTCCGCCACTAGTCTCGCCAGCTACGCCACCAACGTCTGCGATATGCTCGCGCAGACCGAGCTGAACGCGATCGCCGTCGAGCGAATCCAGGACTACATCAGCAATGCCAAGCCCGAGACGCCCATGATCACGGACGTGCGGCCTCCGAAAGGCTGGCCGAGCGAGGGACGCATCGAGATGAAGGACGTGGCGCTGCGGTATCGCGACGGACCGCTCGTGCTGAAGGGCGTGAACCTGACGGTGGAGCCGGGAGAGAAGCTGGGAATCGTGGGCCGGACGGGCGCAGGGAAGTCGTCGATGATGATCGCGCTGTTCCGAATCGCGGAGCTGGCGGGCGGGTCGGTGACGATTGACGGGATCGACGTGGCGAAGCTGGGGCTGACGGATGTGCGCCGCGCGCTGTGCATTATTCCGCAGGATCCAGTGCTGTTTTCGGCGTCGGTTCGGTTCAATTTGGACCCGTTTTATGAGGCGAGCGACGAGGAAATCTGGTCGGTTCTGGAAGAATCGGGACTGAAGAAGACGGTGCTGGCGATGGAAGGCGGGCTGGAAGCGAAGGTGGAGGAGGGAGGAAGCAACTTTTCGATCGGCGAACGGCAGCTAATCTGCATGGCGAGAGCGCTGCTTCGAAAGCCGAAGATTCTGATAATGGACGAAGCGACGGCTTCGATGGATAACTCGACCGATCTGTTCCTGCAGGAGATGATTCGAAAGCAGTTCGCGAACTGCTCGCGACTGACCGTGGCGCATCGACTGAACACAATTATGGATTCCGATCGGATCTGTGTGATGGACCACGGGCGTGTGGCGGAATGCGACACTCCGCAGGCGTTGCTTCACAATCCGCACAGCATTTTCAGAGGCATGGTGGAAGCGACGCAGGACCCCTCGCTCTTGAAAATGATCAAGTCTACGTAGTTTTGATGGGTTGATTGTTCGAACAAACGTGCTCTCAAGCCAGAGTTAGCAAAACAAGCTTAGAAAAAGTTCAGATCCACGAGACCCGCCGTGTATTCCTCGACACGCTTCTTCTTCACTTCTTCTTCGCTCATCTGCTTCGGAGCGTCCGCAGTCGACGCGCCTGACTCCGAAACGGCTTCAGCAGCAGGCTGGAGAGAGATCGCACCGAAGTCGAGCCAGTTATCGTCTTCGTCAGCTGCATCTCCATTGTTCGAGAAGAACACAGCCTCTTCCTCATCCTCTTCCTCCTCATTAACGGGCTCCTCCTCCTCTTCTTCCTCTTCTTCCTTTTCCTCCTGCTCTTCCTCCTGGCTAGAAGACTTGATCACAGGGCCATTCTTCAAACGATTAACAATATCATCAGTTTCGATCTTATCCTTTTCCTTGAAACTGGGTAGATCTTCAAACGGAGTATCATCTACAAACAATGCTAATGGTGAGAAGAAAAGGGCATGTACGTACAATAAACATACACCTTCTTCTCCTTCTTGATAACTATCTTGAAAAGGTGCTTTTCAGAAGACCAAGCATAGTCAAAATCTCCGGAGAGGAAGCCTTGGACCTCCTTCACAACTTGATCATTGAACCAGATCATTTTCTTGTGGGTAATGATAGAATGCTTCAATGTAACGACGCAACGCTTGTCGTCAATCATTAAGCCCCACTTGGCGAGCTTCTTCGTGTTATTAAGGTTCTTGCCCACGTCCTTCACGACGCTTCCACTAGAAATGATGTAATACGTAAATTGCTTACCATCTAAAGACTTTCGACATTGATAAAAATAGATTATGGATCTGGGGAACAGAAATGATTTCAGAAACCGCGGTTATACATCCTTCCTGTACTTTTTCACTTGAATATTCTGTCACTGTAAAGTCGTTTGGAATTGATCAAAAAATCAACATTCCGGATAGTTTCATATTTCATTTGTTTGTTCAACGACCATGTCAAGACCATCTGAACAGAGCACATCTGAAGGAGAACCAACGGTTCGCAGTGATAGCAATACCCCTAAAACGTGCCTTCTATGTTCTAAACCCATCGAAAGCCACTGCTTTGAACCCTACTGTTCATTACAGTGCGCAAAGAGTGGTGTAGCAAAAAGGTACTCACTCCTTCGCACATTCATTGATTTTGAATCAAAGTATATTAATCCGGTGATCAGAGAAGAACCACCACCACTCGAGGCAGAAAAGGTGGAAGAGAGTGGCGATACATCCTCCGAGAAGTCAAAGAAATCAAAGAAGTGGGAATTGTTGTTTGACGAGTAATCCGCGTAGGCTTCCCCGCGTTGAATACAACCAGTATGTACCTATTGTAGGTGTTTGGGTGAGTGGTTTATGGTCTAGTTAAGAGAACGAAAGCGTATTCTGCTTGCAGAGAACCTAAAGGCGCCTCTCAAGACAGACATTGATCTCACAAAAATAGTGAACCCTCCCTACATGGACTGATAGATAGGACTTTATGGATCTCGCTTGTCGCATCGAACAATCCATCTACAACCAATTTCCCTTTAGTACTAAGTTTAACTTAAAAGAGAGCTACAATGCAAAGCTACGCAATATTCTATTCAATCTTTCCGACCCCAAGAATCCCGATCTTCGAAATCGGATTTTTTCCGGTCCGTTTTATGAAGAATCGCTGATTGAATAGGAGAACTGGAGCCCGAGCGACTTCCCATCATGACAAACGACGAGATGGCTTCTTCTGAAATGCGAAAATGGAAGGAGGAGGAGGAGCGAAAGCATATCGAAGAGAACGTAATGCTCACCGATGCCAGCGAGAAAAAGATCGCCACGGTGAGCATTGCTCATGACGACATCCCCAAATCCGTCGAAATCAAAGAAGATTCCGAGCCAGTCACCCCCCGAGAACCCTCCGCCCCCTCCGAGCCCCCCGCCAAGACGGTGGTGATTCCCACGGAGCTCGACAAAGAGCGCGAGGAGCAGATCGCCGCGCTTTTGAAGCAGATTCCCGCGGCACCGCCAACCCCCCAAAAAGGAGAAACAGGAGAAACAGGAGAAGCAGAAAGTAAGGAAATTGGATTCGGTTTCCGCGTAGAGTCGAAGGCGGCAGCGGCGAACTCAGCGTCCCCCGCGGTGAAAGAGCCGGCGAAGGAGCGTTTTTCGCTGCCGGTGCGTCCGAACGCGGAGAGCGAGATCGCGATCGCGATGCCGGACGCGAAGCCGATCGGGTTTTTAGCGAGCGTGATCCAGACGCCGAGCGACGTGGAGGTGGGTTCGGTTTTGCTGGACAAACCGGTGCCGGTGATCGGTCGGATGAACGTGGCGGCGTGCGACGCGTACTGGACCACCTGCAAGGAGAATCCGTCGTACGACGTGGTGTGGTGGCGCTTGGAGCTCGCGGACGATTCCTCCGAGTAGGATTAAAGCGAGGGCGTGAGGGACAGATCGGATCTGACGCAGTTCCTCGGCCACTTCGTTCCGGACAAGCGGATCGGCGTGCTGGAGACCGTGCACCGCGAGAAGGGCTTCTATTTCCTCCCGCCCTCCCTCGACCCCGTCACGGCTTCCCCCATTTCCACGCTTTCCTTCGTCCAGGACGGTTCCTATCGCCAGTTCTGCCACCTTCTCTACATCCGCAAGCGTGATCGGCCGCGTCCCAAGCCCGCCACGCCCCGCCAGCCCGCCGCTTCGCGCCCTCTCTTCGCCCCGCGCACGCCGCCGGGGTCGCCGCCGCCCTCCGCCTACCCCGCGCGCCCGCGCTCCTCCCCCTACGCCGCTGCGCTGCCGCCCCCGCTGCCGCCCCGCCAGCCCCGACCGCCCTTCCCCATGGGCTACCCGTACGCCCCTGGGGGTCCGAACATGCCAGGGGGTCCGAATATCCCAGGGGGTCCGAACATGCCTGGGGGTCCGAACATGCCTGGGGGTCCGAATATGCCTGGGGGTCCAAATATCCCAGGGGGTCCGAACATCCCAGGGGGTCCAAATATCCCAGGGGGTCCAAATATGCCTATGTATTATCCTGGAGCGAGGTTCGTGCCACCCCCTCCAGGCTATCCTCCGCGGGGATTTGTGCCACCCCCACAGGGCTATCCGCGGCCGCGATTGCCTCCGATGGCGCGGTACCCGCCGATGCAGGGCTATCCGCCGATGCAGGGCGTGGCGCCGCGCGGCAGACCGCAGGGAGGATATCCCGGAGAAGCGGGGTTTGGAGCGATGCAAGGATTCCCGCCTCGGAATTATCGCCCGGGAGGGTTCCCGGCGCGAAATGAAGCTCCTCGGTTAGATTCTAGTTCGTAGTTGAGTGTTTGTTTGAAAAGAGTCGATGGAGCTGATTGATTAGGATGCGTGGGATGTGGGAGAGAGAAGGATGAGGATAAAAAGGTGGGTTTGGATCATCGAATCAATTGAAATGCCGAACGTTCCGTGAGAAAAGAGAAAGAAGCAACAGGAGCACTGAATTCATTCATCCCCAATTCACAAAAACGCTCAAGACCAGCCTTCCTTTCATCCAACAAACACTCAATCAATCAAGATTTGCTCTCGCTTTCGCGATCGATTTAATCTCCTTCTTCTCCTTCCGCTCCTTCTTCCGAACGTACTCGTCAAGGCTCGTCCCAACACCCATCCCAAACACACAAAGGATATCACCGACTCTTCCTTCTTCATCCACTCGCTTCGCTGAATCTTCATCGGCCGACTTCCGCACAGCTTTCCGTTCATTTCCTTCATCGCCTTCACTCCCTCCAGAGCATTGGAAAAGGCTACAAAGCCGTATCCAGCAGAGCCTTTGTGGACTTTGCTCTCGACAACGCGACCCATTGTAAATGAGGGATACTTCATTCGGAAGAGATTCGACAATATCTCGGTCGTCACTTCGCGGCCTAGATTGCCAACAAATAAACGGAAATCTTTCTCATTCCAATCTGCCAGCGTAGCATTAAGAAAATGGATAATGTGCAAACAGGATATGTTGGATCGACCCACGACTGACCGTTTGCTCGTCTTCTGTGCTGATTTGATTTCTTTTTGTTTTCCTACAGTGAACGGGGCTAAAAATCGCATACAACTTCATTCTTGAAGAATTTCTCCAACCGCTCCTTCTTTTTGATTTCTGGATCCACCTCAGCAAACCTAAGGATTAAGAGAAGACAAACTATTTCACTTTGGAGGAATGTACGCAGTTTCTAATTTGGGCTTGGGTTTTGGTACAGTAACCGGCTTGTTTACCGCTGCTACAGATCAAACATCCAAAACAAGACTCACGATCCGAACACTCAACAAACTTCGTGTTTGTTACTATAACATCCTATAGATGAGAAAAATACACCAATTTTTATTACATTTTCTTCCTTCGGAGTGGAAGTCGTATTTGTAGGGAGTTTATCAATTTCTGCAAAAAAGTTACTCAGCAAATCATCTTCTGTGCTCATCTGATGATGGAAACTGTACTCGCAGAGAATAATGTAAAATGCTTATTTCCTTTTGTATGTATCTTTTTGTTTTCACATCAAAAACTAAATATATTTATATAGTGACTCTTCCTCTTTTAGATCCAAAATATCAAAACCGAAAAAAAGCCACAACCATATCAAACAAACACACAAAAATAAAAAGAACGGGTGTTTCAACGCTTCGTCCGCCGTAATTCGCTTCGACGGATTAATCTCCAGCATCTTCATCAACAAATCCATCGAGATGTCCACCACCCATTCCTCCCATCGACTCTGCACAAAAAACTCCCGTAGCGGTGCCGGCTGCACAAACGGGATATTCTCCACTTGCCGATTCATCTCGTTCAATCCGTTCACCACCGCCTCGGAGCCAAAAATCGAGCAGCACTCCATCAGCTCATAGTACTCGTTCAGATTCGGTTTCTGGTAATAGAGAGGATATCTCCGTGAGAGAATGCACATAAAGATGATTCCGCACGACCAAATGTCCAAAGCGGAAGTCTGGTGAATCACTTTGGTTAGGACTTCTGGAGCTCGGAATCCCGGCGTTCCGGACGTTCGAGCGAATCCTGTGCAGTTGGGATCTTGGCATACTGTGCAGCGGTGGCCTGGCTTTTGGAGATGAGAGAGAATGCTAATGATGAGATTGGTTTCTTCGGTATGTTCGTTGTCCATTTTCTTATCCTTCACAGACTCCAGGAGGTCGGCTACAATGCCTTCCTTCACTTCGGAGAGACCAAAGTCGATGAGAATGCCTCGCTTTCGCTCTTTTGAATACCTAAATTAGACGACAATAAGAAAGCATACAGAAAATTGCGAGGTTTGACATCACGGTGAATAATTCCCTTGGAATGAACTTGGCTAACTGCCTGTAAAAGGTTCTTCATATAGTCTTGCATCTACATGCCATTCCCTATCTCAAATATACGTCTTTGAATGTACAGTTTTGAATGAAAAGATCAAAATCATCAGACTCTATATATGGAAATATAAGGTTGAGACAATCCTTTTGCATAGTAATACCAAGCAAGGAAATGGTATTGGGACATTCCTATATAAAATACGTATTTACACAGCCTACACGAAGTAAGTAGAGAGAAACAACTTCATTAACTATCTTCTTTGAGCTACATGTCGACAGAAGTCGTTTAATAGCAAACAGGCAGTCGCTACAATCGGGCAGCACGCAGGTGTACACTTCACTAAAAGAACCCTGCCCAACCAACTCTTTCACAATAAAACCACCAATAGAAGTGACTTCGTTTGACATTACAGAAAAGTCACGTATGAAGTTAAATTGAATTAAATTAAATTAAATTAAATTGGAAACAATCACGACGAAACTAATAATAGTAATAATAGTAATAATAAGTCTACTCGTCAACAACAAGTATATAAATTGTTCAAATGTATTGAATATCGATTAGCTGTGTATAATTACAAATAAAATAACCTAACTTTTTCGACAATCATAATACTTAGAGAAGGAATGGGACCTATGGGGTAGATAGAAATTATCAGAGTCATTTTAGTCGCAATTCCAAGGGGCATTTTCAGTTTAACAAATATGTCAACCGAGGACCCCACTCTCGTACATATTGGAATTGATTTTGGTACTTCCAATAGTGTTGCTTATGTTTGTAAAAAGAATCGATATGAATATGTGCCATTCCAACAGGGGGCTCAAATGCCATCTCTTGTGATACTAGAGGGTACTAAATTTGTTGTAGGTGTGCCTCCGCCAAAATTTGATAGTGTTGTATTCAAATCTGTGAAGAAACTATTGGGTCAGAAATATAATGATGTGGATCTAAATGATGATATGAGTACATATGGATGCAAGATTGTAAAAGGCCCAGATGATATGTGTTGGTATAAAACGGAAGAAAGACTTTATTCTTGTGACGAAATTGCTGTGGCAATATTTAAAAAAATAAAAGAGGAAGTTGATAAGTTTACTGATGGCAAAGTGGGGCGTACTGTAGTTTCTGTTCCTGCACGCTATTCTGCCAAACAAAGATACCACATTCAGAAAGCTGCGGAAGCTGCTGGTTTTGATGTGACCAACTTGATAAACGAACCCACTGCTGCTTCTGTGTGTGTATCTATAGAGAGAGGTATCAATGGGAATATTCTTGTATTTGATCTTGGTGCAGGTACTACAGATGTAACAATATTGAATTTGCAGGATACGATCTATAAGGTAGAATCGAGTTGTGGAGACGATCATTTGGGTGGAGATGATTTTGATAATTTATTACTACATCACATTGAAGATCGATATAAAGAAAAGTATAATAGAGAGATATGGGATGGAATGAAAGAAGTCAAAAAGAATCGAGTGATGAACAGACTAATGAAAATGATCATTCATCTGAAACATCAACTTTCTTCACATAGTTCAGAAGATATTGATATGTATGACATTGTTAGTGGTGATGATGAAGATGAAGATTATAGGATAAATGTTTCTCGGGCGACATTTGAGAGATTGATTAGGCCATTAACAGAAAGATTTTCGACACTCATTCAAACGGCTCTAAAGAATAGTGAAAGTCAACTTGAAAAGGCAGATATCAACTATGTTATTCTTGTTGGAGGAGGATGCTTTATGCCTTGTGTAGCACGGCAGATACGTGATGAATTCCCCAGAGCTGAGATTATTGATATGGGAAAGAAGATGGAACTTGTAGCTGAAGGTTGTTGTACCTGTGCGAAGAAGAAATTGAAACCGAATTTCAATGTTATTGATATTTTATCACACACCATCGGTTTGTTAATGGGAGATGGTTCTGTATTTCCACTGTTCAAAGTGGGTACTCGTCTGCCCACTGATACTTTAGAAGTGATTTTGTATGCAGATCAACCTGGAATCAAATTCTTCCAAACGGAAATAGTGGAATTATTGGATGAAAAGCAAGATAATGAAGCGCCTGTTTATAAAGTTCTAGCGGATGTAATTTCCTCTGAATTTATACCGGATCATTTGAAACTGAAGGAATTTAGTATGCGATTCCGACTGGATATCAGTGGTATATTCTATATGGAAGCTTATGCTTTACCAGAGAATGTGAAGTGTGTAACAAAATCAGTAGAGGGAATTCCTGTTTAACAGTAATGTGATATGTTAGTTCTATAAACAAATTGTCTTTATGTACTTTACCTCTCTTCTTGATAGAATAGAGACGATATCGAGAATACAGAAAAAAGAGAAGCAAAGATTGAGCAAACAAACAAGCAATAAATACAAAAAGTTTATTGGGAGGCTTCAGTTCCAGCACCCCACAGAGTCAAGTTATCTCTCAGAAGCTGCATAATCAAGGTCGTATCCTTGTAATCGCTTTCAGACAAAGATTCGAATCCAGACACAGCACCATTATAAGCATCCCGAGCCAAATCGCATGCCTTCTGGGCATCTCCTTCGATTTCGTAGTAGAATACAGAGAAATTCAAAGCTAACCCAAGCATAATGGGGTTGGTCGACTGCAGAGGCTCCTCCTGGCCAATATCCATAGCCTTTTGGTATCTACATATCAAGCAACGCCGAAATCGCTACGCATCGCGTGCTTTAACCTTCATCTCCTCTTGCTTCTCATTCTTCTCGAACTCGCACACATATCGGTAATAATCTCCCTTCAGCTTCCAGTAGAACACCTTTTGGGAACCATCCTTTGCTCCGGGGATCAGATAATTATCTAACAACGTCAAGATCTCTTTGCAGACATCGATGAGTTCTTTCTCAACTTCCATCATAAACTGGTTAATATCTTCGAGGTAGGGGCAGTTGTCTTTCTTCGATTCCTTTTGAATATGCTGGTTCAAAATTCTCCAAGAGACTCGTTTGTTATTGACAACATTCTTATATGCAATAGACAGAAGATTCCTTTCCTCGTTACTAAGATCCACCTTGTTCGTTTCAGGATCAGGTGTGGAAGCTACAGTATACATATACTCCTTCATTTCATTGAATCTCTCTGCCTTCTCAGCAATACGAGCCATCAAAATCATATCACTCTTCTTAGACATCTTTCTATACAGAAATGAGCAACACACACTTCAAATAGCAAAAATCACAACTCTTCATAAGTAACTCGATTTTCTCATCATATTACATACACGAACAGAACTGAAGTGAACGAAAGTAATGATTAATATGCAGAGTAGATATTGTACCCCAGGGGTAAACTCTTATAAGAAAGAATTAGTCAACCTAATTTACCCCCTCAATATTAGTTCTTTCTAAAAAAGTGAGGATTATCCTTTTATTAAACAAACATCCCTAATCAGAAATATCAATGATCTCGATCTGGGAACCGAGATTAGGGTCACAGTTTGTATTGTACATAGAAGTAGAATTGTTACTGAAATTGTTATTATTGGTATTCTCATCAGGTTCATCTTCCACACTGCTACAGCTTACCAAATCAATTATTTCATTATTGTCAAAGGCCATAGCAGCATCCAAAAGAGAAGAGAAGTCGGGATACAAGCGGCGCGTCATGCTGATCGATTCGGGAACCACACTTTGGATAGCTTGCTCAAACGGCTGACCGAATGTATTTAAATTGTTAGGATAGAACAGGCTTCCCGGTATCCCATTCTGTGAATCCATCACGACGACAGGCGGAATCTCGGGAATTCCAGTGGTTGCAAACACATTTCCACCCTGCACTTGCAACTCCTCGTGTTTATCCCTGCTATGTTCTTCTTCTTCTTCTTCTTCCCTGTCGTCTTCATCATATTCTTCTTCTTCTTCTTCTTCTTCTTCCATATCGTCAAGATCTTCAATATTCTCCTCTCTCTCGCAGTGCTTCCACTCTCCATTCATCGTCATCTTGACTTCGTCCTCATCGTCGTTCGTCTGCTGCAGAATGCTCTTCACAAACGGATCCTGCCGTAAATCCTGCAGTTTGACCGCGCTCCCACACACCGGGCAGCTTCGATTTGCCTTTTCCGGGTACAGCTCCATGAAGTTCTCCAAATCGAAGCATTTCACGTGACTGCAGCGAATCGATCGCACCGGAATCCGCATTCGCTGGTACGACAAGGGGTCCAGCAGACTGAACTCGAAGTCCATCAGGTCTAAAGCGATATCATCCTCTTCGTCGGTCTGCTGCAAGAGTCGTGCGAAGTTCGCGCGTCCCTCTTCGAGCGAATTGCTGCTGGCTTCCAGCACTTTTTGGAGGAACGACGCGGGCGGAAGGTCTTCGCAGAGGTATAAAACGCTGACTAAATTGGGATCTGCCGACGGAGAAATGGTCACGAAGTTGGTGCCTCGCCGAGCGAACGAGCTGAGCTCGTAGGCGTTCTCGATGGAGAGGTTCTAGAGCGAAGAATTGCCGCGTGAGGTACGCTGAGAGAGAAGATGTCGATGGAGTTGAAGTGGAAGCGATAGCGACTGGGAGAGAAACACCACTTGTCATCCTCGAAGACCACGTTGAAGAGTCGGAGGTGGAGCGTGCCGTCTCGCAGAGCTTGAAACTCGCTCGAGGAAAGCACGAATGGAGAGAGATTGGGTGTGGAGGCGGGAGAAAAAACGTAGATGCATCGATGGACCGAGAGTAAAAAATACGCGTCGTGGATAAAGCAATGCACGCAGTGACATGGAGAGTCGGAAGTGGGCGTCTCACCATTCATGTTTACAAGAGGAGCAAGCTGGGGGTCGTGACACACTAGATCGAACTTGGGAGGGGGAGGATTCTGAGGCTCCTTCATCAGACTTTCACTCCAATCGTAGTTTCTTTCAAAATCATAGTTGTTTTGGTGAAGCAAAGCTTGGGCTGTACGAAAACGCGAATAGTAGGCAAAAAACGATCGTAAGCATGGAGGTAAGTATTCAATAGTAAAGGTAGTGTAATCTCTCTCGAGATGGATTTGATAATAGTTGATGATGAAAAACATCGCATCGTCCAGGGAGAGGGGCATGGGATGTGTTCTCTTAATGTAGTTCCATAGATCTGCATCGTCAGCAATCACACTAACACTACCATTTCTAAACACTTTGCTCTTGATTCGGTGATTGGAAATTAATATATATATTACTCTCCCCAGAGCTAGTATTACGTCTTCGATACTGAAATTGGACACCTATTCATTAACAGGCAAAACAAAATCGTACAAGTTGTGAAATTTGCAGCATCATGGTTTTCCTCTGCTTTTCCGGTTTGACATGATATAAATACAGAAACTCGACCAATGTTGGGTTCACACCATCACGTTCCAAAATACTCCCCAAAAGTTGAATAATTGATGACTTTTCGTTCACTGACATCTTTCGAAAAGAATGAATGAAACCAAACGACTAAAAAAATACGTTTTTGAAACTATACGAATGGAAACAAAAGATTATGACAGCCCCAAAGATGTAGGTTCCGACCGTGTGAATAATCTATAGTTTCGCTTTCCATTTCAGCCCTATGGAGTTCAAACACAATTCATGAACACTCTATTCGATATTCTGATGAAGGGAAATATAGGGATCATAGAGAGTCCCACGGGGACAGTACGATAGTGCGAAGGACCAACAACTAGGGGAAAACGCTCAGTCTGCTTTGCGGGTCTCTGACTTGGCTGAATTCGGTATCTACCCTTCCGGAAGACTATGTTCGGGATGGAACGAAGGAAAATAAGCAGACACAGACTTCCTTGGCGGACTTCCCCGCATGGTTACTGGATATTACAGACGAAGATGTGGCTCTCAGTACCATAAAATACGATATATATATCACTTGTAGAAGAAAAACGGGAGAATCAGCGTTTCCAACTGGAACAACTGAAAAAGCGGTTGCAGAAACGAAAAGAACAAAGATTGCAACTGCTAAAGGAATCGTCAGAGAAGGACTATGCTCATCAGCAGAAGCGCATTCGTGTCTCCGAAGAGGATGAACTCCTGTTCGATAGCGAAATCCATTTGGAGACGGAAAAGGAGGAAGAACCGATCGGTGTCACCAAAGTATTGTTTCATCAGTATTCACACTTTCTCCTCAGATTTACTACTGCTCGCGGACTCACAGCCAACTCTCGCAGGTGTTTCAGGAGTTTTTACATTCTGCGTGGGCTGAGGATGTGCAGTGTTCGTGCATTGGAGGTCGTCGGAGTTTCTGCATCCATCCCACGGTGAAACGGCTGCCGACAGATGCGCAAATGAGCGACGAATGCTTGTTTTTGCAGAGAAATCGTTCACGTGGAAAAGAAGGCTGCTTGTTTCACAATCGAGAACGGGAAGAATCAATCCGTGATGAAGTTTTGGTAGCGAGCTTTTGATGATGAGAATGATACTCATGGGTGTAGACTACAAATTTGGAAATAGAAGACTTAGTTCAGTATGCTGAAAAGGAAAAAGGATGTCCCTATTACGCTTCAAGAAAAGCCATCCCGTATTTGAAGCTCGTGTTGTTGCCTTACAATCTTATTCTAAACAAGAAGAGTCGCGAAGCTTTGGGGATTGATTTGAAGGTACTTTTACGGTTTTGTTTTGGTTATTATTAAGAACCAAGTGGTTATTTTCGATGAAGCACACAATCTTATCAACGCAATTGGCGATCTTTTCAGCCCTACCGTAACTCTCTCCATGCTTTCTTCTTCCCATTCTCAAATTGATGCGTATTATCAACGCTATTCGGACCGTCTTTCATCGGAATCGCATTCCTTTATCATCCATTTACAAACGATTTTGAAAGCTCTGAGCCATCTTTTAACAACGAAACCTTCGAACTTTGGAATGGTGAATATCTTCACAGTCAACCGGTTCATTCAGCACTTGCACCTCGAGTCTATCAACTTATTTGATATTCTTCATTTCATCACCTCCAAACGAATTGTTCAGAAACTAAACGGTTTTGTGGACACTTTAGGAGAGGACGGAAAGCCGCCCGTTTCCCATTTTCCTGCAGTGACCGATTTCATTTTAGCGCTGACGAACGATAATGAAGACGCCCGTGTTGTCGTGAGCTATTCAAAGGACAATGGTCCTTTTCTGCGCTTTTTGCTCCTGAATCCAAGTGTTTATTTTAAAGAGATTGTGGATGAGTGTCGCTCTGTCATTATTACTGGCGGAACTTTACAGCCAGTCAAGCCATTCTCCTTGTTTTATCCCTAGTTTTCCGAGTTTTCTTCTCAGTTATTCCCTCATCTCTCCCAGGATCGGATCGTTTCTCTTTCCTTGCCTCACATTTTATCTCCTGATCATGTCGGAGCGTTTTATGTGACACACACAGCAACACGACAGGAAATGCGTTTTGACTTTTCCAATCGAGAAAATCCTTCCCTTCTGAGCGATCTTGCTTCCAAACTCGGAATCCTCTGCAGAACCGTTCCTCGCGGTCTCGTCGTGTTCTTCCCCTCTTTCTCGATGCTTCAGACGACTCTTCGCTTTCTCCACTCCACAGGGAAATTCTCTTCGCTCAACGAACTTAAACCCATTTTCTCTGAAGAGCGAGAGAAAGACGTTTTCGCTGCGTACTCTTCCTATCTGAAAGACCACCCATCGAAAGGAGCGCTTCTGTTTGCTGTGATTGGTGGAAAACTCTCCGAAGGAATCAACTTCAGCGATGATTTGGGACGTTGTGTGGCTATTGTGGGCATGCCCTATCCCAATAAAACGGATGTGGTGTTACAAGAGAGGATGAAGTACTTGGACCAACAAAAAGCGGGTCTTGGGCAGGATTACTATTCCAATCTCTGCATAAAAGCTGTGAATCAAGCGATTGGACGAGCGTTTCGGCACAAGGAAGATTGGGCGAGTGTGGTTTTCCTGGACTATCGCTACTGTCAGCAGTCAATCCGCTCTCGTTTGACTCGTTGGATCGACAACCGAGGACTTGTGTGCAATAATGATGACGTTTTGTTGAAGCAGCTGCAAGCATTCTATCAACGATTCAATTTGGGTGTTTGAGAAAACAACAAAAGATGACATTTGTTGCTTCCATTTCGGCCAAACCGCATCTAACTCCTTCGTCTCCTCTCTCCGTTTCTCCAATTTAGGGACTGCTACATAGCGTAGTAGTGTATCCAGCGAGTCCTCAGGCAAATCATACAACCGAGCGAGCTGCTCTCTGCCCGAAGCATTTACGATTAGGTCTTCGTTTGAGAAGAGAGATTGCAACTAGAATTAAAGCGAGTAAGCAGCACTACTTCTTCGGCTGTCACCTTTCCGGGTATGTGTCTCGCTTCGTAAGGTGTCTAGCCGTGAGTAATTGCAATCAACCAAACATTGCTTCGATCTTGAGGCAGAACACTTGTTGACTCTATAGGCAATTCCTACAGTCAATCAAAGTAATAGAAAGAACTTCTTTATTTACAGTTTCGGAAGCCATTGAACGAAAGTCACCCGTTAATTTTGATACAAACTGTTCATCCTTTTGCTCTATTTGTGGGCATTTCCAAAAAGCAAAATACGAGCATAAGCAAACGAATTGGCGAAATCCGAAGAACTGTCCTTCATTTCCCTTTCCATTTTTTCTATATCTCACAAAGTACTACTTAGTACTCACCTCTGACTTGCTTGAACAAAGCATCCGTTTTGGGAGTAAAACTTTGATTCTCTAAAATAGTATCTAACATTTGGGGAGTTATTTCGCCTGAAGGCAAGTTATCAACCGCAGACTTCAGTTCTAGGTGTTAGATTCTCATAATTAAACGACTTTGCAGTTGCTGGATTCCTCTCTGTGATAATTTACTACTCGCTGCTCCCATTTCTTGTGTATGAATGATTGTTGACTTGAATGTATTTGTTAAATGTATATTTTTTCTTCTTCTAACAAGCCCGTCTAGCTCAGTCGGTAGAGCGCCAGGCTCTTAACCTGGTGGTCGGGGGTTCGAGCCCCCCGGTGGGCGTTTCTTTTTCTCAAACATTTTATTTTTCTTATTATTATAATTATGATGATGATGATTATTATTATTATTATAGTTCTTTTCAAAAGATCAAACCAAACCGGCTTTCCCTTTATCTTTATAAATAGCTTCAATGGAATCGCTTCATTTCCAAGCAAACTAAGAGTGAATTACAAAAGTCCTAAAAGACAGGTAGATTCTTTCTTCCTAATCCTCCATATTGCTTATTCTATATATTCCTCCATATCTGATGAATTCCTAACTGACGAAGCGGACGATTCGCTCAATAAATACTCTTCCTTTGCCTCATTTTCTTCGTTTGCCTCCAAAATGTTCGCATCGTTATTCTCTTTTATTTTCATCTCCATTTGGTTCCCTTCTTTCTGATGCTGTTGCTCCTGTTCTTGTTGCTCCTGTTCTTGTTGCTCCTGTTCTTGTTGCTCCTGTTCTTGTTGCTCCTGTTGCTCCTGTTGCTGCTCCTCCTGTGGATTTTCCTCTCCTTCCTTCTTCTCTTCTTTCTTGGCGTTCTCACTCGAGTCCAGCAACGTGGACACAGTTTGCTGGGAGTTCCCTTCATTGAGACGGAAGTACGTCCCTCGACCTCCCAGCGATACCAGAATTCGCTTCTTCCACGCCTTTATTTCGTTTTTCTACTGTCTACACTCCCCCAAACCTCTACATGCATTTTCTTTCGGTGACGAGACAGCGAGGGAAGGTGCGCATAGACCTTATTGCAGTACTCGCATTTGTATTTCACGTGGTTGTGGAACGTCGTTACATGCGCCAGCATGGTTTTCCTCTGCAGTCACGCCATTCCCCATTCATTCTACCGATGTAAAGGTGTGCGAACATCCAGGAACCGAGCAGGGAATGCGCGGAGAGAGCTCTGACTTGGGAGAAGAAGAGGAAGGTTTCGACGGTTTGGGAGGCGCATGGACTGTTTTCATGTGGTTTTTGAACTCTTCGATGCTCGAAGCAATGAATGAGCAGTCAGGAACGCTGCAAATGCAGGTGGCTTCCTTATGGACCTTTTCGTGAATCACGAGACGGGATTGAGATAAAAAGGATTTATTACAGCCAGGAAATTGGCATTGGAAAGGTTTGATGCCCGTGTGGAACTACAGAGTGAAAGACGGTAGGAACAACAACAAATTCGTGCTTTCGAAGGTGCTGCTTTTTGGTAAACTCTTCGTCGCAGTAGCTGCACTTGTAGGTCTGTGGGGGATTGTTCTCCTTTTGAATGTGCTTCTTGATATGGCGATTTAGGTTATATTGAGTGTTAAACCTACTCTAAACGGGATATCCTATAGAATACCTCTTGGTACATCCTTCATAAGGACAGAAAAAGTCATATTTGTCATTGTGCGACGCTATGTGTCTCGTTAAATGGTCTTTTCTGCTGAAACACTTTCCACAACCTGGAAATGTACACTGAAATGGTTTCTAGAAAGGTATAAGGGAAAAAACGCTCATACTTCTTTTGTATGGGTTCTGACATGACGAATATACTTTGTGTGCTTTTGAAAAACGATCCCACAATACTCGCATTTGAAACTAGGTCCCTCTGTTTCCTTCGTTTCCATTTCTTCAGAATCGCTTTCTTTGTCTTCTAATTCGTCTAGAGAAACCGATTCATCTTCGCTCATCTCTCGGAATGGAATATGAATAAACGCACTGTAAGTAATCTGTGTGATCCCACGTTTTTCAAAAAATGAGTGCTCTTGAAGATTATGAAGTTTTAGAAACTTCAGAGAAAGCGCTGTGCGAGCATATTTTAAGTTTAACTTCATTGGATTTATATGTGACAGGTAATGGTTGTGTGATGCTTTTTGATCTCAGATCCTTCAAAATGGTTTTGCGTGCTCTGTAATGCGAAAATGGAAGACGTACGGGATATTCAAGCCCATACAGCAAAATTTGGGTAGGATTTCCATTTGATGACGATTTATGATTAGTCACAGTTGTTATCATCTAGTGGAGGATGATAAATTGCTGTGTAGTAAGTGCAAACGAATTCTCACTCATTTTACGGAAAGAGTGAATGAAGGGGATTACGATAGTGATAACAGCGATTCAGATAGCGATTCGGATGAGTTAGTTTCCAGTCTCTATTCTTCCGGATCAGTGGTGTGTTTTTTATATTCTACTCTCATTTCTAGCCATACAATGGTCCTGATCTAACTATTGAAGAGGTAATATCGGGTCTGAAGAACGACCAATACAAGAACATCATTGTGGTGCTGGGTGCTGGAATATCATGCGGTATCCTTTCTCTCGCTCTTTGTTTTAACCTCAGCCTCCGGAATTCCGGACTTCCGTTCGGCGAACGGTCTCTATCGGAATCTGAACAAGTTTCCCGTTCCCTACCTGCGCGACCCGTCGTCCATTTTCAATATCAAAGACTTCAACAAGCTCAGCACGCCGTTCTGGATCCTCGCTCGCGAGATGTTCTACTCGGATCAGAAGTACCACCCCACGCCCTGCCACTTCATGCTCTCCTTACTGAAAGACCGCGGCATTCTGCGCCGCATCTACACGCAGAACATCGATGGATTGGAGCGCGACGCGGGACTGGAGCCGCCCTTGCTCGTCGAAGGCCACGGCACCTCGCGCGAGTGCGCCTGCTTCCACTGTGGGCAGGAGTTCCGCTCCGATCTGCCGCAGCGCAGCGTGGATTCGCGGACCGTTCCGTTCTGCCCGTCGTGCGGCGGTCCGATCAAAGTCGAGAAGCGGAGAGGCGATGAGAAATAGCCGAAAATCGTGTTCTTTCATGAGCATTTGCCGAGCGTGCTGTACTCGTGCTTCCGAGAAGATATGCCCGTGGCGGACTTGCTGATCGTGATTGGATCGTCGCTTCGCGTGTATCCGATCGGGTAGGTGCGGAGAATGGCGGTGAATCAGAGGAATCCCAGAGCATTTGCCGGCGTTCGTTCCGCAGCTGCTGATTAACAACGAGCTCGTTGGGAATTTCGGAAAGAAAATGTGGAAAGAATGCAAAGAGAGAGTGAGATGTAGACATCGGAGCTGCACGTTAATCGGAGATTGCCAGAATCTGGCATTGGCGCTAATCAAATTGTGTGGCTGGGAGACGGATTATCTGGACAAGATCGATGCGTATAAGAAGGAAAACGGACTCGAGTCGTTTATCTGGGAAGATCAATACAATTTCGAAAACATCGAGGCGAATTGTTTGAAGTTCGAAGAGACTCTGAAACGAGACGACGTTCAGGATAGTTCGGATGAAGAGCCGCTTCGACCCCTTCCGAACTGCTTCTTTAGCGATGATGGAAGTGAGCTGGAGACGTACGGAATGTCGCAAGAGGATTTAGACAGCATTGCGGAGTATTTCGTGACGCAGATCCGCGAAATGAGCATTTTGAATCACATCGAAGAGAGCGAGAATCGAAGCGAACACATCGTGCTGCGATGGAATAACATTCTGGTAGAGTTGAACGACGTGAATAGTCGCTGCTTCCGTGAAATGATTAAGTGGAAGAAACAAAAGGTAAATAAAGATGACATGATTTCCTTTCTTTGTTCAACACGCTTCAAAGAAGATAGGCTCGAATTACCAGCTCGCGAGATGATCTCTACGCTCGATTCTCCTCCACAAACAAACAAAAATATGCGCGTTGGCCTCCGATTTGATGATATCGCGCATCGATGTGTACTTTGTATCCAACATGTAGTAATGCTGACGTCGAATCATCACCGACAAAAAGTCCGCCTGAGCGATGAGAGCGAGACAAAGCACCTCGCTTACCTTGAAATCATCGATGGCTTGGACCGTGTCGAGCAGTTGAAGCATCACTTTCGACATGAAGTAACACTCGCAGTCGTGCAGGTTTGTGTAGAGGCAGAAGGAAGGATAGCTTGGAATCACGCAGAGAGGAGCGTTGCTTACTCGATAAGGAGGGAGTGCGGAATGTTTAGGGAGTTCGAACGCGAAAGCAAGTCCGCATAGGAAATGATGTGGTGGTCGGAGGTAATTCCATACACGGGATTTGCCTGAGTGTTAGAAGCAGTGAACGCACAAACTCCATCCTTTGCGGTGGTGTGATCTTTGAGTTGCTCTAGAACGAAGAGGCAAGCACATTCCTTTCTTCTATAAACATTTGCAATGTCATGCAGGTTCAAATGTAGGTTAAAGTTGGAAGTCACGACAATGCAATCACTCTTTATACTTGGCACCATCTGACGCAGGGTATCATACGTCCCCTTGCTGTTTTCAAAGCAAACGATGTCAACGAACGACTCAAGCCTAGAGAGAAGGCGTTTACCCAAAACTCACCCTTCTGTACAAACAACTACCTGCGTTCGTTCCACATCATCTCTGCAAATGATTGAGACCTAAAAATGAGAGCAATCGTCTGTAGCAAGATACTTTATCGAAAAGGAGGGCTTTAAAAAATTCAACAACGTATGTAAGCCGAGCTTTGTCCCTAACATATTTCATTGTAGTAGGAACCTCCTTTTCGGTAATCTCCTCAAAACTGTCTTCATTTGGTATTATGATGACCTATTCGTATTGCACACACTATTTTCCCACTTGAAACTCCTGGATGCTCATGAATAGTGTAAAGAACGAAAACCAGATAAGCTCTTATCTAACTCTTATCTTATCTATGAAGAATGTTTGGTGAATTTCAAAAATTTTTTTAATGCAACGTCACAGAGACACTCCAAGTCCTTTCCGTTTTGACTTTGGATACACTTCAAAGCCTAAGCCGTCTTCTTCATATCTGGTAAGGATTAAAGTGAAATTATTACTTATAGGAACTCGAAGAATCGTTTACTGCTGATTATGATATCACTTTGACCTGTCAAGATTTCTTTGAACACGCCAAGAAAGTATTCCCAGCGCTGCGCATTTACACGTTCAACCAATTTACTGCAGAAAAGCGTTATGGTGGAAATGAAAGTGAAGGAAAGAGCGCTGTCATCTATATCAAGGGTATGGGTATTCATTTTTGTGGTTACTTCCATTCTAGCAAGACTCACTACTCCACTGTTGGTTGCTACTCAGTCGGGGGCCACGCTAAGAGAAGTGCTCATCCCAAACATTGGGCAGGTAGCATTTCTTGGTACCTCCCGCTGGTCTCTACAAGACAGACTTACTACTCTTATGGATATGAGTAAACTTGTTTGAAAACAAACACATTCACTTAAATCTCAATCTTAGGTTGTTCACTAGGAGCAGGAGCCGCTGGAGCAGCTGGGGCGGGGGCGGGGGCGGGTGTCTGTGCAGGAGCAGGAGCCGGAGCCGGAGCGGGAGCCGGAGCCGGAACAGGAGCAGGTGCTGGGACAGGAGCAGGAGCCTTTACAGGAGCCGGAGCCGAAGCCGGAGCCGAAGCAGGGGCTTGAGCGGTGCTGACCTTAGGAAGCACCTTTCTCGACGAACGATTCACCATAGCGACAATACCCACAACCAACATAACAACACCGAGCACAATCAACAAAATTCCGACAAGGAGAATCACATTAAACTTGGACTCCACGCAGAACGAATACGGAGCGCTCCACACACCCGCAAGTCCGGTCTCATCCAGAATGCACGCTCGCACAGAGGTGCCCTTGTATCCAGCGATGGTGGTACAGTCCATCGTGTAGTTCGTGCCCACCGGCGTCTCCGGGAAGTCCTCCATCTCCACGCAGAACTGCTTCTTCACCGTCACATAGATATCGGTCTCCACGGTGTTGTCGTCCTCTCCCTGGCCAATGATATGGTAGGCAGTGCGATCGCTCTCCTGGGTGGGATAGCCCGAAATCGATCCGTCCTTCTGCATCATGAGGCCGGTCGGGAGTTCCGGCGAGATCGTGAACGAGCTGATCGTTCCGTTGTATTCGGGTCGCGGCGTCTGAACCAGATTGTTGACCACGCCCACAATCTCAGACTCCACATAATGCAGATTGGACGGGGCTTCGCGGCGGCAACCGCTTCGATCCAGCGCGCTCAGCACGCCGTTGGAGCAGGTGCGAGTCGCCTGACCGATGTATCCTTCAGGGCAAGCCTCGGTGTACACCTCCTGATCGGCAATGTCGATACCCTCCACACCATTGCAGCCAATGCTGGTCACAGTGATCGTCACTTCCGTCGTGGCAGGAGTCGAGAGAGTGTTCGTCGCCGTGATGGTATAGGTGTTGGTTCCCAGGACCGACGCCATTCCAGCAATGTCTCCACTCTCAGTGAGGATCAGACCCTCAGGGAGAGAAGGATTCACGACGAACTGGGTGACGATGTTCGTATAGGTCGGCTTCATATACACGGCGCCTCCCATAGCCACCGTCACGCTGGCGGGCTGGTAGGAGAAGCCGGACGGCGACAGAGCGGTGCATCCCGTGTAGTCCGGCTCTCCGAACACTCCGTTGGTACACAAACGAGTCACTGTGCCCTCGTATCCCTCGGGGCAGAGCGTGCTGGAGGAGGAAGTCTCCCAGTTCGACACCGCAGGGAAGGAGTCAAGAGCGTTGCAACCGTTGTCCAGGACGGTGATCTGGAGAGTAGTCTCCACACTCTCCAAAATATTCGTTCCAGTAATCGTGTAGGTCAGCTGCTCCGACACCTGCGTGGGCTTTCCCGAAAGAACTCCAGTCTCGCTGAGAGTCAGTCCTTCAGGAAGAGCAGGCGTAATGGTGATGTTTTCAAACACAGCATTGTACAGCAACGTGAGCGGCTCAATTTCGACTCCCGTCTTGTAGATGACTTCACTAACGCCGTACGAGAAGAAAGAAGAAGCACGTAAGTCACAATTCGTAAGATCCAGTTCACTGAAGTCTCCTGCAATACACTGCACACGAGCATATCCAGAATAGTAGGTAGGACAATTCACCACAGACCACGCCTTATGAGCAGTATAGGGATACTTCTCCGTGGCTTCACAGTTTACAATAACAGCGGAGATTGTTACAGATACAGAGCCCGATCCATAGTCATTCGTGGCAGTGATCTCAAAGACAAGGTCCGAAAAAGTTTGCTGGACCATTCCATAGATAGTTCCTGACTGAGAATCTAAGAAGAGTCCAGAGGGAAGGTCTGTGTTGACCGACCAAGAAACAGGGTTACCCAGAGCGGTAGGAGTAAAGCTCACTTCCTTGTCCACAGGAATCGTAAGCTTGTTGTCGTTTCCATAGCTAATGCTGCTGGGAGAAGGGGGAATGCAAGTATCTTCGATCTCCGAGGAGAGAACACCTCCCTCCTGGCAAGTACGGTACAGCCCTCCAATATATCCTTCAGTAGGGCACGCCTTCATCGCCTTGCTTCCCACAAAAGAGGCCGAATATCCGTCCTGCGCAGTGCAGTAGGCCGCAGTGACGCGCGTCTGAATGTACCACTCGGACATCTCAACTCCTTCAGACTCGCAGCCCCAGTATTCGATACGATAAGCAGAGTAGGCCTTGGAGTTATCGAAGGCAAACATCTTCTGTGTAGGCACACCGGTAGCTCCCCAGGTACCTTGCGTCTGGAAGGACTGAATCAGCTCGTATTCATTGTTATCGTTGAGACCCTTCACCTGCACCGTGTAGGGACGACGATTGTAGTTGTTTCCAGAGTACAGAGTGAATTGGTTCGAGAACACTTTTCGATTGTTGTTAAAGGTGTAAGACACCCACACGTGCTGCGATCCTTGGCAGAAGGCGGTGGATTCGGCGTAAAACTTGGTATTGGTGTTCTTGTCGACCGTGTTATCATACGTTTCGTGATAATAGCCATCATCAAAACCAGGATGACTCGCAGTGACCACTCCATTGGTTGTAAGATCCGTCTCGGATCCCTCTAAAGAGAGAACAATAGCAAATTCATTTTCGGTCGGGGGTGTCTTCGTATGGATTTCCACACAAATCAAGTTGCCAGTATTCCGCATGGCGGCGAGCTCGAAGCTCACGAGGGCTACCCAAAGGGACATCGAAGTCTCCTCAGCAGTCGACTCCGTTTGGTAGGTCAAATCTCCGGTAGGCAAACGAATTCGAGTCATTTCCTGACCATTGAGATAGAGAGCATAGCCTCCGCGAGTACGAACAGAGGCCTGGATCGCAGCATATCCTTGGATCTCCAGCACATCAAAAGTAGCGCAGTAATAGGCAGAGATGGAAGAGGGGGTCGGAAGAGCACTTTGGGTCGCAGTAGGCCACGAACCAGAGAACTCGTCTTTATACCAGTTTGCTTCAGGTGCGGTTCCATCCACTTTGTACCTCCATTGAGTTGCTGCCGTGAGGTCGGTTTGTTGCGACAAAACTTAGTTATTAGGAAGAACAAAGTACCTACCAACAGAAAGCACTACAAAAATCAGAATACTTCTCATCAAAAATAAAAAATGAATATTGTTACGAAGTGTATAGTGATACTATTAAATCAAGAAGATACAATTCTTTTGCCTTTTTCTTTTGTATACGTGAGGAAACGATAATTTTCAGTTTTTTTCACCTACCTCCTTGTGAGAAAACTTTAGAATGATACTTCCACTTTTTCTTTAGTCTTGTCCATTATCACTGCATGGAATAGCTTATTTGAATTTTCCATATTCAATCCAATAAATAACAAAAGAGACCTTGATGGCGACCAAGAATCGCGGTTATCAGCAATTATATTTTTAACTTTGGAAGCATGATTCATCTTAGAAAAAAGGTGAATGTAGCGAATGAAACAAGCCCATACGAACGGGTGACTTTTGTTTTGAGTTGTAATGAATAGACGAACACGCTTTTGGTGTCTAATGTACTCTATACACAGTAGATGCTATATAATTGCTCTGAACATAGGTATTTGGCTACGGAAGCGGTTACTGGGAAATACGTCTTGTGGACGGAGATTGCTGTAGGAGATATAGATTTTGAGATGATACAAACTTGGGCGCAGTTTGCAGTGGAATTCTCGAAAAAGGCCCCTACGTACGTAATGAAAGTGAGAAGGATTATCCCTCTTGCAGACAAGTCTATTGTTGTTATTATCTCAGATTATTTCGAGTCAATGACGGTTAAGGATTATCTGCTGAAGAATTCCGACACTCTCCTCCTCGACAGCAATCAGGAGAGCTATACAAAGCTGGTGCGCAGACTGATCTTCTATATGACGCAGTACATTACGCTGCTGTCTACAATCCATCCCCCTATGTACCTACCTATGTGCTCTCTGAACAACATTTATGTTTCTGCAGATCTTGAGAAAATCAACCTGGCTTACATTCCCTTGTTCCTGTACCAAATCCAATGTGTCGCAGAGAACCGTCACTATTGCATTCCTACCGAAGTGCTTGAAGGAAGCACCCCTTCCATCTCCACCTCGATGTATTCGCTCGGAATCTGCCTCCTTCAGCTCCTCACAATCTCTCCAGATCCCACTTCTCCCACGCTCGAAGCGTCTCTCTCTCAACTCCACGACCCTGTATTTTCTCTCTGCATTCCTCTCTCTCACTCCCAGACATTCCTCTCGAGGTACACATCCGCCCTAAAGACCCCTCTCTATCACGATCTTTTGACAAGTCTGCTGGGTCCTGCTTCCAGTCGTCCGTTGTGCCAAGAAGTGCTTCAGCAAATCCAGTGGAACGAGAGCGAAGAGACATTCGAACGCTCCTACAATTCCTACTTCACCGTGCGAAACCCTCCCTCCCGTCTGAACGTGAACGTTTCGAGCCCTCATTTCTCTTCGACCAGCATGGAGGTCGAGCCAATCAGCTCGTCGTTCAACTCCCCGCAGCCTCTTCTTCATCCTAAATTTCAGCAACAGCAAGAACAGCAGCAAGAACAATCTCAATCTCAATCTCAATCTCAATCTCAATCTCAATCTCAATCTTTATCTCAATCTTTATCTCAATCGCAGCCCCAGGATTCCGTCGATCCGTCAGAGTCCACGGTTCCCATCGATTTCTACAGCCTGAATTTGGTGTTTGTGCCGCAGGACGGGTCGAGCGAGTCGGAGCCGGTAGGATTTTTGATTCGGTTTGCGAGTGATGTGCAGAAGAATGATGATCGGTTGGAGCTATTTATCGTGTCCCGGAGGGAGAATTGCTTCCAGTTGCGAGTGTATCGGTACTGTAGGGGTAAGAGAGGGCGTTGAGCGTAGTTCCCAGTGGCCTACGAAACTCGATCGAGATTCAGTTCCGGTATGGGGAAGAGACGATTAGTTCGGTGGTTTGCCAGCTCATTAAACTTAATTTCATCCGGGAAGCTCTTTTGGAGCTGGCAACAGAGAACATTCAGATTTGGTTTGATAACTTTATTGAGGCGACTTTTGATAATAGCACACCTTGCAAAAATCAATGACATGTTTGTTACATAGAAGGAAAAAGGGGGATTACTGCCCACGAGTGTTGAACGTTTTTTTCTTAGTAAACGCCATTATCGTAAGGCAGTAGACACATTGCGAACTTCCTAACAAGAGTTCTGCAAATAGTAAACGAAGCATCCTTATTACACACAGTTTTCTTTTAACTTTGAATCGATTCTACGTCGTTTGGTTTGAAAATGGTCTACCAAATGACAGATGCGGATCGCCGCGCAATCCATGAACTCTACCCATCTCTCTTCATAAAGTTCATCCCGCCTCTCACCGTCGATGAAATTGAGAACTGTGTGTTCAATAGCAAATATTCGTTGAATGTAATATTGCCTACCCTAGAACATTTGGTTGAACTCTTTCTCTGGTGTGTAATATCTAGAAAGAAGTGAAGCAGAAGGCTCGCATTCCTACTCCACCAAGTTCCCCAAGCCCGCTGGTTTTGCCACCCAAAATGGATGTTGACGAAAAGAAGGAGTGTCCTGTCAATACAATACAAAGTACGAGTCCAGGCCCGAACCCAGGCCCGAACCCAATACCTGTAGCGAAAAGCAGCGAGCTAATCATCCTCTCTGATTCCAGTGATGACGAGAATCCGCGAAGAGCAATTCGTTCGAACCCTGCTTCACTCTACAAGCAGCGCATTCAAGATTCACCCGAATCTATCATTTCTATTAGTTCTTCTGATGATGAGCCCCTTTACCGAACAGGACGTCGATCGGTTATCAGTGATGAGGACGACGAAGTAGAGAAATCAAGTTCATCGTCTGACGTGTATTCTATCGTTTCAACAAGTGATGGTGACGATGATGATGATGGTGATGTTGTTGAGTATCTATCAGGAGACGAAGACTCCACGTTTATGTTGGAACGGAGCACTTCTGATTACAGTTCAGAAGAGAGTGATTCTACTCCCAGCTTCGCCTCAGACGAGAGCGAAACGAATGAAAGCGCGTTCATGAAAGTTGGAAATGCAAAAAACTGGAGGATTTCTGGCAATCAACCGGAGGCTTTGCCTGAATCAGTTGCTGGCTTTTCACTCGAACCTCCTAGGCCATCCACACAAACCAGTTTCAAAGCACGCCCTATTATTCAAAACATGTCCCAATCCACAGAAAAAGTGGTTGATGAAATCGTGGACGACGATTCTCCTCCAAAGAATCACCCCATAGATGCAGCTAACGAAAACGAACTGCGAGAACTAGCCAGAATCAAACTTCCCTATTTCCTGTCAATCCAGCAGCTGAACGCGCGAGGCTGTCGAATCAGTAGGGTAGCAGAATGTATATGATCTCAAGAGTACCAGAACCTGTTCAAGCCACAGAGTAGGGAGCTGAAGAGGAAGAAAAAGCAGGAGAAAGAGAAAACTGAGAAGTCGAAGCGAAGCTATCCAAGAAAACAGGCACGATCACGAAAGGTATGAGGGAATGTCTCTTTCAAACTCGATGAAACTGTTTCTGAGCGGTCTCCAGACCGAGTAGGGAGAAAATCAGAAGGCGGCGTTTCACATTCCAGGACTGCCTGTTTGGGTAGAGAATCAGAATTAGGAGAGTGTACTGGAATAATTTATGCTAGAATTTTGGCAGTCAATATGTTGGGTTGGACTGGATCTTGTTCGATTAGCTTCGAAATGTCATTTGTTGAGATACAACCAAAACATTAATCCTACGCATTGAATGAATCAGTATTCCAGAAATCGGCCTTTTCTTTTTGTGTCTTTGTTTGATAATTATGGAACCACTGCACAACTGTCAGGATGCAATGGTCGTGTTAATCGAGATGGTTTGATTGGATGCACTAGTTTCACCTGTCCGCTTTTACAACTAGTCAGATTTCCTTTTGAAAACTGTCACTTGAGGAGTTTCATCAATCTCCCAATTTATTTTTGAATTGTAGTTTAATTTTAATCTCGTAATCCCGTAGTAGTCACTTTGTTATTTTAAATATTTTAATACATATTTGTTAAAACCAAGTATGTCTGATCCAAATCCAGAGTAGAATTGAAATATACGCATAATGCAAAGACCGGTGAGGGAAACAACAGATTCCGCACAGGACCATTCAGTTCCCATCACCGAAGAAATCAAACACGACCCAGACGAGCCTACAAATCAGCAGTTTTCTGAAGTGAAACAGGAAATAAAAATAGAGCCGGTTATAGATAATAGTTCCACGGCAGCAGGTACTCACGCTTCGATTTTTCATAAAATGATAGTGGCTTCCGTTGAAAAGTCACCGGAGCCTCATGTGTACACACCGGAGTACGATGGGTCGGATGATGACTATACAAACGATTATACAGAAGTGAGCTCTAAAAGGAGGAGACGGGAAACTCGTTCATGTAGAAACGCCGCAGGTCTGTTACTCCTAGTTGCCTTGTCCCAATCGAAGCCTTCCGTCTTGCTCCGTGGCCAGTATTCAATCACAGACAATCTCTGCACCTGGGAAGGCACGGTAGTGGTTCCATCAGTCTGTGATGATAGTGGGGTATGGCGGTAAACGGCATCATCAGCGGCTTGGAGAGCGACTTTAAGCTATCCATGCCTCGACAGCGCCAGTCCACATCTCTTTCTGGCCCCCAGTCAGGCGAATACGACGGCTACTTTTTCATGAAGGTGGACGGCGTGAAGAAGGTTCCCGAGCGCGGTGTCCACCTGGAATTCATCCAGGACGGTTCGATCTACCGCGTGAAGGGCCATGGCTGCAACAACATCGGCTCGTACACGATGGAGGGCACGTACAACCCGGAGACGATGGACATGGCTTGCAATCGCCTGTGCGCACTGTCTCTTTCCTGGTGAATCGTAGATACGAGCAGAATCAATCGGGCCATTCCACACGGCAGCGTGCGCGTGGCGGATACACGGATTCGGCGCCGGAGCGAGAGTATCGTGGCCATCCTCGCCAAGCCACGCCCTCGTTTCTTCGCGAGAGCGTGGATTTGCCGCCAGGCCTGAACGAAGACATGAAGATGTGCTATAAATCACTGAAGCGATTGATGGTAGGCGAGCGAGAGCGCGAGCGCTCTGGCTGACGCGTAGAATCACAAATATGCCTATCCGTTCGTGACCCCCGTGGATCCAGTGGCGCTGAACATTCCCGACTACTTCGATATCGTGAAGGAGCCGATGGATCTGGGCACCATCCAGAAGAACATCGAGAACCACGTGATTCTGACGCGCGACGACTTTGCCATCGCGGTTCGCAAGGTGTTCGACAACGCCTTTTTGTACAATAAACCGCAAGACGACGTGTACGAGCGCGCTGGATTCATGAATCGTAGTCACGTGATGGCGAAGACGCTCTCGGAAATCTTCGAGAAGGATTTCATGCAGATGACACGCCGGATCTACGAGGCCGAGCCGGAGCCGTCCTCGCCCATCTACAGCAATAAAGTGCAGCGACACTCCGTGGTGCCTCGCTCGCGGCAGCGGCAGCGGCAGCGGCAGCGCTTGGCGAAGGGGAAGAACGCGAAGAAGGTGAAGGGGAAGAGCGTTTCTGGGAAGAGCGGGCATCGCAATGATGTGAACGAAGAATACATGAAAATGAAAAATCAAATGAACGCACTCCAAAGTCGGGTCGATCAAATGAAGGAGCAGATGCTGGCGATGGGGCTGAAGCTGCCCTCGTCGGACACAGCGCCTCCCATGTCGGTGGAAGAGAAGAAGGTACTGAGCCAGGAAATCAATCAATTCACTGGCGAGCGACTGGAGTACATTATAAAGATCATGCAGGAGTCGATGCAGATCGATACCGTGGGATCGGACTACGAGCTGGAGATCGATCTGGATACGATTCCGAATGAGACGCTGCGGAAGCTGCAGGAATATGTCCAAAAGTGCAATGCTGGAGGACATGGAGGAGAGCGGGGCAGACACGCTAGCGAACTTAATAGCCATATGGGTATGGGGAATTTAGACGTGGATTCGGGTAGGTGAGGAGGAATTGCGTGAGGGAGTAGATGATTCTGTGGATCACGATTTTTTCTAATATAATCTATAACTCATCTATGGCGTGTTTGTTGTATAAGCTTTGTTTGTTTCGGAGAGGGGTGGAATGGAGATTTTAAATGGAGTGTCTAAAATCGGCTCGATTTCGGGCACTTCTTCAAGTCCCTGTTTTGGCTCAAATAACTTTCTGGCAGATATTACGTGCCTTGGTTTTTGATTTACTCATTAATTCACAATGGCTGACCAGGTACCAGTCCAGGGTTTCCACTCATCGCCTAGATCATTATAGACGACGTTGTTTTTTCTGAGAATTGCAAAACAATTCGAAAGCATTGGATGGTACCAGAAAAGAATGCGTCCGTCTAATCTGTAGGAAGAGCGGGAAAGCTGGGGTAATAGCGACTGCCTCTGCTTTATCCAGGGACAAGTGGATGCCGATGTGATGTCCTATAGCAAATCAAACACTATTCAGGTTTCCATCGTCTTTTCAAAATCGATTGTAGCTGTATCTGCTTGGAATCGAATTTCCGGAGACCGCGGTCATCTTTACTGAAAAGGGAGTTTATCTAATCACCAGTGAAAGCAAGGGTTCGGGTTTTCGGACGTGCTCACTTGCTAGCTCGCAACTACCTGACACCCATGCTCGACAAGGTCCACAGCAAGAACAGCCTGGACTGTGAATCGAAAATTTTGATTCGTCAGCGCAATTCCACAAACGAAAAGGTCTACGAGGAGCTGAAGCCTCTTCTTCAGAACTCCTTCAGTGGCGTACGCTCCTGCCCCTCTCTCTCCATCGTAGAGCAAGCTGGGCCTCTTCGTGAAGGAGAAAGAGGACTGGACGGGGAAGTTCGTCACGGAGTTTTTCGCCGGCATCAAATCGTTCGTCCACGAAGAGGTGGACATCGCGGCCGGCGTGAGCGCTCTCTTCGCGATCAAGAACGCTCGCGAGCAGGAGAACGTGGACCACGCGGGTCTGGCGTGTCGCCGCCTAATGAAATCGGTTTTCGTTCCCGAAATGGAGAGCGTGATGCGCAGCGGCCGCAAGGTCAAGCACAGCAAGCTCGCGGAGAAGCTCGAGACGATGCTCTCGACGCCCGAAGCCTTCGGCGTGAAATACCCGGCCAGTCTGCTGGACATCTGCCACCAGCCCATCATCCAATCGGGCGGAAGCTACTCGCTGAAGCCCTCCGCGATCTCCGACGACCATCCTCTCTCGCAGGACATCATCATCTGCTCGGTGGGCGTGCGCTACGCGAGCTACTGCGCCGCGCTCGCACGAACCTTCTTCATTAATCCCTCGCTGTTCCAGCAGAAGTGCTACGCCGCGCTGACCGAGGTGGAGTCGGCGGTGATCAAGCGGCTGGTTCCGGGAGCGGTGCTAGGCGAGGTGTACGACTACGCGGTAGCGCTGCTGAACGAGAAGGCGCCGTTCTTGCTGCCGCACTTTATGAAGGAGTGCGGTACGGGAATCGGCTTGGAGTTCCGCGAGAGTTCGCTGCGAATTCGAAGTGGAAACAAGGAGGAAGTGAAGTAGGGCGTGGAGCGTGGAGAGGAGTGGCTCGTAGAGTGGGGATGTGCTTCAATGTTCGATTGGGCGTGGAGGACGTCGCGAACAAGGTGAAGGACACGGAGGTGAACGTGAACGATCTGAAGACCTTCTCGATTCTCCTCTCCGATACGGTGATTGTGGGCGAGCCCGAGCAGACGCCGTTCTCCGGCTTTTCGTCGTCCAATCGCGTGGTGACGAACTTCAGCACGGAGTGGTCGAACGTGTCGTTCGATCTGGACGATGAGAGCGACGACGCCACCAACGAAGACGCGGTCATTCAGTCGATCGCCGAGTCCGGCCGTCGTGTAACGCGCGGAATGATTCGGCAAGAGCAGCTCCGTTCCGAGCAACGCGAAATGGAAGAGAGCGCGCTGACGCTGCGGAACAAGCACCAGCGCAAGCTGCTCTTAGAGCTGCAGGCGCGTCACTTGGGTTCGGTTCGCAATGAGGAGACGAACGAGAAGAAAAAGGTGGAGGTGGAGGACATCCAGGCCTTCCCTTCGCCCGCGCAATACCCTCCCGAGATGCGACGCGACCAGATTTATGTGGACACGGAGAACGAAGTGCTGTTCCTGCCGATCCACGGCGTTCCGGTGCCGTTCAGCGTGCATACGGTGCGAACCGTATCGATGACGGAGGAAGGCGGGTACGGGTATTTCCGCATCAACTTCCACACGCCGCAGAACAAGAGCGGAAAGGATATGAACGCGACGATGCTGAAGGCGATCGAGAAGTTCCCGGCCGCGACGTACATCCGGAACCTGACGTTCCGCTCGCGCGATGTGACCAACATGAACGTGCAGGTGAAGCGGATCAAGAACGTGATGAAGCAGCGTCGGCAGAAGGACAAGTACAACGAGGAAGCGGCAGACATCATCGAGCAGGACCAGCTGCAGCTTCAGACGCACGCGCGTGTTCCTTCGCTGACCGGAATCGATATGCGACCCGCGTATGGAAAGACGAAGGGAAGATTGGAGGCGCATGTGAATGGATTCCGCTATCTCACGCAGCGCAATGAAACGCTGGACATCCTCTACAAGAACATCAAGCACGCGATTTTCCAGCCGTGCGACCGCACTCGGTTCGTGATTCTCCATTTTCACTTACTGAATCCGATCATGATTGGGCGTAAGAAGTGCAAAGACGTGCAGTTCTTCACGGAGGTCATCGACGCGAGTCGCAACCTCGCCGGCATCACCACGAACGCGTACGACCCCGAGGAAATCCAAGAGGAGCAGCGCGAACGCGAGACGATGCGCCGTCTGAACGAGGCGTTCCGCCATTTCACGCAGCAGTGCGACAAGATCGAATTCGATATGCCGTATATGCGCTCTTCGTTTATGGGCCGGCCCTTCAAAGAAATGGTGCTGCTGTCTCCGTGTCGCGACTGTCTCATCAACATCACCGAGCAGCCCGTGCGGTTGTGCGGATCGCGTGATTTGTAGTGTCTGGTTGTGACGCTGGATGAAATCGAGCACGTGCACTTCCAGCGAGTCACGTTCCGAACTTCCACCGCCGATATGATTCTGATCTTCAAGGATTACAAGCGGCCCGCGGTGGAGATCGACGCGGTGAAGGTGTCGGACATGGACAAGATCAAAGAGTGGCTGGACTCCATCAACATCGTAGCGGAGTGATCGGGTTTTGATGATGTAGACGTTCACGGAGTCGGCGACTTGTTACAACTGGAAGGAGTTTATGAACGCGGTGCGCGACTATGATCGCTTCTGGATGGACACGGATGAGGACGGACAGAAGAAGCCGATCGGATGGGAGACGCTGACGGAGGACGCGGTGGAGGAGGAAGCGAACGGAGCGGAGGAAGGAAGCGACTTCTCGGAGGATTTGAATCCTTCAGATTTGGAGGACGACGATGACGACGAGGATATGGACGAGGATGTCGATGAGGAGGAGCCAGAAGAAGGAAACGAGGAGAATTCGGAGGATGATTATGACGACGATGTTATGGATCTTAGCGATATGTAATGTTACATTTTTTTGTTTGTTGGAAGCAGTTTTGTGGAATGAGCCAGATTAACTTGGACTCCCTTATTGTATGTGGTTCGAAGCGAATTGGACTGTAGATGACGGTAGAAGAGAAGGACCTCTTCACACGCTACAATTACCTGAACGAGGAGCTGAAGGATATCAACAACTCGATCGAGCAGATTAAAGTGAGTCGTTTTTCTTGGTGGTTAACGATTAGAAGCATAGTCAACTGTTATCCGATGCTTTGGAGGAGAGCATGCTAGCGGAGGATGAAGAAGGCAATCTCATGTAAAAGGAGGTGAAAATGGCTGTAATCGTCTAGGTTGAGTTGCGGAAGCATTTTTGTCCAAATGGGATTCGATTCTGTTGAAGAACGTCTCAGCAAGATGTCAGAAGACGCGCAAAAGGAGCAAGACAAATTGGAAGAGGAAAGAAACGAAAAACAAACCGAATTAGAGGTAATTTGAAGTTTAGGAAATATTAGTATTTAGGAAATAAAGAAAAAGCTCTATGCTCGTTTTGGTGATCTTGTTGTGCTGGGTTAATAATTGTTGTTAATCTTTTCGTACATTCTTTGTTTTAAAAGAAATTAAAATATATATATATAAATATATTCACACAGACAAATAAACAAAAATGTCTACTCAATCTCAAGCTGGACCGCAAAATATCTCGCGGCTAGTTGAGTACCTTGACATTGAAAATGAGAAGAGTTTTGATGAATGTTGTCTGAAAGAGATTGAGATTGTTTCAAATATCGTAGATAGCAATAGTGCCTATGTTACTATCGATACCGTACTATTTCAAGCATATGTACTTCTCGAATTTCGGATCGAGCAATCAAAGCATTCGTTGAGCGATCGTCTCATTGAATCTATCTTCTCCTTCATCGAACGCCATGTAAAACCATATGAAACGAACTATAGGGAAAATGAGAATGGTTGTTTGCAACGAGCGCTAAATTTGTTTGCAATGTACTTTTCATATAATGTGTAGCTGTGCCACATATTTATATCACCAAAAGAATTTGAGGATCCCGGAACATCTCTCGGAGAATGCTATTCTATCGATTCTTCGTTGTACAAAGTCTCTCCTAATGGTAGCTGACTCTTCCAACATGGAGCCTTTCATCAAATTACTCACAACACCAATTACCCCCGAAATAGAGAATTCTTGGGAAAAACTCACAATTCTACCTGCTATCGAGTCAACTCCTGCAGTTCAACATCTTCAAAGTCAGGACTTCGCCTCTATCCTTCCTGTTCACCTCTACAGTCTCAACGAATTGATTTCTCATTCCTCCCATGAGATTTGCAGCACTTCGCTCATCTGTATTGAGTTAACTCTCCTTGGTACCCAAGGAAAGCATATTACTCCACTTCTGCCAGCATTGCTTTCAAATCTCGTTGTGGCTCTTCGAACCAACTCGCTTATGACTTGGAGGGAAAAGGCGCTTTCCACGTTTATCTTTGCTCATTCCCTTTCATTGATTGAAACTCCATCGAACAAGCCGGAAACGAAATCGATTAGCGAAATGGTGGCAGACTGGTTGGAAATGGCGAACCATGGACCGGGAAAGGAGGAAAAAGTTTTGGAGCCGAAGGGAGAAAACGAGTCCTTCGTTGAATTTCAGACACGGCGCGTTCTTTTTGAACTCTCAAAGCAAATTCCGCCTTTGGTTGCGGTGCTGCTTGAATGCATCGCTTCAGAATCTCATGTAAACGTGACTGTGACAACGGAGCACGCCTGTTTTTTGCTGATTCAGCCAGCCGTTGCATTCTTTCCTGAGAGTATTCCACTGCTTATTGATCGAATGGTATCTTTTTTGTATTCATCCCATCCTCTGCTTGTGAATGTTTCTCGCCTCCAAACGAGGGAGATTCTGCAAACCATTTTGATGAACGACAAACTAACAAATGAATTGTTGATCCATATTGTGCAGCTGATCGACTCCCTGCCTTCTTTTCTCCATCAGCACAACGCGCAAGCCAGTTTGCTGGCATTGTCGCGATTGCGAGGCTATTGCAGCGTTTTGGGAGAGAGATATTCGGCGGTGTTTACGATTCGTGGAGATGTGCTGACACAGCTTCGAACCTGGTATGAAACAATGAAGGAACTGCTCCATATTCAAAGCATTTCGACGGTTGGAGTGGATATCATAGACGAGGCGAAAAGCTCTGCATTCTTTCGAGTGATTTATGAGTTTTTGGATGATACGTGCAGTGAAGAGCTTTTGAATTGGATTTTTGAGTCTGTTGAAACGATGAAGGATGATTGGGTGAGCGAGATCGCTCTTTGGATTATGAATGATTGCTTGGACGATTCCTATGAAGCAGCTTTGCTGCTTCCAGTCATCGTAAAGAAAAGTCAAACGCAGTTGAACGCATCGCAGTTCGAAGTGTTTGATTCGCTATTGGGAGGATTGAAGTCGATGTCGAATGTGAGCAAAAAGAATGCTTCGATGATTCTTTATTCAATCGTCTCGGTTTTGATCCCATTCGATGCGTTTTCATACTTCCAGCCACAACTTCTCTTTCTCCTCTTTTTATATCGCACACTCACAACCGAACCTGGAGTTATTTTAGCCTGTTTCCACATAATTCTCACTCACCTTCACCTTTCATCTCTCTCTCAATTAGTGTACGATAACTACGACTATTTACTGGATTCAACGTTGCTCCAAGTTCGACTTGCTTCTTCGCTTTCTCTTGATGTTTTGTCTTTTCTTCTGCGTGTTTTGGAAAGTTTGTGGTCGTTATTATTGAAGACAGCGTTTTCTGAACCACTCTTTCCTTTTATGCGAGATTCGGTGAACGTCTGCAGAGAATTATTGCATCGGTATCAAGCAGACGCTTTGAAGACATTGCTGCCTCTCACGTCATGTCTCGTTCAGTTGGTGAATGAAAAACCGATGGAAACGGACGAGCCGAGCGAATCGTCGATTGCAATGATCGTGAGATCGTATCTCCAAGAGAAGAAAAGGACATTGCTTCCCTTAACGCCAATTTCTCCTTCGTTTTTAAATCCAAGTCACCAAGAAGACAAAGAAAAGGAGGAGAAGGAGGAGGAGAGAGAGAGAGATGGCAACAATGATGAGAAGTCGAGTGAGGATGAAGATGAGTTGTGGGAAGAACAAGAGAAACCCGATGAACGATACGATCTTCTTTCGTCGATTGTGAAGGATATTCGATATTTCTTGCAGACGGATGATGTGTCCCTTCAAATCAATACGCTAAATATCGTTTTGGAAGTGTGCAAAATCGTCGACAAGGAAAGAAAACAGTCTTACTTGGTTCCAATGATCCCGCTCATTTCTTCTCTCTTGCAGACTTCCCATTTTACTCTTTTTTCGTCTGCTCTCACTGCAGCCATGCAAATCATTTCTTCCAATCCTCAAAGCACGGTAATGTATGTCAAAGAGAAAATCTGGCCTGCGTTGAAATCAAAGTTGTATAGTTGTTTGGATGCTCGGAACGGAGATTTTTCGCAAATAAGAAGTGCAGAGCTTGCGGATCGAGTCGAAGTGTTTGTCTGTGAAAATATCGAAAGTGTGTATTCTGATTCGATCGTGTTTGGCGATGTTTGTGGAGAACTCCTTGAGTGGATCAACGAGAAATCGAAGGAAGGAGTGATTCCTGCATATTGTGAGAAACTGTTAGAGAAAGCGGGCAAATTCAATTTTGATGTGGTTGCCCAAATGCTGATCGAATTGGATCCAGACCAATATGCTGCATTTGTGAAGAAACAGAGACAAGGATGCGTACGCTATCGGAAGATCGTGAATGTTCAGCACAATACCATCAATTCGATATTCGTCGAGTCATTGATACGAGCTATTTCTTTCACTGTTTGTTTGACAAGTTGTCATTTGTTGTTTGTTTTGCATGTTGTCGATATATTCTCTCTCTGTGGTATCCTTTGTAATCCATATTGCTTTCATTTGTATTGGAGACTACTGCGACAAAACATGTAGCAACTCTTGCAACTTTAATACGCCAAAGGGAATACGATTCACTACACCGATATTGATTATAAAGTTTACTCTGATGCCGCTTTGCATGTTCTCAATGGCCAGAGTCCGTTTATGCGAGCTACATATAGATACACTCCTATTCTGTATACCATTCATTGTTTCTTTTTAGAATAGAGCTTATCTTATGATTCCAAACCATGTTCTATTTTACTCATTTGGAAAGTGTATATTCTCTCTGTGTGATGTATTGTGTGGAATACTAGTGTTTCAAATATTCAAAAACCAGGGAATTGAAACGCGCAAAAATCTTCGTCTGACTTCGTTATGGGTTTTCAATCCGTATGTGATATATTTATCGACCCGAGGCAGCGCCGATTCACTGGAATGCCTCTTTGTTTTTCTAACGGTATTCCTTATTCTAAAAGGGAAGATTGCTTTCAGCGCCATTGTTTTTGGTATTTCTGTTCATTTTAAGCTATATCCCATTGTTTACTCATTGGCATTATTTTGTTACAGTTTATCTAAATCCTGGAGAAAAGCGCTTCGTTTAACACTGATTAGTGCATCTGTGTATCTTTCTCTCCAATTCTTATTTACTGAAATCTATGGAATTACATTTCTGAACGAAACCTTGTTTCACCATGCGCAGAGAGTGGACATAAAGCACAATTATTCGATCTACTTTTACCCATTCTATCTTCTCTCTTCTATGCACCGCAAGCCAGGTCTGTGGGTGTGGATTCCTCACCTCCTTCTTTTTCCACTGATATCAGTCAAGTTTTATCAAGACCTACCACTAGCCATATTTGTGTTGACGTTTTTATTTGTCACGTTCAATAAGGTTATAACAGCACAGTACTTTAATTGGTGGATAGGTCCTTTGATCCTAATTGTGCCCCAATCTTCGCTAACAAAACTGCAATGGGTAATGATATTGATTCTATTTTTAGGACCGCAAAGTCTGTGGAACTATGTTGCATATCAATTGGAGTTTAACGGAAAGAATACCTTCAGGGAAGTGTGGTTTCTTTGTATAGTTATCTTCATCTCGAATGTGATATTGTTGCTCATTATTTTGCAGGGTCATAATTTTGCATTGTTTAAGTGTAAAACTGATTAGAACTCCTTTTAAGTAGCTTGTTTGTTCCAAAATGACCGTAATTTCGCCAAAAACGTTTTCACTCTCGTAGCCATCCAATCGCATACAGAAGAAAAAAGAGATTCTTCATATTCCAGCATCAAAAAAGCCTATCCATATTCCCATTCCGCGTGAACAACTGCATCATTCTGATAATGATCTCACTCTATTGACTACATCCCAGAAGCGGCATTACAAGTATCAAAAGGAGCAACTACTGATTGGATATCCGACTGCGATGGGTGAATCACTGTTTGAAGTATCAGCTTTTCATTCGATGGATATTAGGTTGATAGAGTACTCGTTCCTCCAACGACCCTGCAACCCGAATTCCGGTAACATATTTATAGCAGATCGATAGATAATGAATAGATGTACACATTACATTTTGCTTGATGGGCGGTTTGATTTAATGCCAGGTGTACAGAGCGGTCCTTCGAATCATTTTGCAATTCAAGTAAATCCAATGATAGCAACACCGATTGTGCAAGTAGGAATGCTTTCAATGACTGAAAACAGCACCAATCATCAGGTCCTATTCAGTTTTATGGATTTCCTCAAGGATTCTTCCCTTCGTAGGAGCTTCATTCCATTTCTTTCACATACAGAACCAATTCCTATTCAATGTCTCGTGAACTACGCAACTTTATCATACCAACAATTATGAATCCATTCAAAACATATTCTGTTTGGCTCAAACACACCATCACTACTATTTCTACTGGATACGTCTTATCACAAATCCCTCCCGGGATCGACTTAAACGCCATCCTCCCTTCTCATCCAAACGCCCATGATGCAGTTTTAGCCCATTCAACACATTGAAGTTCCATCGTTCGTTAAAATTGGCCGAACGACGTCCACGGTTGTAGTTGGTATCTCTTCCGATGTGGATACTAACTACAGAAACGGTTCCGTCCACAAGATCATAGGGCTTGGTCCGGTCTTTCCCTTTCCACATCAAACCAAGCAAATAATTGTCGATTTCACGACGACCCACAATGACTTGATGAGTCCGATTTGTTACAAGAGGGATCGCTTCTCGGGAGAAAATGAAGTAATCCTAGACTTTACAACGAACACTCACAGCACTCACGGCACTTCCAGCATTTCGAAGGGTACTTCTGGTTACCACCACAGAACGGAAGAATTGTTGTACATGGTCAACAGATTCAAAGGCAAAGGGGATTTCCGAGTAATCTTTCTCATACACCCTGCCTGCCAATTCATGCTGTGGATGAAGCTTCTGCTCCTTTACCTGGCTTTGCAGGTATTTCAGTGCATCAAACACAGTATAGTTTAACAAAATATCCGCATTCACGTAACCATAATACAGAGCATTGAACGTTTGATAGGCAGAATAGTACAAACCTGTGACTGTCGGTACACCAATTCTTGTAACCTCAAAATTTGTAATCACTTTCACGGAGGAATTGGAAAAACGGTTTATCAGTTCAGGAGTATGGGTGAACATGATCGCCTTAAACGAGTAAGCTTTCGAATAGGCATCTGCCATCGATTTCCAAATTCTCGATTTATTATTAATACGCTCTGTCCACCCCTCATCGGTTGTAAACAAAACTAAATCATATAAGGTGTTATCTTCTCTTTGGAAGTTAGAACTTCTTTCCATATTATCACTGAGAACTGGGTTGAATAAGGAAGGAACATTCACATTCGGCTCTAAAGAAACTACTTTCTATTTTTCAATCAAATAACGCTAAATTATACATCTACATACTCACTAGATTCGTCAAACTGAAGAGGATTCCCCCATGAGTACAACACACCAGCATACTGCTTATTTTCATTCAAAGAAATAAGTGACTAGAATACATTATACTCACAATGAATATTCTACATTCGAAAAAGCAATGCGTGCCACAAAACTGATAAACGTTATCAAAAGTGCTAAACCATATTGTATACACATGTCTTATTATCCAAACTTTAGATAGAATATGCTTAGAGACAAATAGGACACTTTGTAAAAAGAATTTGACCAGTATGAATATTGATATCCATCAATATTATACTAAAAAACACGTAACTTCCCGCTTTCTATTTCTTACTAAACGGCACTTACAAAACACCGCAAACCCTGATCTACCTAGATCAAGTGAATGGTAATACAACAATAATGATTTTACGGTCTATTCAGCTCCAAAATGGTCATACAAGGAGTTTCTTGATAATCATAAACAGTGGATAGGGATCAATTGTAAGCTAAATACAGACTCTGTCAGGTATTAATTTGGATTAATCAAGATGGTATGACTCTATGCACCGAATGTGTGATAATTAGGTTGTTTTGCTTGCAGCAGTCCTTACAAAGCCGGGAAAGGGTACTGTGTATATTTTTGAATTTCGATGAATAGTGTTGATATCACGACAATATGTAAACATGAATCGCACTCGTGTAGAAGTCTGGGTAGTAGGAGTGTGCTGTAATTGGTAGGGAATCCTTGCAGTTTTTCCGAAATTGCTGAGTGAATCGAATATGCAGCATACCTTTGTGGAAGCAAATAACTTACGGTACTTTGTCGTGTGGGACTGTAAACTCGTAGATATGTGTATCAGCCGATCGAAAATCTGGTGGTATTAGTAGTGACAACGCGGAATAGCAATATCATAGAAGATTTGGAAACGTTGCACTTGGTGGCGAAGGGTATTGAATGAAAGGTGTGAGTGACAGTGCAGTGATTCCCGAGTACGCTGGTTCGATCAAAGAGGAGGCGATCGTGGATCATGCTTTTGACATAATATTCGCCCTGGACGAGCTGATAACGTATGGTGGAATGAACGAGCCGATTCCTCTGCAGCAGGTGCGTGTGAACTTGGTAATTGAGCGTGTGAGTGTGCGAGTGTAGGCGATGGAGAGCCACGAAGAAAAGCTGTTGGCGATGGTTCAGGAGAGCAAGATGAACCAGGCCCGCGAGATCATGAAGCAGAAGGAGCGCGAGCTGCAGTCGCACCAGCCGGCGCCTTCGGGTCTGTCCTTCTTCACCTCTCTGTTTTCCTCGGCGGTTTCGAACGTTGCGAATACGGTGCGCGCGGTGGATTCGGCGGCGGCGCGCTCCTCGGCGGCGTCCTCGTCGGCGTCTGCGTCTGCGTCTGCGTCGGTGCCCGCTTCGGAGCCTCGTTCTGCGTAGGGTCGAGTGTGTGTTTGGACGCGGAGAGGGGAGCTGAGCGCGAGTCTGGGCCGCGGGATGAAGCTGGGCGGCGGGAAGAAGGAGAGTCTGCAGGTAGGGCTGGCTGCGCGCCGTGACGAGCAGGGGCTGATGGCCGAGGACCACCTCGTCGCCCCCGCGCGCCGCGCCGCGTCGGGGCAGGCCAGCGGGGCGAATGGAGGAACCGCGGGGAAGGCGGAGGGCGCGGTGCACGTGGGCGTGGAGGAGGAACTGTCGGTGAAACTGTCGCGCGACGGGCTGATCGAGAGCGTGGACGTGAAGGGCACGCTGTCGGTGCGCGTGCACGACGCGGGCGCGGCGAAGGTGCGGATCCAGCTGGGCGCGCTGAGCGCGGAGGGCTTCCAGTGCCAGCTCCACCCCACCATCGCGCGCTCTTTCTTCGCCGACCACGTGCTCCAGCTCAAGCAGCCCGACCGCGGATTCCCCGTCGACTCCACCGTCTCGCTCCTCCGCTGGCGCCAACCCGCGGGGGGCGACGCGCTTCTGCCCATCAACGTCACCTGCTGGCCCGAGAGCGAGGACGCCGGCTGCGACGTCAACGTCGAGTACACGCTCAACCCCGCCGTTCTCAAGCGCGTCGAGAACCTGCGCATCTGCATCCCGCTGCCGAGCGGCGCCTCGCCCGAAGTCCTGGCCATCGACGGCAATTACCATTACGTGGGGCAGGACTGCGCGGGTTAGACGTAGTATCCGAAGGAAAGCTTCCTGGAGTGGGAGGTGGACGAGGTGAGCGAGGAAAACGCGAACGGCGTGCTGGAGTTCAAGGTCAAGAGCGGACAGCCCGACGACTTCTTCCCCGCCTCCGTGGAGTTCGACTCCCAGCAGACCTTCCTGGAGGTGAATGTGTGAAATGAGGTGTGAAGTGACGCGTAGGTGGTGGATGTCCAACAAGTGGCGGATGGAGCTCCCGTAAAGTTCTCACAAAGCAGTTCGATGAGAGTATCGAACTATTCGATTGCTTAGTGGACCGTGTAGTGTGTGCGTTGCTGTGTTTGTTTCAAAAAAGCAGGAATCGAAAAGAACCCCTTGGTGGTATCAAATAGAGAGAATCCAGGCTATGGAGATTTACCCCCAGTGCATTTGATTTTCTGCTGTATTGCCATATAGTTGAGTGATTACTATTCAATTTAATCAACAGTCGTAAGTTTGAGTTGAAAGAAGCATGGGAGGACCGAATGGCGCGAGTCCTGCGTTTGTGAAAGAATTTTGAGAATCTCACTCGGGAGTAGATGGTTGCTAATCGCAGAGTTACCTACCGTCGTCGACACTCCTACAACACTGCTTCCAACAGAATCGAAGTCGTGAAGACCCCTGGTTTGTGGTTTGTGGTTGGAAGTAACGATTTAGGTGCTAGATTGACTGCCCACTATATTGAGAAGTCCGTTCAGGCTCCTAAGTGCCGTTGCTGCAAGAAAGTCCTTCCTGGAGTAAATGGTGGTTGTGAGGGGTAATGGTCAGATTCCCAGACTGCGAGTTAGCGATCTGAAGAACGTGACTCACTGCCAGCGCACTGTGTGCCGTGTGTATGGTGGAAATCTGTGCCACAAGTGTGTCCATGATCGGTAAGGAATTGAGTGTGTGAGTGAGTGTGCAGCATTCTGCGTGCGTTCCTGGTGGAGGAGCAGAAGATTGTGAAGCAGGTGGCTATGGCTAAGAGCGCTGCTAAGAAGGAGGAGAAGGCTTCCAAGAAGAGCTCGAAGGACGCGAAGGCCAAGAGCTCCAAGAAGACTGCCAAGAAGACTTCCAAGAAGTAAGGCTGTGCTTGATTTTGGTCACTCAATGTGCGCTGTTTGTTTGAGAAAGAAGCGGATTGCGAACGGATATGTCTTCCGTGTTCTGGAATGAAGGAAGAGATAGATAAATAGATGGATAGATAGATAGATAGTATTGATGCAACAGAGAATCTGCTCAATCTGCTGTAGAATCTCTCGTTCTCCTGTTTGGAAACGGTCCTTTGCCTGGATGTAGAGGTTTGGAGGCAACTTGAGAATAGTTCAGAACCGCGATATGATGATGAATATGGGTGGATGATCTCGATTTCCTCTCGGAAAGCAGTGACTGTGAACGAAGTATGGAAGTTTGGCGGAAGGATGAGGAAGTAGTTCCGGGGTGAACCATCTGCGAATATCCGCGAATATGTGAAGCTAGACGACGGTAGAACAAAAGTATCAGTAATATATGTATCCTAATAACAAAGTATGCAGGATATGAAATAGAAATACAAGTCTTTCTTAGTAAATCTCTAATATCCTTATCTGTATTTTTATTGCCTTATGTTTAACTCGTCTTTTGATAATCAGCTTGGGCAAGTCATTGAGTCGTTAGAGAAACTAAGACATGATGCTTTCTATCGCTCTGGAAGCGATTCTGAGAATGGAGATGCTAATTCTCGCGTAATAGAGTTAGAAAGGCAAGTAGCGCAGCTGAGTTTGGAGAATGAAAGAATGAGCGCTCATATCGAGTACTTGGAAGACAAAATTAGCTCGTACATCGAGAAGAGCCTGGAGAACATAACTCCCTCTCGGGTAGTGGTAGTGATGAAGAAGTTTTTCCACTGTGTAGAGCGATATTCCAGATGGAATTGTATTCGTGTCAAACAGTGAAAGAGGAAAGTGTATCACGTCTGACCAAGAGAAGCGTTCTTCGATGTTGTACGAAAAGGTTCCATTTGTTCTGAAAACGTATTGCTCTATTTTTCTATGCATTCTCAGATGTTCTCTTGAGTCATGTAGCGTATCTTCCGTGGGTAGTTACATCTTGAGTACTCCGTCTGTAAGCAAAAATGTTTCTATTTGATGTAGACATTAAATATTGTCCGTTTAAGTTGGGCGGATGACAAGAAACCTCACCACGTGTTAATCATCAAAAAGAAGTACAACAATGACGCATCCAAGGTGTTACGAGTGATGATCGACTGGTTCAACAAGCAGGGCATCCAAGTAATGGTTGAGCCCGACGTTTACAAGGAGTTGCAGCCCTGCAACGTAGTCACATGGAAAGAAGAAGTAGAGAGAAATTGATCTTCAGGCTCATTCCCAGGATCGATACAATCTCAGCAATCTGATCGACTTCGTCGTGACCCTGGGAGGAGATGGCACCCTTCTCTTTGCGTCCTTGCTCTTCCCTAAAACGGTGCCTCCTGTCATTTCATTCCACATGGGCACGCTTGGCTTCTTAACGCCGTTCTTTGCGGACAATTTCGTCCCCCCGCTTTCCCAAGTAGCTGCTTTCCGCGGGTTTGAGGGTAGGTAGTCAGGGGGAATGTGCCTCTTACCGTGCGGTCGCGTCTGGAATACAAGATCGTGAGGTGCCTGCCGCGCTCGACGGTGCGGAAATCGATCGACTACTTCGCCGAAGAAGAAGAAGGGAACGAGAAGCCGAGGCCGAAAGTAGAGATGGGCGAGCCGTGCGAAATAGATTCTGAACGACATCGTGATTGATCGAGGAACAGCCAGCAGCATGGTGGAGCTGAATTGCTATATCGATACCGATCTGATCACAACGGTGCACGCGGATGGGCTGATCATTGCCACACCGACGGGATCCACGGCATATTCAATGTCTGCTGGAGGATCGATGGTGCATCCGCTCACGCCTGGTCTTTTAATGACACCTATTTGCCCACACACGCTCTCATTCCGACAGATGTTGTTCCCGGATAGTACGGTGTTGCGTATTGAAGTATCGATGGACAGTCGATGCACTGCGTCGGTTAGTTTTGATGGACAGTTCAAAGAAACATTGAATCGGGGAGATGCGCTGATTGTTTGGATTTGAAAGAGCATTTGAGTGTAGATCCGAACATCGAAGTACCCTGTCCCCTGCGTATCTCCCGATGACAGCAATCGTGATTGGTTCAGAAGTGTAAGAGAGATGCTCCACTGGAACAAAGCTACGTCCTCTTTCATCCCGTCACAGAAGCAGCGGACTATATAATTTTCCTTTTGCTGTGTTTCTTCGAACATTCGTTTTCTTGATCCTTTTCCGGGGATTATGTTCATCAAAGTTATTTTTCATATATTACAAAAACGTTTTACAAATGGGATTTCTCACAGTTCCTAAAGTCAACCATTGTACAGGACTTGTTTTGTTGATCATCAACTGTATCTTGCCCGGTATATATAGTTAACAGATGCATCCAATTGTAGGAATTGGGACGATGATCGGAGGACTTATCAACGAAGGAGGGTGTGATTGCTGCATTTTCCTTTGCGGATGGGTCCAGCTGCTTACAGCTCCGTTTATTATAGGATGGGTGTGGTCCATTGTATGGGGATGTAAGATGTGGGTCTAAAGTGTTTTGTTAACAAAAATAATATGGCGCCATCAAATACAGACTATCCTGAAATGCATCAATCGTATCAAAATCCAGATCGGGAAATAGGAAGGCACTTAATCCTGCTCCCACTGCCTCAAGCAAGTAGGCAGCAAGACAATTTGTAAGAGTTATAATTACACACCTCCCAAAATTCGAAAATTCCTGGAAGCAATAGCTAGAGAAGTTCTCATAATAGAAAGCAGACTCATCCACCGACCGAGCATTGTAACAGAACCAGATATAACGCATAAGCCTTGCCAAAAAACAAGAAAAATCAAAGATGCAGCGAGATAATAAGGCCGAAAGGTGAAAAGGTACCGATCTACATAACATAGATACATACATTCTTTTTCCTGCGCTTAATCGATCATCTCCAGGATATTCTGCGTATTAGATTAATCAAATTCTCTCTACTCTGAGCTATGCGATTCAAAGTTCGAGTTGTATCATCCTTAGCAAGTTCGGTTAATATATTTTTTAATTTTGATGTTGAATAGTCTAGATAGAACACCTTAAAGCTGTTTTTCAAAAAGACTGTGAAAAGAGTTCTACAAAAGAAAGCTGACATTTTTCGCATACTTTTTGCTTTTTCGAATGGTGAGAAGATACTCATTCAAGGTTAGAATACCACCAAAGCAAATCCCTCGTTTTATCGATAATACTAAATTGCAACATGATGGATTTCCGAAGAATACATAATATGTCTTCAGATCCATCAGTAACGGAGTGTGACGGACAAAAAATGATTTCGGGTATTACAAGGAAAACAGGAATAATTGGATCTGCGTTAAGAACTACTCTGAATCGAGCACAAATCCAACGAGAATACTGTTTCTATCCTAAAGTGTATATATCAGAGTGTTCGCTATTCAAACCGCAGTTTGTGAGAAAGTATTCAAGAAAAAGCTGTTCAGATCGGCAGGCTCACCAGTGTGTGTTGTTCCAAGTGAAGGCAGTAAAATCTCTTGAGAATTAGAAAGTGAGTGATGAAACTAATCTTGTACAGTGTAATTGCTGTGAAAGAAGGTGCAGAATCAAAGATCAGTCTGCTGGGTACTGTAGAATACGATACAATGATAGAGGAAATCTATTCTTGAGTGTCTATGGTTATCCGTGCGCTCTTCAAATAGATCCCATCGAAAAGAAGCCACTCTTCCACTTTTTGCCTGGAACAAGGTCATTCTCTATCGGTACTTTTGGATGCAATTACCGATGCTCTTTCTGCCAGAACTGGAGTATTTCTCAACCTCTCAATGTTTCGTGCAATCAACCAAACATAGCAGGTCTTGTGCTCCAGTCCAGGGGAAGTCAGGAGTATTTTTCACCGCAGGCCATTGTAGCTCTGGCTTTAGAAAACCATTGTTCCAGTATTGCATTCACTTATAACGAGCCGACTACCTGGGGAGAATACGCGCATGACATAGCAGAAGAGGCACACAAGAAGGGATTGAAGTGTATTTATGTATCCAATGGGTCGATGACCGAGGAGCACTTGGAGTTCATCAAGAGTTCAATCGATGCAATGAACATCGATCTAAAGGCTTGGAATCCGGATTTCTACAGGAAGGTGTGCGCAGGGGACATCGAAGTGGTGAAAAGAAACATCCGACGTATTTGGGAGATGGGAATCTGGCTTGAGGTGACAACGCTTCTCATTCCAGGAAAGAACGATTCGGATATGGAAATTGGGTCTATTGCCCATTTCCTAGCGGACATCTCGCCTGCAATTCCTTGGCATATATCTGCGTTTCATCCTGATTTTAGGATGAAGGACATCGGGAACACTCCGGTCACAAGAATGAAGTTTGCTTATGATGTGGGCAGAGATGCAGGTCTGAAATACGTTTATTTGGGGAACATAAAGTGCGCGCATTGTGAGGATACTATTTGTCCTCAATGTCACAAGAAAGTGATTCAACGAAATTGCTTTCACGTTCAGTTACCAACTGACTCTACTATCAGCGGAGTGTGCCCTTCATGCGGAACAAAAATTGATGGCATTTGGCAGCAACAACTTTAGTAAATTCTTATTGTTTGTTCGGGAACACATTTCTATGTCTTCCACAACAACGGATTACCGGAAAATCGAACGAGGAATATTCGGCTCGTCTGATTTTGAGAGTTTTCAGAAGTGTCCTGTATTCGATCGAATTTAGAATTCACTCGTATAGTCCGTCCAGGAACTGAAGGATTTTGTTAGAAAATGCGGGGACAGCGTGATTAATACAAAACGCTCTGAAGTAAAAACCGTTTCGCCCGTATTCATTATGCCTGTGATTGAATTAAGATAATTGAGCGACTCATTGATATGCTACGTACCATGAACATCTGGATTCAAGAGATTCCTCCGTTGAAGCAGCCCTCTCGTTTTGGAAACAAGGCATATCGCATTTGGAATGAGCGTCTTTGCGAAGTATGCAAGTCAGTACCTACTAAGTCACAGAGAGCTCCTCAACTCATCGAAACAGTAATTCGAAAAGATAACCCAATGCTTTGCACAGAGCTGGCTGGATATCTTGAAGAGTCCTTTGGTAATCCTACTCGAATTGACTATGGAACCGGCCATGAAACGACATTCATAATCTTTTTGTGTACGAAACCTTCAACAATACCGATCTAGATTGTCTCTACAAGATTGGGGTTATTGGCGATTCTGATTTGCAAGCTCTGATTCTGAAAGTATTCGCTTTCTATTTAGCGGTTTGTCGCAACCTTCAGCAAGTTTATTGGTTGGAGCCTGCGGGATCACACGGCGTTTGGTCTCTCGACGACTACCAAATGCTTGTTTTTTACTTTGGAGCCGCTCAGTTGCACGGTAGGGGGGACACTGTACCAATATCGTTAACGTGGATAGGAAATGATAGTTTTGACCCGAAGTGTATCACAGATCGTAAGCTGATGAAGGAATACGCTCCAGAATATCTGTATTTCGAGGCGATCGCGTACATTCAGTCGGTAAGAACGTGGCAGCGGAGTGAAATCCAGACAAAGTCGGGACAGTTCTACGAAACGAGTCCCTTGCTTTATGATATAAGCGGAGCTGCTTCGTGGAGCAAGATTTGTGGAGGCATGTATAAGATGTGGTGCAGCGACGTGTTGGGGAAGTTCCCTGTGGTGCAGCACCTTCGATTTGGATCGATCTTCCCGCTCAATTGGACTCCTTCGAAGAACCCTGCGGAGCATGAATATGCCCATATCACGCCTCCGGATCAGAAATCGGAGGAGACGCAGGCGGTCTGTACGAAAGCTCCGTGGGCGAAGTGGATTGTTTGTTTGAAAAAACAGAATACCACAAGTCGTACTTCTCCATGCAAAGTTCAATGACTTCGTTGAGACTACACCATCAAAGAAAGCGAAAGCAAAACGAACATTGTTGTCATCTCTCTCGAGTAATCGAAGCCCCACAGTTCACGCCAGCGCTGCACCAGGATTTGCTTTTGCTTCCCCTACGTGTAAAAACCATTCTTCGATCTCACTCGCAAAAAATCCAATACTTCTTCATCGGTCAGCGGAGCGCAATACTCTTCCAACACTTTCATCATGTTCTGCTTCCTTCTCTCTCGCTCTTGCTGCTTCCATGCTTGCCTCTGCTCTTGAATTTGCTGCTTCCCGGCCAGCGATTGCATTTCTGTGATTTCATCGTGAATAAGAATCAGTAGATTATTATCTTGATTTAGCTGGCTGGCTATGACAGCGATCACGTTGATTAATTCAAATATCTCAATTCTGTCTTTCTGTAATTCGACTCGATTGCGAATGTCTTGCAGTTCTGGCCTCCCTTGGCATTAATCGAATGAAGTTCTACTACAGCGCATCGTTACAAATCGATCATAAAAGGAAGGGACAAATCCATGGTCGTTGAGTTCCACATCGAATCGTTTCTCGATATGTTCGATCAATTGCATCACGCGACTTCGAGGAATAAATAGCTCGATATCTACCCGATTAGAATCGAAGCCAACGCGATACCATCTGAAAGAACACGAGTATAGGTTGATAAATCAAAAAAGCGAACGATTTCGGAGATCAAAGCAGATGAAATTGGATAGATCGAGAATTGAGCAGAACCCTAATATCATAAGGGAGGGGAGAAGACATCTACAAAGATAAAGAGAGAGGAGCGGTTTGGAATTGCTTTGTAACGGAGAAGGAGAGCGTAAAGTGACTCTTCGGTGATGTTCGCCTCGCTGTTGTCGACGGTGAGTTCAGTCTTTAACAACTACTATGTGAAATGAATTGAGTGTGAAGCACAGTGTTAAAATAAGAAACCGCGTCCTGCAGACACTTCCAACCGAGAGGATTCTCTATCGGAAACACATTCAAGAGCTGGGTACGTTTATATAAGAAGTACGAGAGACGCTCGCAATACAATTCAAAGCTATACTCATCAAAAACATGTAGAATGTTTTGGCTAGGAAGAATTCTAAAATAATGCAATAGCTTCGATATAAAATTGTCCTTCTCTGAACGAATGACGTAAGCATAAAGGTCGTGCTGGTAGTGCTTACGAAAAGAGTATCCGATAAATCCAGCACAGCCTGCAATGATGAGTATTGTATTTCTCCATTTTCTTGACTGGAACGATTCTTGTTGGGGATTCAAGGCAACTTCCGGATTGACGATTATTTCTGTTCTTCCTTCTGCAATCTCTCCCGATAGAGATTGTTTTCCAGAACTCAAATTCGATTCTAGGAGGAAAACGAGAATCTTGCGATGTACGTTGCCGTATTTGTGTCCTTCTTATTTCCTTTACTCTTCTTGCAGTAGCCATCGTACGAAAAGCCTATATTTTATTGACCCATTTGAAAGCAAACTCCACGGCTTCGGATCGTCCGATTCGAGAAACGGAGAATATTCTACACCAAAAGGAAGCTAATCTGTTTCGTACAAACATCCATAAAATGAGAATAACCTCTTAATCCATGCGTGTCTTCAGTCTTCGTTCAATGATTCTGTCAGGAGTAATAATATACACAATTCCTCCCCAACCACTGTATGCATCTCGATCGACAGACGCGAGAAGACATTGCGAAATGACCTCAAAGAGCTCTTCTGGCTCCATGTTATCCTTGTAGCTATCAATAATAGGCAATGGCAAACACCCACAATGCTTCACAGGTTCCGTAGAGGCTTTCTGCGCAAGTGGCTGATATAGCGAACTTTGGGGTGTAGATTCCAGCACCAATTGTGTCCATTGCATTCACGTACGGTTCACCGTTCTAAATCAATGAGGTTATAATTAAAATACAAAAGTACCTTATCTAGTCCAGCAATCACAGGTTCTACGAAATAGGGACCCCAGCGATGCTGGTATTGCTTTGTCCGCACCAACGATCCAAAAGCCTCAGGACTAATGTCGCGATTTTCACGCAGTTTATAGGAATTCACTTCGTATGTTAATAACTGAGCGAAGGTCTGTGCATCTGACTGCAAACCATTGAAACCGATAAATATCTGGTCAGTCATCTTATATATTTTCTGGAAGTTACAGTCGACTGTTTGAAATTGGGCTCCAAGTCTCAGATCACTATCTTAGTCAGGCATAATTGAAATCTACCTCGCAATAGCGACGCAGTTCTTGCCTTTCATGGCAATGACTGCTGCTCCATTATATGACATAATATCAGACATCTTTCAAAATGGAAGACTAAACCAAAAAAGTAAGAAGTCTGTACGGCAAATCAATGACTCAATCATCTACTCAACACCTACTTAGTGACGCTTTATCAATAAGGATTCAATAAGTGTAAAGAAGAGAGAATGAAATATACCCTATTTTTGGAAAATGAGTCTTTGGACTGGGATGAAGTGCTACTCCATTCCAGTGAAAGGTTGACGCAAAATGGAAGATGGTTTTTTAGATGTCGTACATTTTCCGAACAGAAGATGGGGACATAGTTTACAAGTGGATTGTAGTATTTGGGCTTGTATGAGGGTCTGTTAATACAAATTGGAGATTCCGCGGTTTTCAATTTTCTAGAATAATCCATTATCAATTCACTATTTTATTTCTTTGTAAGCTATTATCTTGTATTCAGAGATGTCAGCTCGTGTATTATCTGTATTAGCATGACTATAGTCTAGGTTCCTTCAATGAAATGGGTTCAGGTCAAAGAAAATGTGTACCTGACCGTAACTGTATGTGACTTGGAGAATGTGAAGATCGAATTTGACGCGACACACATGTCTTTCAGGTTGTTGGCTTTCGCTTTGCTTTAATGTAGCGCGAACCAAAAGGATGTGAACTACGCTGTAAACTTAGAATTCTTTGGAGAAATTATCCCTGAGGTAAGAGATGGGATCGTTGTGTAACGTAGAAATGCGTATGGTCTCAGAATGGTCAGTGCGTTATGATTCTGCTAAAGAAGAAGTCCGATGACAAATGGACCTATTTGTTGAAGGTTTGACTGAGCGATCTTTTTCATTTTTAGGAAAAGAATTTGTACAAGAACCTTATTCAAATTGATTGGGATCATTACCAGGATTCAGATGAGGAAGACGCAGGCATGAACGTTCCTTTCTCCGGAGATTTTGAAAAGATGATGCAGTCTTATCAGCATGATGACCATCACTGCGATTCCTGCAGTTCTTGCGAATCTAGTGAAGAAGAAGACGAAGAAGAAGAAGGTGAAGATATGCCTCCTTTGGAATCTACCGAATGTTGTGTTTGTTGTTACAAACAATTCAAATCCGCTTCGTATTGCCAATTCCCTTCGAAATGTCATCCAGCCAGTCTTCATCATGGCGCTCCCTACAGATCGATCCAATTCCCCAATCTCACTTCATCGTGGCGAGGTCCACAAGCTCCTCATCATCCTCCAGTCCCTCTTCAGAAAGCTGCTTATAGCGCTTAATCGGCTCTGGGTCGTTCTTCCTGGCTTCCTCCTCTTCGTGCATATGGCGAAGCTCCTCCTCCGCATAGTCTTCCATAGAGCGGGTGGGTAGATTCCACCAAGGCTTAAAAACGTTCGCTTTGATTGTCTGGCGAGTGACTGACATGTCTGTTCCGATCTTGATCACTTGCATCGGTTTGCGACTGGCCTCTTCATATCCACGTCTAGAGACATAGAAGCACCTCCAATATTCCTACACAACCTCTTGATGGGGGTCCTTGCCTGCCTTTTGCATGTTTTGCATGTACTGAAGAATCTCCATCTCCTGAGGAATCATGCGGAGATCGTTGAGAGCTTTGCGTGAGCAGCTCTGAAGCGCAAGGATCCATTTTTCTCGCTCCAACTCTTCATCCACAACGCTCCCCTTCTCCTTTCTTTCCTCCATCGTTTTTATTTCTTGAAGACGAGCGTCGGTCTCCTTTTCGATACGGAAACGACGAATCTTCTCTTCTCGGAGAGTCGCTGCGTCAGGCTTGGTGTGATCTTCTTGTTGCCTTCATATTAGAGTGCTGCCTGCCAAACATACTCAATATAACGTTCATATTCTGCGGTTTCATCCTTTTGTAGAATCTCCATGCGCTTCAGCACATCCAGAAACGATTCTAGGTAGGATGTCGCCTTTTCCAAACGCGACAGGCGATCGTTCATCCCCTTTTGGTACACAAAACCGAGATAATAGCCCACAATCAAGTATTTTATATCATCTACCATTTATCCAACCGCAGGGAACCTACCTGTAGATATGTCCTTGATCGTTTCATTAATGCTGAAGAGATGTTCTCTGCGAATCAAAACTTCACACTCGTGTGCCTTCTCCTCCAACTTTGATATCAGTTCAGCGCCCGTTTTGTCATTTCCAGCAAAGAACTCGGTACTGAGTCGATTAAAGCAATTTTGGCACTCTGCAAAGACGGACTCGATATCAGACACTACATTCCAGAATTCAAACCACGTTTACATTCCACCGTGTTTTCCATGAAAGAAAAAGTGTGTACTAACAAAAAACAAAACTGATTTGACTTAAGAGGAAACAACTTTGAGGCTGTATGTTTACCAGTCGTCGTCATCATCACCGAAGAGACCGCCTCCGCTCATATCAATATCTTCCTCTTCCTCCTCTTCTTCCTCCTTAGCCTCTTCCTTCTTCTCCTCAGCAGCAGGGGCAGCAGCTCCAGCAGCGGGAGCAGCAGCACCTCCGGTAGGAATAGAAACGAGCTTATCAAGTCCAGCCTTGATCAGTTCCTCGACGTTCTTTCCATCGAGATCGGCCAGGAGCTTCTCAATCTTCTCGTCATCGGCCTCAGCACCAACAGCTTCCAAAACGGACTTAATGTTCTCAGCCTAGCTGTTAAATTATGTCTAATCGACTCATACAGTGGGCTTCTCATTTCCACCGATCATCAGCATCAGGTAAGCAGCAAGATGTCTCATCTACAGACTGGTAAGATATTTCGACGTAAAATTAGGGTGATTTCCACAAAATTGAATATAGATCCAATTGCCACTAACGACATACCTCCTAGATCAAAATCGAAGTATTTCTGGCTAATAAGAAAAGGAGATCCAGGGGATCGAAATGAGTTCTGTAGCTATTCTCTGAACAATTTGACTACCCCCACCAAAATTCATAATTTGGTATTGTATTCTCTAAAATAAACAGGGGAATACCCACAGAAACTACACGGTGAATACACTTATTGTTTAGAATATTGCTGAGCATAAAATTCTCTCATCTTTGCTTGAGGCATGTAAGAAATCTTCTTCTTCCCGGCGAGTTTGGCTCTACAGATGACACGAGAGTGTAAGTCACACATTCCAGAGGCAATCCATTCCAGAATAGAAGAAAAAGGTGGATCACTCTACCTCCTGAGAAAATGGTGATATACCCAATACGCGGTAAAGTTTAAGGAATAGAGACCCCCATGCGATAGCAAAGAGCTCGCACATGATCGTATTATTTACAATCAAAGTGATGAACGCATAAGCGAATGGAAGCACCTTTCTTTTTACAGAAAAACCTATGCGTTCAATCACCTTGCTGCTGTCGAAATACCCAGAATTTCCGTAGTCTCGTCAGGATCACGCATTGTGTCAATCGTGAGCAGAGTCATTATCATGAAATAGGCTCCATAATAAAGAGGATAAAACAAGCACGTAATCTAGATTATGATAAAAAAGAATTCACAAAATACCCAAAAACCAAGAGCAGCAAAAACAACTGATACTGCGAAATTGATAGGAATGCTTAAATCTGCATGAAAACAGTATATATGGAGCATACCTTTTGCAACCATCACAGGATGATCTTCATATGTTCGAAGATGACACACTCTGATACTCATTAATATACAGTCAAACAATACAATATCCAAATGAATAACAATGCATAGGGCATGGGATATCCAATCAAAAACAAAGAAGTGAAAAACCTCCAGATCTAGAATGATAATAATATAAACCATGATTATGCACCTGAAAGTTTAAGAATATCTTGCCATATCGCATGGCTACATCTTCAAGAGTAAATCTGTTCCAAAACGCAATGTAAGCGGATATCACCAATTCCAGCGCGTACAATAGCGAAAATGTTCCAATGAATCGATCTTTTTGCATGTTTCGATAATTAGATTTGTTTTTAGAAATCTTCAAAAGATAGAAAAGAGAACTTATTTTTGGCAAAGCATATTTTGGATTCATATTGAAAATCTGAATCATGGAAATTATTAAGAATGATGTGAAGAATAAATCCAAGACAGGCAAGAAGGCAAAAAAGGAGTACATGCCGTCAACCAAGTAGGTTACGAGATATTGCTAATTATTTTCAGTTCGAGCTATTATCGCATCACCCAGGGATTTAAGAACCTTTGGAAGCTCACTGGTGAAACAGAAGAGATTCGCATGAGAAACATATCTTTTTATAATATGGTTACAGTTCTTAATTGGTAGTTATCGTTTTTTGTGAATACTGCTCTCTTTATTGGGTCCGTCTTCCTCTACGACAAGTATGGTAACATGGTGGCAATCTAAAATCGACGGGGCTATGATGCGGTTATCGTTTTGTAGGTGCACCAGTATATGGGTTGGTTTAGTTCATATTATCTTTGTTTGTTGAATCGAAACAAAGCAAACGAGTGTTTAGCTATGTATTCTTCAGACGAAGAGCAATCTTCCGTAGTCGAGAGCAACGAGTATTCCGATTCTGCTGATGAAGAGGTTTTTGGATGTTTTAGGGATGGTCACAGTTAGGTATCAATTCCGGAAGAAGAATGGGTTAGAGAGGAGGAAGAATTAGATCAAAGTATAGCAGCTGCAGGGGATATTGTCAATAACTCTGTTGCATTGTACTTTCGTAGTAACAGCGACTAATGCGTAGAAATGAACAATATGATGAAGCAATTCTGTCAATCCGTGAAATGATGCAGGAAGAAAAGTATTCGGAAGCTCGCGGCATGTGTTTGAATTTATTAAGCGGAGATTTAAAATACCGGTGTGTGAATGCAGAGTTCTGGAAGTTATATGCAAATGCTGAAAAGGAACGAATAGTGGCCCTTCCTGATATATAGAAAGTCGGAACAGCCGACTCTGTCATTGCAGTGTACGATCAAGGCTGCAAGTTTTTAAAAGACCCTCACGAAGTTCTGGACTTATCGCTGGTGCGATTATGCAGTGAAATTGAGTTTAGGACATGCGTTCCTACGTGGAAGACATTGTTGCGGAAGAAGAAGCAGTGAACGGGATCGATCTCCCTGTTTCCCAGCAGGGTGAAACACAAAACAAGGCGTAATTCGTGTGTACCGCCCTCTTCCGTAGTCCAATAGCCGAAGCCATGTTCAATCTCATGAAGCAGTACGATCGTCGAAGTCTGAGTCATGTCGAGTCTCCCTTGGGAACTCCAATCCGTCCTGAAGGAAAGAGAAGGCGGTGCGACGTGCAGCGAGATAGTAAAGTGTAGTCGCGAAGGGTCCTTTTCTTCCAAAGGAATCGATCTAAAGAACGAAGTTCAGTCTACGCAGATCATCTTAACTCCGATCAAAGCGTCTCCCAGTCAGCAGAGGAAGCACAAGTGCGGGTTTATTCTATCTCCCGTGCGCAAGAGTACGCGTCTTATGAAGCAGCAGAAGCAGGACATTGTGAGTGATAAACTGGTAATGACAACATACGCATATGCGAATAATGAGTACATTAAAAACAAACCGATTGATGCATGCTATCGTTTCTTATAAATACAAGCTTTTAGGGCGGGAATGCCTTGCGCCTTCCTCTTTGTCGTATCGGCCACCTTTTTGAAAAAGAATAATCCAAAATGCGTATTTCGTACATCCTATGGATGAATTTTATATCACCCAATAAAACGTACTTTCCGAATTAAACGAAAGCCTAGCTTCTCGATCGTGCTGATAAAACCTTTTTCACCTCCGATCTCGCTGCTTTCAAAACGACTTCGCACTTCCGCAATCTAGAGTTTTAAGGAGATCGCGAGAATGAATACCCAAAGTTGACCATTCAGTTTCAAACAGCGATTGCTTTCCACGATAAACTCACTCCAGTTCGTCCCCATCAATGCCAAACAATAGACAGCAATGTCCAGGGACTTGTCTGCTAAAGGAACGTTTGCAATGTCACAGGCAGTAATGAAATCTTCCTTCGACACCAAGTCAAAGCTGTGCACCACATGGTTTTTGCATTCTTTGTATATTTTTCCATCGCCACAACCAAAATCTCCAACCTCTTTCTTTGGGAGCTTTCTACATGGGACATATAGATGAAAACTACTTTAATACACTGATAAATACATCTACAGGGACTAAAGGCCAGCGAGTGACTTGCTCACGAAATCCTTGGTGATAAACATCGAATAGACTTTCATCCTCTTTGATCATTCGCAGGGAGTCTTCTCCGCTCTGTGTGTAAAGTTGCTCATTGATCCATCGAAACTTCGATCCCTTCACCTTGTTTTGCAGCTGTGCCAAAAACCCATTCGAAATTTCCCCAGTTTTCGAAATGACGACTTTGGCCTTGAGACTCCGGTGGAGCTTCCCCTTTTTCTTTTCATTGCTTTTCTCCGCCTTTTCGGATGCTTGTTTCTTACTTTTCATGCCTTTTAGAAGTAATTTGAGTTTTTGTAAGTTGTTTTGCATTATGTGTAAAGATGTGTCTATAATAATGTTCAAATAGTGTGTAAGATTGCTGAGTGAAAGGAATGTCAGTACTTTTCACTGGAGTGTAGAAACGGTCACTTGAACAATTGAATAGTCCCCATTTTTACTCTATTCAACAAGCTGCAATCGCAATAATCGCAGAATCCAAGTGAATATACTAGAGTAAATATCCAAGCTTGATATTCCATCTAGATTCCAACGTGACCAGTCCATTCAACACTAGGTTTAGAATCGTTTGGCGTCCAATTTGTAAATTAGAATGGTATGTGCTTGAGTAGTTGGTAGCAGTGCTAACCTCTGTGTAGAGCGACAAGGCTAACGTGATGAGAAACATCAGAGTGGAGAAGCTGGTCATTAACATTTGTGTTGGTGAGTCTGGAGATGCTGTCTCCAAGGCTGCTCGTGTCTTGCAGCAAATCTCTGGACAGGAACCCATTTATGGAAAGGGTAGGGAATATGGGTTTGAAAATCCTAATGCAATAGCTCGCTTCACCATCCGTTCCTTCTCCATCCGTCGTAACGAGAAAATCTCCGTGCATGCCACCATTCGTGGTGAGAAGGCTCTGGAGATCCTTGAGCGTGGCCTGAAGGTGAAGGAGTACGAGCTGGTGAAGAGAAACTTCTCCGACTCTGGAAACTTCGGTTTTGGTATTCAGGAGCACATTGATCTGGGTATCAAGTACGATCCCAACACCGGTATTTTCGGTATGGATTTCTACGTGCAGCTGGCTCGTCCTGGTGGCCGTGTGAGCAAGCGCAAGGCTCAGCGCAGCCGCATTGGCTATTCTCACAAGGTGACTCGCGAGGAGGCCATGGAGTGGTTCAAGAAGACGTACGATGGAATCATTCTGGACAAGGCTAAGTAAAGTCTTTCAAAGAGAATCAATCAGACGCCATGATAACTTGTTTATTTGCAATAAACACGAGATTCATTGATTTGTGTTGTTTTTTGGATTGTGGTGGTACCAGGTGGATTCTAAATCGTGTGTAGTAGTAGTAGTAGTAGTAGTAGTAATAGTACCAGGTGGATTCTAAATCGTGCGTAGTAGTAGTAGTAGTAGTAGTAATAGTACCAGGTGGATTCTAAATCGTGCGTAGTAGTAGTAGTAGTAGTAGTAGTACCAGGTGGATTCTAAGAGGTTGGCAATTACAAATCTTCGAAAGCAAGTGGCAGTTACAGAAATTCTAAAAGTATCTCGGTAGCAAATCTACCAAAAGTGTAGCAGTAATAGGTAATGCAAAACCTCAAAGAACCAAGAGTCGAAACTAAGAAATGCAGAATCAGGCCTATTTTGGGATTCCAAGATCTCATATGGATACAAATAAAACTTCTTATTCCCCGTTCCGATTCGTATTATTCATTAACATATTATCCGAATGCTGTCGATTGCCTCTAAGAGAGTTTTACGTGTTGCCCTCGCAAGACCCTTTTCGGTAGAAGCGCAGAAAGTTTGCCAGAGTGGAATTCTCCCAGAAGGAAACAATAGCGCCTACTTTGGAATATATAATCTTAACTATGAGAGAGTGGCTACTCCAGAAGGTCGTCAGCAGTTGATTGACGCAGTGAAGGGTTTCGATGGCCTTTTGAAGGAGACATCATCCGATTTGAAGACAAAGATCGTTGGTTGCGTGTCTTTTGGTAAAAAGGCGTGGTCGACTCTTTGTGAAGGAAAGGATTCTCTGAAGGGTACTGGAGATAAACTTATTGACTTCCCTGGATATGGTATTGCTCCTGCGACGCAAACCGATCTGTATATCCATATTCATAGTAAGAAGGATTTCGCCACGTTCGAAGCAGCCAAACTTATTATTGACTCGTTCAATAAGGAATCTCCGATTATGAAAGTGTTTGATGAGAAGAATGGCTTCGTCTACAAAGATAGCCGCGACCTGACTGGCTTTATCGACGGAACTGAAAATCCGCATGGTCCTCAGCCCCGAATTAGTGCTGGTCTGGACAGCAATGGAGCTTCCTACTGTATTGTTCAGCGCTTTGTCCACAATCTGCCGAAGTGGAATAAAGTGTCTGTGTCTGAGCAGGAACAGGTGATTGGGCGCACAAAGTTGGACAGTGTGCAGCTCAGTCCCGTTCCTCACAATTCTCACGTGGGTCGTTCGGACGTGAAGGAGAACGGAAAGGGTCTTAAGATTGTTCGTCAGTCCCTGCCCTACGGAATTGCAGGATCGGAGAAGGGACTCTGGTTCACTGCATACTGCCACGACCTCCACAACATCATCGAGATCGAACGTTCGATTTATGGAGAACGAGATGGTGTGTCTGATCGTCTGATGGAGTTCATTACGCCTGTGACAGGATCTTTCTTCTTCACTCCCTCTCTGAATGATTTGAATAAGCTCTAATACGTAATCCCGAGTGCTATGATGCGTTTGTTTGAGAAATTAAGCAAGTGAGAAATCAATTAATTAATAAATATGTGGGATCCCACTCCAAAATTCCATTTCCTTCCCAACCACAAATTTTCAGATAGGTAAGAATCGTTCTTTCATTTCTATATAGTTGTTTTGACGATTTACATGTCGAGACATCATGGCACCGAAGAAAAAGAATAACAAGGCGAAACAACCCATTCAGAAAGAGGACGATTTTGATTTAGACGCATTTTTGGAGCAGGAGGCAACTGCGAGTAAGGAAACGGCCGAGCCAGTAGAGGAAAAGCAGGGAGAATCAAACAAGAATGTGGAGGATACCCCTGCTGCACCATCGCAAAATCTGGATGACGCGGCAGCAGCTTTCCTCAGTAGCTTAGCGCCTCAATCGTCTGGAGGTAAGAAAAAGAACAAGAAGAAGCCTGCAAAAGCTGCCACTCCTGCAGCAACTGCTAATGCAACTGCAGCAACTGCAGCAACTGCTGAGGAAGAGGTGGCGGTGGTAGCTGCGGAAGGAGATGGCGAGAAACCGGAAGGAGCCAATGCAGCTTCCACTGAAGGCGGAAAGAAAGGAAAGAAAGGAAAGAAGGATAAGAAGGCTCCTGCAGAGCCCAAGCTGTCTGCTATGGCAAGAAAGATTCTTGAAGAAAAGGAACGTCGTGAGAAGGAGGAAAGAGAACGTCTACAGCGCGAAGAGGAAGAGCGTCTGAAGCGTGAGGAGGAGGAACGTTTAATTCGTGAGAAGGAGGAAGAGGAGGCTCGTATCAAAAGGGAGAGGAAGGAGAGGAAGAAGAAGAGGATTGAAGAAGCGAAGAAAAACGGTACCTATCTTACCAGTAGTCAGAAAAAGAAACTGATCAATGCCCGTTATCGTATGGGCTTAACCCAGCAGATTGCCCAACAAAACTTAAGGAATGCAGCGGAGGCCCGAGCAGAGGCAGAAGCGGAGGCCCGAGCGGAGGCAGAAGCGGAGGCCCGTGCAGAGGCAGAGGAAGTGAAGAAGGAAGAGGAGGAGGTGGAGCAGAAAGAAGAAAAAGATACGAATGCTGTTTTGGATGATTGGGAAGATGAATCTGTTTCTGAACCAGAACCGGAAAAGAAGGAAGACGACGTTCTTGATGACTGGGAAAATGATCCTTCTCTTGATCTGGAATCAGAGCCGAAACCGGAGCAGGAGCCAGAACCGAAGCCAGAACCGAAGCCAGAACCAAAGTCGGAACCAAAGTCGGAACCGAAGCCAGAACCAAAGTCAGAACCAAAGCCAGAACCGAAAGGAAAAGGAAAAGGAAAAGCGAAACCGGAGCCAAAGCCGGAACCGAAACCGAAACCGAAGACGAAAGACGAGTCCTTGAAGGAACTGCGATCACCGATTTGTGTGATTATGGGTCACGTCGATACTGGTAAAACCTCGTTACTCGACAAAATTCGACGCACCTCCGTTCAGAAGAGTCCGAGAACGTTCATTTTATCATTTTGTAGATGAGGCCGGAGGTATCACGCAACAAATTGGTGCTACCTACTTCCCGATAAGTAACATCAAGCAAGCTACCGAGAAATTGACCAAGGAGCTCGAGCTGCAGTATAAAGTTCCTGGTCTGCTGGTGATTGATACACCTGGACATGAGTCATTCAGTAACCTCCGTTCTCGTGGTAGCAACTTGTGCGACATTGCCATTTTGGTGGTGGACATCATGCATCTTCTGGAGCCCCAGACGATCGAGTCCCTCAACATGCTGCGATCTCGCCGTTGCCCCTTTATTGTTGCCCTGAACAAGGTGGATCGTTTGTATGACTGGAAGGGACATCCCTATGCCACATTCCGCTCCTCTCTGAAGCAGCAGCCCAGTCACACCCAAGAAGAGTTCGAAACGCGATTGGAGCAAACGAAAATTGCGTTCATGAACCAGGGCCTGAATGCTGCTCTGTACTATGAGAATGATAACCCAAAGAACGTGATCTCGCTTGTTCCCACTTCTGCTATTACGGGAGAGGGAATTCCTGATCTGCTGGGTCTGTTAATCAAGTACTCGCAAGATTACATGCCGAAACGTCTGACACTCACGGAGGAAGTGAAGGCAACGGTGTTGGAAAAGAAGGTTATGGAGGGTCTGGGCACGACGTTGGATGTGATTTTGGTGAACGGTCGACTTCGTGTGGGAGACACGATCGTGCTGTGCGGTATGAATGGCCCCGTCGTCACTACCATTCGTGCGCTGCTCACCCCCCACCCAATGCGTGAGCTGCGAATCAACACTCGATACGAAGAGCATGATGAGATCCGTGCAGCGATGGGTCTGAAGGTGGCTGCGCAGAATCTGGATGATGCCGTCGCGGGTACTTCCCTCATGGTATGTCGCAACAACGACGAGCTCCCGATGCTCCAGGAGCAGGTACAGGAAGAGCTGGAGAGCGCGCGTCGCTTGCTGAAGGTGGACGGAGAGGGCGTGTTCGTGCAGGCGTCCACGCTGGGCTCTCTGGAAGCTCTGCTGGAGTTCCTGAGCTCGCTCGACCCGCCCATCCCTGTGGGAGCGTTCAATATCGGTCCGATCTCGAAGCGAGATGTGATTCAGGCGTCGGTGATGCTAGAGAAAAAGCGGGAGTATGCAGTGATCCTGGCGTTCGATGTGAAAGTGACGCCCAACGGAGCGCAGATGGCGAAGGAGCTAGGTGTGCGTATTTTCTCTGCGGACATCATCTACCATCTGTTCGATCAGTTCACCAACTACATCAAGGAGTTGCGCGACAAGGACACCGAGGTCAAGCGCAAGGAAGCGATCTTCCCGTGCATCATCCGTATCATCCCGCAGTACATCTTCAACCGTTCGAATCCGATTGTGGTGGGAGTGGACGTATTGGAGGGTATTCTCCGTCCAGGCACGCCGCTCTGTGTCGTGCAGAAGAAGACAAAGGAGGTAGTGCGCAATCGGAAAACGACGCTGGAAGACTGGATTCCGGATAGTGATGAGGACGATAACTTGAACTTCCAGGATAGCAAGAAGAGCAAGAAGCTGGGTCAAGAGGTGGAGGTCGTGGAGACAGTTACGTATGTGGATATCGGCGTGGTGCAGAGCATCAAGGCGGATGACAAGGAGGTGCCGGAAGCGAGACCAGGAAAGGCTGTGTCGATTAGTATCCTGCCGAAGGAAGGATCCAAGCCTGCACTGCTGGGAAGAACCTTCCTGGAGTCAGATGATTTGATCTCTCACGTAAGTTTGTTGGGTTGGAGTGACTTGTAGCTCTCGCGAAGAAGCATCGACGCGCTGAAGGAGTTCTTCAAGAATAATCTGAGCGATGATGACTGGAGACTGGTCATTAAGCTGAAAGGAATTCTGAACATTATTTGATCTGTTTGTTCACATTACTCTTCGCTTTATTCTGTTGTTGAGCTCTTCATGCTGTCTACGTGTTTTCAATCACTTGCAAAGGGAATGGTGCGCGCAACCTCCCTCGCTCCTCAGGTTTTCTCCGCCTCATTTGCCACTGGATTGAAGCTTGGAGATGGGCAGAAAAGAGTATACACTTCCGGTTTGGGCTCATAAAACAGCCGTCGTACAAGTTGTTCACGATCTTCCGATACAACCCTGATAAGGACGTCAAGCCTCACTATGAGAAATACGTTATTGATCTGAACGAGTAAGGATATGTATTCGCGTGTAACGCGTAGTTGTGGAACCATGGTGTTGGATGCTCTGTTCAAGATCAAGAACGAGCAAGATCCTACTTTTGCGTTTAGAAGGTAGCGATAGCCGGATTTTTAGGACCGTAGATCGTGCCGTGAGGGTATTTGCGGTTCGTGTGCCATGAACATTAACGGCGAGAACGGTTTGGCTTGTTTGACTAAGATCCCCAAGGATAATAAGGTTTGCACGGTGCGTCCTCTCCCCCACATGTTCGTCATCAAGGATCTCATCCCCGGTAGGCATTTTCTTTCTCTCTCTCCCTCCTAACGCTCAGATATGACGAACTTCTACGAGCAGTACGCGTCGATCAAGCCGTGGTTGCAGAAGAAGTCGGCTGTGAGCACGGACTACAAGGTGGAGAACCTGCAGTCGCACGAGGATCGTCTGCTTCTGGACGGTCTGTACGAGTGCATTCTCTGCGCCTGCTGCTCGACGTCGTGCCCGTCGTACTGGTGGCACGGCGATAAGTATCTGGGCCCGTCGATTCTGCAGCAAGCGTACCGATGGATCGCCGATTCGCGTGATGAGATGACGGAGGAGAGACTGAAGAGTCTGGACGATACGTACAAGCTGTATCGATGCCATGCGATTATGAACTGCACGCACGCTTGCCCCAAGAATCTCAATCCGGGAAGATCGATCCACAAGCTGAAGCATGCCATCCATAAGATGCACTAATTATCTTTTATGCCTTGTTTGGTTGGTTGTTTGTTTCATACATAAATATAGCAAACTATCGTTATGGAGGAAGGACAGAACTGGGTGGATGAAAGCGTGGGTCTCCTAGCTGTTTCTAAAAGAGTAGACCATCTCTGCGAATCAATTATGGAGTTCATCTCAATTGAACATAAGAGATGTCAAAGAGGAGTCGGATGATGAAGAGAAACCTCAAAATCAACAGAGGTACACTGAGTCGTATGAAACAGAGAGTTGCCGCTAAATTCTTAGATTGCAAAGCAATTTTTATTTCTATGCATTCCTTATGATATCGATAGCTTCCTATGCCATTGCTATGCTGAAGTACTTCCCAAACGTGCTGGTGTCGGAAATAACTCACTGTTAGATAGAAAACCAATGTCAGTTTTATTCCTTTTGGATGGGTTTTGGATCTATCTCGTGTATTGCAGCAGTTGCTCAATTTGAAGGTTATGGACAGTTCTTTGGAAGACTTTTCGAAAAAAGAATACTGCCCCTGTCTCTTTGTTTTTGTCTATCTCTTTGTGAGTTATTGGAGTCATTAGTTCATACTAGTTGGTTGCATTTTTTCAGGACTTCGAAATCAGTGTTTTGTGAGTGTTATCAATTCGATTATTCAGGTAAGGATAGGGAGGGAGGTCATGAAACCTAGTGTTTGTGCCTTGTAATTCTCTTCAGTCTGTACACATCAACTCCATTTACCTTTTTCTTGAGTAATAATACTACAGCTGTACGTTTAGCACTAGGCCCATTCGCTGTTCAAAAAGCAAAGGACTGACTTTGTTTGTTTATTACAAACACAACCTCTAAATCATCAAATCGTTATCAGCATCGTCTTCATCACCATCTTCGTCTGGTTCATCTTCTTCAACAACCAACTCCGGAGCCTTGTTTTCCGTAGACGTCATAATCGTAATCGAATCTGCATAGGACTTTGCTGTATGTGTATGTTGCTCCATCTCTTCGGACTCTTTGGGCGTGGTAAGGGTGCATTGATTGTCCTCTATTTTAACTCCGTGAGTGGATCGAAGAACCTTTCCGGACTACACAATGATATCACTGAGCACAAATAGCAAACAGGCTTCACGAGGGTAATGCTTAGAGACGATTTGGAGATATTCATAGAGAAGGAACAAAGACGCTAAAATGGGACGAATGACAACCAAGTCTACTTCAATAGCACTGATGTGCACAGGGAGAACCAGTTCCTCCGGTAATGCGATTACAATGAGCTTAGCCAATGGCTTTTCTAGATCAAAATCACAAAATAGCGAAACGAAACGAAGCTTGTAATCCCCTCATGCTTTCTAATATTTGAAATATCGAAAAGGAAGAAATATTGGTAGAATTTAACAGAGGGTATAGAGAATCGATATATACCACGCATTGATCATTCTCCCTTTCAATCTCGTTGTGAATAGAATCAGCGGTCTAGTGACAGTAGGAAATGCAATTTAATACCACTGAAATGGGTAATAGCCGTAATGTATCCTTTTCGAAAAGAGTCTCCAGAGACGCCTTACTGATATCCTGCCATTGAAGAAAATTAGTAAAAACCGACAAACCGAGTACAGTAGATGTGATGAACGTCAGGATTTATCTCGCAGACCTATGTGGGATTGAAAGATATGAAATACAGAAGAAAACAAAGTCTTTAAGAGACAAAGGGAAATGTCTTTATCGACGATGCTATAACGAATGCAGCACAGAACATTCCTCTTGCCCTTGCTGGTATATACCGATTTCAAAATGTCGTCCATTTTATGAGAGAATTGTACAGTAGTAATACATACAGATTATAGATCACTAGACGCTTGTCATTTCCATGTCCTCTCTTATACTCAAACAAACACTCTTTCAGGTATGAGATTTTCGTATTTGCTTGCTCTCTTCTTATTCGCAATTCTGTGCCTATCTGCTGTGCATATCCTTTGAGTAGTTGCCTTTTGGGGTATTAACCTGCTTTCCTTTACGCACACCCGCCTATGCTCAAGAGGATGTTGACGCTGTTGACACCCCTGCAGAAGGTGACGATATTGACGATATTCTTGATGCCACGATTGAAGAACCCGAGGAGGCTGACGACGACATTAACTACGAAGCAGACGAAGAGGAACCTCTGGCGATCAAGCCTTTGAGACTGTTCACGCATCCCCTTACTGACATTCCTGAGCCTTCCTCTGATATCGAAGTGAGCTACAAGGTGCTGACTGGTAAGCATTGTGGAGCCTGTATCATGTGTTCAGAAGACTATGCCCTCGCCGAGCCTATTCGTGTGATTGTGAATCTGAAGAACAACGGAGTGACTGTGTACAACGTTACGGATTGCATGGGCTCTCTGAACGATGTGGATGATTTCTCTCACTACCGCCAGAACGTAATCGTGTGTAGCTCCTAGTTGAGTTGTAGTTCACGGAGCGCAATTTCAACAGCACTTTGTACCCTGGCTATGAGATGAACTTTTTGTATGTGTTCGGCATCTACGATTTCATCGATCCTGCTGAATACCAGCTCGCTCTGACCATTTTCTACGAGACGGACAGCGATTACTACGCCTCCACCTTCCTCAACGAGACCATCGAGGTGGTCGATCACAGCCGTGTGATGGACTTCCAGATGTGCGTTGTTTGGCGAATGAATGAAGCGTAGGATGACGATTATCGCGTTCTTCTTGGCGCTGGGATTCTTCTTCTACAAGTATGTTCTGTCAAAGAAGGCCTCTAAGGCGGTTCCTGCGGACAAGAAGAAGAAGAATAATTAATGTGGGTTTCACTGTCATATTGTATTGTTTGTGGGTAATATAATTCGAGCACACTCTGCAAACAGAAGCGGTTGAGAAAGAAATTGCTTTTTGACAAGAGAACATAGAGTGATATTATAAGCTATCCTCCCCATAATTGGATGAATATGAGCAAACTAGAATTCTATTTGACAATTATCAACACTATTTATAACACATCGGTCTACTGAAAAGTGAATCTTGGAGGTGAATTGGAATCGAAACAAGTGATAATGTATATATATTGTTTTGTAGTTTCTGTTCGCATCCCTACGTGAACCACACTCGTAGCAATAAGTTAACGAACACCCCTTCAGCACCAAAGCATTCAAGCTTGGTATTTTTTTCATTCGAACCTGGTGTATGCACGACACTACTATTTCCAGTTTCCATCTATCTATCTATTTGTTTGTTTGTTTGTTTGTTTGTTTGTTTGTTTGTTTGTTTCAACAAACACATCGATTAAGGTCGGCACACACGCACCGTAGTGTCGCCCACACTCTCCTTAATACTCTCTTACAGAATCGACTGCTGCTTAGTACTCCTTCACCTTGGCCTCCTTGCTGAGGAAATCAGTGAACTTCTGGTAGGGGATCTGCTCAGTGCAGGTGTTGTTCCAGAAGTTAGGAGTGTAGTACGAGTAAGTGTGCTTCAAGGCAGCGAAGCAAGCCTTGATCGAGTTACCCAGAGTACGGGTGTGACCACGCGAGCTGGTGTACACATCATCAATTCCAGCCAGAGTCAGCATCTTCTTCAGGACGGGAGAAGCGACGACTCCAGTTCCACGAGGAGCAGGAATCAGACGCACACGCACAGATCCGCACTTTCCAGTGACCTTCATCGGCACGGTGTGCACGTCTCCAGCGTTGTCACCCCAGTAACCACGGCGGACGGGAATGATCGACATCTTGGCAACCAGAATGGCTCCCTTGATGGCTCCGGCGACTTCCTTAGCACACTTCGAACCAAGACCCACATGACCGTTGCTATCACCAACGGCGACGAAAGCCTTGAAGCGGGTTCTCTGACCGGCAGTGGTCTGCTTCTGGACGGAGAACACCTGCATGACCTCCTCCTTGAGCTCAGGGACCAGTCTGTCCACGATTTCGGGCTCCTTGATGGGAAGAGAGAACATGTAGATCTCCTCGATGGAGGTGATCATTCCGGCCTTCACCAGACGACCAATCTTGGTCACAGGCACCCATTCCTTAGACTCCTCAAGACCACGGCGAGGACGACGACCCTCACGACCACGGCCACGGGGGCGGCGCTCTTGCTGAGCAGGAGCAGCGGGAGTGGTCTCCACGGGAGCAGCTTCAACAGGGACTTCAGTAGCAACAGGGGCTATTCTTCAGACTGCATACTCCACTTCCCTACCTTCAGACATTTCTAGTTCAATCGGGCGATAGAATTCTGACCAACTAAATGGTTTTCTGGAATAGGGTGCATATAAATGGACCATACCATCTTCGATAGATTATTATAGCATAACATTATAGGTTTTTATTCTCTTTAACCACTCTATATTACTAAGCTTGCCGCCTTGGAATAGGGGAGCCAGACGAACGTAGTGGATTGCTGTGCTCAGTTCTAACACTAGGCGGTACATGAACTTATCGGAGATAGATGACAAATATTTAGAATTGGCATATGAAGAGGTGAGTCAAGGCGAGCAACAAGTGAGGTGTAGGCCAACGTAGCCTTTGAGGAACGAGAAGTACCCATTGGCTGTGTTTTTGTTAAAGATAATGTTGTGATTGCTAGAGGGCATAATTTTACAAACCAAACAGGGAATGTTTTCCACAGTGGGGGAGACTGACTTGTAGGCGACGCTTCATGCAGAGATGGTTGCGATTTCACGCACTCTAGGGGCCAATGGGAACGATCCCACGATCTTTGAAGGAAGTACTTTGTATGGTAGTCGGTTAATATCTGTTGTAGATATGTGACAATTGAGCCGTGTATTATGTGTGCCTCTGCGATAGCTCAGATTGGGGTCAGTAGAGTTGTATTTGGAGCGTCCAATGATCGCTTTGGAGGCTGTGGTTCGGTTCTCTCGCTTCACGATCAGAAGTATTACAGTCTAAAGGATTTTCTTGTAGCGAATTTAGCGCTGGCCATAAGCACTATGAGGTGACACGACATATCCAGAAAGAGCGGTCGATCGAGATTTTACAGCGGTTTTATAACCGTGAAAACGAGCATGCCCCGGAGAACAAAAAGCGAAAGAAGGGTTCGTGAAATGTTTGTGGGAACAAAGAGTATTTCGAACTTGAATACACTAAAGGACACTAGTCGTAGTAGAAGTAGTAGTACTAGCAGCTACTACTGCAACTACTACTACTACTACCACTACTACCACTACTATTACTACTTAGGGGCACAGTACTCGTGCAACCGATTAGGATCTCCAGGAGATCGATCATGGAGGGTATTCTTGTCGATATAGGACAAACCTTGCATAACTGCTTCACGAAGTGGTTTGTGATCCTTGCAAACGGCTTCAAACATTTCTCGGCGGCATCGCAAACTTCCCGGGATATCAACAAAAATGTTGAAAAGGGGCTTAAGAAGCTCATTTGTCGAGAAATGCTGCGTGTAGCCATTCTTTTCCATTTGCTCACAATACTCCACATATTTCATGACCGTCTCAAAAGGACTCAGAGAAGGGTTCGGCTCCCCATAAAAGAACTGATCGATAAAATGAAAGTTCCAAGGAGCTTTCGTTAGAAGTCTTCCAATCATTACGCCTCGAAGCTGCCTTCCACTTTGGCTCTTTCTCTCGAGCAAATCCTTGGCTTGACCAAGACTTAACACACCTCCGTTAATGGAAAAGTCAATGCACGGAAAATCGTCCAGGAGCCGATATACCCAATCGTAATGGAGGGGTGGAACGGAACGGTTCTGCTTGGCAGAAAGACCTGAAAGCAAGCACTTTCTAGCATGAATAATAAAATGCTTTGCGCCATAGCATGGCTGAATCTCTTGTCTCTGAATGCCATCCGATTCAGATTGAACGGGAGGCATGAGGGGATCGCTCTCCGCTTCATCATCACTGGCAGAAGCAAATGACTTTCTATCTTGCTCTGTGCCAGCACCTGACACTATCCGGATAAAACGGCATAGTTCTTCGTAGCTGTCATATTCTACGATGTTATGAGCAAAACATAATTTTAAAAAATAGATACGATCCACTCCAATCCGACATTTTACAGTTACAGGTATCGATAGATGACGCTGGAGATGCTGCACGATGTCGTAAACTCTCCATGGAGAGAGCATCAGACGAGCCCCAAAACATCCTTCCTAAATGAGCAATCAATCACACTCGTTACTGCAACTTTGGGGCTCGGGCATCCGCAGTTGATATTGATACCATCATACCCTTCTGCTTCCAGCAATTTGGCAGCTTCAAGCATTTTGTACTTGTTACTTCCACCCAATTGGGCAATGATCGGGTGCTCACTTTTGTCAAACCTAAGCGGTGTGAGGAAACTTATGTCATCCCCTACCGGATTAAGTTAGAGCGAAATTGAGAATGGATCAGCATTTCGTCGACAAACATTTCAGAATAGAGTGTAGTGTGCTTGCTCATTAATCTCACAATATATCGCTGATAACTATGATTACAGGAACACGCTTCAATATTCTTACTCATTCGTAATGTTTAGCATGGGAGCAACAGCAATACGATCGAAAGGGACACTCGACGACATTCTGAGTAGTTTGTGTCGGAACATCTGATATTCTGTTTGCGGGGGTGTAAAAGCAGGAGGAGAGGAAAGACTTATGCAAGTCTATTAATTTTCTTAGAGTGTGGAAAGAACCATACATATTTGTTCATTTCGAAATTTGAAGGATGTCAGAAGCGACTGAGGAATTATATAGGGAATCAACGTTGTTCGAGTCCTTTTGCATGTTTTGTCGTGATTTGTAGTGACAATGGACTGGAGAAACATATAACAGGCGATTCAATAACAATCGTGGCGGGTTCATCACATAGGGTGCTCGTCATAGTAGACAGGAAGCAAAGCGTAATAACGTGGGAATTCACTGCAAGAGGTTATGATATACTGTTTGGAATAATGAAAAATGACGATCTTTCAGATGATCCACCTGAGTTTGCCAGTCCGTTGCTAACGTACTCTTCGGATAGGGTACATAGCGGTTCATTGACAGTAAACGAGCCAGGGAGGTATATTCTATGTTGGGATAACTCACGTTCGTGGTTACGTGAAAAAACGATAAGTTATAAAGTGAACGTGAGAAAACTAGAGAGAAGTGTTGAGGAGATAAGCTCCTTTTCAAAGTACTAGCGTTTTTTTAATTTGCCAATTGTAGAAAAGTGTACGATACCCTCTGTCAGAAAGAGGAGCAGTTAATGAGAGTAACGGATAGTATCGAAGCACAGGTTAGTGAAAAGGAGGCATTGAAGAAGCGTCTAACTCTTCTTCTCCAGCAAATGAAAGTGGAGAAGGAGGAGATTAACTCTCAGGAAGAACTCATTATGAAGAAGAAAGAAGAGATGGAAGCAATCAAGTCGCAAAGAGAAGTGTTGCAGCAACATGCAAGCTGTGAGGAATAGAAGGCATAGTAATGATCATATAGATCTGAAACTTGTCGCTGCTCCCTTCTTGGTAGAGGGTGAGCGTATTTTCTCGATGTTGTGTGGTGTAGATCTACTACGAATGTACTTCCTATTCTCTGTATTCATTTTAGGGCGTGTGTAAATCATTTCTTTCATGATTGCGTGTATCAGGATGGTGTTTGGAGTCGTGCGTTCTTCCAAGAAGAACCGGATGAACTGGCTCCTGTGTTACAGAACGAGTCGTTGCGTGCGATGTACAATCTAGTCAATCCTTCGCCGTATTGTGGACCTAGCAACAAGGTCAAAAGTGTAAACTCTATTGAGGAAGAGATCGTTGAAGGACAAGGAGCTGAAGGAGAGTCTGCCGGATCTGTAGATCCCGCAGATCCCGCAGATCCCGCAGATCCCGCAGATCCCGCAGATCCCGCAGATCCCGCAGATCCTGCGCAACCTGCACAACTTGTACAATTTGCAGAACCTACAGACACTTCCGAACATCAAGATGAACTTCTTCCGAAGCCTGGAGATCAACCTGCTTTTGGAGCTTTGGACAAGGAGAAGAATAGTAAAGAGAGCGATAATTTGTTGAAAGACTTATCTCTTCTTTACAAGATTACGGAAAAGCAGGGGTGGTACAAAAATAAGAAGGATCAATGCTATTTTATCCGCTTTAAAGATTTGTCAAAGAAATCGATGGATATCTTATTTCCAGCAATCTCGAGTTCTGAATTAGACTCTCTCATTCGGCAGGTTTGATTCACATCAAATAGAGATTATTCTATAGACTTTGAAGAGTACTGTACTTATTCCAATGCCCGGAACCGAGGCAGGAAAATCTGGGTATTACATAGATCGCTTTCGGCGAGTGTCAAGGTGGAATGTGGAGACTGTGGATTCTGATTCGGGCCCAGTCCTGAAGTGGACGGAAGTACAGATATGATATGATATGATAGCCAACAAAGACTGATCGACCCTAAAAATACTACTGCTATTTCTACTATTATTCCTATTAAAGCTACTTCTGCTACACTACCTTGAAGTTTTGGTCATGATATTGTTTGAGGGATATACATCATTGCTGGAGAGGATTTTTTTAGATGTCGAATAACACGCTGCTTGAACAACAGACATATCGAATGGTTCGATCCCAATCCATAAACGACGCATTCCTCAATGTAAAACTCAGTTTGAGTTCAACACTCTATAGGCAAGGCCGAGAACGGAGACAAATTCAGAACCATTCCTGAACGTGGACTACAGCTGTTATGTTCGCCCCCCTGTGATTGAAAAGTGGAAGTACATCAAATACAGCCAACAGCCCAAAGTCAACCTAAATCAGCCAGAAGCGCTTCCTCCATTGGTGTACATTCGATCGTCCTGGATCGATCCTGCGGCGATTGGGATTTTCGGTTTTGGCTTTGGAGCTTTGCTGCAATGTCTTCAACACCTAGTTCCAAAATGTAGAGGCTAAATAATGGAAAATTAATCTCAGATAATGCCAATGGCGGACTGAGCTATGTTATCCTGCTCCCTGGAGGCCTTCAAGTCCTTAGTGGGTGGGTTGACATCCAGCGCGGTTCCTATTTTGGCGGAATTGTGTTTCTAGGGTAATCTAGGCTCTGGATCTGTAATCTAGATATGGATTTATCATAATAGGGAATGGACTGAGTCTTTTACTTTCGGTATTAATTAACCCTATAAAGCAGGAGTTTTCTTCCTTTATCGAAGTTGCAGATATCGGGTAGTAGACTGCTAGTAGAATTCAAATTCTAGCGCCATAGTGTTCACAGTAGGCGCCTTACTCATCTCCATTAACATGTCAGCCGTTTACTCTCTCCTGCTTCTCCTCACTTTGTCGGCATTTATTCTTGAGACTATCTACTCATACTACTCTTATTCCCAGATCCCAAGTATACTACAAGTCCCTGTTCATAAGTGATAGCTGGCGTTGTTTGGGGAGTAATAACAGTCCTAGCTATCTACATATTTCTTGCAGAGATTGTCAACACGGTGGCCGAGAGGCATGTCATTCCTCTGGGGAACGCTCTCTTTAACTATAAAACGATGAGGTTTCAAAACCCTTTCACCTTTTTCCTTCTTTGATGTAGACACAATATTTAATTTTGTGAACACATCATATGCTAATAGTGTTTTATAAATTCCAATGATGTACTTGTTGTTTAGGAGCAGTATTTCTTATATATATTGTTCTAGGTGAGAAGTGGTTAAGTGTTCATTGATAATCAACAATAGGAGTTACAATAGCGACTTTATCACAGTAACACTTTCATTTTGTTCCCATTTCTGTGAATATTATGTCGAAATTTCTCAGTTCTATCGATCAGTACATAACTGACGGATCCAAGAGTTTAAAAGGACCTCAAATGGCGGCCATGGCTTCGTAGAATCTCCCTGTTTGGATATGATTCCTAGCGCTGTTATTCGTATTATCACTACAGGAGGAAGCATTATTATTGGCCTAATCCAGGGAAATGGAGGCAGCAAGTGCACATATCAGGATGTTGTGGTATGCTTGGATCCGATTGTCTTACATAGAATTTCAACGTGGAGTGCATTGCTAGTATCTGGTATTCGCGTGCTAGTCAGCATGGCTGGAACACTTTCTTTAACATTTTGGGTTTCCTTTTTTCTGTTGTTTAAACGTAGATTGTGTTGCCATGATCCTTATGATTTGGGTTTTCGATGGATTGCGCACCATTAATAAGGACAAAGATGTCGGTACTGTGATGGTTCAGTCTATGCAACTTGCTACTACGATCGGTGTTGTCTCCTCTCTTCTTGAGTCTGGAATTGCTAGCGCTACGAGTTGGATTGCCGGAGCTTGGGGTGGTCTGCAGGATAAGAGATGGTTTGCTGAGTAGGTCTAGTAGGAAGCTTGGATGACGTGTAGTTTGGAGATTGCCTACGTGTTCAGTCGTAACTCTTTTAGCTGGTTGTATACGATCGATGATCTGATTATGGTGGTTCCTTATTTCTGGTCCTATATTCTCTGCCACAATAACGACCGTATTCCCGAGGGATTTGCTAGAAAGGGACTTGTGTTGGCCATTATCTCTTTCTTCTTCTTCTTCTCTGGTGTGGTGCAACTGCGCGGAGCATGGGGCATCGTCATGCTTATTGTTGCTATAATCTATATCATCTATCGTTTCATCTGGTTATTCTATGCTTTCTCTATTTTCAAAAGAATGGAATAAATTGAAACAATAGTGGATTTGTTTGTGAAACAAAAGAAGTGATGATGTGAGGAGGAGTATTTGTTGTTGTTATGTGTGATTCAGTATTTCACTTGCTTGATGGAAGTATGGTTCATTCGTTTTTTCCATTAAATACATTCCTCCTTCATATTGATTTGTATCTTTTGTAATGTGTATGTGCATGTATGTGTATCAACAAACAATCCACGTTAATCTACAACAACAACTTTCATCCTCATCGTCCTTCTTATTTATTGGTATCTAGCCATCCACTTCTTGTGGAAGTTGTTCATTCTCTCCACGACCTGATCGATCTCGTTTTCAGGGGGCAGAATGGTGGAGCGGACATGGTAAGTTCCCTCCTCCTGTCCGAATCCACTTCCAGGCACGCACACGACTCCGGCCTCGTTGAGGAGATCCATGCAGTACATGGCATCGGCGGCTCTTCCCTGCTTCTTGGCCTCCTCGATGGCCTTGGGAGGCATGGTGAGGCGGAAGTAGGTGTAGAGAGCACCGTCCACCGACAGGCAGGACACGCCGTCCAGCTTGTTCAGAGCGGTCGACAGCTTCTTCGCGCGCACCTTCAGCGACTCCAGAATGCCGTTCTTCTCCTTCTGGAAGAGCTCGTAGGAGGCATCACCGGGCTTGGGCGGGTTGATCATCACGTCCATAGTGTACTGGCCGTCCACGTTCGAGCAGCAGCAGATCGACAGCAGCTTGTACAGCTCGGCGCGCACGTCATCGGGGAAGTTCACCAGCTCCACGTAGCCACCGCGGCGTCCGCACTCACCCCAGTATCCCTTCGAGGTCGAGTGGAAGGACATCATCTGGCAGTTCAGACCCAGCTCGCACATCACCTTCTTGAAGGAGATGAACTTGTCGCCAGGGCGGTAGATGTTCTCCTGGTACACCTCATCGGCCATGATCACGATGTTCTCGCGCGCGCAGATCTTGCAAATGTCCTCGATGTTCTCGCGAGTGAAGCACTTGCCGGTCGGGTTGCCCGGGTTCACCGCAGCGATCGCCTTCACCGTCAGACCCTTCGCGCGGGCGCTCTTGATCGACTTCTCAATGTCGGCGGGGTCCAGAGCCCAGTCGTTCTTCTCGTTCAGATAGTAGGGCTCGTACTGGCCTCCGAACACGTGGATCGAAGCAGAGTACAGAGGGTACTGGGGAATGGGAATCAGAATGCAATCCGTAGGCTTGTCAATCAGCAGCTTCAGGCAGTCCTGAATACCCTGGGAAGCACCGTTCGTCAGGAAAATGTTCTTGGGATCAGCGGGGAAACCGTCACGCTTCGTAATGTAAGCAGCCACATCCTCCAGAACCTTACCCACTCCAGCAGTCTGCGAGTAGGCACCCGAACCACCGGGGTTGGCAGCCAGCAGCTCCTTGGCTCTCTGGATGGCATCGGGGTGGAACATCTCAGGATGCTTCTCAGCAACCTCGGGCCAGGAGGTGATGCACAGCACCTCACGCAGGAAGGTGATGGGCTTCTGGCAAATAGCCTGAGGATTACCGACGTTGCAGTAAAGCAGAGAATCGAAGGGGAACTTCTTGCCCTTCTTCATCTCGGCGTCAATCTCATTAGCGCGAATCACAACCTCTCCACGGACAGCATAGTCAGCAGTGCGAATGTGCTGGTTGATGTTGTCAATAGTAATGCGGGAGGAGAAAGATCTCAGAGTAGGAAGACTGAATCTGTTTACAATGCGCAGCATCTGATAGTTTTCAAGGTAAATTATGAAATGAATCTAAAACTTCTCCATTTCTCGTTTCCCCTTTCCACGATTCACCGCGGAAAAAGCACACAATGATAAACAGACTGTATACGAACAAAAAGAAGAGTATTTTCTCTCTTTAATAAAGTTGACAAGGGCCTTCCAAGAATCAGTGATAGCACGTTGTGATTTGAGTACGCAAATACAAGACACAACCTTTCCTCTCTTGAAGATGCGAGCTAATTTCTTTTTATTGAAGCATTGGAGGAGTAGAGTTCCGTACTGCTTACATTCCCTCACGAAGGTGTTGATCATCGAATTGGTATATCCGTCTTCCGTCATATCAATAATATCTTCCGCGATACACATAAACCTTTTCGTAATAGAACGCAAGTTAAAGCGACAGCACTTTATTATGACGTACGTAATGGAGAGACTCATGAAGACCTGTAATGATAAAGCGGTCCCTTTTTGCTTTTTCCACGTCCCGTAAATAGAGGGTCTTCGATACTTTCACAACGTTTTTCAGATAATCTAATATTAAAGTCCGAAGAGCGGTCTGAAATGAATCACATAAACGACTCCTACATCATCCTGAGCTACGACAATATCAGGAACAACAATGGTAGGAAACACTTCGAGAGATTGATCCTCCTGGCTCGCATTATCCCCTAGTTGGTTTTCTATGTATCTAGTTGGTCAGGAAACAAAGCAAATACTACTCATCGATCTTTCGTTTAACTGTAGTTTTCTTATGAGACTTTGGAATCACTTCCGGGAGTGGTTCTGTGACGGAACTCTTTTCAAGACTCTTTTCAGGAACTCGGATTAGCCCGTCTATCTGATTGTAAACTAATTTCGTGCCTCCTTGGTGTGTGAGACTATTTATTGCCTTTTTGTTTCCTCCTTTTGCTTCTGACTTTCCTATTTCACAATGAAGGTCTATTATGCGAACCTTTTTTGTTATGTATATCATTTTCAATAATGCTTCCTAAATCGAGCTGAACAGGCTTTCCAAATAATAAATCTAAAATTAATGGAAGGAAAAAGTAGTAACCTCGATCGGCTGGAGAACGACGCCTTCTTTTATGATGTTCGTTCCCACACTGGACGCACCGTGTTCGGAAATCCATTTGTAGCAAAATATATATTTTTAAATATAAAACAAAGTACAGACTATTACTATTAGTATTACTATTATTATGATTCCTCATCAAGCATTTTGGATATGAACAGTGTGGTATCTGTATCTCGATAATCGTCTTGTATCTTTTCTACTAGATTGCGAAACTGAACTGCTTTCGGATACTTATTCAGGTCACTCAAAGGAGGAATGAGTTCCAGGATGTTGCTTAGTCTCTCTAGGATGGCGAGTATTTGCTCCTTTGAGACAAAAAAAGGACCCTTCAGAATACAATCGCAAGCTATGATAACGGAAATGAGCTTTTCCATTTCCTCATCATTTGTTTCATCGATTGATGTAATTTCAAGAGAATGAATGGCTTTACGAATGATTACCTGCTCGTCTTCTTCAAAGAGTGTTCTACTGTTTTAGGAATACAGCACAAGTGATACGAGCAATACTGATTCTTTGTCCGTGACATTTCTTTATCGTAGCGCACCTTCACTTGCTTTCGAAGTTCAGGAATTTTAAGACTACCCTTTCGTTAAGAATGAATTGAAAATGAATTGATAAATAAAGGAAAGTGAAAGAAGGAACAATGCCTTTTCGCAACAGGGGTGGAATTCAGGCTTATCAACGAAAGCATTATATTTTACCAACAAAGAAGTTAAGAATTTTCAGGTAAAACGCTATTCCTTATTTAGTCAAAAAATGCCTTATTCATCCAGTAAATCTAAGCAGACAGCAAAGAAAGAGGAGGTAATGGATGTTGGGACTTCTGGCTAACGAATAGACTGCGCTCCCCCCAATATCGGAAATTACCTCGCCGATGGGTATTTTTAGGATTCGTTGTTGCTATTAGTAGGTTCAATATTCTTGCGAAAGAAAATCGATACTCAAAAAGAAGTGTCCAACGAATCGTCCAATTCTTGTGGTAGATATGGAGACGATTATGCAGGTGATAATTTCTATCTATTCAGTCCACCGGATTTCACTCTCGTAGGTGTTGTCATCTTCAGCTGAAATCATAGGATGAAAGAGTCGGAAAAGGTAGTCCCAATTAGAATGACCGCTACATTGGAAGTATATGGCTGGTTTCATGCTTTGGGTTTTGTATTGTTCTTTGTGTATTTTGTACTGTTTCTTTCAGCACGTGCGCTGTTCATATTTTACTGGTATCATTTATGCTTTCTAAAATATTCACATTCTTTTGGCAAAAACCTTTCTTTGGAACGAAGAGGAGGAAATATGTACGAATATCGAAATATGTCCATTTGTTAAAATAATAATAATAATAATAATAATAATAATAGTAATATTATTATTATTGCGTTTTTTTATTCATTTTTTTCGTACAATGGACTATACCTACAAAATTGGCTTGATAGGACTTGAGGGTAGGGGCTCGGCAGTGCATGCTGATATAGGAACTGGTAAAACATCAATTGTGTTACGACTAATGGATGACTACTTTAGCCGAAGTTTTAAGCCATCGAATGGCGTGTTTCGTACAGAGTATAAATTGTAGGCAATTACTTTCCGTTCTCATAATAGAACTTTCGGAAAGAAACATGTTACGCTATGCATAAACGATTTTCCTGGTTTGTAGTTTCGGTGTGTTGTAAGATGTAGGCGACTATAGTACTTCAGATCAGGTTGGTACTGAAAGTACCTTTTTTCCTAGTTAAATGATCTTCTAAAATCGCTTGATGCGATCCTTATTATTTCAAATAATAATTATCAGAGTTCGTCGGTAACTGAAGGAATTAGCAAGCTTATTGATAGTACGTGTTTTTGAATTTTTTTATTGAAAGATATCCGTCAGATGTTTGCGTTTAAGAGTCTATCTGAAGGGGAAGTCTGATTTGTAGATCCGTACATCGCTCTCGTGAGCAATTTATTCATATCAGAGGAACAGGACAGCGCATTCGATTCTCGTCCTCATTCTCCGATTGTTTCGTTGGAAAACAGTCAAAAAACACGAGATACAGAAACCAGTTCCCTGCCTCCCGATTTGACGGTAGAAGAGGAGGCAACGAAAGAGCTTGCTTGGAACAACCACATTGGATTCTATCGTGTTTCAGCATATACAGGGGCAGGGATTCTTCCCATGTTTGAGGATATCGCCCGACTTTTGATGGATGAGAAAGATGAACGGGTAGACAAGAGCGACGAAAAAGTGGTTCGCGCCAAAGAGCATAAAGGGTTTTGTTGTGTATGTTAACGCATTTTGTACCTTATTTGATGTTGCTGCACTTTTGTTGTAATTCTATTCTCATTTTTGTTTTAACAATGGCAGAAAACGAAACATCCGATTCGCTTCGTGTGAAAGGGAATGAATACTATCGTAAGAAGGATTATGAGAACGCAATCGACTTCTATACCAAGAGTCTGAATATCGAGAAGACAGCTGCATGGTATGAATCAAGATAATATAACCTCATGTTTCCAGCTACTCAAATCGTGCTCTCTGCTACATCCAACTAAAACACTTTGGAAATGCGGAGGCAGATGCAACAGCTGCCTTGCAATGCGATCCGCTATTTGTGAAGGCTTGGCTACGTAGAGGAATTAGTAGATTGCAGAAAAAGTTGTATCAGAAAGCGTATTATGACTTGCTGCGTGTATGCGCAATAGCGCTAGCTCATGTGTAGGCGGATGAGCTGAGTCCTGGAAATAATGATATCTTGAAACAGCTGGATGTGTGCAAAAATGAGAAGAACGTTCGGCAAGATACCGTAAATGATTATATTCAATTTATGCTTGAGGAAATGCAAAAAGGCTTTGATGAAGGTACTTTTCTTATTTGTTTCTACCATTCGTTCTAGGCAATTCCAATGAAGCTGTTAGTTACATTCAAGATATTCTGGAATTCCGCCCTTCGGATATTTCCGCCTTGGATGGAGTTGCAACCTTGTTAGAAAAGCAAAAGGCGTGGAAAGAGGCCATTCCTTTGTTAGAGAAGTTATTCAAGCTGACAAAGGATGGAGACGACTTGGACCGATCCTGCCAGTTTATGTTGCGTCGCGTCCACGCAAACATCGAATTGGTAAGGACTGGTGCGTTGCTGTGATGAGGTAGGGCGAGTACAAGGCTGCTCAAATCGGTATTACCTACTTCAACAGTCACGTTCGTCCCGAGAAACGGCAGCTGGATCTTGCGAAGCGTATTGACAATTTGCTTCTGAATCCTGCAAGCAACGTGGATCGAGCTCTATCGATTGTTACCGAAAAGCTAGACGTCCCCGAAGTCCCGAAAACGATGTATGAACTGACCTTCCAACTGCAAAAGCTGAAAGACCAGGATCTCCTTGTCCAGAGATATCTACTTGTATTTGGGATTGTTTGCTGGTATCTAATGTGCAGAGCATTCCGCCGGAGCATATCGCTTCGTTGTTGCTGAATGAATCGGTGAAGGAAGCGGAACCATATGAGCTGATTGTCCATAACCTTACAAAGATCTTGCGGTTCCTTCCTTGCTCTGCTCTCTAATCACGTAGAAAGAACGTTTCTCATTGCTATTGGGCGATAGACTGCTTGCGAGCTCTTCGTGTGAATAACGCTTCTTTTGAGTTTGTGAAATTGCTGTTCTCGTCCGAGATGTTCGAGGATCTGAAAAAGATGAAGAACCTTTTGGAAGAGACTGGCAAAGTTTCGAAGGAACTGTTGGTTGAATTTGACGATTATTTGGATTTCTCTCTTTGTTATTACACATTTTCCAAGATTCATCCTTATTAATGCAATTAATCTATATTAATTGCAAATGATTATTGGAACCTATTAATTATTCGCAATTAATGAGATTTGGAACTTCGCATTTATTAATTCTACATATTTAATTCTTCAGTCAATTTTCTTATTTCTTTTTATTCTCTATTTTCAGAATCACATTCAGATCTTAATAATTATGCATATTGAACCGCATTATTCACAAATTTCTGAATTCTATTAATTTCATTATTTGTTTGCAATTAATAATCAATCTGATATTGATCTCCATTAATTCGTGTGTATTATAACAAAAATTAGATACTACAAGCTCTATCTACTTAAAATGGCATTTTCAATTCTGCTTCTTCTCACGTCCGGTGAACGTGTTCATCGAACTACACACATGAACAGTCCCAGAAACCACTCACTCCAAAACGCCGAGGATCTTGAAAGCATGAAGAACCCATTGGTAGGGAAGGATAGAGCGGACAAGTGACGGTGAAGGAATTCATTAACGAAGTGGCACAACGTTTGTTGTCGTCTTTCAAAGGATATTGTAAACCACACGACCCAAAATCGGAGGACAGGTTACAAAGTGTTCTCCGTACTCGATTGCATGCATCATCTTATCGACCACATAGCGAGGAGTCAGCAAGGGAAGCATTCCGGGATTCACACCAGCAAACATTCCAGTATCAATGTAATATGGGCAGATAACTGTGCAATGAACTCCTGTCTTGCCCTCGTTGTAGACTTGGCCACTCAGAGACTCCATCAAACCGACCACAGCAAATTTGGAGGCACAATAATCGTTCAGATTCGCAGTACCCACCATGCCGGCCATCGAGGCTACAGCAACCACACTTCCTCGATTTCTAACGATTATTTATATAGTCCAAAGATATTCACCTCTCCATCATGGCTGGCACGAATTCCCGAATCGTCCAGAAATGAGAAGTCGTGTTCACATCCATAATTCGCTGAATCGACGCCTCGTTGTTGTTGAACAGCGACTTTCCGGTTACAATTCCAGCTAGTGAGTGAATCAGAGGAGTGGCAGCAATCCTACCATTGTTCACCAGAACATCGATATCCCCCACTTCCTTCTTCACCTTACCAGCGACCTCCCTAACGATAAAACTTCAAATGGTAGTGGCTTTACTTGATGTTTTCGCGGTCGCTTAGATCCACCGTGTAGCTATAGACCGAAGCATCACTACACATCAATGAGAAGCACCGTAACAAACGGCTGAATTTGCTTCAACTCCTTCTCCGTGTCCTGCAACATCGATTTGTTGATATCCCAGAGGATTACGACAGCCCCCTATAATCAAATCGAGTACGTACAGATACCTTCTTCACCATATCTTGTGCAAGCATACGGCCGATTCCACTGGCTGCGCCAGTAATCAGCACCTTCTGACCACGCAGATCAATCACTTTTCGTTTCATCAACCGTCGAAGCAACAACAGAAATACAATAGCAAAGCCCCAGTAAAACGCTGTAGAAGTCTCCATTCTATAAAATAATGTAATATGATGTAAGAATTAGACAAAGTGACGTAAGGACCATCCTCCAATCAAATTCAAATCAATTGATTATCTTTTCACTCCTGTAGAACACCCAGAACCGACACGTTCCTTATGCACAGTACTCTTGTATGAGAGTGATACGCAAAGTTCTGTGTGCGACATCTCAAGGAGGGGCAATCTTAGTTTGTCAATATCTGTGTTTCCACACTTTTTCTTTTTTACCGTTAACACATACGAACCTTGCTTATTTTTATAAAATTGTAAAATTGCTGCTTCTCTAAAGGTACAAACATGAAAGGTCTTCTTCTTGCGCTACTTGTATTTTCTTTGATCGCATCAGCCTCGATCATTCGTGCTGATATTGAAACTATCGAAAAACGCTTTCGTCTGTCTTTTTCTGAAGATGAAAGAAAGTACGTAAGATCGTGGTTTTGCATGTAACGCCTAGATATCGGAGTCTCGTGCTTAAGGAAAACTTAAAATACATCAATTATGTAAACTCCCAAAATTTGACCTACGAGCTCGGAATCACTCCGTTTGTATACCTGACGAATGAAGAATTTGCTAGAATGCACATGTATCGCGGCTTTAGGTTCAATTCATCAAGTGAACAGACACAGTCCTATTCGGTGAAACATCTGAACATAGACGCTATTGACTGGAGAATAAAGGGAGTTGTTTCTCCCGTGCAAAACCAGTTGACTTGTGGTTGTTGCTATGCTTTCGCAGCTACCGAATTAGTCGCTATTGCTCATCGCCTTCAAGGGCTGGATGCTCCGGTTCTCTCTTCCCAGCAAGTGCTGGACTGTAGTCGAGAGTATGGCAACAGTGGATGTAATGGGGGGACTCTTGGAGCGAGCTTGCTCTATATCAAGGAGAACGGAGTCGTAGCGGAAAGTGCTTATCCTTATGTGGGGAAGGAGGAATCTTGTCAGGTTCCTGCAAGTGACCTTTACACTCTTAAGGAATGGAAGCAGTTACAATACACGGATGAGGATACAATAAAGGAACTGGTCAGCAGTCGACCTGTATCCGTAGGAATTGCTTCTAGCTGGTCCAATCTCCAGGTAGACTTGTTCATCCAACGTCGTTATTACATATAGCATTATCGGAAAGGTGTATTAACTGGAAATTGCACCGGAAATGTGGATCATGTTATGATTATTGTTGGGTTCGATAGTATGTTCTGTTCTCAAAGCAATGAAAGAATCGAGTATTGGATACTGAAGAATAGCTGGGGTGCTGACTGGGGAGAGAATGGGTATGTTCGGATGGAACGCAACATAGGTACTCAGGGAATGTGTCAGCTCACCAGCATCGTGCACCGTGTTACTGAAGTATAATAACAATCATGACAATAATGAAAGATATATGCATATTCTGTTTGATAGTAAAATGTTGATACCATCATATATAATTAAGAAAAAAAGACTGTTATATGTTAATTTGACAAGAACATCCTCAAGGATGACCCACCTTTCAGTCATATTTCAGTCTTATTCCTTGGTTTGAACATCTTGAGTGCTTCTTGAATGCTGCTCCTAATGTCGAGTTATTGGAAACAGCTTGGAGGTTATTGTTTTGCCTACTCACAGGTACTTTTACTAATGAATCCTCTCTTCATTTTGATATGATAGGATTGTGCGTTTGTTCTGTATCTATTTTATTACTTGTGTTTCAGCAAATGGGTATAATACGAACTCTCTCTCTCTATATATATATATATATATACACTATTGTAATGTGACACTAAGCTCGGCTTCCAAACTCTTACAAAGCGTATATATCCAAATACTATCGCTACTACTACTACTACTACCATACTAGTTTCGATGTTGTCATACAAACAAAACATTGTATTACTGTGGTTTTCCTTCCATCGCCTTATTATTCGTGGTGCGACTTGCGGGTGGAGCGGGCCTCCTTCTTCTCCTTCTTCAGCTGCTCCATGCGCTGCTTGTAGGCAGCGGCCTCCTGGCGCGAGTTCTCGCGGGACAGCTTCATGGCGCGCTCGTTCGCACGCTTGTGGCAGAGACGCAGGTGGGTCACCAGACGCTGGATCTTGGGCGCCTTGTCGCGCTTGTGGCCATTGTGCTCGAACTGGCGGCGGACCACAAACTTGCGGACGTCGTCCTTCTTGCTCAGACCGAACAGCTGGCGGATGTGGCTCGCACGCTTGGGACCCAGGCGGCGGGGCTTCGCGGAGGCCTCGTCGGTCAGACCCGGAATCTCCTGCTCGCCCTTCTTCACGATCATCAGGTTCAGGACGCAGATATCCGAACCCACGATGCAGCCACGCACGGACTTGCGCTTACGCTCACCCTAGACATGAAACAAATATTCCAAACCAACGTCGCGACGAGCACGGTAGCAGGACATGCCGTCGGCAAGCAGAAGACGCACACGGTAGTTGCAGAGAACTCCCTGCTTCATGGGGAAACCCTGCTTATCGTTTCCTCCAGTGATGCTAAAAATTAGCCGAAAAACGCAAAGCCCCTACCGGAAGACGTAGCCCTTGAACTCGTCTCCAAGAAGGTCTCCCTCAACCTCCTGACTAATTCTCTTGTCCATCAGACAACGGCTAGCAATCAACTCCTAAAAACTAATTTCTACAGCTTGTTCTCATCATCGATATCAATAGGCTTCTGAGAACCGAGAGCGGGATAGCAAATGTTAAGCTACGGAGAGATTAGTCAAAGCTTCGTAAACGAAATAGAAAAGACGTCAATGAGTGTAGATTCCTACCTTCATTTCACTCTACAGCAAATTAACCACAGTAATAAGGTTATTCTTTCGAATGGAGCAGTTTTTCGACAGAGGAATGTACAAAATACAGGCTATTTATTCATGTTGGGGGTATTTCGATAAAATAGACACTTATTACTATCTTGCCATAGCCATTATTCTCCATTATCTGTACAATTCCGGGCTATAACCAACCAAGAATTTACTGTATATTCATTTCGTGTGCTATCTAAGCATTCGTTGTAAAGGTAGATCTCATTTTAACTGGAATCCTGCTTTGATTTTTATTGCGAGGCATTCCGTATCCTTGTTCTTTGTCAATAATTACAAAACGAATCGTTAGTTTATACAATGTCCTTTATTATCAAACGACAGACAAAAAGCAAATTGCCGTATTGTATGAAATGAAACATGATGATTATATAATACAAGTTTATTCTACGACTCTTGCTTGCCTTCCACAGAACTGCGTTCCCTTTGCTTTTTAACGGCAATTAACCCAACGAGAACCACATTTGTGACAACCAGCAAATAAACCATGCTCTTTATTGAGATTTTCTGCGAACCTCTTTTTAACTGGTTAATAACAGGAATTTCCCTCTTCACCGAAGCTGTACTCTTCGAAGCAACCACCTTTTCAGTCTTTTGACTCAGGGTCCGACAGAGTACCTGCTGACTCGATATCGCACGTTGAATGCATGTCGCTGCTCGAAATAAAGAAAAACTCCGCACTAAATGGTTCATCACTTCATAAAATGTACAAACAAATATGAAAATTAGTAGTAAATATTACTGATTAAAAAACAATATTCCCAAAGAAATATCGTCATCTTCCAGCCTTGAGGCATGATGACGATCAAAAACAATCTTCGCTTTATCCAAGATATCGTTACAGATATCTATTCCACATATTCCTTTCTTTTGGGAGTCACGAATCATATTCACAATCACTGGTTTATCAAGAGCCATGAATAGCCCGTCGCTTCCCATTACGCAAAAATGGGTATCTACCATCTAGACAATACCGCAAACTCACTTGGCTCGATTGAATAGCAATGAACATCCGGAGTGGAAATCACAATGTCCTCTGATGGTGACAACTGTGTAATGTTTCTAGTTGTGGATCACAAGCTTCGTTCGTACGACATGTTATAAAAAGACTCTTTGTAAACAACATCTCCAATCGATCGAGACACATTGAGTACTCCACTAATACTATCATGGCGAATAGCTCCACCGGCTCTCTATACCTCAGCCTTCTCACATTCGCTTTACAATAATGCGAGTCTTTTCATTTCCTTCCTTAGGATGATGCTTTGAGAGCACATCCCACCACTCTCTGCCTTGTTTTAAGAGAACTCCACAATCTCCCAATCCTGCAGTAATTAACAAGTTGTCAACAACACAGACCATACACAAAACACAGCCACTACTCGAAATACGCGTGGCCACAGGATCTTTAAGAGAGTTTGTTTTTCTTGTTTGGAGATGTTTTTCAAAATCATGTCGTTTTGCACGGACATATTTCCCTTGAATTAAAGTATTTTGGTGAAGAAAAGATTTCGGTAAAACACGCTGCAAAGAGGAGCACAAGTAGCGATCCACCTCCAAAAAGGAATCGCTTATTGCCTGTGAAATTGCCTTGTTGTTCTTCAGAGTAAAATAATGTTTCGAATCAGAATCCCTGCTACACAGACTTATCAGCTTCGAAACAACGACGCTGCCCAAAACAGACTTTACAAAATCTGCCGCATAGTCTCCAGCATGTCCATCAATGCTAAAAATCAGTATCGCTCTCTATCAGGTACACAGAAGCAAATAAAAAGGAGTGATCTTTGCTGTGAAACACTTCGCAGCAAATTCGGTCCTCATTGGAACGTTTATCATTCCGATAACGGCTCTATATGAGACAGCAACACAATTCATACACAAATAGACTTGCCGACCCATGAACAATGGTTTTCAGTCACTCCACAAGAACAGTCAGTAAATATATTATCGTCATCTATAGGAGTATCATCAGGATATTCTTCATCAAGACTTCCGAACAAGTGGAGGAGATCTTGATCTACAAATCAAAACCAGTGAAATCTTTTACTATTGCTCTCTGGTAACGAGTCTTTTTCAAAAGAATCTCCGACCTCCTATAAAACAAGAAGCATGACCAAACGTACAGAATCTGTAAGTATGGTAGTAGCCGAAGTATTTGCTTTTGTGGACCATTGAAACATCCGTTGTTTCTATGCCACTCAAAATAGGTATAAATAAAGTAGAAAGAGTTATATAAAAAAGAGTGAATATTCATGCAATCTATTTTGTAAAGCGATTAACGATTGTGTGAAGGGTTCTTCATTGCAATAAGTACTCACAGGACCATATGGGAATCTAAACATGTTGAACACAGAAAAGACATACTTATTATGGTAGGCATTATTTAAAAAAAGCCGATCGAATCAATTTGACTTAAGCAGTGATTAGTAGTAGTTTTTTAAAAGAATATTCAGTAACATGGGCGTTTTTTCATGGTTACAAAACAATAGTAGTGTTGTGTATTTTGTGTTGTATGAGAATAATAGTAATTGTTTTGAAAATAGAATCTAAGAGTAATATATAAATCGTAGTGATAGCTATATAGAATGAAAAACAGGGGTATTATCTACATCATGGGAAATCAGATGATGTTTAATTTGTGGAGTCGAATTCTTGTTCATAACAAACTATGCATATTGTTCTATAAAAAAACGATCAAAACTATATGAAGAAAGTGCTTACCATTTATATATCTAGTTGTTTAAACTATCATCATGTATGAAAGAAGCTAAATTGGGAAAGTTTCTGCAACGAAGAAAATTTCTTTCAAAGAAATAACAGATCTTGTTTTCAAATTAACCTTGTTTCCATATTATTTCTTTATTTCGATGCAAAACATTGCTGATTTTGTCAATTCTGCTATTAATAACTATCATATGGATCGTTCCATAATCCATAATGTGCAGGGATGCTTGGGTAAAGATATGAAACTGGATGGCTGGATTTCACTCATTTTAAGTAATAGAGAATGTGTAGTATTGCAATTCAATAACGGAGTATTCATAAATCAAGGATTTGTGGTCAATGAGCAGAAAGTATTGAAAGTGTTTGGAAATAATCAAATCGGTGCTATTTCATATAATGAAGAACAATCCATAGAAGTAGTAGAAGAAGGAATTGCGGATTTGGATCATGGAAGTCGATTTGAAGGCTTAATATTGACAGAAAAAGAAAAAGAAAACGAAAAAGAAGGAAAAAGTGGAATTCCATTTGGATATGGTGAAATGTATGATGATGATGGAATATTGGTGTACAAGGGCATAATGATCAATTGGAAACGATTTGGCTATGGAACGAGTTATCATAATAATGGATGTATTGAATATGAAGGATATTGGTGTGATGATAAGCGATTTGGAAGAGGAAGAGTGTATGATCTATCAGGCAAGTTAGTGAATGAATGTATGTGGTACAATGGAATTGAAAGGGAATATGACAGTGATACAGATGACGAATATGACAGTGATACAGATGACGAATATGACAGTGATACAGATGACGAATATGACAGTGATACAGATGACGAATATGACAGTGATACAGATGACGAATATGACAGTGACTATGACAGTGATACAGATAATAGAATCAGACCCATATATTTAGGGACTAAGAAGTTGCGATTTAATTATGGTGTTGATCTGCCTAATTTCGACGTTTCACTTTTATACAACTTAGAGTCAATCAATATTCTGGGAAGGTGTTTTCAATCAGTTAAAGTATTCAAAATCGATGGACTAAATCGATTAAAAAGACTGGTAATCGGTGTAGAATCATTTACCAATGGCACAGATAAAGAGATGGATAAATCGAAATCATTCCATGTATTGAACTGTAAATCATTAAAGTTGATTAAAATGGGTCGATATGCTTTTCATGATTATGCTGGCGAATTTGAATTGAAGAACCTTCCTTCCTTAGTATCGCTCAATATTGGTGAATCAGCTGAGATAGACTGTGGAGCATATAACTTTTATCACTGTTCATTTGTGGTTCGAGGTTTTGAAATACTAAAGGATTTTTGAGCCATAGATCTTCCAAGATTGCGCTCAATTGAATTGGGTTACGGAGCATTTCATAATAGTGTTTCAACGGTACTAGAGAGTATCATATCTAAGTATAAAAATGATTGGAATAGATCTTCCCTCATTGGAATATGTAGAACTAGATAAATGGGCACTACATGGAAGTGATGGAGATGTGCCCTGTTCGTTGACACTGCGAAGTATAATAGATTTGAAAAAAGATAGATTATAGATCTTCCAAATCTAGAATCCATAGCAAATAATGGAGGGTTGGGTAGTTTTGCAAATGTTCATACAGTAATATGTGAAAGTGGGTTGATAGAGCAAGGACTTATCCAATGTAGATGTTCCCAATGTAACACATATGTATTTACCTGGCGGATTTTGTGATGTTCAATCAAAAACCTTTTCCAGCTAGTTTTTTATTTGTACTGTGATTGATAGATACCTCCTCTAAAGTAATTAATGCAATTGAAAACCCCCAATCATGTGTTATAATGTGAGTTGCAAGACGAGGTTATGGGTCATTCATGATTTTCTCTGTATCTTTTTTTTCCATATTGTGAAGTAGATCTATAACTGATGTGGCTATTACTCCTTTCTATGTTCCCATCCATTCCAGACATTATACACCTGTTTGTTAAAGGAATGTCTATTTTGTTATTCACTCATTTAGCCATTGTATTTCTTTAAATATAACTTTGAGATTTGAAGAATTGTAACCTTGTTTCATTTAGTACAGATCTGCTTGTAAACTCGATATGACTACGCCACGATTATTCTACTAGACTCATGAACTCTGTAATGAGCATTTTACAAATAGGATTCTTCATTGTCTAGGTATACTCAACACAGATCCTACACCAGCACATTCTCTGAGATACATTCATGAATCATCCTTTGTATTACTTGTCATATTAACACTCGTTGAACTTGAAAAGCAATTGTTTACTTCACATTCTTCTTTACCCTTTTGTGTATTATTCGAAATATATTCGCCATGAATTGGATTTTCTGTATCCTATTCATTATCATCTATACAATTGCCGATCCAATCTTTTCTGAACTTCTCTATCAGGAAATACCAAATCATTTCTGTAGTCGTTACTATCATAGAACTGGAGGAATTGGATCTCGAACTCCTTTAAGTGGCGTATCCGGTGTTCTTCTCTCTGTTTCTGAATCTGTTTATATATTTCCTTTATTTTATTTATTAGGAGCAGCTACAGGAAATTGAGCAGGATTTGAAGTGGGATTCGGTTGTGTTATTCGTAAACTCTACAGATATGACATGTACACTCTTTTTTCAATTTTTTCAACCAAGGTGAGTTAGTCACAGAAGCTATGTCAAAAGATAAGGTTAAGGGATTTGCTGTTTTTGGAACTCTGCCTTCTGTTTGGAAGAATTTAAATATATGATATTGTAGAGAGCAGGTTATTCTCCCTATTCTAAGACTCCTTTCGGAGATGGTACCCCAACAGCAAATCTCAGCCTCCACAGTGATTATCCCTGGAATCCATCAGGTTGTGGATCTATATATGCAGATACGAACAAGCCAATTATTCATATTTCTAACAAAAATACCATCCTCGAATTATCTGAAAAGGCTTTTAAGAATCGTAATGGAGAAGCGAAAAATCCGTATATTATGGATTTGTCCTTGTATTCTCATGTCCTTTCTCTTTTCATCTAGATACATGGGTCCCGATTCAATGGATAGCCCAACCTGTTTAGGGAAGAAAGCGTGTCTTCCTCTAGGAGGGCAGTCCGTTTGGTCGATTGCTGGGAAGCCTGATACTCGTTCTAAGATTCTGATCGCAACAGGAATGGATGCTTTGACTGACTTTTATGGGGATCGTGGAGATAGCTACAATGCTGGAGTCCGTGTTTCTGTTTTACTTGCAATCGCTGAGGCACTCTCTTCAGTCGAACTTAACAACGCTACATCTCAGGTTCTGATAGCCTTCTTTGAGGGAGAGAATTGGGGACGTCTAGGAAGTCGATCGTTTGTTTCCGACCTGCAAAATTTCCACTGTCTTCAAGAAGTATCGCGCAAGGACTCGCCTATCAATGATCGGATGTGCACTAGTCCTCTCCGAGTTTGGTTTTTGCTCTTATTCGTGAATGATAGATTTCTCTGGCTTTCACCGAGCTTTCTTTAGATCACTTTCAGCAAGTGATCATCTTGGATCAACTTCTTCCAATGAAGGATTCGCTCTATTTCCATTCAGAAGAGGCGTCTTTGCCCGTCTTTCATGGTGATGTCGATATTCTTCCAAGTACCGTAGCGAAACTCCCTCCAGGTCCTGCGGAGACATTTTTCCAGGCTGGAGTCGACACAATAGTCATCTCGGGATTTGACTCTGAATATGTGACCCGAAGCTTTGGTTCTGCTTTACAAGAAGATATCGATTGGAATAGTACGTTGCCTGTTGCTCAAACGATTGCTTCCTTCCTGGCTTCTCAACTGGAAGTGACCGTTCCAAGTGTAAATGGAACTTATTTGGAGAATCTGATCAACTGCTTGGCTCGCAATGGCCAGTGCGAAGTCATTGAAGATATTTTGGGCTTTTCACATGGATATCTCACACAGCAGTTGCAGGGTCGTCCTCTGGATCTCGTTACAACAACCTACTCCGTACTGTTTCCCTAATATATCCTTCACTGATAGAGGGGTCGCTATCCGATGCTTTCGCCAACAGGTGGACAGTATTATGTAAACTATACAGGAACGATCGATCGTGAGAAAGGTATTATGAGATTAGAGGTGGTTGTAAACTGCAGCTGGTATTTACTTTACCCCTTCTGTGTTAGAAAGCTTCTTGCAAAGCAGTTTAACACTGGATTTTCATCTCTCTGCATCGGAGAAATCCTGCAAAACCTGGAGCGATTGCTTTGATTTGGAAAATGGTTATTGTGTGCAGGGGACTTGCTATGCTTCTACTGCCTATTACCACAACGCTATGGATCCTGGATTCATTAGTTTCAATACACACAAGTTTTCACCTCTAGTGACCGATATCGATATATTTTCGGTGAATGAAAATGATTCTGTTAGTCCACTCTTCACAGAACCTTATTGGGGAGGCTACTATGGAGATGAACCCTATGCGCAAGTGTTCCAGGTTTGGAGTAGATGCTGGGAGTTTAGGGTGTAGAAAATCTCGGGAGCTACCGAGTGGATCACGTTGATTGCCGGAATCGTACTTACTGTAATTGCTTGGATAATTACACAATACATATTTGTGAATTATGGAACTCAGCTAAAGCTGAATAAGTGATGTGATTGTTGAAAACACAAACATATTTGTCGAGTGAATCTTAGGATAGGAGCATCATAGAGGAAGGATATTATAGCAATATTGTAAAGAGAATTAGGAGAAAGAGATATGTAGATGAAGCCTAACCCAATGTTTTGAGTTATTTTCAATGACAGAGAATCATTCACTTACTGTTTAAAGGTTAATACTACCAGTACTACTATCACTACTATCATTGCTATCACTATTATCACTTCTATCACCGTACGTCCTAGATATCTGAGATACCGCAAATATTATGGAAAGCCAAGAATACATCAAGAGTACGTGAGCAACACTTCTTATTAACCATGAAAACAAACATCCCAAACAGATATCAATTTCTTTACATCTACCTTCTTTTCAACTTTACTTTCCCATTTACCATAACTATACACTTTAAACGTTCCATCCTAAAATAGAAATATCTCTCGCAAGCATACCTCCAATTTCATTACCCACTGCTTCAGTTCCGGATTAAACATCCATCCCTTTGCTCCAAGCACTTTAGCAATCACTGATCGCTGCTGAGAAGAACTCGAGAAAGCAAAGCCGAAAAAGAGAGCGACATCCCCAACTTTTCGCAGTCCTTCCTCCTGGAACAGCTGCGCAGCAGGAGTCTGAGGGAATGAAAGTGGTGTGAGAACTGGAGATTCTGGTCTGTATGCAAAGTCAACGACATCAATCGAAGATGTTTTGATCGTATTATAACTCCGATTTAGAATATCGATGAGCTCCAATCGGCTCCGCTGTGGAATTTCCTCCGCGGATAAAACGGGGGGATTAAACGTAGGTTTGGATGGGAGCTCGGGGGCTTTATTCTTCGGATTCACTGCTGTTTGGGGCTTCAGCGAATCGCCGGCCTGCGAGTTCTTTTGTGGAATTGAACTAGTTGACTTCGAGTGTTCAGGAGGCGCAGGCTTGCTCGGCGTGCGTGATATAACTCTGGTGTAATTTATAGTGGGTCTCACTGGAACGGGTTCTATTTTGTTAAGACGGATAGACATAAAATCCTACTTTCTTTCAAAGGCAACATAGGAGAAGACAAGGATGGAAAAAGAATGGGCTGATGCTTCGTGGTGGGTTCAGTATGAGCGGGAGTCTCACGAGTCGAGGATTCGTTACTCAACACATCAACCGCCGGATCCCCATTCATGCTTTCATTCACAGCGAAGTCCTTGCTCCGATAGTTCTGAAGATAATCCTTCGTTCTACTGAGAACAGGATCCATCGTGTAAGGATCCGTCAGTCTATTGTCGAGACGACGCAACTCTCGCTCCAGATTCGACAGATGCAAGTTGTGCATTTTGATATAGTTATTATACTTCGCAATCGTTTGCTGCGTAGCGCCTCGGCTCTCTCTTTCCGCTTCACAACTCTCAATTTCTTTATGCAGTTCGGAGATTAGTAGTTTGATCGCAGACATGACTTCTTCTCGCTTTTCCTAATACTTACTAGCAGGCACTATAAAAACAACATCCTGCGGACTCTGCTTGGTTGGTTGTCTCAGACCTTTAGTCGAAAATCCTTTTATGCTGGCTTCTTTCTCGTACTCATATGATCGTTCCATTCGCTCCTCGATTTTTTGTCTCGCCTCCGCCATTTGACTGTGATATTGCTGAAAATGAAGAGAGCAACAAAAGCATTTACTGCGACTATTGACTCCGTACTTGAGAGCCACTGTCTTATACTCTCCCTTAACCGCTGCAACTTTTTCCTTTGGTTTTTCAATTCTGTCTGGTACTTGTCTTTTAACGCAGGCTTTTCAGTTTCTGTGACCTATGAAATCGGAATCCAAAGCAAATAATCCACTTTAACCCAAAGCGAGTCAAATACTTCCAATTCCTCCCGGATTTTACTGAGAGTATCTTCAATATCGGCTGTGCATAAATTCAAATCAGTGTCACTAGATACATTTTAGTTTTCGGTTATAACTCATTGCTATCGCTTCGGTAATGTAGGTTGCTTATTCTGCAGTCTTCGGCAATGTACTGGGTATGAGAAACAATAATAATAATAATAATAATAATAATAACAGTATTTGAAACTTGTTGAATCAAAAAACAAAAAATGCACGAAGAGGGACTCGAACCCTCGAGTGCGAACACATTACGGCCTTAACGTAACCCCTTGGACCACTCGGGCATCCGTGCTCTGACCTAGCTTGTCAACTTACCTATAATAACGACACACTACTTCTTTTCCTCTAGCAATCAAACTCTGTCTTACAAGCAACGATCGAGAGAGCGGTTAATGTTCATTTGTTTCATTCTATACCACTTCGTTGTATTACACTCACGATTAAACACAGGTGGATGTTTTGTTTAATGAATCAAACACTCGCACTAACTACTTAATCCACCTTAATATTCTTAAAGATCCGTTTTACAAATATATTGGAAGCAGTAGCCGAAATATAACCACAGAAAAGTGATATTGCAGCCACTAGGAGAATCTACAGCTCAACTCCCTTAAACTCACCCTACTGATTCCGCAAAGAAATAAGCAGCCTGAATAACTCCATTCATTTCTGTCTTGTAGAAGAAATATATGCAGTAAATGAAGATATAGATGCCAATGCTTGCGCCCCCCAAGAAAGAAGTCCATTTCCAATGATAGTTTTCAGCATTCAATAAAATGTAGGTACCCACAATAGCAACACATACTTGGATGGTAATGAGAATCACAATTACAGAGGCAAGGAACCCGTACACATAGTAATACTTGTAACTCCAGATAGAGGCAAAGATGAAGAAGATCTCGATGAAAATCGCTCCAAAAGGAAGCAAGCCACTCACCAGAATGATAAAGTGTGGACGTGCGTAGAAAGCAGCCGTAGGGATAGGAGAAGGAAGCGAGGCCACACGACACGGGTTGTTGGGGTTGCCGCGCAGCGATCGGCCAATAATAGTGCCCAATGTGTGCAGTGGAAGACAGATGAATGACCAGAACAGGGCCAGCACAATAATGTTCCGAAGGGGGAAGTGAGCCAGTGTTCCATAAGCCATACTGATCAAACAAAGCAGGGAGTACACAACAACCAGGATCACTACAAAAAGGTATAACATACACAGAGAATCACGTACGAGGAATGCAGCCCGAGCTCAGAACCATAACTCGCTGCCAATGAGGAGAGGTCCGGGGGAAGAAAGCCTGCTTGTACAGAGACCCAGACACGAAGCCGTTCACGATAAATCCGACAATATAGACACCCAAAACGATGGTAAGGACCTTGTCGTCTACAGTCGCACAACCGCCAAAACCTTACGACCCACATACGAGGTAGCCAGCACGATCGCCAAAAGAGAGATAATGATGGTGAAGGCAATGTGGGCTCCATTACCCATAAAAATAGTGAACAGAGTAAGGTGTTCGCAGCAACGGAACACATCTCCGTGGACACGTTTCCATCCCGTCTCGTCAGGAGCCGCCACCGCCAGAGAATCAGCTTCGTACTCTTTCGAATAGCGGACATAGTCCAGAGAGAGAGTTCGCATCATAATCAGCGCAACCAATCCCGCCAGGAACACGACGATCATGAGCGAATTGAAGATACTGAACCAATGGATCTGGGACTCGAAAAAGTTGAATTCCAAGTAGCGATTAAACCGATTCCGGAACTCCACGGTTGAAGGAACAAACTGGACAGAGGTGGTCAACACCATAGGACTAAAAAGTCACATCTTCGTTTAAGCGCTTCGCTACCTGTGGGCCTTCACCACCACCGGGTTGGAAGACGTCATGTTCACCTCAACAATGCGGTTGTTGTTGTAACCGATAATGAAGGAGCGATGAGTGTACATGCGACTCTTGTTAGGAATCACTTCATGTTGACTCTAACCATTACCTACCCCGTGAACAACTACTCCTTTCTTCTCCATTTCCTCAATTTCCTCGTCCGTCATGTCCAAATCTCCCACCTTCGCCCAAATTGGAAGACCGTCAATCTCGAGCTATTTCTCAAGAACTCTCGCCAAAGCACACCTGGTACCAGTAGTGGTTAAAGATAGCCTTTTGCAGCTTCAGAGCATCCTCCTCACTTAGGTTCCTATGATTAACGGACTGACGAGCATAAACATCTCGCAAAGGGGGACATTATTCGCATTTCGGCGGAAGGAAAACTGAATGCCCGAGTTTTGAAGATTGGTTCCCTCGAGAACTTCTGAAATGCCTCCTTTCTAGAGAGCTCATAAAGCATATGAATCCATACCTTTGATTTGATACTATTAGGAATTTCGGGTCTACAAAACGGTAACGAGAAGTAATCATAAGTTTCGTGAGGGTTGTGATAAGGACCAATCTAATAGATATTTGCTGATGCAAACGATTTACTCTGTTTGTCCAAGCATAAAAATGATCTCCTTCTTGATACTACAAACTTAACAGTCAAAGAGAGGGCTATACCATCTGGTCTTTCTCGCTGCACAGACACAGCACGAAAAGGGCTCCGATTAACAAAGGACGCTTCATATTAACTCCTTTCTGCCTATTCTGTTTTAGATATTTTTCCGCGGGAAACCACTCATAACTCCCATTCCCATTCACTCTACTTGGAAAAGGAAGCTCACAGAAAAGCACAATTAGCTATCATTCCATAGAATATTTTGTTACTACTCTCAAGGAAAGCTATTTCTTCAATTTCACACACCGTTCGATTCAAGAAATAGGCTTCCCGTATGAAAACTATTGACAAGGAGATTTAAATTTCATACGAATCAATTGACACCTTTTCAAACGAAATCTATCCCATTTTGATCAAAATGGGGGAAGACAAGACTACGGATATGGAGTACTCAAAACCAGGATTAGATAGCGTATTAAAGTTGTTATTAAAGACTCTGAGTATCTTTCATCGTTACCTATCGAAATAGGTCTGGATGACTATGAAGATGCGTTTGTCGAACATGGGATTTTGACAATTGAAGATCTTCAGAATCACGAACCAGAATCTCTAATTTCTAGTTTTCTTATTTTTGCTCTCATAATTCTTAGTGGGAATTTTGAATCGAGGTCAGTATGAAGATATGATGGGTATTTGCTCCACAATAGCGCCTCTTGTATTATTTCTTTTGTTCTGTAACACTAAGACAATGAATGGAACACCATTCAACCCCGAACAATAGTCTCTCTTTTCTTGGTGAATGATTTCTAGTCAGAAAAGTATTCTTTCGTCACATTATGGTCAACGACTACGAATGTCTATCGTTCAATCGCGGAAAACTCGAATGGGAGAGGAGTATTTTCAAGAGTCGTCTGATTCCGATTATCCTCTTGATGATGAAAACGGTCTACTTGGATCAAATGATTCTCTAAATCAATTTTCTGCTACGCGGTATAGTTTTCTCTCCAATGCATCGGAAGAAAGCCTTCCTCTTTTGGAGTTCGACGAAATGGAGCGCCAAATGGGTATTACTTCAGTCACTCCTGCTTCCACAACCATCTCCTCTTCTTTTCACGAAAGGACTTATCCCACTCCTGTGAAAACGTACTGATATATACTGTCTCTATTTAATCTAGTCGACATACAGTGGATGTTTCCCGAGTCCAGCGCAATCATCATCTCCCTGCTCCCTATTTTCCTCCCATCAATTCATTGTCATCGTCGTCATCAACAGCAATAGGAACAGCAGCAACAACAACAACGGCAGCAGCAACAGCAACAGCAACAGCATCGCCATCATCATTTCTATCAGCATCAATCTCAGGAACTCAAGCGTCTAGACAGCCACGATCCACTATTTCTGTGACTTCCTCCTTGTCTTCGGTGGAAGAGAGACCAACTATGGACGATTCCTCCCATCCTCTCGGAGTCATTCAGGAGAATGTATATTGCGATGGGCTAAAGGAAATGAGTGGAGGAGTGTACGACGACACATCTGGGAAAGTGAGTTCGGGTCGGACTTCTGATCTACAGAGTTCTCTCTGCATTCTCCTGGCTTCATTAGCGCAGCCATCTTCCGTCGAGATTACTTCGACGTCCGTTTTTGTTCCTGCTTTGGCGAAAGATCCGCGGAGTCGCACACCGACCAGCTATTCCTTTCCATCGATCTATGTTCACGATTCCCTCGACCAGCTCGCTTCTGATTTGCTGACGCAGCTTGTCCCGTCGATTCCCAACCTCTTCGCTGGGCAAAACTTCACCGTGCTCTTGTATGGGTCTCTCGCCTCTCCCGCTTCCTCTCTGTTTCTTCCTGCGCCCTCACCGGATGTTTCGCTTCCAAGCCAGTTCGGGTTCCAACTGCTGAGTGAGTGCAATCAACGAAACTGGACCATGGGGATGTCGTGCTTTATGCTCAACGAGAACATCACGACCGATCTTTTGAGCAACAACGACCGTCGTGCCGTTATGGACAGCGGCTCGATCATCTTCATGAAGGGGATGAAATGCTACGCCACCCTCTCAAACGACGATATTCTCGCGGTTCTCAATACAGCCCGCGAAACAACTCCTTCGCCCCCTCCCGCGGCGGCCTCCAGTGTGGTCGTCTATCAGCTTGTCACCCCTCAAGGTCAGTATGGAGCTCGTGTGGGATTCGTTTTGCTCCCCCCTTGTGATCGCACGATTCCTGTCGTCCAAGGCGGATCTAACTCGTTCCAAATCAACAACAGCTCAATCGCTGCTCTTTCCAATGTCGCACGCGTCTTTGAAAATCGCATTCGCCAGCCTTTTCGAGACAACAAGCTCACGCTCTACCTTCGGCCCTTTCTTTTCTCCACAACCACCGTCCTAATCGGTTGTCTGCCTCCCTATGACGACTCGCTTCCATCGATACCTGCTGTCTACTCCGTCAAACCTGCTCCAGGCCCCAAACGGCTTTCTCGATTTGTCGAAGCCAAGCCGAAGACGAGCAACTTGCAGCCGACGAAGAATACGGAGAATTTCGCTACGATTCTGCGATATTGCGCACGATTTCGCGGACAGAAGGGATCCAAGCCCTCTGCATTCGCACGAAGCTGCACACGACCTACACACACAAACACGGCTGGTACAGCAAGCACGGTAGGCGCACCGGGCGCACCGGGCACACCGGGCACATCGGGGCTTACAAGAACTGCTAGTACTACAAGCATTTCAAGCAATCCTAGCAATTCAAGCACTTCCAGATCTGGACTTTCGTCCCCTTTGCGTATGCGAATGAATCCACGCGCTGATCCTTCTGCACTGAATCGCGATGCGGCAGAATTATTGCGACAGTACCAAATGAATACAGAGGTCATCTGCTAGGCTGAATGTTCTTGATAATCTTGCAAGAAATTATGTGAGATCGTACCCGCTGAACATGAGATCGAACTGCTGTCACATATCCTTTTTTGTACCGTGCTTTGGTCCTTTAACGAATACTCACGTGAAATTTCAAATAAGGCCAGAAATATAGTGAACTTATTGACAAATTATTACTGACTTCTTTGTTTGATGCATACATAATATGCCTAATGCAATGGAAAGTCATGGTGACCGTGCTTTTGAATTTGTTCGTCTTTGTTTCCACAATGAAGGATTAGTTATGTCAAACCGATGAGGAGACATCTCAAGTGTTGCAATTCTACAAGATGAAAAAGTTGCTAGGAAAAAACAGTAGGGTTCCATGACTATTATGGAATTGGAGGCGATCCTTGTTATTCCCCAGTTGTCTATCAACCTAATCTCAAGCGGAGTCCAGTAATGTATAGCCATATATATTATTATTTCAGATTGGTTGCTCTCTCTTCTTAGATGGGGATAAAGATATATTTGAGTTGTCTGTGATGCAGAGCATCCTTCCATTTATACATCCATTTAATATAGCTTTCTTTCATACCATTGAGACAACCCAGAAGTTTTTACTTGATTCCGATGGTCCTACATCGAACATGGTTTGCATTTCGGACGCACAAACAGCCGGAAGAGGTAAGAGAGAGTGACTATCTTCACTGTTCAGGTAGAATGAATCGCAAATGGGAATCTCCTCTGGGATGCTTAATGTTCTCTATCAAAGTCCCGATATCGGAAGGAGAAAAGCATCTCTACGAGCTTTCGCCTCATATTAGCGCCTTAGCAGTAGTGCTGGCACTCGAATCAATCCCGCAGTTTCATGTAGATTATTTATGGATGTGTTTGGATGCAGGGTTTGAAATTTCGGATTCGTTGGCCATACGATGTGGTCGTAAACGACTCAGTCAAGCTCTGCGGAATTATTAACGAGCCTTTTCAGGGTTATGACAAAACATATTCAGTGATTGGCATGGGTTTGCATGTAAACAACAAAAACACGACTTGTCTGAACACTCTCATCAATAGTGATCGCATTTTGTCGAGGTGCTTCTGAATGCTTCGAGTCACTTTTAGGGCGTTCATTCTTTCCGCATATATGTTAAAGTTCTGTATGCTTCTACAAATCTACAGGACTCAAGGGCTTGAAGGCATTATGGCGATCTACTTGGCTCACTGGGAGAATTACCTCCAAGAAGTGGAAACTACTATAGCGGAAGACGAAAAGGAGAAGATCCGACTCACTGGAATCACTGACGATGGCTATTTGAAGGGAGAAGATTCACAACATCGGCTTGTAGAGCTTTATCCTGATCGGAATTGCGAAGATTCTTTGGCGAATCTAATCGCTCATATTATTATGTTCATTATTTGTGAACAAACACGCGCTAATCTACAGCATCCTCGTCCTGAGGCATTGATTCAGAGTCATTCTCAAAGGTCATGCCTTTCTCGTACGCTTCGCGCTTCGTTTTCTCGATCTCTTCATTCTTTCTCTCCATCTCAGAATGAATCTTTTCCATTTTTATCTTCGTCTTATTGACATCACCCCATTACCTACCTTCAACTCCTCGATCTGCTTTTGAATTATCTCCATTTTTGTCACACGAATAACATCTACGATCAATCAAAGCAACGGTTTTGTACTCTCCTCTTCCTCTTCCTCTTCCTCTCCATACGACTCCATGTATTCTTTAAACTACAATAGGAGCGATTTCAATTGATTACTCTCAGCCATCTTTTATGAAAGTAATTTCCAGATATGACTTCGATCACATCCCTGCCAAAATCCTCAAACCGAAGCATATTTTCTGCTCCAAATTCCTAGAACGATTATACTTGCATTCCATATCAATACCCGTAATTGAAACAGCAAAGACTTGTGCGCTTCTATCCTTTTCAAGTTATCTTCCCTGGTCTGTCTTGTTACATACGCACTCCTCCGGACAGTACGAGAGGATGCTCCTAGGTGTGAAAAGCTTCATCGGCTGTTACTCGGAATATCACTGCTCATATTTGTAGTACTACTACTAATGCTAAGCCTTCCCTTCACAGAACTCATGAAGGCAACACTTTGTAAACGTAATACTGTCTTTTTGTTCTGAAAGTGTATCTTTTTGTTTCTATCTATTCTACTTTCGAGATTATAATTTTCGTTTTTCTTTCAATTGTGTACTAACTATAATGTTGTATACAAGGCAAATTCTATTTTCGGAATTCCAGAATTATTTGGCACATCTAGGAGTTTCTCCAAATCACATAATCTGTTTTATTGACTATGAGTGGTGAAACTGTTGATATTTTTAGACCGATCTGATTATCTAGCCTTTCCGTTATCCCAGATATGTTTTTTCGCCAGCTGGAGGTTGGTGGGCCAAGAACCCCAACTGGAAGCGTAATACCAAAGTCGCTGCTTTGGTGATGGTCGCTCTGTGCATTCCTGTCTTTATGACCTCGAAAAATATGGAGGTAGCGCGTTTTGTGATTCTTCTTAGTGGATATAGAGAAGACCTCTGGCTCCATTTAGACACATTCCTAGTCAATATTGGTGTAAACATGCAAAGGAAGACGACCCTAGACTTGAGTAAACGCGTAATGTATTCTTTTAACTCTGTTTGTTGGATACATATCTCTCTCCAGTGTCCTGTGGATTCATGCCCATCCTCAGAAAAAATAACGATCTTGAATGGAAAAGCTAGATACGAATGGAATCGAGTTGTCGCCAAAGGATTATGCTGAATTATCGAGTAGCTACCTGAAAATAACCTTAACTACAGTAACTCCTGGAAGTCCTGCGGAAACTGAAATAAGTGTGACAAACAGGTCAGAAAAACACGTCCATATACAAAACTGGATTAACGAGTAGATGGCAATCAAGTTGAAAACAAATGCAGGAAACCATTTGTCAATAAGACCTTCTTTGTTTATTCTGTGCTCTGGAGAGTCAGAGAAGGTTCATGGTTTGAAACGATTCCTTTCTCAATGATAGTATCCATGAAGGCTGCTAATGTGGATGCTATTCTTTCGTCTCCTGCACACCTTAAGAAATTCCAGGAAACGTTTTCTTCGTCAGTACATTTAAGTCTAGGTTTAAAATCCAATTTAACAGTATCGAAATTTCTCCACTCTTCTATGAGAAGGTAAAGCAGGCATCAGACAATGATCTCGTTGATTTGGTCAACAAACGAGTTTGGATTGGTATTCTAGTGAACCTTAGTGGGCGATGACTGAACGAAGTTCAATAAAGCAGCAAGTTGTTCCCATTCATCTTCACTATATCCTCTTTCTGTCCGTAACCCTCCTTAACTCCTATACTTCAGTCTGTTCTTCCCAAACCCGATGAGCCAGCAGTACAATTCGTCATTTTTCCTTATTCCTAGCAAGCCGAATCATCTCCAAGCGATGATCCTCGAACCGTATTTCCTTTTCTTGCATCCCGTTTACTCTAGCTGAGCAACTTTATGCAGTTGGAAGAAGAGCTGAAGCGGTTGACGATCTCAAACAACAAGAATATGGGAATAATCGAAGAGTTAACAAAAGCAAATGAAACTTTGAAGACGCAGATCAAGGCTTTGAGCAGCGATACTCAACTGCCTCAGAAATCTGTGGTAAACGTAGTTTTTTCTGTTATATTTATTTATATATATAGTCCAAGGAAAGGGATCATGACAAGACTATGGTTCCTATCTACTCTGGGATTTCGGTTTATATGCTTCTCGTATGCTGTCTATTCGCATTTTTCGCTGGAATACTGATCTATCCATATTTCTGGAAGTATTTGCTTTTGTTCCATACACCCTGATGAATCCCGATGATGATGGGTTTGTTCTTGTCACAAAGAAGAAAAGAAGAGGAAATTTGTAGTGAATTTGGGGTGTTTCTATTCTGTAGCGTTCCGAGATGGAACAATGGGAAAATTCAGATTTCAGAAAAGCAGAAAAGCAGGATTTTATCGTTTAAATCGTTTTTACTTTCGACTTGAGTGATTTTTAGAACGGATCCTCTTGTCTCTACTGAAGAGGAGAGAAAGAAGTTAATTGAGTCTATTATAGAAAATATTAAAAGTTATACGCGAGATATTGAAGGAAGAGCCTTTTTCCAAGAAATGCTCAACATTTTGAAGAATGTAGCATCCAAATGCGTGCATAATGTATAGAGACCCCAATTTGAGCAGATGATTTGTTATGGAATTGGGTGTATTCATGACAGTCGAGTATCTCAATACCAATATGCCTGCGCTTTGCGTCTCCAATCGGCTTTACATATTCCAAATGTAATGGAGATCTTTGATCCTAGTATGGATGTTGTAGGGTTAATCGTTCCGTTTTCAAACAGATGGATGTCGAAATCGTGCAACACTTTAACACGTGTGTTTTGTGTGTCAATGAAGAGGGAAAGCGCAAGGTACAGGCTTCGACATTGTTTTTCATGCCTCATTGCGGATTCAGCTTGTATTTCTGCTTATATCATTTGTCACTAGATATAACAGTCTTATTTGGAAGAATTGGGGAGAGTCGATTCCCTACTTGACGATTCTAGGCAATGGGTTTTCTTGCTATGACCGAATGATGATTGACAACGAAAAGAGAAACTCTCCCTCCAATTGCATTCTTCCTCTCCTTCCCTATCTCACGGAATCTCCCATTCTGTTAGGTTCCCAGACCTCGCAGACCTCGCAGACCTCGCAGACCTCGCAAATTTCGCAAATTTCGCAAATTTCGCAGACCTCCCAATCTTCCCAATCGTCAGATCGACTCGTTTTTGATTCGTTCCATTCGACCGCCTTGGAATTCGTAACCCCCAGTCAATTCGGTGCAGCCGAAAGCGATGGTTTGTGGGACAAACATCCGACAGAACCTGAATTGGGCAGCGATGCAACTCCGGGAATAAGCGATGAAGTGGTGAACTATCTAGAGAAGCAGAAGATGGACGATTCGATTTGGATGGATGTGATAAACGGCTATGCCGAGGCACCGAACCGTACAAATGGAACCTCTTTTTGACTGTAGAATCGAAGTATCCCGTCTTTCCTGAAGAGTCCTGTGAGAAAAATAAACGGAGAATCTGGGTCTACCGAGATGAAGGCGTGTCAGTAGAGAGTGTCCAAATGCTCCTGTTTTCCCTTCAGAAGCTTTGCAATCCGTGGAAATACGCCGTTTCTACGATTTCGGCGACTGATCTGGTGGAAACCGACTGGGAAACCGACTGCGTTCTCCTCGTGTTTCCTGGCGGAGCCGCGAATCCATACCATCGAAAACTGTCGAACCGAGTTGGGAATCGTGGAAACCACCGAATTCGGGAATTCGTGGAGAACGGAGGTCATTATCTCGGAATCTGTGCGGGCGCGTATTATGGATGCTCTCACATCGAATTCGATCGAGGCGGTCCGTTGGAGATTCTGTGCGATTATGAACTGGGCTTTTTCGCGGGGATCGGGAAGGGTCCAGCGATGAAAGGATTCGATTATATGTCTGATAAAGGAGCGCATGCTTCTCACTTTAAATGGAATGGATCGGAAGGCGTCGCTTTCTTCCAGGGAGGACCGAGTTTCGTGATCGATCAGCATTCCTGCAGAGAAATTGCGTGGTTCTGCGACCAGCCAGAACTGGCGTGCGAAGCAAACAGTCCTGGATGCATTGCTTGCGAGGTTGGAAAGGGGTCCGCTGTGCTGTGCGCGTTTCACATCGAATTTGATCCTTGGGTATCGAAGATTTCGCACCGATTGATGGAGGAACTGCGCGATGCCGAAGCGAAGTTGGTAGTTTTTGAGGAGCATAATGTGTAGTCAGAATCGAATTCGCTTTTTCCATTTTCTAATAGAACTTTTAGGAATCGAGATGCCTTCCTTGTCCTATCTTGACTGCCTTGTTTGAAACAAACACACGACTTTCTTAAAAACAGAATGAACAACGCGATATGAATACATACAAAATAAATGATAGATAGGAAACGGAATGTGGGCGATCGTTGCAGTAACTCCACCACAGAAAGACTCACATCATCCACTGTATCGATCTGCTGCAAGCATGCGCCGGGCATCCACTCAGGCAGGATCCGCGAGATCGTTCGTGGGTGTGTTTTATTCTCATCTGCTGCCATTTCAAGATCCATCCATTCGCGATTTCCCTGATCGCCTCTACAGCCAATCATTCATTTCTTCGACGTTTTACCCTCGTCGCATGCTCTCAACACGAGCTTTATCGCGCAACGCGTCCGCCAACCGATATTCCAAACTGCTTTTCTCGCTATTGCACGCATCTAACAGCAATTGCTTCTTCAGAACCGTTTGTTGGAGCTGTTCGATCTGGTGTTGAAGCAGCGTAATCCCGTTTTCCTGATTCTCATGCGACGCTTGGCGAAGTGCTTCGCGCTCTTGAAGCTATTCCTAATCCATCGCTTTCGAACCCAAACCTTCGCATCCTTCTCTGCAATTCGTTCCTCGTACTTCTTCACCAGATCTCTGTATTCATCGATCGTTTTCGTTTTGGACTCGCGAAGAAGATCATTTTCATGGACTAATCGCTGTATCTCAGTCCCATCCACAACAACTACTTCTTTTTCTTGTCGAAGCTTCAGCAATTCTCGCTCAAACAATACCGTTTTCTCTTCGATTTCATGACTCGAGTCTTCGTGCGGTTCAAGTCGGAGAATCTTCGCTTACATCGCAGTATTCAACCCTACATAATCTTCCAATTGCTTCTGCGACGACTCTAAACTCGACGATAATTCTGCAATCCGGTTTTCCTGTTCTTTGATCGTCGATTTGTAATGCTCTTCTTCCACACGATACGATTCGGTCGTGTGAAGCAATTGCGATTTCAACTTTTCGTTCTGCGGTTCATTCTATTCTTCGGTCCTACGGCGTCCTCCAGTTGTTTCAGCTGCTGCTGGATCTCCGAGGCTTCTTTCTCTGCCTTCTGCGAGCCCTGGTGCTGCTTTTGCTTCTCCTCGTTCAACTCCAGCTTCAGATGATAGTACTCCGCCTTTAGATTTTCTAACGTTGTCTGCTGCTGGATGTAGGCAGCGTCCTTCTCGTCCAGCAACGCATCCGTTTTTTCTTTCTCTCTCTCGTTCTACGCGTGATTTCCTCGATCCACGATCACATCAATCCGCATTTGCTTGATTCGATTCTCCAGAATATCAATCCTCGTATCCTTATCTTCAAGCAAGCGCTGATTCTGCTGGAGCTGCTCAATCGCTTTGTCCAAATCGTGCTCCAAATCCGCAATATGCTGCTCTATATCCTCCGACTCTCTACCATCGATCCCAATCCAATCCAATCCACTACTCCATGCTTAGCGGGATGTCCAGCATCGCATTCTCCATCGTGATTACGGACTGCGGGTTCGATGTCTCTTGCACCGGCTGCAGTGGCTCCACGCTTGCGGTAATGTGAAGACCCACTTCATCTTCGCGATCGCCCCATTCGTGGACGAGGAGGGGGGATTTCTCAACACCAGGGAGAGCGGTGTCAAGCAATTCGGACTGCGGCTCTGCTTGCTGAGCTTGGGTTTGCGTTTGTGCTTGAGTTTGGGTTTGAGATTGGGTTCGAGTTTGGGTTTGCGGTTGAGTCTGCGCCTGAGACTGGGGTTGTGCCTGAGATTGTGATGGCGCCTGAGACTGTGATTGCGGCTGTACCGGTAATGGAGGTAGCACCAGCGAATTGGGACCTCTCGAAATATCCTACATGCAAAGAAGAGAACGGTTCTACTCGAGGGATTTGGGCCGAAACACTCCGCTTATGGAAAGCCTATCTATAATAAAATCAAACGAAAAATACGTCATCGCCAGTACTAAGACTATTTACAATGTTCTCCACTTCTAAATCGTTCTTTTTAGAACCTAGAGGAGTGGGAACATACCTTTTTGTATAGGGTGCCGAGGCTCCCGAGCGTCCGGGGGAAAAACGGCTTCGTGACTACTATTTAGAATCCAAGTTATAAAAAACTACACTCTGGGAACCACTATAGTCCCTCTCTTTCTTTGGATCACTTCTTGCTTGATGATTCTCTGCTGTTCTTTAATTCATGCCGCACCGCAAGCAAATTACCTTGTTTTAAATACTGGAAGCTGCTGCGGAACTAATATAATCATTACTAGCACTCTAGTTCTTACCGTTCACAGTGCGATCTGCTCTCTGATCGACACTTTCCAAGAAGTCTCCAGCGATTTTGAATATTCGGTTCATTTATCTGTTTTAAGCAGTTGACAAAAATCGCGACAATTCTTGGAATTACAGTGTTTCCTACTATTTCCGATTATTTTGTGAAAGTCAATTATCGCTTCAAAAAAGAGAATACAAGTCTGGTTATATCAGCTATCAACAACCCAACTCGCGTTCTAAAATATTGTTTCTGTTGAACCACTTTATCATGGTTGTATCAAGATTAGCGTCAAAGATCAATCTTTCAAAGATTCTCACAAAACAATCTCCAACCATTAACCAGTATTCGATTTTGTATATATAATATAACAATCAAGAATCCTCTCTGAGTGTAAGAAGTATCCTTCTGTGACTAAAATTCTATCCGTATTGACTGAAGGGAGTATCGGTATCTCGGATATTATGAAGTATAGAGTTTGGAGCTTGGAAACAGACTGTAGTACTTGATAGTTTAATAAATCAGGTATTGCTGCTTCAAAAGAAACAGGTTCCTATTGTGAAGAATTGCTATTATCACTAGCCACATCGCATTTTTACGGAAGATGACTTGTATTTTTTGAAGAGAATAGCAGAGTCATCCCCCCAACAAGGTACTTGAATTTATGGGCATATGAGTAGAACTGCAGAAGAAAGCGTTTGTTGGAAACGAGACCCATGCGCTACTAAGTCAAATAATCGCTGGAAAAGACATAAAAGGAAAGCCTAAGTTTGAGCCGTTCATTTCCGGATACAAATTATGGAGAAAGGCAAACAATATCGATATTTACTTCACAGACGTTTTTGTAAAAAGCGAGAAGTACGGTTTTTGCGGGTTTATCGATGCGGTTGGAACCCAGGAAGACGGCAAACTCTTTATATTGGATTTTAAGTCTGGGAGTGGCATCTATGATTCTTATGCCATTCAAATTGCAGCGTATTGCAAAGCGTTCGAAGAATACTACGATGCAGTGGTATGAACGATGCTGGTTTTGTCACCATAGGAGCCCGTTTCGAATGCCTATATCTTGCAGTTAAATTCAGAGAGTGCCCAATTTCGATTTCAGCGAGTTACAGATATCGACACTTGCTTTTCTTACTTTCTCCATTGTAAAGAATTGTACAAGTTAGGGCAAAAGAAGACAAGTCTCTTTTCGGATGTAATATGTCTTGTTTGTTCACAATAACTGATGGAGGTTGTGGGTGAGAGCAATTCCGATCCAGATTCTTGCTATCCAGGTTCACCTCTAGCTGTCTACTCTTTGGGACCGCGAAATCTGAGTTTCTTATCAATGGGTGACAGGTTTATTCAGATCATTGATATCGTTCTTTATCTCACTATGCAATATCCATGGTAAATAGCTGGCTAACTCATATTTGAATTTGTAGTCTCTTTAAGGATTTCAATGAGCTTCTTCCAAAAATGTTTTATTCGAAGAGGAAGTAATTTTTCTACTGCTGCTTATATTATTCATAGACAAATTATAGCACAGAGAACAATTGACTCTAGAAACGAAGTAAAAAAGGCCTTTTCCGATATATCGAGACAATCTATTCCAATTTCAAAATGTATTGATCGTGTTGGTATTCGATTCTATTAAGGTCTGGTTCTAATTGGCGCTACGTTTCTCAACCCGTTGTTGGTGATAGAATTTCTATTTTCCACAGAAGAAAACGACGAGGTATTCTTCTTGAAACGTACAAACACATAGAACTGCGTTATAGACAGTGTTCTTGCCAAACTAAGTTCTCAAATCGCAACATCTCCTCTCGTGTCACACAAGTAGTTGACTGAGATGCGTTTCTTCTAGATCTCTCTCTCCTCAGAAGCATACTTGGCTGTTTATTAAACCATCCACTTCTCTGGTATCCGTAGTCTCCTTTTTTTTTTAGTATAGCAATCACCGTATTGGAGCGTTTGTCCTCATTTTTCGCTTTCAAAGAAACAAAAGCAAGCTAGGGTATGCCAATTCCGATTGGGGGAGGTTGATGATGATGATTCTTTGGACAGGGACAACGAGGACCATCCGTGGTACAAGTGTAATATAGTGATAGAGGGGTGCTGCTCTTTATCTACAGACTCTTTTTGTCGTTGTTTGTTTGATACTGTCAAGTCCCCTTGCTTTGTTATTGATTCACAATGTTCTGTATTGCACATTGTAAGAAATCCATCAAATGGAATGCAGCAAAACGGCGACTTTCATTTCTCAAAAATGGTAAGGATGTGTAAATTCTGCTATTATAGAGCTATTATCGGAAAGGAGAATTAGTTTTTCTCGAATCAAGAAATCATTTTACTCAGTTGCCGAATTCAGCCAACTATGAACTTCGGATCGAAGTAGGTGTTTTTCGCAATCGATGATACATATCAGAGAGAGTCAAGGGACCCACTAATCTGCGAATTCCTTCTTTTGGGAATGCAACGACAAGGAGCATGGGCATGCGAAGCGTATACGGCTTCTTCGTCTTCTCAGCTCATTGAAACATTGAGTGTATTCGAGTTGAAAGATGGGGTGGGTGAAGTTGATTCTTCGTCAAACACAGGTAATCACTAACCGCTATCCCCTCTGCATTTACAAATTGTGTTCGAGTCGATCTACGTTTGTTCTGTGGTTCAACAACAATGTGGAGAATCTACTGCAATCAGCCATGGTGGACAAGCTCCTTTCCCAAATCACATTCAATTACTGTATTCTCTTCGATGTGATTCCCTTCCCAAATCGAACGACCCTTTCCTACTCTTCGGAATCACTGTTTCGCATAAATAGCGGAGCGAAGTTAAGCGAGCTGAGTTTCGTTCCTGTGCTTCCATCCCCTTTGTTTGTTTCTGGATTTGTTGCGGAATTTTTCACCAAAGTATTTGTTACTCCATGTTGCTATTTGTAGTGCTGTATTTTGAGAAAAACGGTATATGCTTTGTTGTGTTGTCCAGATGAGGAGTTTTCGCTCGATCCAGTTGTTTCTCTGGGGAATGGAATTTATAAAATCACCGGTGTATCTGTAGAAGAGGAGGATTTTTGTAATGTGAGTAAACTAGTGATCAGTCGAAAAGAATCTGTGAGTGCGCATAGTCATATCTATTTATCTGATGTTTGTTGAATATTCATCAATTGTGTTTCTAGTGGCGAAAACATCACTCGTTCCAAATATAGTTCAATAGGGTATAGCTTGCTGTTTCATTTTCGCAGGGAGAATTTCGAAGTGGTACACTCTGAGAACCAGTCATATTCCCAACAAAATACCTAGGATTTTCGCCAAAAAGCATAAGCTGCAAAGTTTTCATTTTTATTTAAAATGAGCATTGAGATGACGGACATGCAGAAGCCTGCTGACCAGCGACAGGCTTCTGACAAGTTGTTGTTGGTTGGAAACCTCATTTGTAGTGTAGTTGAAAACCCTACTCAGGAAGTGGGAACGGTTATTGATTTGCCTCGTATTTACTCAACGTTTGATATTCTTTTTTTCCTTAATTTCATAGGTCTGGTCGTTTTGAGGATTCTTTTGTGAGTTCATCGTATTATTTGTTGCCATATTTTACCTTAGCGATACGTATGGAAGCTATTCCGCCAGTGGTATGTACGGGACACACGCTTCTCTGAACTACGTATTTGGCAACTTGGGGTCTACAGGCCACCATGGCTCTGCAAAGGTAACGCTAGTCTTGATGTTTTAGCATAGCCGCAAGCATGTCAGATTCGCTATGATAACAAGGGAATGATTTTGAACTACACGTCCAAGGTTGCTGTAGTCTCTCGTCTCTCTTGTGACGAATAGTCCATGTTTTTGTTGAAGGACCGAGAAGATCTGATGGGAGAAAATTTAATCAATCTTATCGGTAGGCGTGCCTTTCTTTTTTCGCTAATACTCAGATCCCAACTTTATGAAAACCACTACCGAAGCTGCTGTCCTGAAGGCGTTTGGAATTGGTCTAGGCTCCCAGGATTCCAGCGAGGCTCCTGCATCGACCGAGAGTGCTGCGAAGCCTGCTGATGCTGAAGGCACTGCGAAGCCTGCTGATGCTGAAGGCACTGCGAAGCCTGCTGATACTGAGGCTGGCACTGGAGCTGATGCTAACGCCGCTGGAGCTGGAGCTGGAGCTGGAGCTGGAGCTGGAGCTGGAGCTGGAGCTGCAGCCAAGACCGAAGAGTCTGCGAAGCTCACAGGAAAGGGCACGGTTCTCACCGCGGTGCGGACGAACGGAGATGTGTTCCCGATGCGAGTGACGGTGGTGAAAGTGAACAACAACGTGCTGACGGCCAAGCTGGAGGACACGAACGAGGCGACCATCGAGGCGCAGACCGACGCAGCGAAGGACCGCACGATGTCCAGCTCGTCGTTCTCTTCCTACCAGGACACGTTCAGCAGTCAGCGGAGCGGAAGCATCTACACGAACTCGCTGTACCGATCCTCGCTGGGCAGCTTCGCGGGTGTGGTGGTGGACATGAACGAGATCGACGACGAATCGCAGTGGGTGGGCACCGGCCGTTACACTGCCGGTCGCGAAGAGGTCTACCGCGAGGTAAGCGCGCTGACAAGCGTTGAGCAATAGGGATCCCAGCCCCAGCAAGCTGCGATGAGTGCGGTGTCCCTGACCGCGTTCTCGGATCTGCGCCGGTCGCTGGAGAACGGCGTGGTGCTGCTGAGCACGGATGACCAGATCGATTCGCTGCAGGACGTGATCAACCTGATGCTGAACGAGGCGGAGGTGAAGATGATCACCACGCCGCAGGTGCGCGAGCAGATTCTCCGTCTGTTCGACAACCCGCAGGCCACCAATGCGGACAACGCGAGCTCGGAGGCCAAGGAGGGATGCAAGGTCTACGTGGCCAAGCTGAGCTTCTTGTCGAAGCCTCTGATCGGACTGGTGCGCGTGAAGACCCCGCTGGTTCTGGGCGAGAAATCCCCGGTCCCGATCCGCTACTTCCTGTTCGTTCTGGGCTCGACGGAGTGCACGTCCACGCAGGAGCTCCACGAGATGGGCCGCGCCTTCTCTCTGATGCTCTCGCAGAACTGGTTCAGCAATGCGGCGCGCAAGATCGATTCGCAGCGTCTCTTCTTGAAGCTGATGGACAACTTTATGACGCGTTGCATGATGCTCCCGCCTCCCGATCCATTGGCTGCGAATCCCTTCGAAGTCAAGCAGAGTCGCACTGTGAATCGAGGCTGCTGTGGATCGCAGAAGCAGGAGACCGTGATGCTGATGATGCCCAACACCACGCTGCAGCGCACCAATCACCAGCTCCGGAAGCGTCGCCGCCTGCTCAACGCCCACGACACGCAGCTGATGCAGACGGCCTTGCAGCAGGAGCCCACCGTGGAGGAACTGGAGAAGAAGCCGAGCCCCTATCTGACGAAACTGACGCTGAAGGACAAGATCATCAGCGGAATCACGGCCGTGGTGTGCATCGGCGTGCTGGTCATGCTGCTGGTGCACCACTTCGTTCCGTATGACGACGGTCTGCACTCCACGCCGATGCTCGGGTACTCGATGTCGATTCCTGGAGGCTTCCGCTCGATTATTGCGAACAAGACGGACTATTACGAGGTCGATAGTTCCCATCGCGGCTTGTACGAGATTCGAACATCGATCCAGCGACACGACACGATTCCTTACACGTTGAGCTACCAACTCTATGCCGTCAAGTCCACCATGGAGGAAGTGGCTCTGGGCAACCCCGTGGTGATTGCGAGCAGCGAAACGAAGGAAACGGAGGATCTGAGCGAGTTCGACGAGATGGATAACGAGGTGTTCAACGATAAGAGCACGACGGTGATCGCGAAGGTGACGACCAACTCGACGGAGCCTGTGTCCTACGTGATGTTCATCAGCTCCATGGCGCCTGTGGGTCGGTACCGAATTCTCCTCGGATCCATCCTGCTGGTCGCTGTCTACGTGCTGCTTCTCCTCGAAATCATCAATCGCGCCGTCGTGGCCTTCATCGGCGCCTTCCTGACCTTGCTGCTGATCTCGTTCATTTCGGAGGCCCCGTCGCTGGACACCGTGGTGAACTGGATGGACGCCTCGACATTGTGTCTGCTGTTCGGAATGATGATCATGATCCAAATGCTGTCCACGACGGGTCTGTTCGAGTACATGGCCGTTACCATGCTGATTTGGTCGCATGGCAACATCAAGGTCCTTAACGTGTGTCTCTGTCTGCTCACCGCTCTCTGTTCCGCGTTCCTCGATAACGTCACGACGATGCTTCTGATCGCTCCCGTGACCATCGAGGTGTCTCGCATGATGAAGGTGAACCCAATTCCCTTCCTGCTTCCCGAGGTTATCTTCGCGAACCTCGGCGGAACCGCTACGCAGATCGGTGATCCCCCAAACATCATTATCGGAAACATGCTCAAGGAGCACATCGGCTTCGTGGACTTCATCATCCATCTGACGCCTTGCGTTATCATCTGCCTCATTTGTGTCTATCCCTTCGTTCTCTGGTACTACCGCAAGGACCTCAACAAGCCCAACTTCCAAGTCGATTTGTCGCTCCGCGAGAAATACCAGATCAAAGACAAGCCGCTTCTTCTGAAGTGCGGAACCGTTCTGATCACTGTGATCATTCTCTTCTTCCTCCACTCCTTCCATCACATCGATACCGCCTTCCTCGCCGTCGCCGGCGCCTTCGCCTGCTTCTTCCTCGGCACATCGGAGGACCTGCACACGACCTTTGAGCTTCTTGAATGGGAAACTCTCGTTTTCTTCGCGGGTCTCTTCATCATGATCGAGGGCATCAACGAGATCGGCGTGATCCGCGCCATCGGCGAGGCCGTTTCCTCGCTCATCATCAAGGCTCCAGTGAAGTGGCAGTCGTTCCTTGCCCACATGATGATTCTGTGGGTGTCGGGCCTCGCCTCTTCCGTTCTGGATAACATCGCGTTCACCGCGACCATGATTCCGGTGATCCAAGTTCTCGGCTCCCATTCGGAGCTCAATCTTGACGTGGTCACGCTCGCCTGGACCTTGGCGCTCGGAGCCTGCTTCGGAGGCAACGGAACGCTCGTGGGAGCGGGAGCCAACCTGGTCACGGCCGGCATTTGTGCCACGAACGGGCATCCGGTGAGCTTCGGCATGTTCTTTAAGTTCGGATTTTCCTGTATGATTATATCCATGGTGGTGTCTACAGTGTACGTCACACTCCGATATGTCCAATTCTAGTCTAGACAGGTTGTTTTTTGAATCAAACACGCTCTCCATCATTCTTTTAGCTTTCTTTTTTCTTAGTTCCACTCCACCGGCTTCTCATGCGGATAGATGAAGCTGTTGCCTCCCGCGGCCACGGAGTCCGGACCGTGGTCTCGGATCTTGTAGTCGTAGATCACGTCTTGCGGCTCTCTGATTCCCATCGCGTAGCGCACTTCATTCATAATGTACAAGCTACCGCAGATCAGCACCACATCCTCCGGCTTGCTTTCGTCCAGAACACGCTGCAGGTTCTTCGGAATCGAATCCGCGATTCCGTCCTTCCCTACCTCTCATCATCTCCCGCCGTTCTCACCCTCGCTCCATTCGCGGCCCATCGCTTCATTCGCTCTCCGCAGAGCGTCGCGCAGCCGCTCCGCCTTCATCGCTCGCGGATGGCTGCTGTTTATCAGCCGCATCTTTTCCGCGGGAATATGCCCCAAAATGTTGCGCAAACAATCCTCCACGTTTTTATCCGCGCAGAACCCGCAGATCATCTGCATCGTACCCTTCACCAACCCCCTACGCGCAGCGTTCGATTTCCGTATACCTTCGCCATCGTCGCCCACATCGCGTCAAATCCGGGCTGGTTGTGACAAACGTCCAAAACGACGCGAATCGACTCACCGCGCGAGTTCCGAAGATCGAATTCCTCGAAACGGCAGATTGGGCGGGTGGTCGTCGCCGACTCGATGATATCCGCGGGGATTTGGAACTTTCCGCGGGAGGTTTCGTTGAGCGTTTTGAGCGCCTGGCGAGCGATCGCCGTGTTGATGACGTCATACGTTTGATGCTGGTAGTCTTCTACGACGACGGGGACATAGAGAGAGTGATGGCTTCCAGCGATGGAGTAGATCTAGACATGACAGCCTTGCAGAGCGAAAACTTGCTGGTGCGGGCAGTTCGGCCCCACAACCACGGGAACGCCATCCTTGATGATGCCCGCTTTCTCTCGAGCAATGTCGGTAATGGTGTTTCCCAGAATTCCTTGATGATCGAGTCCAATCGACGTAATGACGCTCAGCTCGGGAGTGATGATGTTGGTAGAGTCCAGACGACCACCCAGCCCCACTTCCACCACAGCCACGTCCACTTGCTTTTCTTTGAAATAGTCGAACGCCATCCCGGTCACACTCTCGAAAAAAGTAAGAGAGGTCGGAAGGGAAGGCTCGATCTGGTTGATGCGGTCCAGATACTTCACAACATCATCCTCCGAAATCATTTCCCCATTGATAGTGATTCTCTCGCGGAAGCTGGAGATGTGGGGAGAAACATACATGCCTGTCTTGTACCCGGATGCTTGCAACGCCTTCGCGATCTTGTGGACAACTGATCCCTTGCCATTGGTTCCCGTAACATGGATTGTGGTAATCTGTCCAGCGGGATTGCCCAATTTCTGGTTGAAGACGATCATATTCTCCAGTCCCATCTTCACTTTGAAGTTTAGGTTCTTTGAATACAGAACCTTCAGCAATTCTACTCTCACACTCCAAAGCCGTCGTTACCGATATATTTGGAACTCATTTCGATAGTATGGCAAACTGCCGACTTTGCAGTTCGAGTCGATGCGTATAAGTAGCAAACAAACGACTTTCCCGAATGAAACGCCCATTTTGGTACAACAAACACGCCATTATGCAAATGGAGAGCTAAAGAGGAGAACGCACTCTCCCTTCGAATTCGGCTTGATCGGCAGACTTCCTGGCTGCGGCGTTTCAATCAAGTATTGGGGATCAATGTCGGGGAAGTCGGGAGCGGCGGAGAACAAAGAAGGCGGTTCGAGCAATTTCAACATCTGCTGCTGGTTGCCTCCCATCTTATCGAAGATGAACAGCAGCGAGCCCTCTTCCTTTTCCCGCCGTTTTCTCTGGAATTCCCGCCATCGCGTCACTTCGTCTTCGTCTTCGTCTTCGTCTTTGACCTTGACCTTGTCGTTGATCTCGTCGTTGACTTTGATTTTGTTGTTGTCGTTGTCTTCGTTTCCCGCCTCTTTTTCTTTTTCTTTTTCCATCTTCGCTTCCCCTTCGCTCGCCTCCATTCCCGCGGGATCCGGCAAAAGCCGCTGCTTGACCGTCTGCCGCTCATTTTTTCCCGCCAAACCCACCTTTTTGCGCACTTCCTCCCTCTTCCCGCGGCAAATCGGACATTCCTCGGTTTCCCCGGTTTCTCCATTTCCCCGGTTTCCCCGTTCTAAACAGCGGGCGTGGAACGAGTGTCCGCAAGCAAACACCGAAATAGCCTCGTTTTCTGGCAAAAAATCCGCGCCGCACAGCGCGCAGCTGGCGAAACGCCCGACCAAGGGGCGTTTCATCGCCTCGACCTTCTGATGGAGACTTTCGTTGTAATCCCCGCGGTAAATGCGAACGAAATTGGAGTAGGACTCGATGTCCATTTGGAGGGAAAGAATGACCTTGTTAATAATGTTACTCACATCCCGAATTGTGTTCCCGCTGTTCTGGTTCAGCACGCACGACAGCAAAACGGCCAGCGGGATGCGCGCCTGCAGCCGGTCGAACAATTCCTGCAGCAGATTCCCCGCGGTTTTCTCGAGCAACTCCAGTCCCGCGACTATTTTCCGGTTCGCGTTCAGCTCGACCTTGACGTTCAGCGCGCGCCGGATCGCGGAGATCCCCGCGGTGCTGTCGAGGACGAGCGTTTCCCAGGCGGATTTGAGGAACGAGGCCTGGATGGCGTCGAAACTCAGCGGCTGCGCGGCCCGCTCGAAGATCGCCGAGAAAACCGCGGTGATCTCCATCTCCGCCTTCAAGGACAGAAAAGGCCGCTATTTCTGGAGTCGGCGTGGCAGAAATACCTCCAAATCTTTCACGTTGAAGAGGTTCCGTAACTCCCCTTGCAGTCGCTCCGTTACCGCGATGAAACTCCCGGTCACCTCCACGATGGCGCCCTCCGAGTCTCCCTCCAAGTGCTGCAGCAGCGCGCGGCAGAGCCGTTCCACGACGTCGTCGCTGGGTTCCGCGGGGATCGGATCGTTCATCGCGGCAAGCAAAAAAGTGGCGATTTTGGGCGATCTGGGAGGGAGACAATCATCAAAACCCGAACAATTCGTTGGACTTGATGAAGCGAAGCAGAAGCCGCCGGTTTTCCCGCACTACCAGCCCGCCAAAGCGAAGAAGCATGTCGTCGCGCAGCGATTCCCGGCTTTTCTGCAGCAGCGCGTGCAGAACCGCGGGTTTGAGCAGAACCGCGGGGAGCTCGGAGGGAATGCAGAACTAGCGGTGAAACACTGTTCCAAAACGAAACGGTTTTGAGGTACAAAAACACGGCTTTTTCGTCATTTCCAAAAATCGGGAGTATTTTTGCATGGTCGCCTCCCTCCAATAAAAGCTCGTAAACCGCGAACACCGCGCTCCGCAAATAAATCAGCGGGCGGAAATACGGTTCCACGCACTCCGCCAGCGATCGCAGATTCCCGCGGATATCCTGCTGGGCCTCCGAGAGCGTCTAGAACTCACGCCCCCGCGAGGAAAAAAACCGCGGCAAGGTACTGCTCGATGCGGCGGGCGACGGCCGGCGCGTCCCGCGGGGATTGGCGGATCTGGGAGAAGAAAAGGCGGAAGACTTGGTCGTGCAGCCCGCACCGATGAAACGCCTCGACGGTTTCGTCGACGCAGCCGACTTCTAATAGAAGGGCCGCGATGTGCCCCGCAGAACCGCGGTTCATGGGGAGATTGGCGAGAATCCCGCGGAACTGGTCGCGACGCAGCAACGCCGTGTGCTGGGTCAAAAATTCCACGATAGTTTCCCCAGTTTCCACGGTTACCCCTTCCACGCGCTGTTCGCGCAGCACGCTGGCGATCACGTGGAACATCGCCAATTGTGTCTCGGCGTCGCCAATCCCGCGGGAATTCGCTCCCAGCAGTCCCGCCACCGCGGTTGCCGCCATCGCTTCGTACAGTCGCCGGTACGTTTCCGCCTCCACCGCCGCGCGCGTCGCCGCTTCCTCCTCGCTTTCCTCCTCCCCCGCGGGAGATCCTCCCTCCCCGCGGGACTCAGACGACTCTCCCGCGGGGATGGCGGCTCCCGCGGGGAGGACGGGCTTGACGGAGAGGGCGTAGAAGAGCAGGCCGAGGAAGAAGGCGGGATGGCGCGCGAGGAGCCGGTCGAAGGGATTCCCGCGGGGCGTGTCGGCGACGAGCCAGGCGAGGCAGTCGGCCTGGCTGGTGATGCGGCCGAGGGAGTTGAGCGGGGCGTTGCCGAGATTGAAGCCCAGCAAGGCCAGGTGCAGCAGGAACAGATAGAACGACTCCAGTCCCGCGGGGGAGCCGCGCACGCCCAAGACGTCCGGGTAGAACTGGTGGAGGGGGCGGGGCGTTTCGTTCAGCGCGGCGAAGGTGGCTTGGAGGGGGCGCACGAAATCCGCACGGGAATTGATGCTGAGCGCGGCGCCGGCGAGGAGAAAACCGCGGGAGAAGAGGGTCTGCATGACGGCGTCGAGGTCGGAGGCGAACTGGAGTTTCACGAGGCGTTGCTCGATGGCGAAGCAGGTGGCGGGAGTCTGGGTTTCCTCGATGAATTGGAGAAACGCGGCAAGCGAAGAAGGCGGGATTTGCGACAAGCGACCGCACGCGATGTAGTCCAGAAGAACCGCGAAAAACAGACGCGTCGACAGCTCCTCCGCTTCGGCACCATTGGTTCCACTATTGGTTCCACTGTTTCCACTATTGGTTCCACTATTGGTTCCACTATTGGTTCCACTATTGGAGAAATCGGAAGTTTTTTCATTTTCCTCCTTTCCACTATTTGTTCCATCGGTTCCATCGGTTCCATTGGTTCCATTGGTTCCATTGGTTCCACCGTTTCCACTTTTCTCGGTAGGATCGGATTCCCGCGATTCCACGTGGAGTAACGTCAGCACGGAGGTGAACAGCAAATCGGAGCGATTAATCGCGGTGAGCACGTCGAACACGCAGCCCATGCGCAGTCCCGCGGGGAGCGTGTGTTCGCCGTCGAGGAGACGCAGGGCCACGGCGGAGATCCGGTTCACGGCGGAATAATAGCGAATTCTCACCTCGCCGTCCTCGGTGGTTTCCAATTGGTCGGCCAATGTGCGCACCAATTGCGTCCCGACGCGCAGCGCGTTCAGCGAATCCCCGCTCTACATGGGAGTTTCTCCGTTTCCCCACGTCGAGATAGCGGAGAACGCGCTGGTCGGGACTCTCCGCGCGCACCACGACGATCCGATCGCCGCACAGCAAAAACAGCGCGTTCCCCGCGACACAGCTGCTGTTCCCGAAGATCTTGTGGTTCTGGCAGATCCCCGCGGGGGTCGGCTCGCCGCGCAGCGCGGCCTGGAGGCGGGAATTGATGTTTCCGTAGATGAAGCGAAGCTTGGCGGCAGGTTTGACTTCGCGGACGATTTGATTGATGGCGAAGTCGAGCGCGGCAATCCGACCGTCCGCCAGCGCCAAATACGCCAGCGAAGCTCCCGCCAACGCGCACGCGTTGACGATCCCCGCGATTCGGAACGTCGCCGTGGGGGTGATGGAATACGTCACCTGATTGGACGAATCTAATTGTGTCTACCGGTTCAGCGAAACGCCCGGAAGTACCGAAATCGACCAGATTTCGATGAGGTCGGTGTCGCACCGCATAAATTGGAAGGAGTTTCGCTCGCCGCGGCGCCACGCCGTGCTGAGACTGCTCTGCACATAGTTCGTTTTCGATTCGAAGTTCGGCGAGGCGCTACTCACCTCCACCTTCCCGCGGGGAAGCGTGAACAGCACGCGCGTTTCGCCCTGGTCGGCGAGTAAAATCAGCGTGGCTTCGCGGTGCGTGATTGCCACCAAATCTGCCGCCAGCGTTTCTTCGCGGCCGTCGTTCCCGCCCTCGCCGTTCCCCGCGGAATTGGTGCGTCTCAGCGCGCAGCGGCGCACGGAGAAGGGCAGCACGGAGAGGTCGACGACCTGCCCGAACTGCGCGGCCTGAAACACGCGCACGGAGTTCACCGCGGCGGAGAAAAGCTTCCGCGTGAAGGAAGTGACGTTCACGTTGCCGTCGTAATCCGCGGACAAAACCGCCTCGTTGCTCAGCACGCGCACGAACACCACCGCCGTGGCGTGCACTGACGCGAACGACTTGAGCAGCGTGCGCCGCTCGACGCTCAGCACGTCGATAGCGCCGCTGGAATACCCGATCGCGCACACGGCGCCCGACGCGTCCGCGCCGAGCGAGAGAACGCTGCCGATGTCCGCGCAGTTCTCGGGGCTCCCGTGCACGAACGGGGCGCTCGAGGGCGAGGAATCGGAGGGAGACACCGGCGTGGAGAAGAAGGGAGACGGGGAATCGGGGGTCCGATTGGGGAAAAAGAGAACCTGCGATTTGCTCATGCCCACGATCACCGAGGTCGGCGTCACGAGGAGGGCGTTCGGGAGGCCTGTGCCGCTCGTTTTGTAGGTCTTGGCGTTCTCGTGGAGGAAGGAGTCGCTGGAGCTCTCGTTGGAGACGAGCATGCTGACGATGTCCGCGTCGATGATCGATCGGGGCTGCGTGGTGGACGTACTCGATATAACCTCTAGGGTGGTGGTGATCTCGGTGTCTGGGGCCGCCTGTGCGCCCTGATGGGCATGCATGTACTGAAGGGCGCCATCGAGCGTCCATTTAGGGTGATCTGTGACTTGTGTGGCAGAGGGAGCGAATAGATCGAAATAGGCCGAGAAACGGGAGATGATTTGATCGTTCAGACTTGGCACCGGCGGATTGTACGCTTCGAATGGACGATCTCCGATCTTCATGATCGGGTACTCCGCCTCATCGAAGGTGAACTCCTCGATCGACCCTTCCGGACCCTTGACGTCCTTATCCACCAGCAAGTCCAGCAGATAATTTACTTCCTTGTAATCGTCGAATTTCAACTGGATTGTCTTGGTTCTGGACGCGACACTCTCCTTTGCGTGGAGATCACTGTATGCTTTGTTCAAATCGTCTTCAAAGGTGGAAGATGCCTGGACTGCGTAGGTTGAGGCTCTCCGTGTGCGCAATTGACGCAAGCTCTTTTTGTACTCTTCCGGATATAAATATCTACATGCTCAACACCCCAATATTCCAAATACTCATATTCCACTTCATCCTCTTCAAGGACATCCATGATATCGATTCCGGACATGTCCAACGGGACATCGTAGTCCCTATCCGGTTCATTCATGATATTCAATACTTCCTCTGTGATACAACTCATGATTCAAGAGAAAATCTTGTACAAAGACACATTCAAAATAGTCCCGATTTTTGGAAACAAACAAGTCAATTGTCTATTCTTCTTCAGAGAATAACGATGATAGTAAGCGTAAGAATAAATAATAATAGTAATAAACGAATGGATGAGCGAGCAAACGAACGAACGCACGCACAAAACTCAAGCCAGGATCGTCTCATCACGCAAGTACTCTCCCACATCGGACTGATGCAGAATGCAAATACTCTACTCCTCACACCTCGCGCGAATGCTCACAGCAGCATCGAGATCGCGAATCACGTCCGTCGTCTGCGCGGTGATTCCGAATCCAAGCGGCACGTTGTTCATGTTGAAAACCACCACACCGGCGTATTGGGGACAACCCTCCGAAATACGCGCCAGACCTACACCCATCATGCCACAAACGCAGTAGAAACCTCCTTTCGTAATGTGGTTGCCGTACAGGAACGACATCTCGGCACTTGGCTTCACCCACACTTTGTACTAGGGGGTACAATTTTTGAATTCAGCATACCTGGGCATACTGTGCTAGAAAATCGAGGGCGGTGATATGAAGGCGGAACTTGTGATTCTTATTGAACCGGCCAAACTTCGTTCCGATGCTCATTAAGTTATCTCGAGACACATTTACAGCGACTCGGAGCAATTTCTCACTACGAATCGCACGAGAAAAGAAAAAGGGAACCTGATATAGTAAACACGGTCTTTATGGAGACGAAAGCAATGGGGATCATCCTGCTGGTTCACAAGTTGCTCCACATTCGAGCCGATGCTACAGGTCAAAAAGTCCACAATGCAGCTTACTATTTTGTCAATTTCGCATACAAGACCTTAGTTTCTTCTTGAGTAAGAGGACGCATGTTTCCCAAGTTCCGAAATGGCAAAGAATGAAAATTGTTTGCTACTTCGTATCCAACAAACATCTGGGAGAAAGCAATTAACTAAAAATATCGTCGTTTTCGTCCACATAAATAATCTCGTCATCCTCGGTTAAAACAGAATGAATCGTTGAAAAACTCACATTCTTGCTCCTTGGGGAAATGCAGTACGGCGACAAAATAGGCGTCAAGCTTGATTCCTCAATAAATCGGTGCGCTGGAATGGGAGAGAGGGAACGGCGCCGAACAGGCGAGATGCAAACATCCTGCTTGTCCTCGATATCGTCAATCACATTGCTGACTTGTGTGTGCTCCATTTCTTGCTCCTTTTTGGCACTGGGAACACAATCCAAACTATCAGTGCTGGCAGTACTATCGACACTCTCATTACTATCAACACTATCAGCGCTATCAGCGCTGTCAGTACTTTCCGTAACATCATCACTGTCCTCACTTTCCTCGATATATTCGATTTCGTAGATATACTCGACTTCTTCCTCACTATCCGTTTCAGAAACCTCTTCAATGATCTCCTCAGCTACGTCCTCCTCATCTTCTACGCCTTAAAACCATTTTCGAGAACCACTTTTTGTATAGCTCTTCATGAATAACAAACGAGCGTTCCGGTTTTGTTCTGTGTTGATTCCACTCTTCTTCTCTCGAAAGCCCAAAAGAACTTTGTCGAACAAACAAAAACATACCCCTCAACTTTTTCTTAATCCTCATCCTCCTTAAAACCAATATCTCCATACTGGAACACTCCGATCCGATCCTCCTTCGCGTCCTGCATATAATCCTTCATACTCTGCAGAATCTTCGGATACGCCGCAAATCGCTTTTCCGCTCCCTTCTCCAAGCGTCCCCATCCCTCACTCAGCATCATTTCGTTCATGCTGACGTCCTCATCTCCCTCTCGATACAGGAAGCACACCAGCCGATTCTTCGCATCGCGAAGCACAACCCGCGCTTTGTACGTTTCGCAGTCCGCCAAGTCGCGCAGACACGCTCTGCTTTCCTCGGCCCACTCTCCGCTCTGCGGCACATCCACTCCCGCCAACACGCATTCCCGCGCCAATCCAGGAATTCCCGCGATGGTCGCGTCCAGCTCCCGCAGCGCCGACAGCGAGGCTTCCCCGCGGTCGCCGGTGTCGATGGCGAACATGCGCAGCACGGTGCGTCCGGGGTTCCGCGGATCTTTCGCGATTTCCTCCACGCGCCTTGGCCTCAGCCCGCCCCTCCTCGATTACCCGCGGTTCCACGTCTTCCCTCGCAGCCACGCGTACACCGCGCCGTTCCGCGCCTGCAGCACCGGCCGGTCATTCTGCCGGTCAATCTTCTCTCCTTCCCGCCATCCTACCGGCACCGGCAGTCCCGCCAAAACTCCCGCCACGCGCTGCAGCGCGGCCCGGTCCGCCGCCGCGTTGACGAAGAACACGTTTCCCGCGGGAATCGCGGTCACCGCGCAGTCCATCTCCCCCGCGACGGCCTGCTCCCCCGCGGGTTTGGGCTCCCGCCAGTTGGCCCAGCATCCCTTGCGCTGGCTGCGCGCGGCTTCCTCGGCGTCGAGGAGCGCGTCGGCGTCGAGGCAGAAGGGCAGCGCCTTGTCGTTCACGAAAACCGCGCCCTCGCGAAGCAGCCACAGCGCCAGCGAGCCGCCCTCCCGCGGGAGATACACGTTCCCCACGTAGTTTCCCGCCTTGTCCACGCTCAGGACCTCCATTTCCACCGGCCGCTGCGTCGAAACGCCCCGAAACGCCCTACCTGCAGAAAGTGGAAACGCGTGAGCAGCAGCGATTCGTCGCCGAAAACCGCGGGTTCGCCTTTCCCGCTATTCTGCGGCGCGCGCACGCCCTGCAGCGAGAGCGACAGCTGGCAGTTTTCCGCGGGAATGACCATCAAAAAGTGCGCGGCGGAGAAGACGAAGTCGATGTACCCCTACGTCAGAGATCCCCGCGGGACTCACCGAGAGGCGTTTCTTCTGCTTCAGGAAATGGAGGGAAGTAACGGCCAGCGTGCGGTCGGCGCTGTAATCAACGCGGCGTCCCGCCTTCGGCGGTTTCCCCATATGGATTCCCCGTTTCTCCGATTTGGCGCGATCTTCCGCGAGCAGAAGCGCGTCGTAATTCTCGGCGCGCGGATCGTCGGTTTTGTGCCGCACCACGCTCGCCAGCCCGCGCCGCGTCATTTCTTCGCCCAGATCCACCGGCTTCGCTCCCTCCAAAACCACCGAGCAGTGCGCGTACGTCGTTCCCTCCACCACGCGCTCGTACGCCACCGTCACGTGCACCGACTTCCCCGCGCACAGCCAGATCAGCGCCTCCTTCGCCTCCACCGCCCACGGCTCGTCCGCCACGTTTTTCTTCGCGTTGCCTAACCGCGGGGATCGCACCGAAGCCAGATTCACGCGCCGCTGCGAACTCAGATACCGCGGGGATTTGTCGTCCAGCAGAATGATCAGCGAGTCCCCGGACAGCACTTGGAATACTGTTCCGTGGATCGCGTCGTACTTCGACGTCGCGGGCTTCTACGCGTCAGAACCGCGGGAAACACACACCCAATCCTTCCAAATGCGAAGCCGCTCTTTTTTGGCGGCAAGCTCGGCGGCACGGTACTCGGCAATTCCCGCGGGGAGGAAGTTTCCGGACCAATCCTGCAGCTTGGCGAGTCCCGCCTTCAGCAGCTCGATAGCGATGTTTCCCCGCGGGTGATCGATGCGGCCGAAGAAGTTCTGCGCGGTGAGTGGATCGGGCGATTAGAAAACGTTGAATTTGTCCATTCCGTCGATGAAAATCACAACGCTGCGATTCAGCAAGCGAAGCTCCGAAAATTGCCGCGATTCCTGCGATAGCGGCTCGTACGTTGCTGATACAGTAATCATTCTCTCCATGAAAGGTACCGGCGCCTTCGGCGGAATAGGTGATGCGCGGACTTTGCACGCCAGCGAGATGGAGCATGATCATGTCGTGCGTGTCGGGGAGGTAGAGACGGAACGTGCTGCCGTCGCGGACTTGTTCCACGATTCCAACCAACGGAAGGCCCTTGTTTGCTTTGAAGAACGACTCGGGATCGGACATTGTCCAGTTTACGCTGCGCAGCACGCGCTTGTCGCCCCAGATGCCGCGGTGAGCGCTGCGAGCATCGGATTGCAGACGGAGCAGCGATTCGTACAATTCCTTTTGACCTTTATCGTCGCGCTCCGATCGCACGGTTACCATTCCGTGCTCTACCACGTCGCGCAGAACGTCCTTCCCCTTGAATTCCAGAGAGGCGAACGAACGACTGATCGCATCCACTTTGTAGAGCACCTTGAATTTGACAACTTGACCGATAAGCATCTTCCGAAGATATTCGCGCGATTCCCAGCCGTAAGGCTCCTCCGCTCCCTTTTCATTAAAGGCAACACGGGGAGCCTGGCAAAAAGCCAAAGAGAGTTGCATTTCCGGAGCCAGGCCACGCTACACTATCAGATCCCTCCCAAAAGAACACACCGTTGAATTGCCAACGAGCACAACCGTATCTCCTGATAAAACAGACTTCACCGTACCAAATCCTATCGGTTCACACGGTATCCATGTCGCTTACCTTGCATTGTAACAATATAAATAAATAAAACCTGTCAAGGAAAAAAGTCCAGAAAATGGGAATCATTATTCCTAATACCATTCGAACAATCGAAAAAACTTGGATTCAGCAAGTATTAAGGAGAGCTAGTATTTTTGTAAACCTACATGCGGGTGTGATGGGATTTGAAGCAGTAGGAATCAATACCTTCGCGTATCTATTGTTCAATCACCCACTCCCTCAGTCAATCAATCCTCTATCTCCGTATTCAACAAACAATAACAAAGAAAAAGCCATGCAGACAAAGACTTAACAATTGCACTTCTCCGTGGTAGCAGGCTTCACAGCGTCCAAATCGACCACATCCGGAACGTACTCTTCCTCTCCCTCCTTCTGTGCAATCGCCTGTCTCAGCACATCGAAAATGGCGGCTTCGATGTTGATGTTCTCCTTCGCACTCGTCTCAAAATAATGCATCGTCTATTCGAATCAGCCGTTGATTCCCATTCCTTCCTACCGTCACACGGCGAGAACGAGCCCATTCCTCGACCTCCTCCTTTGTGACCATGCGTTCGCTCTCCGGAACGTCCACCTTGTTTCCAACAATCACGAAGGGGAAGTTCAGAGGATCCGCCGGAGCGGCAGTCACCAAGAACTCATCCTGCCACTTCTCCAGGTTCTTAAATGTCTGCAATTCAAAATTTAGAAAACTTCCTTACCTTCGCGTTCGTTAAATCGAACGCTAAAATACAAGCATCCGTACCACGATAGAAAGACGAGCCAAGACTCTGGTAGCGTTCCTGACCAGCCGTATCCCAGATCTAGTGCCTAAGAGTACAACTTTGCTACGTACCTGGACCGAGTAAGGAGTATTATCGATCATGACGTCACGAGGGAAGAAGTCCGCTCCAATCGTCGATTTATACTTATCAGAGAACTTGTTGAACACAAACTGCTGAATGATGCAGGTCTTACCGACACTATGCTTATTAGTGTTTTCCTTAAAAAAATACCTGCTATCTCCGAGAATAATAAGCTTAAGAGATGATCTACGTTTACTAGCGGACATTCCTACAAATCGATGAAAAACTAGATGAATCTGAGCTTCCTCTCAATAATGACCCAAAACCGCGGTTTTCTTAATTTTGAATCAAAAAGTGTTGTATCGCAAAACAACGCAAACGAACATTTCTACAGAAGGGATGACAAGTCCTCCTCGAGGACAGGCGCCGCCAGCTGCTCTTCACTCTCTTCCTTCCCCTTCTTCACTTTTCTACATGTTCCTCTCTCCGCATCGCCATACTTCTCCTTTCTCTTCTTCTTCTTATCAAACTTCGCCTGCGTCGTGATTTCGTCGCGCTTGACGCCATGCTTCGCAATCTTCTTCAGTTCGCGTTTGCTACCGCTCATCTCCTCCTTCTCTCCCTCTACTTCGTCTTTTTCAGCTGCAACATCCACTGCGGCACCTCAAACCCGCTAATATTCATGACATTCGCGATCGATCGCAGCATCGGCTTGTCTTCCTCCGTAAAAAAAGTAATCGCCTTTCCCTTGCGTCCTGCTCGTCCCGTCCGTCCGATCCGATGGATATAATCCACTCCACTCTGCATGACATCATCGCCTCGCTCCCACCTGCGGAAAATCGTAATTAACCACGGTATTCAGCCCCAAAAAGTCCAGTCCGCGGCCCAATAGATCCGTCGCGATCAGCACCCACGTTTCTCCGGTTCGGAACCGATTGATTGCCGCGGTTCTGGCGAGATTTGACAGATCCGAGTGGATCACATCCACGTTTACCCCTTTTTCTCAGCCCCGCGGGGATCCTACGGTCATAGGCGAGCTCCGTGTAGAGCTGCCGCGCGCGGTCTTTGCTCTGGACGAAGACGAGCATCGGCGGTTCGAATCCCTGGGAGAAAAACCGCGGGGAAGGCCTACTTCGCGGAGGAGATTGCGGATGGCGATGAGTTTTCCCTCCTCGTTGCCTAGAATGAAGCCCTCCCCGCGGGACAACCACAGTAGACGAGGGACTGCTCGACGTCGGAGGTGGTAGTGTTTTTGTGTCCCACGATGACGCGGATTGGGTCGCGAAGCACGGTCCGCGCGATCGCTTCCACGCCCTGCGGCAGCGTCGCGCTGAATAAAAGACGCTGCAGACGCGGGTTCGAACACGCGGCCATGATCTCGTCGATCTGTGTGGGAGGGTGGAAACGTGGAAACCTGTTCGATGAAGCCGTCCTCGAAGAGCTTGTCGCCCTCGTCGAGAACGAGGATTTCGGCCTGGGAGAGATCGATGATGGAGGCGGAAATGGCGCTGATGAGACGCAGAGGCGTGCTGATGAGACAGTCGATCGACTGCTTGCCTTCCTGGAAAATGGGCCACGTGGACTAGGGAGAGTGTGAGTGAATGAATTCAAGAATTAAAGGGAGGTGCAGAGGAGGGTTTTACAACTGTAAGAGAGAGAATGAGAGACAAGGAAGCAATGGAGAATTCAATTGATCGATCGATTGATTGGTCAAAACCCGATCAAAAATGATTCAACCAATTGATTCGATTGATCGATTCATTCATTCATTCATTCAATTGCTTCCATTGACTCATTTCATTCATTCAAAACCCGATCAGAACTCATTCATTCATTCATTCAAAACCCGATCACAATTCATTCATTCATTCATTCATTCCATTCCTTACCTTGGACAGAACCTTCGATTTGATTCCGCTTCGTTCTCCCAATCGCAGCAAATGCCTGTGCACCTGCGCCGCCAACTCCAGCGTCGGCGTCAAAATCACCGCGCGGATGTGCTACGATGCACCTCCGTTTCCACCATTCACCTCCGTGCCGTGCGCGTTTCGACGCTGAAGGATCGGGAGCAGATACGCCGCCGTTTTAACGGAACCTGTCGGGACAATGCCCAAAAATTCGCGGGTCTGGATGATTATGGGAATCGACTGCATCTGAATCGGGGTCGGCTCTTTATATTCTATTAAAAAATCAGTGGGATGATATGAGTAACATACCAGAATTCTCGATGTTCTGAAGAATCGTTTCTTTCAGCTTGGACTGGTCACTTCGGAATGGCATGTTCTCAAAGGTATATATAGGCGCGGGAATGTCACCCCCTGATACAGATATGCGCATGGATTGACGGAATTTGTTCACTCCACTTTCTCTACGACTTTTGAGACCAGTGAAGAATATACGCGGAATAGGTGGATTGACTTGCTGAACTAGTGCTCTTCACACTCGAATTGTCTAAAGATGGCCTTCTCTCTAGGAATGAGCCAATTCTCACCCAACCAAGAACCTACCCAGTCGATCATGCTTCCAAACGTTGAGCATATTCTTCGACTGACTAACCAATGATCCACCCCTAAACTTGGATACTCGCTATCATTACGCTTTAACACGTCATCCGAGGTAGGGATATCAATGGTGGATTTGTGAATTGTTGTCTGCACTTTCTGGTGCTCTATCCAATCACTCCAGAAGTCGACACCCACTATTCCCCTTAGCTGAGGGATCTTTGTTTTTCTGATTCGTTTCCTTGAAGTGCAATCCGTACCCTAGTAAAAAGAACGAAGCTTGACTCATTTAAGAAAATGTATAACAAACATGCAACAACCTCTTAGAATACACCTTCACGGATCTCCCTCATCGTCTTTTGCTCGAATTCCTTCAAAATGATAGGGAATTGAAGCAAGTTCTCCGGCTTCTTCATCTCATAAAACGCATCAAAACTCGTAAAAACCCGAGAAAACAACTCCTGATAGAAGTACAGCGCTCTTTCTTCCAGACTCATCTTCGTTCCCTCCACATCCACAGAATAAAACTCGCGATCGACCAAGCGTTTCTCCATCCACTGCAGAATAATTCTACAACGCATTCATTCGACGCTGCATACGATGATAATTGGATTCCCGTGATTGCCATCGGATATCCGCCCCGCGTTACGTCATTCTGTCTAATCATGACCAACTCTTCTAGAATCGCACCGAAGGCAATTCAGGGCGTCGCTTGCATGGTGTCGAGCGTAATAAACCAAATTGCTGAGACTTAACACGCCCAATCCACGGAAATCTGTGGCTGGATCCCGCCCTTGAAAGCCGATTTCGCTCCATTGATCCGAGTCACGCGCTTTCAATGGCTATGAAATAAAACGCAGAGTTTATAAAAAGAGATACAATATTCGGACGCAATAAAGACCACAAATCCATTAAAAGAGCTTCATGATCAGGATTCTGTCGATCGTATCTACTCATGATAAGAAAAAAACAATAATCAATTGTCAAGTGAGTACTTTTCATTCTTTAATGTATCCGTGATTTTAAGAGCCACGTTGGTTCCCATTAACTGGTGAAAACATTTATCCACGTTATTCTTGAATCTAATCGTTAGTTCTCAACAACCAAATCCACGATTCGTTAAAATAAGAAGCATCGCGATTCACTTCCGCTTCCAACATAAATGACTTTGTAGTATCATTAATATTGAAAATTTCGTGTTGACGAAGTGTCTTGCGGGTCTAAAGAACAAAGCGTTTTCATTCATTACCCCTGCAAATCGATCTTCGTGCATAATGCAATCTAGTATCTTGTCTGTCATCTTCGGAGTATGCTCTCCAGCACACAGAATACGAACCGCTAAGGTCTTGCCTACAACTCAAATACAGCGCGAATCCAAACCTGTGACCCAAGAGAGCAATGGATTAATCACATAAAGCCAGCAACCATTCCAAATAGCCGAGAAACACGAGATAATCCAATTCACCGATTGAATTATATTGTCACTCCAAGAGTATCCCTCCGGTATGTAAGCAGACATAAGAAAGAAGAACAGCAATGAGAACTTTGCGTTTGCCAGAATACTCGAATAACCGTACTCTCGATACAATTCTCTGTTTAAGAAAATCCTTAGTCCTCTGCAAATCTTGATAGCAATATGAGCGAAGAGGATTCCTATCTGTACTAAGTTCTCCAATGTACTTATTTGCTAGAGTGAACTTTCACATCACCGCAAAGCTTGGCTTTGGAGAAAGCATTAAGATCTGTGGCAATATACCGGCTCTTGGAAATAACGCAAATAAAAATAGTTTGGAATTGGTAACAACTCCCGAAAAGTGCGGTTGCGAGAGTTTTTCTCATGTCCAGATACCCTCTCTGGTACAACGTGGAACCGGTAAAGGTTCCAAAAGGCAAGGTGCTTCATTTCAACGTCCTGATCTATTGCGGCACGAAAATGATCGTAAATCTTTCACCAACGAGCGTTAGAATTAGAGACAAGAATCCAAGACCCAACATGCGATCAAGGTGGACAGTAATCGGATCTTACTCGTTTTCCTGTTCTAGAAAGCATAGACATCGTTCACACCCTCGATGAGCCGAGCATTCAGCAAGTCCCCAGCATCGCTCTCAGTTCGTTGAGTTGGAGCTCATCCACCACATCACTGCGCCGAAATCAAAATTCATCTTACGTACGCACTCTCTATTCAACCCCGCTATTTTTCAGCGCTCTATCAGCGACATCTTCCCCACGACCAATGTCAAGCACTCCCTGCTCCTCGTGTCCCAATTCCTCCCCATCAACCTCACCCGCCGCTCCGACGGCCATTGGCGCGCCGAATTCGACGAGCTTCGCTTGTTGGCCGGCATCACCTGGAAGTCGTACTACCAAACCTTCAACAGGTACGATTCCTTGATCGGGTTTTTACCATCGCAGCCAGGCCCGGTACGTGGGGTGCATCCCGCTGGATATCGAGATCCCGCCGTCGGACCGGCAGGAGGTCGAGGAAGTTCTCCGCGAACTGAACTGTTTCCCCGTGTTTCTCGACGAGTCCGTGCTGCGCCAGCATTACCACGGTTTTTGCAAGAAGATCTTGTGGCCGGTGCTGCACAGCAGCGTGAACATGTGGGATTCCCGCGGGGAATTGAGCGTAGGTTCAGCAAGGACAACATCTTCGCGGATCGGCCGCTGATGGACGAGTTGTTCAACGCGTACTCGCAGGTGAACGACGCGATCGCGCGCGTCGTGATGCAGATGTACAGTTGTTCGGCTCGGATCAAGGATAGTCATAAAGAGGACGAGATCATCTGGATCCAGGGCTATCAATTGATGCTCGTGCCGTCTTCCTTGTCGCGGAAACTCAAAACGCCCACGCGGATCGGCATTTTCTTCCACACGCCGTTCCCCTCCTCGGACATGTTCCGGATTCTGCCGTGTAGCCGTCGGTTATTCTCTCTTTTATCCTGCAGGGCGCGAGAGCTTTCTGCACAGTCTCCTCGCGGTGAACCACATCGGTTTCCACCTTTTCGAGTATCTTCGGCACTTCGCGAACACGGTGCGTCGCATGTTCGGCGTGCAGCTCCGCAACGGCGAGCACGGCCACAGCTACTTCGACTACAACGGCCGCAAGATTCTCGCCTCCTGCGCGTTTATGGGCATCGAATCCAAGGTGGTCTACGAGTCCATGGAGACCGAATCCTACCGCGCCGAGCGCGCCAAACTCCTCGAGCTCATCGGCTCGCGCCGCGCCGTGGTCTCCATCGCCTACCTCGAGCGGCTCAAAGGCTTCCTCCTGCAGCTGCAGGCGCTGCAAGCGCTGCTCCTGCAGTTCCCCGCCTACCGGGAGAGCGTCGTGTTCCTCCTCGTGGGTCTGGACGCGCAGGGCTGCAGCGACTTCGAGCAGTCGCGCGAGGAGGTCCAGGCCATGGTGACCAAGCTCAACGCCATGGTGGATTCCCCGCGGCCCGTCGTGGTCTACCGCGAGGCGCAGTTCCTCACCGCGGCGGAGCGCGCGGCGTTCTGGTCGGTGGGGTCTATCCTGGCCTGCACGCCGATCCGCGAGGGCATGAACGCGTTCCCGCTGGAGTACACGGCCGCGCACGCGCACGACCCCGCGCTGGGGCCCGGACTCATCATCCTCTCCGAGTTCACCGCGCCCGCGCGCGTGCTGAGCGGCGCGCTGTACGTGAACCCGTGGTCCGTCGTGGACGTGGTGGCCACCTACCGCAAGGCGCTGGAGATGGGGCCGGACGAGCGGCAAGGCCGCTTCGAGAAGATCTCCCACTTCGTGCTGAAGAACCCCACGAGCACGTGGATCGACAAGATGCTCCGCGACATGTCCAGCATCCCCGTGAGCAAGGAATGCAGCGAGGTCTCCCTCGGCCTCGGCTACTTCCGCCGCGTCATCGAGCTCCGCCCCAACTTCCAGCAGCTGCAGCCCAACTCCGTCGGCGACCTCTGGCTCTCCGCGCGGAAAAAGGCGCTCTTTCTGGACTACGGCGGCACGCTGGTGGACCAGGACAACTACAAAGGCAGCGAGCGGCTGAACGCCATGCAGGGCCAGGGCTCCTTCCGCTCGCCCTCGCCGACCATCCTGCACGCGCTGCAGACGCTCTGCGCGAGCCCTGACACCTGGGTGTTCGTGGTGAGCGGACGGTCGCGCGCCGAGATGGAGCAGTCGCTGCGCGCCGTGACGCACCTCGGACTCGCCAGCGAGGAGGGCTACTTCTACCGCTTCCCCGACAAGTACGGACGGTGGAAACGTGGAACCTAGAACGTGCTGGACGCGGCTGACGGAGAACCGCGAGGAGAAGTGGCGCGATGTGGCGCAGGCGCTGATGGAGCGGTTCTGCACGACGACGAACGGGACGTTCGTGGAGCTGAAAGAGAGCGCGGTGCTGTGGCAGTTCAAGGACGCGGATCCGGTAGATCCCCGCGGGGAGAGTGAGGGGTAGGACTTCGGGCAGATGCAGGCGATGGAGCTGGAGGACGACCTGAAATCGACGCTGGAGGCGTTCGACGTGGAGGTGCTGAAGGGAAGGGACTACGTGCAGGTGCGGTCGAACGCGGTGAATAAAGGCGTGCTCGTGACGCAGGTGCTCGAGACGCTGCGCAGAAACTATAACGCGGAGGTCGATCTGGTGATCTGTCTCGGCGATGACACCACCGATGAGGCAATGTGGAAACGGGGAAACCGGGTGAGGCGTAGGTTTGAGGCCGCGACGCAGTATGTCGAGGACAAGGAGGCGGGCGTGAAGAGAGAGGCGGTAGGCGAGGAGAGCGAGTGGGACGTAGGTGACCTGCACGGTGGGAAGGAAGCCGTCGAAGGCGCAGTACTATGTGAATGATGTGTCCAAGGTATCCGATATTTTGAGCAACATTAAGAATATCGTGGGTGGTGGGCATGCTATGCGATGTAGATCGATCGGACGAACCAAACGCGCGAGGCGGAAGAACTGATGACGGATGAGGGAAGATGGGATAACGACATGGGCGGAGATCCGAGAGGAAACTCGGACGGAGCTGTTTTCATTTAATCTAATATATATTGTATGTTAACTGTTTGTTAGAAAATCGGTTCGTCAGAAGGCCACTCGTCTCGTTTTGATAGAGCCTCAAATGAATAAAGTGGTTCACTACTGTATGCTGTTGATAGTTGCGCTTTTCGTGTTTTCCTCCCAGGCTACAATTTCAACGATTTCATTGTACTTTTCTTTCATTCGTAGGGTGTAAATCGTAGGTATTTAAAGCGGGAAGCGACCAAAACCCCATTGGTAGCCGTTTTGACTGCTCGCTGTTACATGTAGTTTTTAATTCCTTGGACCGAGGAGGCAGTCGTAAGAGAGGATTCCTTACTAGGGCTTGGCGGCACTCTATTTGCGTATAAGTGGAAATCGGTGAACCCGGTAAAGGAGGAACTCAAGACAGATATCGTTAAACACATGTATGACCGTGTTGTGAATGTGAAGCAAACGTACACTCTAAAGGAAATTCAAATCCAAAGAAAGCAGCCATTGTACAATTGTTTGTTTGAAACAGGCGAAGTGGTGTGTACCCTATTTTACTATTGTACTTTTCCTTATCGTTGTTCGTTTTGAACGATGAGTGCACAAATTTCGAATTTTGAGTTTCTCACTGTTTGTAAAACCGTGTGCACAATCGATCTGTCTGCATTTTAAGTGTCTCTGTGACAAAAGCAAGTGATTCAAAATACGCAAGAACTTCGGAATTCCAAAAGTACCGGGATTTAAGTGAAATGACCTAAATATATCTTGGTTGAGTCGTATTCAACTGAATCATACTATCAACTAAATATGGTAGGCGAATTTGGTTCGTAATGATTGTATAGCCCCTTCAACTTGACATCCAGGTTCAACTCTCTCTATTTATACGATTTATAGAAACTATTAGTGAATCACTCCGAAAGAGTGAAGTGTGTAGACATGCACTCGACAGAGCCCTGGATTCTGACTTCCCTCTTCTCCGGCAAGTTGTATATTTGGAATTACAACACGGGAGACGTGGTCCGCCAGTGGGACGTCACCAACACTCCTGTTCGTGCGTGTAAGTTTATTGAGCGAAAGCAGTGGGTGATTGTGGGCTGTGATGATCTGAAAATTCGCGTGTACAACTACAATACTGCAGAAAAGGTCGCTTTGCTCCTGCGTTGTCATCTAGGTAACCGAGTTCGATGCGCACTCCGACTACATTCGCTGCATCGACGTCCACCCTACGGAGCCTCTGATTCTCTCCGGCGGTGACGACATGATGATCAAGCTGTGGAACTGGGAGCAAAACTGGCGTAACGTGCGAGTACCTACTCCTGTACTGATTTCGCTAACCACCAGACATACGAGGGTCATTCCCATTATGTCATGCAAGTGAAGTTCAACCCGAAAGACAGCAACACGTTCGCTTCCTGCTCCCTCGACAACACGATCAAGGTCTGGGGCCTCAACACGAGCTCGCCCTACTACACGCTCAACGAGCACAAAGCCGGTGTGAACTGTCTCTGCTACTCCCCCGCGGGAGACAAGCCGTATCTCCTCTCCGGCTCGGACGACAAGGTACTCGGTTTCCACGTTTGAGGAGCCTAGACGATCCGCATCTGGGACTATCAAACGAAAACGTGCATCCAGACGCTGGAAGGCCACACGGAGAACATAACCGCGGTTCTCTTCCACCCGAAGCTGCCAATCATCGTGTCGGGGAGCGAGGACGGGTCTCTGCGGATCTGGCACAGCGTGACGTACCGGTAGGGATGTGTACAAACTGCGAGGTAGCTGCGAGCTGACGCTGAACTACGCGAGCGGCCGCGTGTGGGCGGTGGAGAGCGCGGAGCAGTCGAGCAAGGTGGAGAGAGGAGAGAGAAGGTGAGGCGTAGCTGGGAATCGGGTTCGATGAGGGATCCGCGGTGATCCAGCTGGGGTCGGAAGTGCCGATTTTGTCGATGGACGGGAACGGACATGTGATGCTGTGCGATAACGGGGACATCCGAACCGCCATCCTGCAGAATCTGCACTGCACCGAGGAAACCGCGCTCAGCCCCGTGTACAAAGATATATCCGTGAGAGAATGGGTGAAGGGATGAGTGGATTGATGGATGGGTGGATGAATGGATTGATCGGGTTTTGAATGAATTGAATAAATGAATGGATTGTGATCAAATTGAATCATCTTTGATTGAGTTGTGATCAAATTGAATGAATTGTGACCGGGTTTTGATTGAATGATTTATGATCGGATCTTGAATGAAATGAATGAATTGTGACCGGGTTTTGACTGAACCCCTTGCTCGCCTCTCTGTTTGCATTTCTCATCCATCCCTTCCATCCACTCATCCCTTCCATCCCGCTTCGCTTCCTTCACTCCACCTCGGTCGCAGCGAGCTCTTCCCCCAGTCCCTCCACTACAACAACAACGGTCGCTTCATGCTTCTCTGCGGCGACGGCGAGTACTCCATTTCCACCACGCGCGTCCTCCGCTCCAAGTGCTTCGGGCCCGCGCTCGAGGCCGTCTGGGCCGCCGACGGCAACGGCGACTACGCCGTCAAGGAGGTACGATCCCCGCGGGAGCCCCCATCTAGACGCCGTCGCGCGTGAAGCTGTTCAGCAACTTCAAGGAGAGCTACACGATCGAAACGCCCTTCCAGGTGGAGAAGATTTTTGGCGGGAAGATGCTGGGCGCGCGCGGGCAGAACTTCCTGGTGTTCTACGACTGGCAGTCGGGCGACGTGGTGCGGAAGATCGACGTGGCGGCGACGGTAGTCCCGCGGGGAGGCTGCGAGGTAGAGCGTGTTCTGGAACGAGGAGGGCTCGCTGGTGGTGATCGGGACCGCGGACGGCTTCTTCGTGCTGGCGGCGGAGGAGACGGAGGCCGGCGTGGCGTTCGAGCTGCTGCACGAAGTGGGCGACGCCGTGGTGAGCGGGTGCTGGGTGGGCGCGTGCTTCCTCTACACCACGGAGAAGGGATTCAAGTACTACGTCGGCGGCGAGGTCATCATCGTCAAACACCTCCAGTCCCGCGGGTTCCTTCTCGGCTATCTCGACAAGGAGAGCGTCGCCGTGCTCGTCGATAAGGACGTGGGGGTCGGGGCCGGGCGTCAGGCGTAGAAGAATTTAACCGCGGTGCCGCTCGATCGCGCGCTGCTGCGGTACCAAACCGCGGTTCTGGCGAAGAATTTCGAGCTGGCGAACTCGATCCTGCCGGAAATCGGGCAGCAGGAACTGGAGAAACTTTCCCTGTTTCTCCAAAGCCAGGGGTTCCTGGAGGAAGCGATGAACGTGACGCGGGACGCGATGCGGAAGCTGGATTTGGCGATCAGCATGAAGAACGAGAAAACCGCGATTCAAATCCTCGAGGAAATCAGCGAGGAGGGACCGGAGATCGCCAAGTACTGGTCGCAGATCGCGGAAATCTGCATGGCGAAGGGCGACATCCCCACGGCGCTGGTGGTCCCGCGGGGAAGAGGTGAGATGTAGAAATGCAACGAGCACGCGAAGGACTTCAGCACGATGCTCCTCATTGCATCCTGCTACAGCGACGCGGAGCTGATGAAGCGCACGGAGGAGCTGGCCAGAGAGGCGGAGTGGAGCAACGTGGAGCTGATGGCTGCGTTCCTGCGCAAGGACACGAAGGCTTGCTTCGATTTGCTGGTGCGGAAGAAACGGTATCCGGAGGTGGGACAGGGAGAGAGGTGCCATGTAGGCTGCTTTTTTCGCGAGCACGTATGCGCCGGAGTTGCAGAATGAAGCGGTGGAACTGTGGAAGGAGGACATGCAGAGAAGAGAAAGCTCGATGAAGAAGGGGAACATGTAGTAGTGAGTGATGATAAGAATAGTTGGAGTGTTTGTTACAGAGAGAGGAAAGAGAGAGAGAGAGGAGATATATAGTAAAAATAAAAAAAGAAGAATGATGATCCACAAACTCCTTTAGGGTGGGAAAGGATCGATTTGAAATAAGGGCTTTTGGAGTGCTATAATCGGTATGTATCGCTTCGAAGTTTGGTCCTATTCCTTTTCCGGAATCCTCATTTTTTTGTACAGAGTACGTTGGTCAAAATTCTTTTTCATTTAGATATTAGTATTTGGTAGTTTTTACGCCTATGTTTCCAGTTCCATTATCGTTTGCATTGGGTAAGGACCTGCATTGAAGTTCACACTAGTATCGATGGGATGGTCTCTCGTGTTCTTGGTTCTGCATCTAACCACGGGAGAAAACATTATCGATAAGCTTCTAACCATTCTTTATTGGATTGCGGCGAAGACATTTTTCCGAGGTTTTTCTATGTGTCGTGTTTGATTTTAGAGATCACAGTATCGCATCCTGAACGGATTCCGAAGGATAAGCCCGTGATGTTGGTATGTGCTCCCCATGCCAATCAATTCATCGATGCTGTTGTGATTTCCACACACCTGCCTCGAAAGATTTACTATGTCGGGGCAGCTTCCAGTTTTCGCAAGTACAAGATCGTGGGCTTCTTCATGAAGCTCATGGCGTCCATTATCCCAGTAGAACGTCACCAGGACGTAAAGCGGGAGCTCAGTGGAACGGTGAGAGTGGAAGGTGACCACATCATCGTGTGAGTGATCGTGTGTCTTAACGTTTAGGGAACAAACACAAAATTCACTTCGGAGGTCGCCGCGCAGGGCTCCGTTCAGATCGGAGGCGGCTCCTACATCGTCAGCGAAGTGCGAAGCGACACCGATCTGCTTCTGAATCTCGCGAAATCGAAGCCCGCGCCGCTCTCTTCCGCCGAATCCAACTCGCCGTCCTCCAAAGCGCTCGTACTCTCTGAAAACCCGGCTCTCCGTTAGTTCTTCCCTCACATCGATTACCACAAAATGTTCGCAGCCGTGTGGCAGACCTTGGCTGCCAAGAAATGCGTCGCGATCTTCCCGGAAGGAGGCTCGCACGACCAGTCCAACTTCCTTCCCTTCAAAGCGGGCGTTAGCATCATGTCTCTCGGATTCCTCGACCATTACCCCGATTCCGAGTTCTATCTCATCCCCGTGGGAATGAACTACTTCAAGCGAGACTCCTTCCGCGAGTATCCTCTTCCTCTCTTCTCTTTGCTCACTCGCAGAGCGCGCGCCTTCTTGGATATCGGTGAGCCCATCGAGGTGGATCGCGATCTCGTGCGGCGATTCCATCAGGGCGGCGAAGTGAAGTACGAAGCCGTGAACGAGCTGCTCAGCTCCATCAACCGAAACATGTACAATGTCACGACGATGGCGTCGGATTGGACCACGCTCAACGCGGTAAGGCAAAGAAAAGGAGCGTCACGGGCAGGTGAACACGGTGCGGCACATCCTCACGGGGAAGGAGATCCAGCTCACCACTGAACAGAAGTGCAAACTCGATCGAAACCTCGTGCATGGGTCGGTTTTGTTTCTCGGTTTCCACGGTTAGAATTGAGTACTTCGACTCGGATCCTGAGGTGAAGAGCTTGCTGGATCGCGTTCTGGACTATCGGGAATTGCTCTCCTGTGTGAGGCAAAATGACTACAAGATTAGTGGAGGGAGCACGCGAAACCTTACAACCATCCTCATGATTCTTTGGAGTTTGGTCAAGGTGGTCCTCACCGGCATTCTCATGGTTCCTGGGTTCCTACTAGCCCTCCCTTCTTTGATTGTGGTCTCTGTGTACGCGAGACGATACCAGAAAAATGCATTAAAGAAAAGCTCGGTTAAAATTCGTGCGATGGATGTAGCAGCAACCGGAAAGATCGTCTCGTCCAGTCTGTGCTTTGTTATCAGTCTGGTCGTGGAGCCCATGATCATTCTTGCGTTCTGCGCGAAACGAGGAGCAACTGTCACGTTCCTCGACTACGTCGCGTTGATTAACATTTTACCTTGGTTATTCTATCTTACGATATATCTAGGAGGTAAAAGATTTGGAGGGAATTCTGATTGGTAGATTTCTGGTTCTATGGTCTATCGGAGTTGCATTATCTAGTATGGAGGTTCATTTACCCCACGCTTGATCGGTATATCATCAAACAGCGAGAACACTTGAGAACCGATTTGAATGCAGCTATTGAAGCAAAGGGTCCTGAGCTGTTTGGAAGCAAAGAGGAATTTGAAAGGAAGCGAGTTTTAAAGGATGGAGCTGTTTCGATGAAACGAATCAAGACCGTCCTGTCGTTGTCCGCTCTTCTTCCGGATCCTCTCAATATCGGTGAACTCACTCAGGATATTTTTTCTCAAATCATATTTTATAAGTGTTTGTTGGTATAATATTACTATTTTAAACTTTCTATGTCCAAGATCATATTCTACTATATCCAGAAGGAGGCTGGGTCCAGTATAGAGCACCCCAATTGCTTTATGCTCAATAAGTGCGTTAGTACAGTAAAAGTGATGAATAGGAAAGAGAATATTACTATGGGAGATGTAGTAGACGCATTTCCATTGAGCAAGTTTGGACGTTATCATTTGCGATTTCGTCAAAAACAAGGAGATTCGTACCAGTGGGTCGAAGTCCAAGATCGATCGGTTCCAGCTCCTTTCTATAATGGAGGGATCTTCTTGAAAGTGCTCAATATCGGTTTGTTTCGATGAGTGTTTTTGAGTGTAGATAAAATGGAGAAAGGTATTACGAGGATTCCTATCGAGGATTCTATAGTCTATTCGGATCTTGAAGAGTCTGATTCGAGTGATAGTGAGTTGGATGAGTATCCTGAGTCAACTCCTGCAGAAGAGGAAGAGGAGGAAGAAGAGGAGGAGGAGGAAAACGTTGAAGAAGAGACAAGCCCTGTTGATTATGGAGTTGATCTCTCTGCTTTCGAGTAGGCTTACATCACTTTCATTTATCCTACAGAACTCCTTCCAAAGACGAATCTCCCACTCCTTCGCGATCCTCAGCACCCAGCAAATCAAGCACAAAATCCAAATCCAAATCCAAATCCACTTCCAAATCCACAAAATCGGCTCCCGTCTCCACCACTCCCACAAAAACGCCTGTTATCGAGCAGGCAGAGGTCAAGTACCTTCTCCCTCCACCCTTCATTCCCAGCTTTCAATATGTTTCTCCGGAGGACGTCACGCTCGATTCCGAAGCCAGGTTTGCTTTCCTTCCTTTTTTCACCCTTCAGCAAACTCACCGGCACTTCCTATGAAGGAAAGAGCGCCACCGTGGTCGCCGCGATGAAAGCTCGCGAGCAAGAACTGCGCGAGAAGCAGATCAAAGCGCTGCTAGTGAAGAAAGAGCAGGAAGTCGCGGCGACCGTGAAGGAGCAGCAGCGACAAGAATCCAAAGAGAAGTACCAGGCGAAGCTCGATGAATGGGCCATGGAGAAGGGCGGAGAGAAGAAGAACATCCGCACGCTGCTGTCGACAGTGGGGATCGAGCGCGGAGTCGAGCGTAGATGCACCAAGTGATGTGGGAAGGAGCCGATTTCCAGCCCATCTCGCTCGCGCAGCTGCTGCAGCCCGAAAAGGTGAAGCTGTACTATAGGAAGGCGATGCTGGTAGTGGTTGGGAGAGTCGTGAACGGTAGAAAGTGCATCCCGATAAAAATCGTGATGGAACGCCCGATCAAATCTACATTGCACAGAGAATCTTTGAGGCACTGAACCAGGCGTGGGCGACGTTCCAGGATCAGCAGAAATATATGATTAATCCTTTTGAAATGATATAATTTGTTTGTTGGTGAGCAATCACCATTAGTACCTCATCGAAATCAAAATAAGTCAATAAAGCATGATCAAGTAATCAGATAGGATCGACTCAAATGAGAATAACAAACAAAGAAATAGAAAACTGCACTCATTAACTTGTCTCTCCCTTTTTCGTTTTTTCGATCATCGTCTTTATCTGCTCCTCACACTTCATCAAGGCATTGTAGTTTTCTTCAGTTAGAAAGATACCTTTCTTTGTTGGAGCCGTTCTACCGTCGTCTAGCTTCACATATTCGCGGATATTCACAGATGGTTCACCCCGGAACTACTTCCTCATCCTTCCGCCAAACTTCCATACTTCGTTCACAGTCACTGCTTTCCGAGAGGAAATCGAGATCATCCACCCATATTCATCATCATATCGCGGTTCTGAACTATTCTCAAGTTGCCTCCAAACCTCTACATCCAGGCAAAGGACCGTTTCCAAACAGGAGAACGAGAGATTCTACAGCAGATTGAGCAGATTCTCTGTTGCATCAAAACTATCTATCTATCCATCTATTTATCCATCTCTTCCTTCATTCCAGAACACGGAAGACATATCCGTTCGCAACCCGCTTCTTTCTCAAACAAACAGCGCACATTGAGTGACCAAAATCAAGCACAGCCTTACTTCTTGGAAGTCTTCTTGGCAGTCTTCTTGGAGCTCTTGGCCTTCGCGTCCTTCGAGCTCTTCTTGGAAGCCTTCTCCTCCTTCTTAGCAGCGCTCTTAGCCATAGCCACCTGCTTCACAATCTTCTGCTCCTCCACCAGGAACGCACGCAGAATGCTGCACACTCACTCACACACTCAATTCCTTACCGATCATGGACACACTTGTGGCACAGATTTCCACCATACACACGGCACACAGTGCGCTGGCAGTGAGTCACGTTCTTCAGATCGCTAACTCGCAGTCTGGGAATCTGACCATTACCCCTCACAACCACCATTTACTCCAGGAAGGACTTTCTTGCAGCAACGGCACTTAGGAGCCTGAACGGACTTCTCAATATAGTGGGCAGTCAATCTAGCACCTAAATCGTTACTTCCAACCACAAACCACAAACCAGGGGTCTTCACGACTTCGATTCTGTTGGAAGCAGTGTTGTAGGAGTGTCGACGACGGTAGGTAACTCTGCGATTAGCAACCATCTACTCCCGAGTGAGATTCTCAAAATTCTTTCACAAACGCAGGACTCGCGCCATTCGGTCCTCCCATGCTTCTTTCAACTCAAACTTACGACTGTTGATTAAATTGAATAGTAATCACTCAACTATATGGCAATACAGCAGAAAATCAAATGCACTGGGGGTAAATCTCCATAGCCTGGATTCTCTCTATTTGATACCACCAAGGGGTTCTTTTCGATTCCTGCTTTTTTGAAACAAACACAGCAACGCACACACTACACGGTCCACTAAGCAATCGAATAGTTCGATACTCTCATCGAACTGCTTTGTGAGAACTTTACGGGAGCTCCATCCGCCACTTGTTGGACATCCACCACCTACGCGTCACTTCACACCTCATTTCACACATTCACCTCCAGGAAGGTCTGCTGGGAGTCGAACTCCACGGAGGCGGGGAAGAAGTCGTCGGGCTGTCCGCTCTTGACCTTGAACTCCAGCACGCCGTTCGCGTTTTCCTCGCTCACCTCGTCCACCTCCCACTCCAGGAAGCTTTCCTTCGGATACTACGTCTAACCCGCGCAGTCCTGCCCCACGTAATGGTAATGCCGTCGATGGCCAGGACTTCGGGCGAGGCGCCGCTCGGCAGCGGGATGCAGATGCGCAGGTTCTCGACGCGCTTGAGAACGGCGGGGTTGAGCGTGTACTCGACGTTGACGTCGCAGCCGGCGTCCTCGCTCTCGGGCCAGCAGGTGACGTTGATGGGCAGAAGCGCGTCGCCCCCCGCGGGTTGGCGCCAGCGGAGGAGCGAGACGGTGGAGTCGACGGGGAATCCGCGGTCGGGCTGCTTGAGCTGGAGCACGTGGTCGGCGAAGAAAGAGCGCGCGATGGTGGGGTGGAGCTGGCACTGGAAGCCCTCCGCGCTCAGCGCGCCCAGCTGGATCCGCACCTTCGCCGCGCCCGCGTCGTGCACGCGCACCGACAGCGTGCCCTTCACGTCCACGCTCTCGATCAGCCCGTCGCGCGACAGTTTCACCGACAGTTCCTCCTCCACGCCCACGTGCACCGCGCCCTCCGCCTTCCCCGCGGTTCCTCCATTCGCCCCGCTGGCCTGCCCCGACGCGGCGCGGCGCGCGGGGGCGACGAGGTGGTCCTCGGCCATCAGCCCCTGCTCGTCACGGCGCGCAGCCAGCCCTACCTGCAGACTCTCCTTCTTCCCGCCGCCCAGCTTCATCCCGCGGCCCAGACTCGCGCTCAGCTCCCCTCTCCGCATCCAAACACACACTCGACCCTACGCAGAACGAGGCTCCGAAGCGGGCAGCGACACTGACGCAGACGCAGACGAGGACGCCGCCGAGGAGCGCGCCGCCGCCGAATCCACCGCGCGCACCGTATTCGCAACGTTCGAAACCGCCGAGGAAAACAGAGAGGTGAAGAAGGACAGACCCGAAGGCGCCGGCTGGTGCGACTGCAGCTCGCGCTCCTTCTGCTTCATGATCTCGCGGGCCTGGTTCATCTTGCTCTCCTGAACCATCGCCAACAGCTTTTCTTCGTGGCTCTCCATCGCCTACACTCGCACACTCGCACGCTCAATTACCAAGTTCACACGCACCTGCTGCAGAGGAATCGGCTCGTTCATTCCACCATACGTTATCAGCTCGTCCAGGGCGAATATTATGTCAAAAGCATGATCCACGATTGCCTCCTCTTTGATCGAACCAGCGTACTCGGGAATCACTGCACTGTCACACACACCTTTCATTCAATACCCTTCGCCACCAAGTGCAACGTTTCCAAATCTTCTATGATATTGCTATTCCGCGTTGTCACTACTAATACCACCAGATTTTCGATCGGCTGATACACATATCTACGAGTTTACAGTCCCACACGACAAAGTACCGTAAGTTATTTGCTTCCACAAAGGTATGCTGCATATTCGATTCACTCAGCAATTTCGGAAAAACTGCAAGGATTCCCTACCAATTACAGCACACTCTTACTATCCAGACTTCTACACGAGTGCGATTCATGTTTACATATTGTCGCGATATCAACACTATTCATCGAAATTCAAAAATATAAACAGTACCCTTTCCTGGCTTTGTAAGGACTGCTGCAAGCAAAACAACCTAATTATCACACATTCGGTGCATAGAGTCATACCATCTTGATTAATCCAAATTAATACCTGACAGAGTCTGTATTTAGCTTACAATTGATCCCTATCCACTGTTTATGATTATCAAGAAACTCCTTGTATGACCATTTTGGAGCTGAATAGACACTAAAATCATCATTGTTGTAATACCATTCACTCGATCTAGGTAGATCAGGGTTTGTGGTGTTTTGTAAGTGCCGTTTAGTAAGAAATAGAAAGCGGGAAGTTACGTTTTTTTAGTATAATATTGATGGATATCAATATTCATACTGGTCAAATTCTTTTTACAAAGTGTCCTATTTGTCTCTAAGCATATTCTATCTAAAGTTTGGATAATAAGACATGTATAAATATTATGGTTTAACACTTTTGATAACGTTTATCAGTTTTGTGGCACGCATTGCTTTTTCGAATGTAGAATATTCATTGTGAATATTATATTCTAGTCATTTATTTCTTTGAATGAAAATAAGCAGTATGCTGGTGTGTTGTACTCATGGGGAAATCCTCTTCAGTTTGACGAATCTAGTGAGTATGTAGATGTATATTTTAGCGCTATTTGATTGAAAAATAGAGAAACACTTTCTTTGAAAGAATGAGGCATTTTCGTGTGTATTCTAAGAATAATGTTCGTCAGGCAACTCGTTTGGGTGAACATTCGGAAAGAGAAGATAACACCTTATATGATTTAGTTTTGTTTACAACCGAAGAAGGGTGGACAGAGCGTATTAATAATAAGACGAGAATTTGGAAATCGATGGCAGACGCCTATTCGAAAGCTTACTCGTTTAAGGCGATCATGTTCACCCGTACTCCTGAACTGATAAACCGTTTTTCCGATTCCTCCGTGAAAGTGATTACAAATTTTGAGGTTACAAGAATTGGTGTACCGACAGTCACAGGTTTGTACTATTCTGCCTATCAAACGTTCAATGCTCTGTATTATGGTTACGTGAATGCGGATATTTTGTTAAACTATACTGTGTTTGATGCACTGAAATACCTGCAAAGCCAGGTAAAGGAGCAGAAGCTTCATCCACAGCATGAATTGGCAGGCAGGGTGTATGAGAAAGATTACTCGGAAATCCCCTTTGCCTTTGAATCTTTTGACCATGTACAGCAATTCTTCCGTTCTGTACGCTTGAATAGGAGGAGAGCTCGTCATGCTGGAAGTGCTGTGAGTGCTGTGAGTGTTCGTTGTAAAGTCTAGGATTACTTCATTTTCTCCCGAGAAGCGATCCCTCTTGTAACAAATCGGACTCATCAAGTCATTGTGGGTCGTCGTCGAGTGGATAATTATCTCATGGGGTTGATGTGGAAAGGGAAGAACCTGGACAAGCCCTACGATCTTGTGGACGGAACAGTCGCTTTGGGGTGCATCCATATCGGAAGAGATACTCATTACAACCGAATCAAGGAGACTCACTTCCAAGGAGAGGGTTGGAACTTTTGGGCAATGCACGCCAGCGGCCTTCGTTCGGGGTTTCTCCACGATAAAGGCAACTATCGCTTGATATTGGGTTCACATAATTTTAGTCTATCTCCTATCAAATAACAAGCTGAAAAGGCAGTAGTAGTGATGGTGTGTTTGAGCCAAACAAAACTATCTAGAGTTAACGTATATAGCGGCAAGCTCCTTTAAAGCGCTGGCAAATTTGTTGAGATCCTGATCTTTCTCGGCAATCGAAAACGCCTGATAAAAGATATTAGAGTAATCGTTGCAGTATTCTTGCTGGATCACACTCAGCACACTGGCATCGATTAGCTGCTTCGAAAGCAACGAGCACAGTATCTTGGAATGGCACTCCGTGAAGACTCGAGGCTGTTTCCAGGCCTCCAGGCACAGCTTGCATAGATCAAAGAACTGCGTGCGGTTTCCCGTCTGCATAAACGAGTGATGGCACAATGCCAAGGAGAGAGAACCCTGATTGCACTTGTAGTACAAGTAGCTTCGCTCTGTTGCTGCGAACTGCTCCGAGTGGATCAATTTCATTAGCTCATTCCGTGGATAATCCCTGGCAGACGACATAAAGAAGCCAAATGACAACTCGCGATCGCCAATCGAACCTTCGGACTCTTCCGAAGGATGCATTAAATGATACAACCCGTTCAGACACTCCTTGCTGCTCAACTTTCCCACTTCACGGAGAGCAATCAGACGAATTCCGGACTGGACAAGAGCCGGATCAGCATGCGGAATGTTCGTCCATGAGTGCTCCGACATACGGAGAGAGCAGCGAGGGGGCTGAAGGGGGCTAGTTGCAATGCGGTTCTTTAGACATTGAAGAAATGCGGAGATATCACTCTTTTCTCGAAATAATAGAAATTGACTAAACAGCTTGGGGTCATTGTTCTGGCATAAACTATTCAACTGTCGGATTTGATTCGGGTCAGCAAGATATGTACGCTCCAATAAGCCAATTAGAATATGTATACAGCGTTTGTGAATTATTGGGTTGTTTTTGAAGCGGTCAACCAGCTCGTGTAAATGACTATCTAGTAGACGGTAGTTACCGGAAAGAAACAAATGAATCGATGGAAAGGCCATGACATAATGATCTTCAAATATTGCCCGAAGACATATGTACTCGAAATAGGTAAATTTGCATCCAGTTTTACATGATACACAGATGTATTGGATAAGAGTATTCTACACATTACAAAACTGTATGGTTCCTCCTACAAATGGACTGTGCTCAGTAACTTCCTCGCACCCTTCATCTATTTCTAATACTCCAAACTACTCAATTACCTTGGGATGTTCTTTGTGGTGGTAAACTTTGCCTCCTGATTTGATGTGACGCGCCATGAGGCAGAAGAGTTATGTGAGGATAGGTATTGTAGCGTTTCTTTTGGGAGGCATGTATCGTCTTTCTTCTGTTGCTGACTATCTGAGACGTACTCATAAGTCCCGTAACATACAATTACCAGGTAAAAAATGAATCTGCTTGTTTTTTAACGGAACAACGGAACATACTCTACACAATTCGTGCGCCAATCATTTTGCAGTAATTGTTTCATCTCTACATATCACACATAACTCAGCGAATTTTAGTACGAAATATAATGGTTACGCAATATATATATATATTTTTCGAATCGTTGTACTCTTTTTAATGTCCATCAAGTGAGTGCAATTATTAATTTTGAATGTATTCCTCTTTCTATGAACTATATAATGATAATCCAAATATCAAAATTTTATGTCGTCTACAAGAGATAAGTACGCTTCGGGTATTCCGTGATTCTTTTGGAATAATACAAAGCTTACCATTCCTTTACGCTGAATATGGAGGTGGAATGTGATGCAGTCGCTGAAACTGCTTCTAGTTTCACCGAGACTTGCTTTGTAGATTGTTGATATAGATTTCATAACCCAATTAGAAAGATATGAGCATTGATAAAGGGGTGGGTGAGCTTATGGATATTTTGCGTTCTACGGCAGATGTGAAGACTCCTGCAACGAATTTTATTGCTCTTGGACGAGATAGTTTGCGAGCTTTGGTGTTTGTGAAATGTAGTTCAAAAGATGATCAAAAAGTGTAGCGAGTTCCAAAAGGTGTACGAGGAGTATAAGGTTGGCTTAGTGAGGTGTGTTTCGATGTAGACTGAACGAGAGTCACATATTTCCAAGGTGAGATCCAGTATTGAGGAAGAGAAGAAACAGCTGGATTTGTCATATCGTGCGCAGGCTCAGGAGATGAAGCGCCACTGCCAGGAGCAGTTAGATCAACTTGAAAAGTCTTTTGATGCATCAAGTGTTTGTTTTCAAACAGGAAATAGCACAAATTTATCGCCTAGGCCTCATTCTTGATCGCCGAATGATAACTGCTCTCACATTATCCGAAAGACCCGCATTAATATAATTTTTTACACAAAATCTAGGAATTAAAGTCCTTCTCTTCCACCCTACGTTCGCAACTGTACTATTACACATTCGTTCAACTCCGAGAGCAGCCAGGCGATCGATTTCTTCTGCATGTCGTTCAAAACAAAGTTGAAATGTTTCAATTCAGCATAGTAATACCGCACTCGACTGTCTCCCTGATACTCGATCGAAACCAGCTCGAATAGGCACATTCCCTTTTCAAGCTTTTTTCGATACCCCATCAAAAATGGGGTTGATGGGACACGAGGAATGAAGAGACGAATAAAACCATATTCATTAATCTTGCATGATCACTTCTCTCCGAATGACCTACTGCAATCATCATGCGCGCTACCATATCTTCTCCCTCTAAGTGCTGAGCAATTGTGCTGAGCTAGAGGTAAACAGAGAGATGGAATAACGAACATAAAGTTGGAGGGAAGGTTTGTATTGTTTAAGCATTAATGAATTAAATGCTTTGCGCCCAATACGAAGTCGGTAACGGATAAAATTGATGTGAATAACTGCTCGATCTACAGTGAACAAGCACACAGCAGGGTCAACTCTTATCGAACGTTGTGACGGACATTATGTAATTAAACGCACTCTCTGAAAGGTCTGGAATTGTTGGCATCAGGTTTTTGCGGTTATTGGCACGAAATACTGAGAGTGGACCTAGGTTGAACAACAGAGCGAATGTAGTCGCTGTGATGTTTATTGCGGAGCATACAATCGTGTGGTAGTAGTAAAGCGTACCATACATTGAATATGTGCACTAGTTCGGAAAACTATATCCCTGTAATACCTTGAAAATCTCTATACAGACAGCAACGAGGCACAAACTGACACGGCATGACAAAGAAAGCGTCTTAAAACGAAAATAAGGAAACATGTTCAGAACGATTCCTAACTACACTTTTACTATCAAATCAATTCATATGTACCCAAACAAAGGTTATACACCATTCTCCTAACAAAAGTACAAATCCATAGATCTGAAGATCTACATAGTCTAATCCAATTGTTGAAGGAGGGGACTACATAAATCACGCAGAGATATTCATTGTTTACCCAATCGGGAGTTTGAGCGGGAAGCGTCGCCAGCCGCTTCATAGAAGTCGTGATTACCATTCAAGATTTAATCCACTTTAAAATCGATCTTGCTTGGTTGTCATAATGAGTTTTCACCAGGATGAATAGAGATGAGTTTATTGCAGAAATGATTAAAGCATTGAAAAATAATGCGAATGTCAAGCCTAGGAAGATGACTGCAGAAGGAGCGTGATTGTTATAGACTCTGTGCTCATTTATAGATATGAATCGCTTACTTTTTCGTATCCTATTGTTGAGAAGGACGGATTAGCTGCTTTGGTGGACTTGCTGTCTAATGCATGGAACGGGGATAAATCATCGAATATGAAGATGCTATTTCCTTCCTTTTTTCATTTAAATCGGGATTTTCTAAGCGGCTTGGAGTATTCCCTGAGCAAGTGGAATTTTTGAAAGTTTTTATAAAAATAGTGCATCGAATTCACCGGACATGCAGCAACTTTTTGATCAGCTCGGGTTTTTGGTGTATTATCAATTACCCTATATTCTCGTCACGTATCTTTGTCGTTCCCGTCAATTAATGTCAGAAACAATGTATCCAAATCATACTTATACAAATATCTCAAGGACGTTGACGATTCTCAACAAGGTAACATTTTGCATTTATTATTTTTATTATTTTTGTTCTTGTTATTCTCATTTTGTGTAGACGGTGAAGCTCTTCTCTTGTCTCTTCTCAGCCATTTAAACAACGGTCAAATCAAGTCGATATCCGTTGGCTTCGCTCGAAAAATGTCCCTTTCCGCTTCCTTTTTCCCCTTTCTCTCTTGCTTTCTCTCTCAACCCGCTCCTTCCTTCGCTTCCGAATGGCCTCTTCTCCTTCTCTTCCTTCAAGACTTTCTCTCCGAGCATCCCTCCGAAACTTCTTTCTTCTTCCCATCTCTCCTTTCTTTCACACAAAAACTCGCTTCCCCCCAACCCTTCCAATTCAACGGCCATTCCATCGACAAGAACGTCCTCCCAGCGTTCCTCCTTCTCACCTCTCGCATCGCCATCGAGCTCGCCGACACATCCGTCGACTTCGCTTCCTCGCAATCCTTCCAGCAGTTTTTGCAGCAGTTTGCCTCCGCTTCCTACCCTTTCATCGTCGATACCATGCGGATTCTTCGCTCCCTCTACGCGGAGCAGCGCGAAAAGATCGCAAACGCCGACGCGTATCGATTGGTCCACTCCTTTCTGCAGCTGTTTCAGATCATTGCGGGGTTCAGCATCGACGATTCGTTCCGATTCTTCGCTCAATCAGGGTGGATCGCCGTGTTGTTAGAGGTTTGCTTCGCCTCTGCGTCGTTCTGTAGATTCTAAACACGTATTCGCCCGCGTTGGAATTGTCTAAAGATACTCGCTTTCTTGTTTTTATTCTCAGCGTGCGCGTGCGTTTCACTCAAATTCTTCAATGATAGAGCACGAAAGCCATCGAATTCTTTTCGAAAATCGCGTCAGCTGCGGAACTTCTTGCCGAAGCGTCGACTCTCGCGTTCCCTTCTGCTTTTTGGAGGCTTTACTTCCATCGAAACTCGCCGCAGAACGAAGCCAACGCGTTGAATGCGATGTTGAGCGATTCGCAGAGCGGAAACGCAGTGGAATGTACGATCCTGACGTGTTTGTTCAATCAGATTTATCGACGTTTTTGTCTGCAGCGCCGTTTCTGCGCGCTTCTCCGATTCTTCGCAGTTTGCAGGCAGCGTTTAAAGCGGATTTGCTTTGCTATCTGGATTTGATGAGTTCGATGATTCGCGAAGCGCAGAAGCGAGTTTTAGACATCGAAACAAACAAAGCGAACTCTGCAAAGCTGAAGGAAGCGAAGGAAAAAGAAACAGAAGCGGCAAGCAATGCAAGCAATGCAAGCGATGCAAGCGATGCAAGCGAATTGAATGAAGCGGAACGAACCAAAGAAGAGAACGTTAGTTTGGAAAGCAAGGTCTACGAAGCGAGTCTTCGTCGACTCAAAGAACTCGCCGTGTCTCTACGATATGGAACAAACAAATGCGATTGAGCTGTTTGTTACAAGAGAGAACGCAGAATATCGTCCGCGATTTCGTTCTTCGAGCGAACCATAGTCGTCACTGCAGGGCTTTTCTGCGCCTTTTGCTTCTTCAGTCGCTCCGTTTCGTTCTACGTCGCACAAATCCATCAATCCAACATCAATCTCCACGAAGTAGTCGCGCTCGCTCCGGCTCCCCTTCGATTCCCACGTCATCTTCACGCGAGCTGCTTCTACTTCTCACACTCTCACACATCATCGACTGCTCATCGGCTTGTGCGACTGCGGATCTGCATCCACGGACTTCCCTTTCAGTTCTTGACGGATTCGATAGGCGCTGCCGATGTAGTTCATGTATTCATCACTGCCACGCTTCACCCAACGCAAACGACCGAATTCATCCTCAATCAATTCTTCATTGTCTTTATGAGGTTCGTTGAGCATGTCGATGTATCGGTCTCGCACAAGAGACATCGGATCATCCACAGAACCTTCCTGAGGCTTCTCATTGTCTGGGAGTTCCAATCCATAGAAGTCGTACATTTCTTTTCTTCTCTTAAAATCGATCAGACAGTTTTGCTCATCCGGCTGCTTGTCTCCTAGCTTTGAATGCGCAACACGAAAAATACCTCGTTGCAGCTGGTGGAAAACGTCCGCTTTTTCTTTCAGCTTTTTCAATTTCTCTGACATTGACTGGGATTTGACCTCTTCCTGATCTTTTCGATTTCTCTCTTCTACACCCGGATTTTTTAAGTCTTCTCTCTTTCGTTTATGTTCAGTTATATGGCGCGGTCTCTATCGTTAAGTGGATCGAAATCGGTTCCCACTTTTCTAGGATTCTCAATAAACTCTTCTTGTTCATATTTACGCTCCTGCTCAGCAATTATCGACTGTAAACCGATTGTCTACTTCATCAACGAATGAGCGTTCCAGATACAATTCCAGGGTCGATTTTAATTTCCTTCGACTTCTGAGGAATTAAAGCCGACTCTGTTAGAAAACCGAGTGACATTCAACAAAAACAGTACAAAACACACTTATTAACAAGAGTATTCCACAATTCCTCACAATCGGGCACTGGACACGACGTTCCTGAATCAAGTCCATTAGCAGCAATGATCAACTTCTCCGTATCTCCTCCCCTTGCAGCCAGCAAATACAGTCCGACCAGCTTCAGCCTCATCTGCTGAACAGATCTCTCCTCCGCGATCTGATAGGACAAAGTCTGTGCCAACTATGCATAAGATTACCCTCTCGCTCCTCTACCTCCAAGCACGCTTCACTCGCATCGACATCGTCTCTACTCACCTCCACAAAGCGGCAGCACGTTGCCAAAAGGCACAATTTGGCGATCTGCTGGTGCTCATCATCGTTTTCTCGCTGCTGACACGCATTGAAAAGCTCGTGAAAACACGCGGAATTCTCCAGCTCCTTCCACAATTCCCGGGTCATCAGCGCGCTCAGGCCCAACAACGCCAGCCAGCTCGCACGCGGAGACACAGCCGAATCCGTATGGAGGCGAAACAGCAGCGAAAGAAGAGACGATCGAAGAGAGCAAAGTGGTTCAAAGCGTGTTCTGCAAGCCTTCGAAAGCTCTGTGAAGTGTGGAATGGCGATTAGAAGCAAGATTTCGAGAAGGAAAGGCGCTGCATGCGTGGTAATCAGATGATCCAGCGTGGCTTCCACGCCTCGCAGCGATGTATAGCAAAGTGTGTTACGTTGGAGGAGATCAAAACAATATTGAATCAATTCACCACTACAAAACGGCTCTTTCTTTCCAAGCAGCAGCAACGTATCTCCCAGGAACTTCGAATCGAATCTTCGCCACGGCGCCAAGCACGCCAGATCGATTTCTTTGTACATCAATTCCTCGCTGTGCACGATTTCCATCGCCGAATCCGGATCGAAACTCGCTTTCGCTTCGCTGTACAGAGGAGCGAACGGAGATTCCCGCGGGTCCTCCGCCGTCTCCGTCTGCAGGGCGTTTCTCTCCGATGATTGGCGGTTCCCCGCGGTTGTCTGAGCGAGTTCCGCGGGACTGGAAGCGCGAAGACGCGCGTTTTCACGCGTGGCGATGGGCGGAGTGGGCGAAGCCTGCTTGGGAACGCGCGTAGGGGGAGAAAGAAGCGAAGCCATCGCAGACTGAGAGGGCTGAGAGGGCTGAGAGGGCTGAGAGGGCTGAGAGGGCAGATGTGGTTGAGATGATTGCGATGATTGCGATGATTGCGATGATTGCGAAAACTGAGAGGATTGAAGTGCTGGCGCGGATGAAGAGGACTGAGAAAGAGGAATCGCTCGCGTTACGCCCATTTGTTCGAGAAGTGGGGCTAAGAAACGACCTTGCGGAGTGTTGAGAAGAGTCTGAAATAAAAAGAAAGAGAGACGGAAATACAGATGGAAGGTTGAGGATTTTGTCCGGAATATGGTTTCCTGTGAGGAAATTGACGAACTCTTCAGAAAAGTTGTTGCAATTGTGAGTAAGGAGGTCGTACGTTTCGACGGTAAAGCGATAGCTGTTTTCTTCAATAAACCCGATAATGATTTCCTCGGGGAGTTCTGTATATCCCATAGGAATGATCTCCATTGGATGCATCCCAAAAGTAGACTCCACCTACACTGAAACGAGAAGAAGACGACATACTTCATATGGTGGCATTTGCTTGATTCCGTCAGAATAGAAAATCTCGTATCCATAGACCCGCACTCCTGTATGATAAATCGCTTCTACTTCAATCCCTAAGAAACTACTCAAGTAGCTTCGAGCCATTCCATGACTTAGGTCATAAACAGCGAGTTCAACTAACCCAGGGTTGTTCATGAGACACGATACCTGATTACAATAAAAAGTGGCATTCGTTTCTTCAGTATATTTTGTATGTCGAATTTATAACATTCTCGAATGTATTGCGCCTGTACTAAAACACGCCTCCATTGTCGTGTCGTTTCAGTTTGGCCTAAAAAATGAATTCTCAAACCGATAACGAGTTTTCTATCTATATACACAACCTTTTATTCAGATTATTAAAACAGGATCATCTCTGGAGCAAGCGTATTCAACAGTAAGTCAACTGTTGCATTGCTGATTTGTAGCATGGTTCTGCCGGAATCAACAGAGTACTATTTGGCTGTTCCTACGATGTTGTTTGGTCGTCATGTAGTTCCTTACATTATTCTTGTTGCTTTTATTTTGCTGCGATTTCATTGCGCTTGCTATTACGGATGTTCATGGTATGATTTGCCTCTCTCTATCAAATAGTATGTTGACTGTCCTGATCTCCGAAGCTCTCAAAAACATTCTGAGACGACCACGACCCTCAAAATCTTCCATTTCCAAAAGAGTTCTTCCCATCCGCGACGACGTGACAAATCCAGCCTTTCCTTCAGGAGACAGCGCCCAAGTTGCTTTCACTACAGATATTCAATTGCTAGGCTGCAGTGTTCGCTGCGTGTCTCTACCTTTTCTTCGATAAGCGGCTGCTCTTCCTGTTCCTCCCTCTTCCTACGATGTTTGGAAGGGTTTATTACGGAGCCCATTGGATTGGCGACACATTGGGGGGAGTTCTCATTGGCTATTTCGTCACGTTTTTTCTGTCGAAGTTGGTTTTCACTTGGGGAGAAGAAGTTCTGGGAGACTATTTGCCTTCCTGTTTATTTCATTAGAATGAATGCTGTTTGTTCACAACAAACACATACTTTTGTTGGTCTCAGAGGCAAAGAGTACGAACCAGGGTAGTGAGTATGAAGATAACAAAACTAACTACAAATTCGCGATATGCCAAGCTCCATGATGATGTAACGTTTTATATTCAGTACGAAGCACCGCTCACTCAAGAAGAGATCGACACAGCGTGGGAAGTCTTCGTAGGGTCGAGTTGAGTGAATTGATCTCTAGTATGTTCCGGATATCATTTTTCGAGATCAATACGCTGTCTGCAATGTACTGATATTTGGATATCACGATTCGTAGGTAACTAGGGAAAATAAGGAAGACTGCGTCGTATTATCTGTATTAAAACTGAATTCTGTAGAACATAGGTAAAACAATTTGCTGAATCCATTTCATGCTATTCTGAGATTGAGTTGCGTAATGTGGGTTGTTTTACTCTCCGCCACACCTACATGGGAAAGTCTGAAGACATTTACATGGTTGTTCAGACATATACAGAAGATGAGGTCAAAGTTGTTTTGGAGAGAGCAATCGAGCAGATAGTTTGAGCTGGGTTTGAAATCATTTTTATACGTATGGCTGAGTGTTTGTTCAAATAATTCCTGGGATGGAGGAGATTAAGGAGGCTAAGAAGGACTACGAGAAGGCTCTGGAAGAGGGAGTATGTTGGAGCGGAATTATCTCATGTTGTAGAACATTTCTCGATTAGACAGTATTCTTGATCATTTGAAAGGCCAACATGTAACTCTTGCAATACTCAAGGTACGTCATAATATAGCCTCGTAATAGCGAAGAAAACAGACATGGTGCATACCTTGAAGAAGATTCGTCACTGTAAATACACAGAAATTACAGAGAACAAAAAACTTCAAAAGAAGTGCTCGTACGACGTGATTTACCCCATTGTTTGCTAGTGACCTTATTTCGAAATGGAAGAGAGAAGTGCAGGAGTTACTGGTGCGATCACAGTCTGAATCGTAAAATCGCCGTTTTCTCTGCATTGTAGTTCTCGCAGTCCGATCGACGAGAAGAGCACAGAATCTCCGAAAACGGAGCCTACGTTGCCTTCTGAGGAAGCCATTCCCGCCAATACCGATGCCTTGTCTATTACGCGCAGCTTGCGTTATCCATAGCCTCAAGCCAGCGAATCTCAATCCAACTCGCTCCAAATTCCGCACGCTGCTTTACAACGACCTCAAAGACATCGTGGGTCCGATGGGCATTACCGTTGCTTTCCTCTTCCCATTGTAATCCACAGCAATCGAAGCTTCTCGAGCACATCGTGGGGTTAGAGGACGCGCTGAGCGCCGCTTTCAATTCTTCGCCGAACGACATCACTCCCAATTACCGACAGCATTTCCGCGACATTCGCTTCAACCTGGAGAAAAACCGGCAATTGCTCGGCGATTGGCTGTTTGGCGAGCTGGAAAGCAAAAAACTCGCGTCGATGACAGCGGAGGAGATGATGAGCGATGATGTTCGGAAGGAGGTGAAGGCGTATTCTATCGTTGAACCACAGAGAGAAACGATCAAGGAAGAAATGTTCGAAGCGTATCAGACCGATTGGTACAAGACGCACATGATGAACAAACTCTCTGGAGGCTTCAAGGTAATGCGTTCGATGGGCTTCTTTTGTGCAGTGCCGACGATGCGGATCCGATAAAACGCAGTACATGCAGAAGCAGACGAGATCGGCGGATGAGCCCATGACGGTGTTTTTCGAGTGTATGAACTGCGGAAAGCGTTGGAGAGAGTGAGGAAGGCATTGTGGAGAGAGAGAGAGAGAGATACAAAGGAATTGGGGAAAGCGAGGAAATCGCCATTGTTGTTTGTTCACAAACATTCAAACCCTTATTTCGAGGACTTGCTCTTCGTCTCTTTTTCCTTCACTGGTCCTTTATACGGAGGAATGTTGTACTCATCGCGAACCTTCTGGAGATCCAAACGCAGAGCCAAACCATTCTCGCCATCTCCATAATACTTATAATCCGTTTCCATGAGTCTATTCATTACTCTACAGTAAAAACAGTACTTGAATCCTAAAACGGACTCGTACATATGCCGCGCCGCGTAATTGCTCTCACGAACATGCAGAGCGCATGTTTTGCAGTTATACACCTCGATCATCTTGATTTGTGACTGTCTCATTAACTTTTTCGCCAAACCAAGTCGACGATAAGAGCGATTTACAGCTACGGATGTAATCTGGCCCATTGTACTATCATCCTCATTACTATACGTTACACATTCATTTACTACACACATACATCTTGCCAAGCACATAACCGACAATATCACCCTCCTCGTTTTCAGCAACCCACGAAAGATCAGGCCATGTTAACAAATGATAGTAATAAAAGTTCATATAATAGTTTTCGGGCAGAGAGAGCAGGTTCTGCGTTTGGATCGAAATAATGTCCTCAACCTATTTCTCTGACTCTGTTGCATCCAAGAATACCTGCGCTTGACGAATTGAAGCCATGATGCAAAATAAAACTGAATGCTCTTTCGATTGTCAAACAAACAGTGCAGTGCACAAAACGAGCTACATTGCGAACCGAACGCCATGTCGACAGTCTCCTGTCTCGCAGAAACAACGTTGTGAAGGTGAATCGACTTGTTCCTGGAGCCCTATCAAACCCTTTGCAGCGCACAGGAACGAAGGGAGCAATAACATTACGACCCACCATGGGCTGACACAAAATCTCTATTGAAAATCACAATGAACTATGAGTACGAGCATGCCTCATAAAGGATTTTAGGTCATGACTCACATAGACAAAAGATGTGATGGCACTCCGATTTCGAATTATCCTATGTTCATACAAAAACTCTGCAATACTCAAAAACATTGTTGCTAGAGCCTTCAGGCGGAACATCCATCACGGCAGCGACATCACTCTCTAACACCATCTCTTCAAAATCACCCGTTCGAACATGAGCATCCCCGTTAAAGTGATGATAATTCGGGTCCAAATCCACTACCGTTTGTTTGGAATCGGCTAACCATTGATTGACAGATTTCTGGACTTTTTCTGTCATTTCTAGATTTGTCTAAAAATCAGATAAACGCTAAGGGAGGGAACAGGATATTTATCATGGATAGAAACAGTATATGGATGACCATTCAACGCGAACGGAATAGAGTCGAAATGAACCTCTCTTCTGGAAACTCCATTTTGTGGGTCAATCTCGCAAATTCCAGTTTTGAGGATTTCGTTTGGATCCGTTGAGCGATGAAAAACCCAGTAAATCTGATTTGGCGCGGAAAAGAAAAGTCGGCAGCTGATTGGCTGACTGGAATTCATGTTAGAAAGAAGTGGGGAGAGAGAATTCCCGATCGACTGCATGGTCAAATTGTTGCTAAATAAATCCCTACACGTAAGAGTTATTTAGTTCAATGACTTGAAAGAATGAACAGTCTTCTGTATACGGTCGTGTAATCCCAAAAACGTCGCCTCTGGAGATCGGAACACATTGAATTTCATTGTAAATTGATAGTTCTGAAGCTGCGAACATCGCTCAAAGGTATCCAATTCAATGTTCAACTGACGAGGATCCTTGAGCCAGGAAGGCAGAGACTGATTTAACGCTCTGTACTGATTTCGAATCTTGTCCTTCATGTTGAAGAGACCGCGCTGTAGCTTCGTCTCCTTATTTGCGATCTGGAGCGAATAGGGGATGGAAAGCAAAGGATACAGCACTTCTTGAGGAGAAAATGGATTATGATCTATGTGGAGAAACTAGAGAGCGAGATTACTTTTGACGAGCTCAAATTCAAGAGCTGTTAAGGAGGATGGGTTTGGCTTTGCCCCTGTAATTTGAATCTTTGCGGAATAAAAGGAAAGAAACGCGTACGTCAAAAACGCCCACCTTGAATCCTTTGTTTCTAAAAACTCTTTTTATCACATCAACAGCTAGAAGCTTTTCTTCTTCCGAAGGAAACGAAATCAGACACTTTGATCCCCTTCGCAGTGTACGCAAATCTCTATCCTGGATTCACACTACCGAGAATTACATGATATTTAACCCATTTTGTATCAACTCCCATTTCAGTGTTTTTCCGTTTGTTGGAGGTAAGGATGTCAAGCAGAGAATCCTCGGTGACCAATACGCAATATCATCGTACATCCGACCACTCTCCAGAATAATGTCTGTGTTTTTATTTCACATGTATTCAACAAACCAGCCTTCCTTTCTTCCATCTATTCAACTCACATTCTTCCTCGATTCTTTTCTCCTCTCCTCTTATGTAATAGCCGTAACGATATGTGTGCTGTTATCGACGTAGTACGTCCCTACCAGCTGCTTGCTCTCTCCAATCACATCCTGCTTATGTGTTATCATCAGCACCTGCATCTCCCTCTCTGCCGTGAGTCTTCTCAGCAGTTGGCCCAGCAGCCTCACCTTATCCACATCAAGCGCAGCGTCGATTTCGTCAGCCAGCACGATGGGGCATGGCTGGATGGAAGGGAAAAGCCGAGCCTACGAACACCAAATTGATCGCCAGGACGAACGCGAGCAGGCAGAGCGCTTGCTGGCCTCCGGAGAGCTGGGGGTAGAGCATCCACGGCGTTCCGTCGAGCTTGCACTACCGAATCAAGGGAGCAAACGAGTGGATACGCGGAAGATGACGCCTTGCGAGTAGGTGGTGGAGTAGTCCTGCGAGTATTTGATGTAGCAATCGCCCTAAGTGAAGGAGTTGCAATGGGATTCGATCGTGTGAAGTGGATATGGAGTGAGTGATCTCGCGAAAGAGAACACTCAGGGTTCGGTTGATCGACGAGATCGCATCGCGCAGCTGCGCAAAACGCTGCTCTTCGCGTGATTTCACTTCGCTCTAGCGCGAACAGTCTCAAAAGGAGGCTACTTCGCAGCGCGACAGATCGCTAATGATGACGTCGAGCGCTCGCCGCATCTCCGACTGCTCGGAAGAGTACTCCGAAAGCTGCTTCAGCACTGCGAGGTTCTGCCTGGATCGCAGGCCTTGTAGAAGATGCGCGGCCGTGTGTGTTTTTTCGCGATGATTGGAGAGTGTTTTCGTCGCTTCGGTCCAGAGAGTCTGCTCTTTTCCTCGCGGGACGGAAGCGAGTTCAGCGTTCAGAGCAGCGGAAAACGCAGATTCAGCGAGAGACGAGGATTGCAATTCGCGCTTGCGCGTTTGTCTCTGGGTTTGCTCATCGTGAATGGCCAGCTTGAGCTTTTCTTTCGCTTTTCCGAGTTTGATGCATTGGATCCGAAGCTGTTTGACCGCTTTTCGATCTTCGAGAAGCAACGCCTCCATCGCCTCGTTTTCTTTTTCCAGTTTTTCACACTCGCTTTTTCGTTTTTTCAGAGGAAATTCTTCCTTGTGCCTCGCCAGCGATTCCTCCGCCTTCTCCACGCTGCGTTGAAGCGATTCTTCCTGCTCTTTCAATGCCTGCAATTGCTGCTTTCGTGTGAAAGCTTCATTCAATCGAAGCGTGGGGAGGCAGCGTCGAATGCAATCTTCCTGCGACGCCGAAAGCGATCGAGCGGGTTGGAAGGAGTTTTGTAGATAGTCGAGTTGTTTTCGCTTCTGTTCCAAGTCGGATCGAATAGAATCTCTGCGATACGAGAGAGTTTGGATGCTGTGATTGATTTAGAGTGATGAGATGTACTCTGTGGTTCCTGATTCGCTTTCAATCTTTCGAACATCGCTTTGCAATTCGCTGAGTCGTGCTTCCAATTCCTTTCGTTTTGTCTCTACTTCACGCTCATTCGTCCGTTTCATTTCAACACTTTTCAACAGAATCAGCTTTCTATTTCTCACTCTTCCTCCTCCTCTCCCACCTTTCTTCCACCTGTCGCACCTCTCCCTTCGCGGAGTACACAACTCCATCCATCGTCACGCAGTCCCATCCATTCACTTCTCTCTGCACGCGGATCGCACTGTCATCATTCTCTACAAGCAGCCATCTTCCAAACAGCTTCTGAACCAACGGCTTGTATTCCTCCGCGCATTGAATCGCTTCGACTAACGGCCGAGCGTGTGAAATCGCCGGGTATTTCACAGAGGATTGATTCAACTCGGAGAGAATCATGCATGTAATCACGCCTCCGTTTTCTCTGCGGAACGTGTCGGCGACTTGGATCGCTGTTTCTCTGTTTTCGACGACGATTGTGGTGGAGAGAGCGTGCTGGATGGCAATGGAGGCAGGCAGAATGAATTCGGAGTGCGTGACTTGGATGGGGAGAAACGCGAGCAGACCGCGGATCGCGTCTGAGCGAACGGAGTCGAGGATTCGCTGCATTTCCTTCAAGAAGGGAGGAATGAAAGGCTTGGAACGGGATGGAGGTGATCTATTGGAGAGGAATGAATCGATGAAAATCGTACAATTCTCGAAGACGATGCTGAACGGACCGGATCTCATTCCAAAGAATCGTTTTCGCCTCTGTGGCTTTCGTCTGCGTTTTGATCGCTTGCTCCAAATCGATTTCTCGCTTCTCCAATTCCTCGATTTCCTTCGCGTTTCTTCGCCGTCTCTCCAGGCTTTTAAACAGTTCGATCATGCCTGGAAGCTCCTCTTTGCTGCAATTCAGCACTTCAATCAGTTCTTGCTGCTGTTTGCTTTGCTCCTCCAATTGGCTTCTCACCTCCTTCTTCTTCTCCAGCGTGTACAGCAGTTTCTCTTGCTCCTGCTTCAGCTCACGTTTCAGCCTCTTTCTTTTACTCGCAATTCGATTGAACTCTGCTTGCTTTTGATCCAGTCGCTTATCTGCAGCTCGCTTTTCCTTTTCTTTCTCGCCGAGGATCGTTTCTTTTTCATTCTTTTCGCTCCAAAGTCCATTCAGTTCGCTGTCAATCGATTCCATCTTTGCTTTCAAACTCTCCATTCGCGCTGGATACTCTTCATCCAATCGCAGCAACACAATTCTCCTCAATCCTCGCTCTCTCTCTACCAAGCTCTCCTCTTCTCGCTTCAACGTTTCCACCTTTTCCTCTGTTTCTTTCACTCGCTCTGCCAACTCGAGTTCTGACTGATGTTCTTCACAAAACTGCTTCATTTCTTCCAGATGAGTCGAGACGCTTTCCTTTTGCGTGATCAGATCCGCTCGTTTCTTCAACAGTTCTTCGATCTGAGTCACGAGTTTTCCATTGCCTGCACACTCTTCGATCATTTCCAGCAGATACGTTTTGCTTTGCCGCAGATTAACCAGCAATTCCGATTGTTGGATGATAAACTTCCCTCGAATGTTCACTTGGATCGCGAGCGACTCCAGTAGCAGACAGATTTCACTATATTTTAGGGGGAATGAGCTGCCTTGGTTCAGTCGACCAAAATAATCCAGTGAACGATTGCAAAGACGGCGACCCACTGTGATCCGCAAGGTTTCGCTCCCTTCGGGAAGAGAGGAAAGCGAGCAAAACACTTCCTGCGGTGAAAATCCTGCAGGAATGGAGGGCGCATCCGTCAGAGTGAACTGTACCTCCACCTTTCTACGCTTCAGTTGGACGAAATAGCACGTACACTTCCTGATTTCCTTCCATTCGCGATCGGTCATTTATTAGCTGCGAACTTCGCTCCGTTCGAAGGGCATGCGCTCTTGACCCAAATACCCAGCATAGAGCGTCCATCAGGGCACTCTTTCCGGACCCATTCTTTCCAACGATGCTTTTCTGTCAGAAACAACAAAAACCAATACCAGACGAAACGCTCGTTAATATCGATTACCACTTCTCCATAGTAACTCTTAAAGTTAGTTAGAATGATTTTGGATATTTGAACGTGCATTCTCTTGGCAATGCAGCATTTCCCTCCATTGTGACTTTGAACAAACAGACATTACAAATCCAATTCAGCGAGGAGATTCTCCCTAAATGACGGCACTGAAATGTGCTGGATGTCCTTGCTTCCTCTCGATCGAACCGATAGTGTCTTGCTCTTCACCTCCTCCTCTCCGACAGTCACCATATAATTGTAATGCTTCATTGTGCACTCCCGGATCCTTTTACCCAACGACCTACCCATCATTCTCTCCTCTCACCCAAACAAGTCCGTTGGGAAAACATCCACTCGCAGCTTATCGCTGTTCCCGTTCGTCAGCTGCTCAGCAACCTCTCTGCAGAATTCCAAATGGCTCGGGTCCGAAACAGGCAACAAGGCGATCTGATACGGCGAGAAGCAAAGCGGGAATCGTCCGTTACAATGCTCGATATACACACCCAAAAAGCGCTCCAGCTACGCATTACCGATCCTCTCGACGCATACAGAGCCATAAATCGCTCGATGAATCAGAACGGGCGTTTCGAACTCGCCGTCCGCGTTTCGGAACTTGAGTCCGAACTTCTTGGGCAGCTGGACATCGAGTTGGATGGTTCCGCATTGGTGATAGCGACGAATGCTATCTTGGATCAAAACGTCGATTTTGGGAGCGTAGAAAGCGCCGTCTCCCTCTTCGACGGAGTAGTCCAGACCGAGTTTTTCTAAAATGGAGCGGAGCTGCGCCTCGGTGTCTTTCCATTCGTCGCTCTGGCCGACCGACTAGCGATCAAGCGAACAAACGAACGAGACATCGCTGGGCTGTGTGGAGAGAACGAAGGAGAAATCGAAGCCGAGCTTGCTGTAGAGCGATTTAATGGTCGACAACAAGGTGCTGATTTCCTGGCTGATCTGGTCCTTTCGACAGAAGATGTGCCCATCGTCCTAGCTAAGAGCTTGTTTGTTTGACTACTTGATGAAACATGTTGAGACGTGTGAGTCCGCCGAGCGCTCCGGAGTTTTCCTGGCGATGAATGGCAGTAAATTCCGCGTAGCGGATGGGGAGATCGCTAGAAGTCACGGCAAGCCACAGCGAAGACCGATAGGATCTGCCTTTGTGTGCGTAAACGATGCAGTGGGAAGGACAATTCATGGGTTTTAAGAAGGTTTCCTATGGAAAACAATGCTGGCATTCGTCCCACTTCGTCTTTGTCATCTCGTGTGTTTACTTGAAACATATTCGATCGATAGTGGTCGTAATGCCCACTAATCTTCCAAAGATTCGATTTAAACAACAACGGCGACGCGATCTCTTCGTATTCTTGCAAGTAGTGCGACTTCAAATACTCAACCAATCGCGAATACGTGAACAAGCCCCGGTCCAAAAAGAACACATTCCCCGGAGAATTCCCATCGAACAAGAGCATCTCCAGCTTCTTCCCCACCACACGATGGTCTCGTTCTTTCGCTTCGCGCATCGTCTGCTTGTACAGCTTCTCCGCGCCTGCAGAAGTAAACGAATTCCCATAAAATCGGTAATGAAGCCGGTCATTCAGCGCGTTTTCGCCGGCTTCGTCGGCTTTGGAGGACTCGGAAGTGATGTGATTGGCGCCTGTGACGCGCAGACTCGCGATACATTGCGAGGAATGGAGATGAGGACCACGGCAGAGATCGATGAAGTCTCCGCATTTGTAGATCTAAAATGAAACAGAAACGTTATAAAAAGAACTTGGATGGGAGCGGAAGAACGCGAAATGATCGACCGTTTGTAGGCGTTCTGGGGGAACATGGAGAGCGCCTCCGAGGGAGAAACCTGGGAGAGAGAGAGAAGAGAGAAAGGGAAATACGGTGCGGTGCTCGAAAAGAAGCGGATGACGAAGAATCGAGTTGATGATCTTTTGAATGTTCTCGAGATCCGTGTTTGTTGGAGCTTTTGCCTGTCTATTGAGATGGAACAATACGAATACGTCTAAAATCACATCGTAGAAAAAGCAGTAAGGAATGCCATCACCCGCTGGACCGTGAAGTAACTGAATTTTGTCTCCATAGTATTGTTCCAAGGCGTAGGCCAAGATGTGAGCCGAGGAATGCCACATGGTCTTGAAAAAGTCGCGCGTCTCTTTCTTTCGGCTAAACATAGCATCATCCTCTTTTGGAACTTCGACATAGCGAATTTCCATATCCGAAGAAACAGGAGTATCGAGATCGGAGAGCTTTCCATTAATATAGCACAGTTGATCCTTTTCATTGTCTACATCTATTGTTTCTACATCAAATGACCTACGTTTCGGGTGAGCAAGACCATTTGCTTGGTTTCCCGCTAACGCTTCTCCTTGCTGGGGATTCGACCGTGTTGAATCGTTTCCATTTGCAAAACCATTAGTTTGTTGTGCGCAAATCGAGTTCCAACACTTCAACCTCTCTGCAAATATCGGTGCCGTAGAAAAGCGGAGTGCACCGGATACACTGCAGATCCGTGTAATTCGACTCAATCGACCCAACATGCCAAACTCTTCAAACTGTTTATGAACAAACAGCCAAACCAATAAAGGACGACTCACTTCTCATCTTCCACTCCCTCCAAAAAAGTCCTTGACAAATCGATCATCCTCCGCGAGATGTGGTGTTTCTGTCCCGGGTACAAGTTAAACTCCACGTCCTTCACTCCTTTCTGCTTCAACATCGTAGACACGCCCTCCATAAATTGATACGGAATTCGCGGGTCCTCTGTGCCATGGAAAAACCTACACTCAGAGTGCAGTCCAAATCAATACATAACCGGAGTATCCTTTGTAGCATCCTGAACGACAAAGCGACTAGCATTGGGCAGGCATCCGCAAAAAGCAATCACTCCGCCGATCGGATCCTTCCGATTAAACGCTATTCCTAACAAGAAAGCACGAAATAGAACCCGCATGAAGCGCGATGCCCGCTCCCTGGCTAAAACCACACAGAATGATGTGCTTTGGATCGACGCCCTTCTTTATTTCCTTCTCAATCAGCGAGTTCACCACTTCGCAACTTTCCTCCACTCCTTTACAATCGTCGTTTCCCTCGAGGCTCCAGGCGGGGAAGTCAAACCAGGCATGCTGCAAAGCACCCTGGCGACACCGTAGAGGAATCTCATGCGCTGTGAATTAGAGAACGGGATCATCAATACCTGTGGGGCAAATAAATCTAGTAGACGGAAGCGATCGCGAGAGATCGGCGGCATAGGGGACCATGTAGAACGCTAAGACCTCAGAGGGACAGAGAACAAATACCCGTATCTCCTAATCCATGGAGCATAATGACCTACGCGATAAGAAAGAGGAAAAACACAATACGGAACAGGTCGGCTTCTTTCCGGTGGATGGCTCTAAGTATACACGCATACTGTCCATATTTGCATTTAAAATAGGAATATGGTTCAACGTGTGTACATTAGCAACACATGCTCTGGAAGCAATGTTCTTACATACGGACAACTTTGATGCAATACCGAAGCTTCCCAACGTGCAACGAGCAAACATAACTATCTCTTTGTCCTATCTAGAAAAGTCTGGAATTCCCAAAAATGACTTCAACAAACAGATCAAACTACTGATCCCTCTTTCGTACAAAGCAGAGTAAAACAATAATAAGAAAAATGATCTCTTCCTGTCGTCTTAGCCTTAGTCGAATTTCCCTCCATTTACTGGAAGAATACTATTTTTTTAAATGACGCCTCTGCCATTTCCTACCTTGGACACGTCATTCCAGCAATGATTATGCCCAACACCAACACAAACGACAGTCCTGCCGAAATCGCAAATGCGATTCCCAAGCCATAATTCTTCCCTCCCAGCCCATTATCCGTGGCCAGCACGAGTGCCTTGCGTCCCTTGAACGTGGAAACCTCGAAGTTGCTCTGCACCTCGAATTGCACCACATCGCCCTTGTGGAGCTCTCCTCCTTCCAGACGTCCATAAAGCTTTCGGAATCGAGGGAATCCAGCAAGGCGCATCCACACGATGAAGTGTTCGTCCTCGACGCCACCTCCATAAAAGTTGGATTTTGTGGGGTCATCGGAGCGATCTTTCGGGATTTGAGGGAACGTTTCGTAGCTACGAGAGACGCAGGCGAGGAACAACGCTACATGTACTGGCGGGTCGTGCTGGGCTGGCCGTAGCCCTGCGGGTTCTTGAACCGCGAGCGATCGGGAGCATAGCTGATATCGTGCTCGTTGAGGGTGAGATTGGGCGTGCGGAGCGTGAACACGTCGTTGAAGAACGAGTTCGCGATGTACCCGCAGGGAACCAGCACCTTCGTCGCAGCGGCGTCCGCGTAGGTCTTGCTCCCGCAGGACGACTCGAGCGTTTTGCCGTCGAGGTCGGCGCCGCCGAGCTGGTCGTAGTCGACGGAATTGATGTATTCGCGGTGGTTCTGAGGGGAAGAGAGGAGGAGGAGAAGAATGTACCTGGTAGAAATTGTCGAGCTCGTAGTATACGTTGAGGGGGAGAGACACGTCCTTCGTGATCGTGAAGTTGAGCTGTTTGTTAGAGACTGGAAAATCCGTACCATGCAAACACGCCCCTCAGTGGCATTAGCAACGTGACAGGAAGAATCGGTATAGTCCCATCCGTCGTACACGATTACATGATCGTACGCCTACGGTAAAGAGCAGGAACGGAATCCCACATTACTCGCTATCTTAAATGAAATGATGGAAGCAACCAAAGACAAAACGGCAATGACGGCGAAAGAGATGATCAAACTACTACGACTCCATTTCATATGATAGTATTGTAGTCTCTGCTGAAGAAACCCTATATGGAAGTTACAAGACAATCTGTACGATCTATATATCCGCCCTTTTTAATATTCATTAATCCTTTTTATTTTTTACTTTGATTGGCCGATTTTTACCTTTCCCGAATCATTCACGATTTTGGATAATGAATGAAGAGTTCTCGTTTTGGAGAGAGGAAATCGACGCGATCTCTTCGGTTGTCAGTCATGTTGTTTGCAGTGTTTTTTGTGTAATTGATAGATCACTCCCGATTGTAGTATTATTGTGACGGGAGTGCCTTCGTTTGAGCGTCGTTATGCAGTGGAATCGATTTTGAAGAAAAAGAATATTGAATACTCGCTTTTGAACGCTTCTGCTCAGTCAACGCTCCGCAGTGTTTTGTTCGATATCTCTAGTAGTTTGGCAGTGTGAATTTGGAAAGGAATGGGACGTAGAAATGCCTCCATCACTCAACCGTGATAAAATCTACAGGAGAAATGTTATTTGAGATCCAGGAATACGCTTTGGAGTATTTCCAACAAAACAACGAACAGAAGTCCTTTTACATCGTAATCGACGGCGTGCCTCTTCTCCCCCCAATTCATCCATAGTGTGAACAAATGGAGAACGAAGTGTTCAATCTCCTTCTGAGCCTTCCTTCGAAGACTCCCTATCTCGGCTTAATTCTCCTCACCGTTTCCATCGATCCTTATCAACCCAATTCCTCCCTCATTTTCCATTTCCCCGCTCTAACTCCATCCGAAATCCGCTCTCTCCTCCTTCAAGACTTGAGTTCGACAAATCCAAATGACACAAATGACACGAATGACATCAACGACATCAACGACACTACTGACACTTCTGACACTACTGACACTACTGACACTACTGACACTACTGACACACAGAGCCCAAAAGAATTGAATGAATGGATCGTCGCGGGGGTCATTCGATTCTTCACCGCACAGACACACTCACTCACAGAGCTCCGCACCCTTCGCGACCTGGCCATCGCGGACTGCCACGCCAACGAGGCGAAAACGCCGCGTAGAGACGAATTCGATGGAATATTCGATAGAAGACGTCGAAGAATGCATGAAACGCCTGCAAGAATCCCTCTTTGTCAACATCCAGCCGATTTTCACGGATCGGATGGAGAGCATGGACGACACCGCGGGGATGATCCCACTTCACGACTTTTGCGGCGTCGATATCTCACTCAATGCCAAGATGTTGCTAATCGCGGGATATCTGTGTTCGATCTATCCTGAATCAGAGGACCGCAAATTATTCGGCAGAAACGACCGATCTACCGTCAAAACGAAAGGGAGGAAGCGAAGACGCACCAATCCCGCCCTGAAGACAAGTGTATGCTTAGTTTTTTTCGAATCGAAGAGTAGAGGAGCGGAATCTTCTCGATTCATCGTTTAATCGCCATGTACCAAACCATTAAGCACATGTAATCTTTTTCGCTCTTCTGTGAGTCTTAGCATTTTTCCAGAGATGCAAGCCTCCTCCGCGAACTACGGACTTCTTCTTTCCCAGCTTTCTGTCCTGACGCGTCTGGGATTGCTCGTTCCGATTGGAGGAAACTCGCAGTCGATTGAGCTGAACCAGGTGATCTATCGATGTAGTGCGAAGTGGGGATGGAGAAGAGAGTTAATGGAGTAGACGGGTGAGCATTCTCAACATAGCCAAGAATATAAATTTTGATATTACTCCTTATGTTTCGTTTGTTTGTTAGAGTAGGCCGTATTCGTTGAAATGTCCCTAAATGAAACTGGGCCAAAGATTCATATTTGCGATTTTCCAGAAATATTGCTGACCATGCCAAATTCCAAATCTCAGCGAGCCGAAAAAATTTCAACAGACCAACTGACAGATGAGACTCTGGATGTCATAAATGAGATGCTGAACATCATAGTCTCCAGGACTCAGGTGGGAGAGCTAGATAAGGGTAGAAATGCATCGGAACGATGTGATTCGTAGATTTTAAATACGCTAGAGGAGATTTAAAGTATTTTGGCGAGGGTAGTCAGTTGAAAGTGTCAAAGTTGGCGGATACCCTATATGCCACTCTGAAGGATGTAGTTGTGTTTGTAATAAGTGAAATGGCACGAGATAGTTCAGTTGACATCAAATTTCAAATGCCCAAATATACTAGTTTTGTTGGATCGATTGTGAAATCTGTTGCTATTGATGTCATTGCTCACAACGATTCTTACCGCAATTATCTTGATACCTTAGCCAATTCGCAAGGTAAATACCTGTTCGATTCGGATGACTCCACGTTTTTGAATATCTATCGAGACACGGTGATTGCGCTGAACGACCGTGGCTTTCTCTTCGAAGATAATCCCGAGCTTCAAAGCGTCCAGCACGAATTTAAGGAGCTGATCGACCTCGACAACCCAATGAATAAAATAAACGGCTTAACTACACTCACCTGCAACACCGAAGACATCGTCCCCGAACTTCCCCCTTCTGACTTTTCCGCAGTGCCCCCGAAAGGAGAAGAGCTCTCTGAGGATGGTGCCGACACCGTACGACTCGCTCCCACTCTACGACGTAGCTCAACTCGCTCGATGCAGTGCATGGCAACTCGCGCAACCGCGTGATTTTCCCCTATCTTCGCCGGCTTTTCGAAACCAAAAAGTCCATTCTAGTGACGCGTCGCCGCGTGGCGCAAGTCGCCGGCGTGGTGGAGCCGAGCGAGGCGGTGAAGCAGGCGTACGAAGAGAAATACAACGAGGTTTGGGCGGTAGGCGAAGAAAGAATGGGGAATCGAAGGTAGTCTTGCCAGCAAATGCGAATGCCGAACGACATGATCCGCGGTCACTGCATGGTGGAAGCGATCCAGTATCTGCGCGAGCACTTCTCGAAGGAGGAGGTGGATCTGATGGAGCAATATTTGCAGTCGATGAAGGCGTCGATGCCGAAGTTTCGAAGGCGGTATGTGAAGGTGCCGTCGGGGAAGCGACTGCATTTCCCGGACGGAGTGAACGGAGAGTATTTGATGACCTTGCCTCCGGAGTCATTGTAAGGCTGTGCGATGTGTTCTTTATTATTCTTTATTGTTTGTTTGTTTATTTATTTAGTATTTATTTATTTTAGTATTTATATATATATTTTTTTATTTATTTATACAACAAAGAAAGCACAGAGAGGGAGTGATAAAGGATTGCTCGATGAAGTCGGAGAGGTCGGTGATGGAATAGAACGCTTTGCCTCGCAGAAGCATCTACGACTCACTCGCTTCATCACACACACACAGTCAATTGTTGCACGGGCGCTTGGTTTAGATCGCTCGTTGAAATGTGCTCCACGATCACCTTCTCCATCGTCTAGTTCTCAGCCTTCTTCCCCGATCGCTACGCGCGGATAATCCGTCGGGAGCTTCAAATCAACCACAACGAAATTTGGATATTGAATGCGCAATTTGTCCTCCGCCGGAAAATCGATCGTGAACTTTTGCTTCAGCAGCTCGATCTCCATGCTGAACCGCTTGATCGAGTAGATATAATAGAGCGCATTGGTCACCTATGACGATAAAAAAGACAGTTTCTTCGTCGCCTACCAGCGAGTTCCAGTGCTGCCCCACCGATTTCTTCACGAGCTCATCAAACCCCGATCCATTCGAAGGCGTTTTCTTCTCGATCGCCTCGGGAATGGTCAGTTTTCCATCGAGCACATGACTATTCTCGTCGATCGTGATCTCCAGAATGATTCTACGTTCCCATTCTCCACACACAATCCTACTCTCCCACGAACGTTACTCGTACCATCGTGTCGATGGCTTGGATTTCCATGATTCCGATGCTGTGATTGATGATTCGCTTCAAACTATAAAGCCACAACAACGACTGATGGATCGACTCCCGATCCGCACTGTTCACAGGAGCGGGCTGCGTCCCCATCTCCTCGTTCCGCTTTTGAAGCAGCGCGATCTTCTCTTTGAGCTCCTCTGTGCGAGTTTGGTATTCTGCAACTTCCTGCTGGAGATCTTTCATCACCACGTATTGCTTGTCCAGAATCCCCTGGGCTTCCTTGACGGAAAGAGGCACGATGGAGTTCTTTATATCGGATTCGCAGCTCTCGACAAACACTTCGACTTGCTCGTAGAGCTTGTCCGTCTCGTTGATGACGAGCGCTTCCTTTGTTTTGTATTCGGCAATTTCTGTGATGAAATGCAAACTGACTATGCTACTTTCATTCGCTGCATTGACCATGGCTTCCAGATCATCATAGGAAACGTCATTCCCGACTAAACTCAAAAGATACAGAGCGGATCTACCTCTTTCTTCCATAACCGTGATCTGGTCACTCATGCTATTTATTGAAGATAAAAGAGAAGATAGTTCGTTTGAAATCGTCTACAACTCGCCGAAATTAAAAACAACTACGCAAATTGATTGTATTTTGTCATAAAGGTCCGGAATTTCTTCAAGAATGAACGGGTAGTACCGATCATGTAGATAACTTTCAATCTGATACAATTTTCTACAGCCTTAAACTCTCTAAAATACTGTAATACTCTTCGACCTTTTCCATGCTATGAGAAAATCATTGAGCCTAATCCCGTCATTCCAAAAATCGGATGATAAGCCGTTTCATTCTTCTGTGAAGTTGAGCAGTTGCCATAATTTCTTTATCAGTCATGGCTACTCTATTTTGGGATTTGTGTATGTTACGCCTATTTACTTTCACAAATAGCTTGTCCTCCCTACTATGCTTTCGCAGTGGGAATTCAATGCAATCAGAAGTTTCAGTTCAAGGTCGATACTCTTGAAAACGGTGTGTGCGTTTTGAAAGAAGGAGAGTTGGGGATTTGTGTTTCTTTGAGGTGTAGAAATAGCATTGTGGGTCAGGATGCTATTTGCGACTACTTCATTTCCAAATGCGCCGACCAGAGTCTTCTTGGAGGAGATGAGTCTTCGCTCGTGAAAGAGTGGAGAGATATTGCGGCCTCTGTAACCAAGTATTTCATTGAAATCGGTTTTTATTCCAGGGAATCTGTTCTCGAGGTTATTGAGAAGTTGGACACTTTCATCGCTACTCGCACCTACATTCTCCGAAATACTCTGTCCGTCGCGGATATCGCTCTCTGGGCTGCTATCAAGCGTATTTTCGCCCTCGCCCTCTCCTAAACTCTAGTGACCGAAGTCGAGATTCCTGAGAAATTCCCCTACGCTGCTCGCTGGTTCAACTTCATTTCCGCGGTTCCCTCCGTGAAGCAGACCGTGGGTCGCGTGGGCGGTACGCTGCGAATGGCCGCGAAGCAGGCGTCGGCCCCGAAGAAGGAAGTGTCGACAAAGAAGGGCGAAATCAGTCTGGACGGAACGCCGGAATCGATGCCGGAGCTTCCCTTCGCCGAGGAAGGCAAAGTGGTCACTCGCTTCCCTCCCGAAGCGTCTGGATACATGCATGTGGGCCACGTGAAGGCTGCGATGCTGAACTATTACTACGCGAAGCGGTACCACGGCAAGCTTCTGCTTCGTTTCGATGATACCAACCCGAGCAAAGAGAAGGAAGAGTTCGAAACGTCGATCATCGACGATCTGGCGAAGCTGGGAATCAAGGCCGATCTGTTCTCGCACACCTCCGACTATTTCGATGTGATTCTGGACTACGCGCGCCAGCTGATTCGCGAGGGCCTCGCGTTCATGGACAACACGGATCAGGAAACCATGCGAAAGGAGCGAATGGAGCGCAAAGAGAGCAAAATGCGAAACACATCCGTCGAGGAAAACATGCGTCTCTTCGAAGCGCTGTGCCGCGGCGAGCCCGACATGCACGACTACTGTCTGCGTGCGAAGATCGATATGAAGAGCGACAACGGCACCATGCGCGACCCCGTGCTGGTTCGGTATTTCCCGCTGACGCACATCCGCACGGGCGATAAATACAAGGCCTATCCGTGCTACGACCTCGCCTGTCCGATCGTCGATTCGATCGAAGGCGTGACGCACGCGATGCGCACCACCGAGTACAAGGATCGCGACGAGCAGTACATGTGGATCCAGCGCGCGCTGCGTCTCCGCGAAGTGCATCTGGTGGAGTTCGCGCGTCTGAACTTCCAGTACACGCTGATGAGCAAGCGCAAGCTCACGTGGATGGTGGACCACCACGAAGTGGACGGCTGGGACGATCCGCGCTTCCCGACAGTGAAGGGCGTGCTGCGTCGCGGCGTGCAAGTGGAGGCCTTGCGATCGTTCATTCTGAGCCAGGTAGGGCTCGTGAAACTGGAGTTGATTGGTGGTAGGGCTTCTCGAAGCGCGTGGTGACGATGGAGTGGGACAAGTTCTGGTCGGACAATAAAAAGATTTTGGAGCGCAACGCATTCCGCTACATGGGCGTTATGAAGGACGACTATGTGGTTATTCATCTCACCAACGTGGAGAGCAACGGATTCATCAAGGTCGCCAATCACCCGAAGGACGAGTCGAAGGGCGTCAGCGAGATCGCGATCGGTCCGGACGTGATGCTGGAGCGCACCGACGCGGAAGCGCTCAAGGAGGGCGAGGAATTCACGCTCATGCGATGGGGCAACGCGAAGGTGGCATCGATTCAGCGCGACGAAGCCGGCAAGGTCGTCGGTCTGACGGGCGAATTCGTGCCGAATGTAGCGGCGAGGACGAGGAGTGAGGGGTAGGGAGACTTCAAGAACACGGTGAAGGTGAACTGGGTGGCGTGCTCGCCGGAGAATCACGAGGTGACGGTGGTGGAGTACGACGATCTGCTGACGAAGAAGGCGCTGGAGGAGAACGACAACTTCGAGGACTTTTTGACGAGCAAGGATCATCCCACGAAGATCGCCTATACGATTATTGTGAACAATGCGTGCAAGAATCTCAAGGAGAACGAGATCGTACAGCTCGAGAGACGTGGATTCTATCGCTGCGATCGTCCTGATACGGAGAGCGAACCGGCCACGCTGATTTTGATTCCGGATGGAAAGAAGAAGGCGATGAGCAAACTGAGTGGAATGTTGGGGCATAAGTAATTGGGAGCTTGTTTGTTGATGATCACACGGGTTGGATGGGGGAGGCGAGAGATAGGGAGGTAGCTCTTATTTGTATTATTATTATTATTATTGTATGTGTGTATGAGATTCGAGAGGAATAGCATACACTCCCTGATAGCTAACAATAACAATAGCTTTCTTGGAGGGTTTGGTATATCCACAATGGATAAGATAATTGTAGTACTCCAGCTGTTTATGTTCTATCCTATTTTGGGGGATGAATAGTTGACAACAAAATGTTTTCAGTGCAACAATTGAATTCAAAAGTGCAGTCGTGTAAAGGATTGTTTGTTTTGGTTGCCAACAAGTTCCATATGAATCGAATCGAAAAAAAGCAAAATGAATTGGACTTCAAAATGAGATTTGGTAAGCGAGGAAAGCGGTTATTTCACATTTTTGTGAACCTTCACATATTGGACTATTGAATTGATAAGGTCAGGTATGAAAAATAATCTTGCATAATGTCTATTGAAAATGATATTTTTTCGACACGGGAAGATGGATTGCCGCTACTGAGAAGAAAAGAAGACGAAACAACTTGGTAATTCTTGTTTGCAGCGTAATATTCAGGGTTTACAAGAAAATCACCTCGCTACCTCTTCAATGTATAGATTCATCGATGAATATCGCAATTTGCCCTACATTGTCAGACAACATCACCTATGTTGCGGCTGTTAGCTCGAACCGCTGTTTTATGTATTTTTCAACACGGATTAATCATCTGAGATACGAAATTTCCCAGAATGGTGATATGCATTTGCTTCAAGAGTTTATTGATGATAACGAAAATGAGGTACACTTGGTCTCCAATAATTACCAGTCTTTTACCGTGTGTGAATGGATGATGATCAAATCTACGGACCAGTACCCACAGGAGTTCTTTCTCGCAGTGGGAGGAGTGCTAGGCCAAATCAAGATACTCGACTGCATGAAACAAGTGGTTTACACAGTCGATTTCTGCATGAGCATCCATTCTAGACTCTGATCGGTCATCTCGGTACGATCCAAGCGCTCAGATCAGTCTCCAACTCCCCTTATATGCTTCTATCCGTAGCACTTTCGAAAATGATTTCATCGCAGGGAAGCACCGACAATACTCTCCGTTTATGGGATATCAAAAAGAAAAGTCTATCTAAAGTAATCTCTCTCTTTGACGGTTTTACGATCCTCAACAATATCGTACTGGACGAGACCACGCGTCAACCATAGGACATCGACTTGTGTTGTGAAGAAATCATTTGCTCTGATCAAAACGGAGCTGTTTGTGTTTTTGAACTTAACCACGAAACCAATGAGTACTCTCTGGACAGCATTGTTTATGTACTGGCTGACAGTCGCTATGATCGATAGACAGGAAGTGGCATGCCCAGTTACTGGGTAGGTAAACTCATTTTAGGGTTTGTTGGAGGGAAGTGTACTCTCTACAAGCCATTTCGACAAGTAACCACTGATAACGAGAGCGGCTCGGTTATTAAAGTGATCAAGCAGTACACTCTCCCTTCAGTCCCCACAGGGTTTTGTATCAGCAAGGACGCTTCTCTTCTTGCTTGTACAGCTTTGGAGCGGTTCTTTTGTTAGGTCTTTGTATGAATACGGTAATGATCTTTCGCATTGACGATGATTATGAACCTTTCTCAACTTTCACCATTCCCGATGTATCCTTGCGGAAATGCTCTGAAAAATAGTTCGATCACCTTCCGCGCAGTATTTCGTTTTGTGGCACCAACAATAGCATTCTAGTAGACACTGGAAATAATTTGCAACTTTTTTCTCCCCAAGAAGTGGATCATCTGAGTCCACTATACGACCAGAGTGAATTACCTCTGAGCTTTTTCGAAGAATCTGGAGTTCAGCCATCCTTTGAACAAAATGTGGACTTTTTCTTCCGCGAGTAGTTTTGGTGTTTGTTGAATATACACGAAAATTTTCCCACACTCAAGTTCATTACGGAATTACAGAGTTGACCCTGTTTCATCAGATGTCAATAAAGACTGAAAAATCGTCCCCTGTTGCAATTCCGGAGAGATTGTTCACGGATTGCTGCTCTGAGGAGAGTGTTGAATTACCGCAACTTTTTGACAAGCTCAACAAGTGCAATACTGTTTACGAGCAAATGAACTGCTTTGGAATCTTGAAACAGAAAACTCGTAGCAACCAAGGTTTTTTGCTTATGTTTAGTCGGAGGAGCATCACACGATATTTACAGATTTGTTTGCTGTCTGCTATTACTCCCCGAAACTCAGGCTTTACGGAAAAGCACAAATGTGCTCAGTATACCATTTTTTATAAAGTAAAACACTAGTGACACTGTATTTCAAGAAGGACAAGGAGAGTATCGTGAACATTTACAGTGACCTGACCGATCTTCTCTTGTCGAACGATTTCAAGCTTCCTTACGGATCTACCAACGATAGTACGTATTGGCCTTTTCGTTTCTAAAATAGTTACCTCCAACGATGTTTTGTGTCTCTGGATATCCTTACCAGAGATTCTGCGTGTGATTTCTCCAGACCAGCTTCATCGCATTACTTCCTTTTTCTTCCCCGTCGTGTCTTCCATCCTCCAAAGTACCACCATCCAGATCGATCATAATGTAGCTGCCATGGAGTCCAATGTGGCCGAAATCCAGCAGCAGTGCATCTCCACATGCTCTTCCATTCTGAAGAACACCAACCTTCTGCTCCAAAGCCTTCCCTCGTTATCAGCAATGGAGCTCTCGCAATGGGAGCAAATCGCAGTGGACATGATGAAAACGCGCTGCGTTCGCGTTGAAGACGCGCTGGCTGCCTCCCAGCTGTGGGTTCGCATGCAATTACTGCGTCAAACGCCAACGAAAGAGCTGCTGTCGGGAGAGAAGCGAGTGCTGAGCGAGGTGAAGGCGTGCGGGACGCTGCGAGTGATGATGCATCGCGAATGTGTGTTGAATTGTCCGATCGGAGAGCTGCACGAGATGGGATTCATTCGCTATGTGGTCATGGAAATCGCGGCGATGTCGCCCAGTTGCAGCGAGGAAGTGATCTGCATGCTTCAGACCGCAACGCTCGTTTATTCCGCGTATTCCACGCACAAAATGAACTTCCCAGCACCGCTCACTCGGTCAATTTTGAATCTGATTCTCCACCATTTGGACAATACAGCTCGAAAAGTGAGTCGCGTTTGCGAGGAATCCTTGGTCAATTTCATCAAGCAAACCCCTGTACGTTCAGAAACTGTTCTTTTGATCGTAGAAAGGCGTGTACATCTCCGTGATTCAACCCTGTCTGCAAACCGCGATGACCGACGCCAGCACATCTCGCCGCACCTTTTCGATTCTCTCCGTTCTGCTTCAATGCGATTCCGCAACGAACGTTCTCTCCATGCATCCATCCCTCGTCACCCTGCTGCTTAACCAGCTCTCAGAACGAAATCGCTCCTACTGCTCCCAGATCACCTCCGTCTTCCTGAATTTGCTGATCGGAGCCTACGCAGAGATGCCTCGCTCGCAGTGGATCGCGGTTTGCATCGATCCCATCGTGGAAATGGTCTACGCCTCGCCCGACGGGCGCGTGAACGTGTTTGACTACATTCTCCCCGCGATTCTCAACATCAAACCGAAGCTTCTGCCGCCTGCGTTGCGCGAAGAAAGCGCGGAAGCTTCGCATTCATCGACTTCGCTCTTCGGACTGGACCTGTTCTTCTTGAATGTTGCACGCTCGCATCCGGAAGATCCGGTGACGAGCGCGTTGCTGGAGCTGAGCGTGATGAATGTGGAGAAAGAAATCGGCGTGGTGGGGAAGAAGAACGAACCGTATCTCATCGAAGACAGCGAGAACCCGCGGAATATTCGAAGAGCGATGGAATATGCGCGTTGTGGAGTGGATGAAATCCGAATGAGCATGATGAAACTGGTAACGGAATCGCTTTATGTGGCTTTCGAATTGTGGGATTGAATGAATAGACGACGCAGGCGATTTCGGAGCAGGAATGGAGAATCATCGTAACGATCGTGAATGAATCGTGCCACACCGAGAATCCGCAATATCGCCACGATCTGAACGTGAGCTTCACGCATCTCACAGAGCGCGTGATTCTCTCAACGCAGGCTCTTTTCAAGCAAGCGAAGGAAGTGTTCAATGCATCGCTTCGTGCGCAGAAAAAGCCGCCAGTTTCCTCGGTTTCGTTGGAGTTGCTGCGGTCTTCGCCTGCACTCGAAGAGTTCTATCGTCCTCTCCGGATTGCCATGGAAAACATTGCGTTGATTTGGGATTCACTGATCGGAATGATTCGAGCGGACGCACCGACGCACACATTGCTGATTGTCACGGATTTGCTGCTGGTTCTCTGCACATTCTTCGATTCTTCGGTACAAAAATCATCCTGAATTTGATTCTGCATAGTCCGCTCTGCCCGTCTCTTCCCTGTTTTCGATCGATTCGTTCTCGCATTGTCTCGCTCTCTTCCTCAATCAGAACCAGCAAATCCGCCAAACCGGATCGAAGCTCGTTCTCACGATCTATCGCAATTTGCAGCCTTCCGATCAACTCGCAGCGCTGTGTCGCCAGATTTTGGAGCGAGGTCTGGACTGGAAGGAACATCTCACAGACTACAAAGTCGACATCACGGCCACGCATTTGGCTTCGTACTTCGCACTGCTGCAGCCAAACGATGAATCGAAGGAGTTTAGCGAGGATTCGGTGTCGCTTGTGGATCGTTTGGTGCGTGCGATCGACGAAGATGCTGCGAAAATGCACGAATCTTCGGACTTCACTTCGTATTTCATCCCCACATGCCAATCCGCGCTCCGTGCTCTATCGCTAATTATTTCTTCATATCCCGCTCTGCTGGATGATATGAAACGATGCAAAACACTCCTCAAAAACAGCTTCTTGATCTTCCACGAAACGCTCAACGTTGTAGCGGACAGCGATATTTTTGCTGGAGAAGAGAATAGTGAAGATCCTCTGTCTTCGCTTCTCTCGAAGGGACCGATTCAGCCTTCGTTAGGA